CGCCAATGACAGCACCTGATAGCCTAAAGCCTTACGACGGTACACCGCGCAGAGAGTATATTGAAGAGTTCTCGACCAAATTGGGATCAGCTCAGTATGCTACTACAATCACCCGCGTTGATGCCGCGAAAGCCACTGCTCGATTGGCACAGTTCTTGACCAATCCGGGACCTCAGCATATTGATGCTATTGATCGAGTGATCACCTACCTATATCATACACGATTTTGGGCAATTGCATATGGAATTGGTAGTGGGTTGGAATCTATTGCATTCGCAAGCGATGCCTCATTCGCAGATAACCTCGACAAGACGAGCTCTGCTGGATATCTATGTCAGATATATGGAGGACCAGTTGACTGGAAGGCGTCAAAGCTACGCACTGTCACTACCTCAACCACTGAAGCAGAGCTGCTTGCTCTATCGGAGGCCGCTCGGGCGATGCAATATACGATTCGCCTTCTACGCCACCTTGGTTTCCGACCAAACCATGAGATTACACTACGGTGTGACAATAGACAAACTGTCGATCTGATCACCAGCACCAACACCAAACTGCATACGAAGCTCAAGCACATCGATATACACAACCACTGGCTTCGACAAGAAGTGGCAGACGGTAGGTTGACGATCAGATGGGTGCCCACCGCAGAGATGGCTGCGGATGGCCTCACTAAGCCGCTCACACGGCAAAACCACGAACGATTTGTCCAAATGCTTCGATTACATGATGTTCGAAGATATATTGAGGACTGAGGCAGCCGTTCCTGCCTATTTGGGACCTTCAACGGTCTACATCGATTGGATACAGCATTCAACACGCTGATATTGGAAACCTCAGGTGCTTTGAATACTGAGGGGGTGTGTCGGTATGAGTGGGGAATTGGTATTGTAAGGCATGGTCAGAATGTATCATTGTAACTTAGCCAAGAGTCTTAGTCATGGTCGGTCGCATACAAATTAGTATGTGAGCGAACATAACAAAAATTAGACAACTACCCATGGACCTGATTGGACGTACATTTCTGTTCCGACATTATTTAATCCAATTTCTGACTCACATTGGAAGCCAGAAATCTATCCCACCAACCCTACTCCCGAGTCCGAAGACCATGACGAAAACACTATTTCTCGGCATTATTGGTAATTCATGCAATAAAAAATGCATATATTTCATGTTTCAGAGCTGACGTATCTATACAGGAGTCGGAGGAGTTGGAAATGCATTTCTAGAACAGTTGGGGCGGCTACCAACCCCACCTAAACTCATTCTTCTTGCCCGCTCATCGCAAACCCTGCTTGCTCCATCACCAGGATATTCGCCAGCTATCCCGATCGCAAGTTGGGACAAAGCCACAGAAAATGAATCATTAGTGAAATGCGGAGCTCTCACCCCGGCCGAGATGGTCGATTATCTCGGCCGTGCTCCAGGTCCTACCATCGTGGTCGATAACACCTCAGACCTCGGCCTCGCAGAGGCATATCCCCTCTTCCTCAGAAAGGGAATCTCAATAGTGACCCCAAACAAGAAGGGATTTTCACAGAATCTCGGCCTTTGGGACGATATTTTTGCTGCTGCGACAGAGGGAAACGCTCTCGTGTACTATCAGGGAACTGTAGGTGGTACGCTCCCGGTGCTCTCAACGCTGAGAGATTTGATAGCGACCGGCGACGAAGTCATCAGAATTGAGGCTGTTCTCTCAGGCACTCTGTCGCAATTACTTGGGACATATATGCCCGGATCTGGAACATCGACGGAGAGTTGGAGTTCACTGGTCGCTCGCGCTCGAGAGGCTGGCGAGACGGAGCCAGACCCTCGAGATGATCTGGACGGCCTTGACTTCGCTCGGAAGCTGACGATCATCGCGCGAATCATTGGCCTCAGGGTCACCGGCGTAGATGAAATCCTAGTCGAATCGCTTATTCCTGTGGAACTGAGGTCATTGCCATCATCGAGCGAGGGCGTTGAACAGTTCATGAACCAATTAGCTCAATTCGATTCCCGAATGTATGAGGCGAAGGAAGCTGCCCAGAAGCAGGATAAAGTCTTGCGCTACGTTGGTAGTATTGATGTACCGACAAGAACTATCAAGGTTGGGCTGCATCAGGTTGTCAAGAATAGCCGAATTGCTGGGTTGGTGGGTACCAAATTTGTGAGCATGTATACTAAAAGATACAAAGAGACCCCCTTGGTTCTAGAAGGAGGCGGGGGAGGAGGCGAGATTACGGCCTCGGGATTGATAGCCGATCTGCTCAAGGTGATGGAGCGACTAGGATAGGTTTCATCTAGATCGGACATATTATGAGAGGAAGGACCTGTCGAACCAAAGCTGTTCACTCTGTCATCACTAATACAATGGGTTAAAGATCCGACCGTTCAACATCCACAGACCGATGTCGATTGAATTGGCATGTTTCTATAAGGTTGGTGGTAAACTGCACGCCCCAAATCAGTACCACCAGTAGAATCCCAATCAGCGGCCCCAGGATGGCAAAAGCAGTAAAACCAAATGAAGCATTCTGGAAAGCCGGACTACTACTTAGACGGGTGGTGGCCAGTCCGACCTGCATCGCCGTCAACACTAACGCGACGTAGATGGTCGCTGCAGTCAGCGGGGTCAGATAGTCGTGAAATATTTCGCCATACGTGTGCCGGGTGAACTGGTACCCTCGGAGCACCTGTAGATGTCGAATGGCGTAGATCTTGTTAAGCCGGGATAGCCTCAACTCCCCGTAAATATATCGCGGATTAATATTTTTGGGATGTGTGGCGTCGGTTCTTAAAAGATTTTGGACCAATTTGAGCCAGGTCTCCCAGTCGATATCCTCTGGTAGGAGGTGGTGAGCTCGGGCAATTTCAAAATCACTCTTATACCGGACGAGGGCTATATACGAGAATAGAAGCCCAAAGCCGCCTCGGGAGAGATCCCTCGTGCATTCTTTCACGGTTGGAGGTGCCTGGTCCGATCCGGGAACGCAGCATGGCCCTCGACAAATGAGATGCGAGTCCCAGAAGTGATGGTCGAGCAGGTATTGTGGAAGAGGCTTGAGGTGGATGCGCCCTGACTGCTCCCAGACCATGTGCATATCTATCCTCTCATCGGCGGTGATTTCACGGGACGTGGCAACCAGATAGTTCAGGGGCTGCGGGGGCACTGGTCGGCCGGCGAGCCATAGGTAGGGATGGATTTGGTTGAGTCGCGGGACTAAAAGATCGGTTTGCAGGAAGCGGGAGATGTCATTAGCGGGAATGACAAGTGCATGCTGGAGGTTGCGAGAGGATGCAGGAAGTAAAGGTGTCACCGGGTCCAGGTCAGTGTTGCGATTCAAAGCCTCTTGACTGAATGGGGCTTGGGGTGGCATAAGTGGATCAGATTTTAATTGAGCCTAGGTACTCTGAGACGATAGCTAGAGAAAGGTGATCGATTTAACTCAACACTCGCTGTTATTGATCAAGACTGAATCTTGAGAAGATTAACTTTCAGGGGAGTGAGCCGATGTATTTAAACCTTATAATTAATTCGAGACGGATATGGAACTAGCTAATATAGCACTAGTTCCCCAGACGCCTCTCGTATTCAACCACCAAGACCCGCCATGTATTTCCTTACAGCAGGCGTAGGACACAATATTATTGAAAACTAAACATAGGCAAGCAAGCGACGTTGTGTTGTTAAGTGACCTTGATCTAGCAACACATTTGCAAATAAGAAAACCAAGCCATTTTTCGACGAGGGCATGCAACCCTAACATTTTAAATTTTCGCAGAGAAATTAAATAGTGAATGGCTTGAAAACGCAAAAAAATCGACACAAATCATTGGGATGCATGGTATGAGCAGATTTTGTAGGAAAGAAAATTCAGTCAACTAAGTATAATTAATTGTGCATCGTGTTAAGTTCCATGAATGCTACATTGTGGAGGATAGCTCAAAGTCAATCTTAAAGTCTACTAGGTATAAGTTGTGTTCTTTTCTAATTTGAAATTTTCAGGTGCCCAAGTGGTTCAGTACGAAGAACTCGGAAATGGAATCTATCGGCAGTGAATGAAGAACATCATATGTCGTCAGCGATGACTTGTCACTTTGGGAAGCGGCCAGCCTTGGGGGGCGTATTTGGCACTCTCGCTGATAAGATAATGTATACAGACACTGCGAGGGATATCATCGCAGAGAATTGCAGAGGATTTACTATATTCATCTAATTTGCCTATGTACCATCCAAATCCTGACAGGATTACGGGAGGTTATCGCTGCCAAACAAGCTAGAATGATGAGTTGAACTCGCCTCTAGGTAAGCACCCTCTAAAAGGTTATCTCTAATACCATATGGCGAGGCACATAGGGCCACATAGGGCAGCTTAGATGAAGCACCATGACAGAATGGCTGAACTTAATATTTCAAAGGGCCAGAACCTTGAACTTGACAGTCGTGGGGCCTGAGCAGACTGATCACGGATAGGTATACCCCCTCTAAAATCGTTCTTTGATTAGATATCACCCTCAATCTGCTGGTGCTAGGGCTGACATCATAACGATCTCGGTCATCTAGGATTGGATCGTTATACGAAGCAGGATGATTGGATCCCGAAAAGTGCCAAGTGCATATACGCTCCCGCGATAGGGCTATATCGTGAAGAACCTATCCAATCTGTTAGATTCCAGCCGATCAAGGGTCTTCACTTATTTTGGCCCCCACGATGAGACAAGCGAAGTGGGCGGTAGATGAGGCCTAATCGGGTAAGAAGTGCCGCTATGTTGGCTTGGCGAGGACAGCTGCAGATCCCCAGGCGCAGCAATGATCATCATCATCATCATCATATTTACGCCGTGGTTAAATTTTAATCTGGGAATATTTCAGCCCTGGAGGTAGTATATAATCCGTCTGAAGGGCCGCTGGGAATTGAAATTAAATCAAACTTGCATCTTCTCATTTTCTCATTCAATTCATCACCATTTCTCCTCTCTTCTTACTATCAACCTCTCTTCTGCATCCAACCACAATGGATCAAGCACCTCCACCCTACAATACAACTGTCGCTCCTCCTATGCCTCCAGCTATGGCCCCGAGCATGGCCCCGAACATGACAGCGCCTCCTCCAGTCCATATCCAGTCTTCTCAATCACAAGCTCTGCTGGTTGACTTTAGATGGAGTAAGCTTAAATTTTTGATCAAAGACGCCGAGAGACCTGAAGCCACGCCTCTTTACCATGTCGCCCTGCAGGTGGTCATGGCTCCACATCTCCGATTCAAGGCTATCGAAAGCAATGGCATCGAAAGAGAAGTTGGTACCGGCACGGTTCACACTTTTGGCATTTCACCAGATTATGAACTATACGGCAAACCCGCCACACTGAAAGCTCAAAAACGCTTCAGCACCTACTACACGCACATGTCGACCGTTTTCTCCGACACGCAAGAACCCGTCAAAATGACCTGGACTAGTAACACGGACTTCAAGGGCTGGGACTTTATCTGTGTTGACCACAACCAGGTTCCTGTTGCCAAATACTCTGCCAACCTCTGGGCTGTCAAGAAGTTCGGCAAGATTGAACTCCTCGGCCCCAAGGCCTTTGATCCCGCGGCTAGAGATGAGATTGTTGTTCTCGCTGTTACTTTGTTCTATTGCATGTACCTCCGCGTGAACAACCCCTTCAACCTGCTGGGTTCGGCTTTCATGTCTAAGGATAAGACCGAGCAATCGTCGTCTCAGTCACCACAGCCGGAGGCCAGTCCAAGGGAGGAACGTGAATTCTCGGCGACATCGAATGTCAAGGTCCAGCCGAAGCAGGAGTTTCGCGAAGAACGAGCGATTTACTAAGCCCTCAAGGTGTTATCTCGGTTGAATTTATAGGAAATGCGACGGGATGGATTGCTGGAATGGAAGGCGTCCGATGGAAGCTTTTGATTAGCACTGTATAAGATGATACCTACATTTCGTTAATTTATATGGAAAATATTATATCATACAATAAAACGTCAAGTGATCAAGTATTTCTTTTATAGACCAAGTAGTTGGCTTTCTCATTGACATCTTTGCTTGGATGTTGGGCTTTTCACGTCATGGAGTTGTTAATGTCCGATAAGGTTGAAAACAAGGATTGTTAAAATCACTGTAGGATGAGTTCAGTCGTCCTTCAAAGACCCATCGAAGACATTTCCAAGCCAATGAGCGGCTTCATGCTCGGGGCTTTCATTCGCGTGAGATAGAGTAACTCTGCGCTCGCCATATCCTTTCTCGCGGCCAAAGAAACATGCCCGCCGGAGCACAGATACCATTTCTTCGCTTTGTTGAGCAAGGACCGTCGGGGCAGACTCTTCCGAGTTGTGTAGCAAGTACCTCTTGTTCCCCGAATATACTCTCACCCAGGGAAGAGTGACTTCCAAGCGACGAACTCCATGTCCTGGCTGAGACCAAGTATTTCCACTCGAACCGTAGTCAAGGCCATAAGGAGGCCAGCGCGAGAGAGCCTTTCGGCGGCGAGTAGGTAGCTCGATCTCGTTGCTTTCCTCGTCGGTTGGGTAGATATTTCTTTCCCAGATGGACGTATCAGCAGCCCCATATCGCTCCATAGTTGCTACTCGAGTCTCCTGAAGTACCGGGATCGGATACTCCGGCCCCGTGAGATACTGCGGGAATGCTTTTGGTACATCGCGGCCTGCGGAGCGAAGAAATAGAATGGGAGAGGCGAATGCGTCAAAGCATCGCTCGAATGACGAAAACAATTGTTTTCGCGCATCAAGTAGGGGGACAAGATCGGGCGGCGCGACCGCTTTCGATGCCTTCTTCTTCGAGCTCTTTCTAGGCCCGTCAATAGTCTCTGCATTTCCGAGGCAGTATTCATCCAGCCCTGGCCAATCACATATAGGGGCTGCGGCAGCAACGGCATTGACTTTCTCTGCCTCGGTAAGTGCCAGCATTAGTGCGAGAGAACCGCCGATGTGTGAGCCGAATACCCCCAGCTGTGTGGGCCGAAGGTTGTCTTGAATCCAATCGAATCCCGTGATCGCGTCATGGAAAGGAGTCGGATATTGATAAAAGCTTGATCCCATCTCACCTGTCGAGACGAGGTTAGGCGAGCCTGGGGGTGGGCTTTTTGGGCTTGCCATTGAACCGCGTGCATCCTCTTCGCCTATATTACCAAGGCGGTACTCGACAGTCACCACCGTAGCAGCAGTCACCGAGGCCAAGACATGCTGCGGCGATATCTCTTTAGTGATTCGGGCTTTATTTTCTCGGTTTTGAGCAGCACGCTCGGAATCTGGAGCAGAATGCTCACCCCCTGCACGGAACAATGGCCCCGGTGGGAGATAGAGGATTACATTAGCACCGATATTATTGGACCCAGCCGTCGTATCCTGGCCCAGCAGAGACGGACGAGTGATCCTAGACAATGGTCAGCGATTGGTCTGCTGCTTGAATTCATAGACATCAGCCACCCCACCTAAGGTTTATGAGCCCATTGTTCCCGACTGGCAGTGAGACTGTCTCGTCCGCGTAGGAGGCAAAAAAACGTGACCTTTGAAAATGGACGACTGAGGCACTGTAAGGTCGCCTAAGGCGAAAAGCTCGACGGCACGAGTAGCTGATCAGGGCGCGCATTGCGCCATGGAGAACCTTGTGGAAGATGAAGGGCGGCGCGGACGGGCGTGTCGCGCCTGAGCGGAAAATTACCGCGCGCGCCACAGCGGCAACTTCAAGTGTGAAGTCGTGGCGCGTCAACAGGCCGCTTTATCTTCCGAAGTTGATTAATTTCCGATTCCAGCTTCTTCAATTCATATTTGGAGTATTGTGCAGGGTCGTTCTTAGCTCTGATTATCCTTTCTCGTTATATGGGGAGCTATCTCATATAATGGTCGCCACTCGAATTCTGTACTTTCCAAGATTAGTGCCAATACTTTTGAGACCTCGGTAATGAAACATTGAAAGATATATATATTAACTGGCTCCACACTTCGGTCTAATTGTTCAAACTGCAAGTTCAAGTTCAAATTTAAAGCGGAGTTAGCTGTATATTAAGAATATATTAAAGGGGAGATTAAGAAAACGTTGTGAAAGCCGTTGCAACACCTGACAACTTGAACTGGACTGGACCTCGGGAAGCGTGAGCAGATACTAAACAAGGTGGTGGTAGTACCCGTGGACAGCCCGAGTGCTTGAATAGTTACTAGTACTAGTTCCAAGGCTGCTACTACTACTACCTAGGTACATAATTTCCGAGTCCTTTTGAAATTGAACGGTTATGACTCAAACATATTTTAGATTATGTGCATTCGAGTATCTAGAAAATGCTTGTTGGACTTTTAATATCAGTACCTAATACAAAAAAGAGATGAATGGTTGTTAATATTCCCCTCTATAACTTGTACCAGGTAAGGATTGTAGTAGGAAATCTCTCAATTTTTCAAACGCTGGACGCCTCGCTCACACAGTATCCCACATCAATCTAATCGGGTTCAATCAATCAGGCTTCGCGAACAGAAATCTCTGAAGTTACATAGACCTTGAGATTATCATCCCCGGAGAGTATATGCTCTTCGCTGTCCGTATCCTTCAAAGTCTTTCCGTTCCCGGATCCAATCACAGTCACTGTATTTCCTTCTGGGTCCGGAATTGTATCGAACCTGCTTCTGCGGCGGGAATTTGCCGGTGCAGTGCGAGACTCTGGTGGCATCGAGCCGAGCTGATACGAACGGTTCCGATAAGAGCTTATATTGGATGCGAACGCCTTGAAAAGCGGGCCGTAGGTGGGAATGCAACAGACAACGACCTGAGCAAGTTTCTATGTTTAGTTTCCGTGAAGCCGTGCGCAATGACCAGAGATCAGCTATGAAGAGTGGACTTACCCCGAGACTGACCTCCACCAACGACCAAAGAACAATGTTTTTGCTGTCGGTGTATGTCTTCAGGTCTTTCACTGTGAAGATGCGAATAAATTGGACAATTGTGACGAAGAATCCGAGCGCGAACAAAGCAGCCAAGAACACCTTCTGCTTGGTTCGAAGTTGCAACTTCCACAGGACCGGGAGGGGGAGGGCGATAATTATGAAATCTAGGGCAATACTGGTGCCGCCCAAGGCAAAATAGAATGGCTGGGTTTGGATGCAATGGCCTTTCAGCGACGTGTCCCATTGTTTGGCCACCTAAGCAAGGTCTGCACGTTAGCGAAGACGTCTTTCATTTTGGTGTGGAGTGGCGACGCGTAGGATCACTTGCCGGTATGCACGAGATGGAGATGATAAAGGCAAAAACTAATTGATTGACCACGCAGAGAATGATCGCTGCGATAATAATCTTGCGGTATAGTTTGACCACGCCTGCAATGCGTAGATAGGAAGTCAGCAAGGCCACCTTGAACCCTAGCACATCGAGGCAGTAGACTGGGCCGCCTGCATATTGGATCTGTGAAGAATGAAGTCAAGTTAGCTAGCCAAGTCAACCAGCACATCGTCACACAGTGACCACCCACCTTGCTAAAAGTTATGACATTCTCCGGCGGAAAGTACGCTACCGTCAGGCCTTGACCCCATCGTGTTTCTGAATAAGAAGAGTTAGAAACCACGACTCGATTCCCCAGCTATTCTGGATCCATAGATCGACGAACGACTCACGAGCCACCGCGATTCCTGCATATGCGAGTGTCAAGAGAGAGCTGGCCAGTGCGGCATAATCGTCATACCATGGCAGACGTTTGCTCCGCACTCGAACATAGAATCGGAGACAAACGGCCAGTAGAGAGAAAATGGAGAACACTAAGCAGATCGCGATCACTTCCGGGATCGAGCTCTTAGGATCTGCGTGTTGGAGGTTATATACCCAACCCATGGTAAGATAATTGCTCTACTGAAAGGAATCCAGCAAGAATGGGGCCCTAACAGGGGGTATGATCTTTCTTATTCTCAAAGTAATCGACCAGGTATGGAGTAAATGCAGACTGCAGTACAATGAATGCGCACATGACCCAGGGCCAAGATTCGTGCGGAATAATTAGTTTCATTATTGGGTCTGCCGTGACAGGGATTCAGATCCTGTGGAATTCTTATGTTGAATGCTACCTCTCTCGCGGGATTTTGCTCAATTCCCCTGTGCGCCCGGAGCGAGGTAGGAGGCCAAACAACTCTGTTCGACTTTCCGGCCTCATGGCCTCCAAATCCCGGACCTGCGGGCCGGCTCCCGTTCAGTTAGATCGGACCCATCTAGTTAAACCTTCAGGTCCGCTGTGAGTCTGTGATAAATACGAATTGGACAAAGAAACTCCGTACTGCATCGGGCGTAGAAACTACGAACCCGGCCTGGCTCGCTTGCGAGCTTGGTTAGACCTTTCGGTATTAATCTATTTATTTGGCCGACTTCATTGCAATTTAATAAATTTGACCGGCTCGGTAGCCCTGTGGCCTCGGTATATCCGGGAGCTTGGGACCCCAGGGGCCGTTTTAAGGGCTAGACTGGCCAATTGACGCGACCCCAGCTAAAGCGTGCATTAGCTGCAATCACCTCGCCGACCTTCCATCTCCTAAGCGAGATTCGACCTCCTCTCCCCTCCCCCTGGATGAGATCTTAATACTTAAGTTCCGAAGGGAAGTATCTGGTAAACTTACATGTTCAATTAGCCAATCGCACACTGATGTTTTCTCGTGCAGCGTTTGTTTCTTGGTTGCTGGCGGTGCCACTGGCATCAGCCTCGTCCGTATGCCGTTGCTTCCCTAGCGATGCATGCTGGCCATCGGATAATGTCTGGTCGCAATTCAATAAGACCATTGACGGACGTCTCGTGAAGACTGTCCCGCTTGGTGTACCCTGTCATGCTCCGAACTACAATGCCGAGACGTGCGAGGTCTTGAAGGATGGATGGTTATTACCAGAGGAACAGTACGTCGTCCTGCATACCCCACATTCCATATTGAAGTCAAGAGCTGATCAATTGTCCCCGCAGCTATCAATCATCCTCTTCGGTCATGGCCCCGTTCTTTGCGAATGGCACATGTGATCCCTTCCACCCTGTCTCGAAGCCATGCACCATCGGCAACTATGTGCAATACAGCGTGAATGTCACAACCCCAACGCAGATTTCCAGAGCCGTGAAATTTGCGACCAAGTATAACATCCGTCTGGTCATTCGGAACACAGGCCACGACTACAATGGCAGATCCACAGGCGCGGGTGCTCTCGCGATCTGGACGCACCACCTCAAGGACTTAGAGCTCCACTCGTACAAGGATGCGCATTACAGCGGCAAGGCCATTACCATGGGTGCTGGAATTCAGGGGTTCGAAGCGTACGAGATTGCCGATGCCAACGGCCTCCAGGTTGTGGGAGGTGAATGTCCTACCGTTGGCTTAGCTGGTGGCTATACCCAGGGTGGTGGCCACTCGGCCCTTGCATCTCGCTATGGCCTCGGTGCTGACCAAGTCCTCAAGTGGGAGGTCATTGATGGAAGAGGAAACTTCATCACGGCCACTCGCGATAACAAGTACTCCGACATTTTCTGGGCCCTCGGTGGTGGTGGCGCCGGTACCTATGGTATCGTTTATTCACTGACTTCCAAGGCACATCCGGGTACCCCTGTGTCTGGATTTAACCTGACCTACACCAATGCGAACATCACGCAGGATACTTTTTACCGCGGTGTAGAGCTCTACAACACGTATCTTCCCCAGATCGTGGACGCTGGCGCCATGAGCGTTTGGTACTACACCAACACCAGCTTTATGATCTCTCCAATCACCGCGCCGAATATCCCTGTCGCGAAACTGGAGCAGATGCTCAATCCTTTTTTGAAAGGTCTGGAAAAGCTTGGCATTGAGTACACTAAGGCGGCCAGTCAGTACGACAGCTACTATAGCCAGTTCAAGGACATGCAAGGCACCATCGAGGTTGGGACAGCTCAGTATGGCGGGTGGCTGGTGCCACGGTCCGTAGTCCAGAAAAACAACAAGGCCCTGGTAAACGCCTACCGCTACATCACTGAGAACGGCGGCACCTTCATTGGAGTTGGCCTAAATGTCGCCAAGAACGTCTCGGGGGACGTCTATAATGCCGTCCTGCCTGCCTGGCGTGAGGCGCTCATCGATACCACCCTCACCACACCGTGGGTGTGGGATGATCCCGCTCTGATGCTGGAGCGACAGCGCCAGATGACTGATGACTTTATCCCCCGACTACGAGCGCTGTCCCCGGACTCTGGTGCATATATGAACGAGGTATGATCCCATTCAAGGTCCCGTTTTAGCCGTAATAACTAGAGGATATGTACTAACAATCTTTCCTTTTTGATAGGGTGACTTCCGCCAGCCCGATTTCCAGCAAGTCTTCTATGGCAAGAATTATGCCAGGCTCGAGAAAATCAAGGCCAAATATGACCCCAACGGCATTTTCTACGCCAGGACCGCGGTTGGATCGGAGGCGTGGACGGAACTTGAAAATGGCCGCCTGTGCAAAACTTGAACTGGCCACTAGAAGCCTAGCTGGGATCTAGCTACGCACTGTATATTAATCTACGCGCTACCATCAACTTCAGATGAGCGATATGCACTGCTCAGCAATTTATTTAGAAGCCTTTTGATATATTTTACAGTCGACATTTAGAATTAACCTTGAAACGTAGGGCGTAGCTAGGCCACCCTCAATTATCGTCTGAGAAGCACGGGAGGCTAATGATGCGTATGGGTGGCGAGGAGGTGACAGACATTCCTATGCCCTGAAACCATGTACACGCTAGTAAATGTAATGAATTTTAAATCAACGGCCACCAATATCGATGCGTATGTGCCTAGGTGATGTGAGACCCAATTATTAGAACTCGGATTTGCGATATCGTCTTGCGTTATTATATGGCATCTTACGATCCTGGGATGGTTACCTATTCAAAGCATTCACGGTAGGCTTTGTTAGGCAAAATACAGGTTATCCTAAAACCTTCCTCCCGGTGCTTCCTTTTTAGTGGCGAAGATCTGGGCCAAGTCCACAATACTATGTAGCCACGACCTCTCATATTGATACGTGCTTCCTGGTCTCCGCGGGAAGCTAAGTCGTCTCGAGGAAGCCCTTCATGATTAATTGCAGTCTGGATGGAATCGGGCTGAGAAAATCCGAAGCTGGGATGCCGGAAGAACAAACTACCTTGTAGATTGGGTGTTTGACACTTACCAAAGGAAAAAAAAATTGACAAACTGGGTTGAAGTATCTAAGAGCGGGTATACACTATTTTTGCCTGCCTCTGATGAGAAAGGATCATACAACAGTTCGACCTTCAGATGTGGCGAGCCACTGTCTTTACATGCATCACATGAAGTAACTATATCAATGTTGAGAAATGGCTGCTAGCCTCCATTGTCCAGGCTTCTTCACTTCCCCAGTTTCACAGGTAGTCCCCGGAATCGGTGTATTTACCCCGCCTTTTTCCGTATACCGGGGTGGGTATTTTAGTGGAGTCGCCTTCCCATAGGCCGTAGAACGGTCGGATCGACAAAGCAATTCCTGTAACTAGCCCAAAGCCAGGAAAATCTTTTGGGGTTAGAGTTCAGAAAGATAGCTTTTTGGCGAATGCCGACTAATTATTTGACAATCTATACTCTAAACATAGACTGTGGATCTTTTGACGTGGATTGAGTTCTTGGGCTACCCAGCCGTCAGGTTTTCTATAAGAGTTGAACAGTCCATTCGACTTTTCTTCTGGTATCGTCGTTGATGCAGTGATCTGATATCTCATTCGACCCTGAACAGTTACTCTTGATTCAATCCATGCCCCTTTGCTTGCCTATTTATTTCTAGAAAATCTGTCTACCTCAAACTCGAACAAAATGGGTCGGTTTAGAAAAGCCATAGAAAAGATCCAAGCCCCCACCGAGCCTGGGCTTTCAACAGCCCAGCTCATGTTGGTAAATGACGACCTTAAGCCAGGTAAGAAGATACAAATCAACAAACCGCCACCTCTCGCGCATTTTCATGTTCATATTCAATATAATAAAATATTCACTCGCAATTCGCATGCTAATTTAATTTTTCGAATAGTCGACCCAGAGCGCCGTCAATGGAGATGGCTCAATTTCGTTGCCTTTTGGATCGCAGATTCATTGAACGTTGTGCGTATCTTCCCATTGCGCTTTGAGTAAAAGATAGAAATCCGACCGGGTCGGATTTCCTAGCATAGAGGGTGCATTGGGGCTTTTAAAAACCACTCTAACCTCAGCCTCAGAATACCTGGATGATTTCGTCCTCCATGATAGTCGATGGCTTATCCTGGTGGCAATCATGGCTATGCGTCTGGATTGGGTATAGCATTGCTGGCCTTTTTGTCTGCTTGCTCGGCCGAATCGGTTCGATTTACCGTATCCCATTTGCCGTGGCGAATCGTTCATCCTTTGGGATTTGGGGTTCTTTCTGGCCCATCCTCAATCGCGCGTCTATGGCGGTCATATGGTATGGAGTACAGGTAAGCTTCTTCACCCTCATTCTAACTCAAAATATGATACTAACTAAAAGTCCCTGCATAGACATATCTTGGAGGTATGTTCTTCGACTGGAGCCGCTTAGTCATCCATGGATCAAGAGCCACATTGGTAGTAGATAGTAGTTAGTAGTGACTGATGCTAACCTTGGAAATTTTCTAGGTGAATGTGTCACATTAATGATTCGGGCAATCTGGCCAAGCTACAATAATCTGCCCATACGATACCTGCAGGTGCAGGTGTGACTACTCAGCAGTTCGTGAGCTTCTTCTTGTTCTGGCTGGGCTCGCTCCCTGCCCTATGGTTCCCAATCTACAAGATCCGACATCTGTTCACCGTGAAGGTAAATCCATCTCTCTCTTCTGCCACTACTTCTTCGCATTTTGCTTGAGCTGACATACTCCAAAGGCTTACTTTTCTCCGGCCTGTGCCTTTGCATTCTTTGGTTGGGCTATTGCTCGTGCGCATGGTCTGGGGCCAATCATCACGCAATCCAATACTGTACAAGGTAGCACTCTCGCATGGGTGTTTATCAAAAGTATTATGAATTGTATTGCGAACTTCGCTGCCCTTGTCATTAACAATCCGGATTTCGCTCGTTACGCTCGAAAGCCACAAGATGCTCTATGGCCACAGCTTATAACAATCCCAGTCGGCTTTGCTATAACATCATTTATTGGCATCATCGTCTCCTCTTCGTCAACGGTTATCTTTAATCAGCCGGTCTGGAATCCGTTAACTTTGCTAGGGATGTTCCTGAGAGAATGCAACCTCGGCGGAACGATTCGGTATCTTCGTTATTTCTAGTGGCTTCGCATTGGCTCAGTTAGGAACGAATATCGCCGCTAATTCAGTATCTGCTGGTACGAACCTCACTGCGCTTCTTCCTCGTTTTTGTACGATTAGAAGGGGTGGCTATTTCTGTGCGGCTATTGGTCTGGCCATGTGTCCTGTGAGTTACGTTCGAAATGGTGGTTTTGTTTGGGAAATGTTTTAATAATTCTTGTTTCTTAGTGGACCCTGGTTGCATCTTCGAACAACTTCACTATCTACCTCTCTGCCTATTCTGTTTTCCTATCATCTATCGCCGGAGTGATGGCTAGTGACTACTTTTTGGTCCGCAAGGGTTATCTTGATATCGAACAGCTCTATAGCGCAGACAAGAATGGCCCTTACTACGGTATATATGGGGTTTCGTGGCATGGTTATGCCGCCTACTTCTGTGGTATCTTGATCAATATTGTTGGATTTGCCGGAGTCGTTGGTGCAAATGTTCCCGCTGGCGCCATCTATATTTACAACCTTAACTATTTCACCGGATTCATTGTCTCAGCAGGAGTATACTGGATATTGGCTACGCTCGTCCCTCTTCCATTGACTAGCAAGTCTTGGAACGAGATCCCTTACGAAGTGTCACCTCTATCCGATTTGGAACTGAAGAAACAGGGGGTGGAAGGAGCGGAGCACATGGAGAATGTTTAATTAGTCTAGATCTGGGGCGACAAATTGATCGCTCAGATCAATTTCAAACAACTTGTCAATCATGATCCATTTGCCAGAAATACAGTATCGACTTCTAATGAATTAGGTACCAACTGCAAACAAGTAGCCAACTACCAATCTAGAATCAGCCCTTTAAATCCCAATTAAAAGCTCGAGGATGATTTTAACATCAGGATACTAAGACACTATTTAAGACAACTTCTGGCCAATTCAGAATGATTTCGTACCAAATCATTTCATCAAGATTGAGATGAGCGGGTCCCCCATGAGGCTTAAAGCAGGATCCCCCTTCAGTCGTCATAACTCCTTTTGTGGTCAGCGGTCTCAGCCTTCAATAGTCTCTCTGGGGCTATACTTGGTCTCCGCGGAAAGGATATGAGGCCTTTGTTAAGGTTTGATTTATCGGCAGAGTTGTTCGCCTGTTAACAATAATCTGACAGTGAACTTCTCATACGAATTTCCATCGAGTAATGGATAGATAACGCTGCGGGGTCTGTGTCATCATTGCCGATGGATTGCAGTTTCTATCGAGTAATTATCGAGTAGCAGTGCCGCACTCGTATTACAATACTGCGCGCACCCCACCTGGCGGTGAGGGTGCGCGTCACAATTAGAACAATTGTCAGAATTAGAACAAATTGAAACTATTTACAACGTTTTTCAACGCACTGGATTTGAATCGAACCAAAAAAGTAATCCACCCTCTCGGGCAGCTTTTTCCGCATCTAATGATGCCTGCTTTGCCTGTGAAACCTCTGTTGCTGTTGGTTGGTTGAGCTTGTGGCCTATTCGTTTTGCAGCTTGTTTTGCGACCTTTGTTGCTTCCTTCTCCTTTCTGGCTTTAATTGAGTAGTTGGCATCACGTACACTCAGTATATTAGAGCCAGAGAGTGGCTTTACCTGTCGCTTGTGAAACTGGCGTTGTAGAGGACGACGTGCAGCTGATATACGACGAACAATATCTTTGGTTAATGCTGCGTGTTCTATGATAACACCCTGATGTTTCAGAACTCGATTTAACCCTCGCTGAAGCTTTGGGGATATTCTCTCTTTTCTGAATAGCTTCTCCAGCTTCCGATGATTCCTTTTGGCAGCTTGTATTGATTTTGGAGGTGAATTCTCAATACTGGATGATCCAGGTTCAGGAGGAGGTGGTGTATGCTCTTCTCCGTGTAGTCGTAGCTGAGATGTATCGATATCAAGGTCCTCAGAACTTATTGGAAGCTTCATACGAAGCTTCTTAACAATATCTTTGCCATTGACTGGGAAAATACCACGTTCTTTAAACGAATCTCGGATAATTCGAGTGTTGAAAGTACGGGCGCGTACTCTGGTGATGACTCTCAAGAACTCTGATTTACCAGCCGGCATACCTGCAAAGTACGACATCTCATTATTAACCACCTTGAAATGCTGTTTATAAGCCAAAAAAGGCTTGCCATCAAGAGGCTGAGATATATGAGTTGTATGAGGCTCAAATGCGATTGGTAAAATCTCATATTCCTGACATTTTTCGAGGAATTCAACCGTAAGATGAGAGTTATGACCATCAAAGATCATAATACGCTTCTCATTAGGTTCTACTCGCTCTTTTGTTGCTTCCTGGAAGTGACCAAGCCACTCAAGAAGTAGTTCATCAGAAATCCAGCCATTTGGAGAGACTGCTGTAAGTGTACGTGGTGGAAGGCCCTCGCTGTTGTCATACCAAACTTCTTGGAAGGTGGTACCTTTGAAAACGAACAACGGGTCCATAAACCAACCATCTGCAGCAATACACTCTAGAGCAGTAATAGTCTCTGAATGCTCGTTTTCTCCAAGATCAGGCCCTCCTTCCTGCCCTATCACTTTTCGATTCTTGCCTTTTCCTGGTTGGAAACCACATTCGTCAAAGTTGTATACCAACCGTGCTGGGGTATTCTTTTTGATCACATTTTTCAGCTTCATATACCACACATCGAGCTTCCATGCGTCCTCTGCCTTAATACGCTTATACTCCTTCGTTCTCTGCTTCACTGGCGATAGTTTCACATCCTCTGGCAAACGCTTAATAAAGCGATAAGCCCAGCGATCGCCTAAGATATGATCTGAGCCTGCGCGAACTAACGAGAGCTGCGCCATCTCATGGAGCAACGCCGGGGTTACTGGCATATGATATTTGTTCAATTCTACAATCCACAGAATCAAGGCTTCCTCCTGAGTATTATCAAGAGCTCGATTTTCAGGTTTTGGTGCTGTACGAGGCTGTTTACCCTGGCGGATGCGTCCCCGCAATACCCCATATGAAACACCATATTGCCTCGCGATTTGCGACAAATTCGGGTTTTCAAGGAGACTGGCGGCTTCGCAAGCCTCAGCCACACGAGATTCGTCAATTTTGGGTCGATACGGCATAATGGTGGATGGTAATAGCTTCACGAAGGCTGGTTGTGTGAATTTGTTCTAATTCTGACAATTGTTCTAATTGTGACGCGCACCCTCACCGCCAGGTGGGGTGCGCGCAGTATTGTAATACGAGTGCGGCACTGCTAATTTATCCGAGCTAAAACTTTAGCGTGTTGCTTGGCGTTGGGGTCAGGGGATAAAAACAGCCAATCGGCAACCCGGGGACAACTAATCACCAGACGACATCGCTCGCCTCGGCTCTTTCTTTCATTCATGTTTTTTGAAAGGGGCCTGTAGCTGCAGATACTCTAGCAGGCCACGCTAGCTTTAAGATTATGTACAAATGGCGCTATTAAGCCATCACGCACTACGTAAATGCACCATGGTTCGACCTCTGCCAAGCAACAGCCCCGGGCTCCTGATTTACCCTCTCCTTATGTAGTATCTCCAGCATCTCAATTGAAGATGCCAATGGAAATTTTCAAGTTACAATTATTATTGCTTTCTTGCTGGAAGCCCCTCGGCTATAAAATGGTACTTAGGCTAGCTCCGCATTTGGGCATCCCGGCGTGCGGGTGGGGATTTGTTGAATTTCAGGATCGAGTAATGCATTATTATGCCCATCTGCCCATCATTCAGGCTCTGGAATCCACCAATGGCTTTGAAAAGCTCTGCCGACAAGTCCTGTAATGGGACTTCAAAGTTTATGCTTGGTTCTTCTAAAAATCATGCGGGATGTTATAATAATCCAATGGCGGGTGTTCAGAACTTCCCAGTAATATTTCTTAGATACATTTCAAGCCCCGTGGGCTATACCAGAATTCTATCATCGCTTTAGAAAGGTCTACAGCAACTGACAGCGTATATTCCGGATAGCTTAATCAGTCGAGATCTACTCAAGCTCCGGTATGAAGTGGGTTGTCAAAATCGGAACAACAGACCCTAACACCTGGGCAGTCCGCTGCATTATTTTGTACCGTTCATAAAACTCCATAGAGTGCTTTCCATGACAATTATATTTCGGACGATTCCGATCCATTCCCGGGAAATGATATCAAGAAAGTCACTATCTCATCCTCTACCATTAGATTCCCGGGTAGGTACCATGATACGAGTATAACGCAGCTCCTGGGTCCCGCTACGGACCCCGAAGACGGGGTCTCTGGGGACCAATAGCGCCCGTTTAATTCCGTGACATTGTTTAGATAGAACAATAAAGAAAGTAAAATAAAACAAGGTTCTAAAATTTCGTTTCCGAGAGGATCGCACGGGTCCGATATCTTGTGGGCGGACATTCCGTAACTGATTTTTGGGGGGCCACGCGGGCCGAGTCGCCCTTCTTAGACCACATAGTGGTTGTTTTCGAGCAGCACCACCAGAAAACAAAAATCGTTTATATAATATAATTTATTTGATAGCTCTTGGGCTTATACCCGATGTATGCCCTGGTAGTACTGCGAGAGCTATGCAAAAGCACGGTCTCAGGCCAAGGTATGCAACCAAGCTTCCATCGGGCGTGATACCTCGACATCCTGTCGGTATCAGAAACAATGTGGAGAATTAATTGACTTTCCGAGTACCCAAGCTGGTAAGGCTATAGTCTGTAGCTCAGATATTCTCGCATTGATCAACAAAAGTCGATATTACCCGGGAAACCAATTGGAATGCCCCGGCGCCACGAAAGAGATGTCCTCATACTATAGGTCAATGTCATGATCAAACTATATGAACCCATAGCCTAGCCAACTAATCCTTCATTCAGAGCGCTTTTCAATTCAAATATAATTCTCTCAATTTTCAAATTTGATGCTTTTTTCGAGAACATGGGTCTGAAACCGTTTCTTGGGCTTCGAGGAAATGCCCTCCTCCACGCAACCCTCATGCTAGTTGTGTGTCCTACTTTTACTTGCTATGGATATAACATGAGCGTGGCAGGTGGTTTGCTAACACTTACGGCTTTCAACAATCAATTTCCCAGCATTGACACACTTCATACAACCGGAGAGGTCCAACAGAAGAATTCCCAGATACAAGGTCCGTAGCGCACTGCTCCGTGGTATTGATTTCGATTTCGATTTCCTGACTCCAGTGCTGATATTGTCCTTTTTACTAGGTGTCGTTATGTCACTCTTCACTGTCGGCGGTATCTTTGGGGCCCTCTCATGCGTATTTTTCGGCGATCGTTGGGGCCGCCGGAAAGTGATTTTTATATCGAATGTTATAACTATCATCGGCGCCATTCTCATGGCAACTTCCTTCTCACTTGCCCAGTTTGTCGTTGGCAGACTAGTTCTCGGTGTAGGAATTGGAGGATACGTCGCGACGGTTCCTGTCTGGCAATCCGAAATCTCACCAGCGCATATGCGAGGTTCCAACGTGGTTATTGATGGAATTTTCGTCGGAAGTGGCGTTGCCCTTGCTCTATGGGTTGATTTGGGATTCTTTTTCGTGAAAGAAAGCTCCGTCTCCTGGAGATTCCCTCTGGCCTTCCAAATCATTTTCTCTATTATCGCAATTATCTTCATTACGATGCTTCCCGAGTCACCGCGATGGCTTATCAAAAAGGGCCGAGTGGAAGAAGGACGACAGGTTTTAGCCGCATTACTCGATGTCGAGGAGCACTCCGATATTGTGAACGATGGCGTATACGATATTGAATCATCACTTTCCCACTGTGGAACAGGGTCGTGGAAAGACATGTTCACTAACGGAGAACAACGTCTCTTCCATCGCACATACTTGGCCGCCACGGGCCAAATGTTCCAACAGATGTGTGGTATCAATGTCATAACATTCTACGCAACGACCATCTTCGAGCAATACCTCGGAATGAGTCCCGTGAATGCCCGTATTATCGCTGCGGCCATGCCTCTCACACAACCATTTGGTGGCTGGCTTGCCTATTACACCATCGACCGCCTCGGTCGTCGACCTTTGCTCATATGGAGCGCCGTAGCCTTGGCCGTTTGCATGGCAGGACTTGCCGGTTGTACATCGCCATCCGCAGCCAACAATACAGCTGCACTAGCCATGGCTGTGGTTTTCCTCTACTGTTTCCAATTCATCGCGACAATTGGGTACGCCGGCCTGACGTTTTTGTATGCTGCCGAGATCGCGCCTTTGCAGATTCGCGCTGCTGTCAACGCGATCTCTACCGCTACCGTGTGGTCGTTCAACTTCCTCCTGGCCGTGATAACTCCAGTCGGCTTTGCCACGATTGGTTACCACTTTTACATCATATTCGCTATTATCAATGCTCTTATGGCGCCGAGTGTGTATCTGTTTTTCCTGAGACGAAGGACCGTTCGTTGGAGGAGATCGATGAAATCTTTGCGCAGTCGAAGAATATCTTCGATCCGCCTCGCGTGGCGCGTGCGATGCAGCGGAAAATGCAAACAGTGCACATCGGCGACGTTCATCCTGAGTCTGGAGATATTGTCGAGATCAAAAAGGATGCTCTTCAGATGGATGTGAAGGCTTAAGAAAGTCCGCTGTGTGGCAATGAGGTTCTGAGGTTGATGATGGAAGTTTCAACTCATGCTCAGATGCACTACTGATATCCGCGAGCATTTCACCGACCAGCTCTAGTCCGCCACACCTCTCCCGAAATATTTCAGTGCTAAAAGAGTAGGAGATGTCTCACCATTACCCCTGTGATGAGAGTTTTCGAGGTACTACAGTAGATATTAGATTCGAGAAGGTCTCCGCCGATCAAATATAAACACGATTAGAATCAATTTTCTCCGCAATTCTTCGCGGCACCCGAACTGCCCGTCCAGTAAGCTCCGAATATTCAGAAAAAGACACCCAAAAAACCAAATAAATTGTGCAATGCAAGAAAAGCAAAAAAGCAAAAAGAAACTCTCCCTCGGGGAATCGAACCCCGGTCTCCCGCGCTTATCGGTGTTAATGACAAGCGGAAATCATGACCACTAGACCAAGGAAGATGAAAATAGTCGAGTTACTGCTCGACCACTTGGGGGTGGTTGATGTGGCAGATCAACTAATCATGTTTCAAATTTATTACAACATTTTCCAAAATATACAAAGTGAAGTAAATCTATTCGTAAAAAAGCCAATTCTATCATGATCCTATACACCCAACCTACCTTTTCATTCTATAAATTCGCCCCACCCAGTCCAGATGAATTACCGGTCGGCGACCACCATCCCTCAAGATCACCGAGATCAGGAAGCATACCGGGATCATTGGTGAATTGCGGTACTGCCATTGCGTTTATGGCGTTGAGGTCGGAGTGATAGTTCCAATCGAGGTCATCGGACGACGGGACGGTAAAGGGATGTTGTTGTTGCTGCTGCTGATTATAAGGAGACTGGTTCTGCTGAGAAGGATTTTTTTGATGAGTCTCGAAAGATGCGTTTCCAGCAGAAGGCGCAGTCATGGAAGCCTGTATCTGCTGCGATTGAGAAATATCAAGATTATTTGAGAGGCGCGATTTCTTCCGCAAGGAATCAGATGCGAGACCATCATGCCGACTTGAGTCACGAGTCGATGAATGTTTCTGTGAGTCGAGGGAAGCAAGATTCGCGCTGCTTAGATGTCTCTTTGAAGCTGGGCCTGATCGATGCATATGAGCTTGCCAGCGTCGTTGAAGGGTAACGAGGAAGTCCCTGGTGCGTTTCGCGTTTTCAAACGACTGGCCCAGCTCATCGAGGGCGCGGAAGCAAAGGTTCAGATAGGCGACCATTTCGGCATTGCGAGGGTGTGGTTGGCTGATTTCGCCGGGTTTGCTGGGCATAAGTGGGGAGCTGGAGACGGTGACGAAGAGGAGCATCAGTGCAGCGCTGAAGATTATTGCCACGACTTGATTGTTCATTCGGCGGAAGGAGTAGTGCTTTTCGTAGATGTGGAGGAGTCGGGCGATGGCGGTGGCTGATTCGACGCACATGCGTCTTGCGTGATGGTAGCCTGGTCCCTGGCGGGGGCTGCGTGGTTGGATGTAATTCTTGGATACCCATGGTCGATGGAAGAAGATTATGATTTGATGGTATTGCATACTGCGAGACTAGTGAGCATTTTGATGCAGAACGCGTTGGGTTCTAGTCAATTGTTTACTTACTGGAGTATTAACAGATGGGGTAGTCGCGGTGTTGCATCGTCATCAATATCGAGCTGGAGAGTAGATGGCAAATTCGTTTTCCAGGCGAAAAGGTCTTCTGTCACTTGGAATGTGATTCTTTGCAAGTCGTGTCGGGATATATCCGAACAGCCGTACCTGGGAACCTCGGGTTAGATATAGGCGAGACCCAATATATGTTGGTGCCACTCACAAGATGTGTCCTACGGGAGAGATCATCTCCCAAAAGAATGACGAACTGCCGGCAAATCAGTTCAGTGGTGTCTCTGAGACCGTCTCCAAGAGGATCCGGTGTTTTCGGGAGTCCGTATGGGTGCCAAATGGCGTCTTTATCCGCCCCGATCGTGGCAGCAGGTTTCGGGACAGTAATGTCTCCCGCAGTCATCCGGAATGGTCGGCCCAAGTAGAAGCCCCAAAAGCTGTAAGAATAAGTATACGTATAATCGGATGATGAAGATAAATGTAAAACTCACTGATCAGCGACATAGCTGCCCCAAAAAGCTGTTCGTCGAACGTCCGCCTCGTGGGCGCTAACTTCACCATTATTCACATAGGTCGTCATATCTAAATGCAGTCCAAGATCAAATGCAAGCCGCATCGACATCCCTATTGATTGATTAGAAAATAATCCTCGAATACAACATCGAATGCCACTTACCGCTATAAAGCCAGCCACGAGCGTCACGGTTAGATGCACCCTCGTGGCAACTCAAAAGAACGAGTGCCTGAACCGTCGCAACACAAGGTGTGTCTAGTTCAATTTCTAGAAGAGCCTTTGCTCGATCTGCGAAAAAGTCGGCCAACGATTTAGGAAACGTGATAAATGTGGGATGGTAGCGCGCTTCGAAGGCACTTCCGATTGCGCACCTATCGCACAGTTAGCATTGAACATTATCCCCAAAGAGGACAAGATGAATGGGATACTGACATCGCATTCGTAAGAACCTCCGAGTAGAATGGGGTATCGTCATATTCTTCCCGCCATTTTGTTCGCGCCGTCATGTACATCCCCTTATCAACGACGTAAATGCTAGGATTTTGCCAAGTAAAAAACAGCTCAACCAGGTGATCCTCCAAGGCCTGATCAACCGGCTGACCAACGCGAAGATGATTAAGGATATCCTGGCCATCATGACGCACGGTTCGCGCATCGGGCCGTTGCCGCTGCTGCGTCGCAGAAACATCGACGAGATTAAGATTCGAAGTGGCGCCATAAAAACGCAAATGACCATCGCCGGCGATTTTCAAAGTCCCGATGCGATTGGACAATTGCTCAATCACGTCGCTCTCTGCTGGGTTTTCCTCGTCACTGTCGGAATCATGATCCTGGTGCGATAGATTCGTCGGCGCCTGACCCAGTAAAACGCCTGGTTGTTGAACCATGTCCATGCCGAGTTGGAAAGTGTCCGGGCTAAGATCTGTGTTGGCCATCATCCCTGACCCCCCGTTGATATTCGCGTATATGTTCTCCAGGCTTTCCGCGTTGGGTAGGGTGAATCCCCAATGTACAAAGTTTTGGTTATCAGGCGCACCCCGCACCATACCGTAAGGGTTCCAGGGTTCCACAGAGGGAGAAACCCCGGTTTGTTGGTTCGCGACGATGCTGTGCGAAGGCGATAAGCTGGAATTCTCTTTTTCGACTGAGGGTTGGGACTGCCCGGGCTGAGCTGTTTGTGGTGGGCTTGTTGTCGGGGATGGCCTGGAGTGAAATGGCGGGCTTATCTCGTCTGCTGATTTTTGGTCACTTGTAGAAAGAGTCGTATTCTTTGCGACTCCGCGTGGAATTTGTAGAGTGTCTAAGACTCTGTTCATACCGGCCTCATCTTCTAGATCCATCGGAGGGGGCACTAAGCCTTGATCCTCGATGAATTGGCATAGCTGGTCGATTCTGGCTGAAAAGAGCTCCGTGGCAGCTCTTAGAGATACCCTGTAGGGCCTGTCAGCTCTTACACCTATGCCAGAGGCATGTATATGGCCACATGGCTTTTCTCCACCGCCATTTTGTTTCAGTCTGGGGAACGTGAAGAAAATAACTTACTTCCGCTTGTCGTCGCCATGCTGGTACTTGCATTCCTTGCCCTTTCGTTCACAGTTCTGACAATGCGGCATGGAACCGTCACACTGCAAGATCCGACTCGACATGTTAAATTTGCGCCGATCTCCTTAGGCTCAAGATTTAGGCTCAGGGAAGTGCTGCAGGCTTACCCTGATTTTGCTTTCCCGGCAAGGGACACAGGCGGTCGTAACATGCTTCCGCGGCGTCTTTTTGGGCTTCTCGGGGTCCGGCGACATGGTTGGAATGCTGTTCCTGCGTCTGTTCTCTTCTTTTTGCGGGGAGGATTTCGATGGCGAAAGATAGACCGTGGGGGTTGGCGGTTGTTGCGCTGGGCTTCGAGCTGGGGGGATGCGGTTGCTGCGGTCGCCGCTGGAATTGATGGAGCGTTTCAAGTCATTTCGAGTCAAGCCCCGGTATTCATATTCATGAGCAATCGGGAAACGTGTTCGAGTTTAAATGCGAAATTCGTATGGAGTAGCGAAATGTTCGTCTGGGGGGCGGGGGAGGGAAAGCTTACTCCACCTCTTCAGCGCGCCCGCCTATGAGATGCGCGGGGGATAAGCTGGGCCCCAATTCGGTCTGTCCGGCTGATCGCAATGCCTCCGAGATGGCCAATGCGGGCCGTCATGGTCGGGAGAGGTTTGAAAGGAACCGGGTTTTATGGGCTTGGGACATATATTTCACCTCCGATTGGAAGAAGTCGATCCCGCACATTGGCAGTCACTCGTTCAGTTGAATTTTTACTTATATATACCACTTGTAGTTAAGTTACATGGGCACTTCACCAGTTGGAGGTGCGCTTGATCCGTTCATTTTGGATCACCTCAATCCAATATCCATCAGGGTCCAGAATGAAGGCGATGTTCTTCATCATGCCATCGGTGAGACGCTTCTTGAAAGGTACCTTGAGAGATTCGAAGCGATCGCATGCGCCTTGAAGATCGTCGGTGGAGATGCCTAGGGAGGAACACTGTAAGCAAGAGGATAGAAAAGAGAAGAGATAGTTTTGGCAAAGCAAAGCGGCACGGTGACTTACAGATATGACCGAAGCCCTGGGGCGCGGTGTTGCCGTTGTGATACACGGGACCATCCTGCTTCTCGGTGCCATAATTCCAAGTCAATTCCAGCAGTCCCTCCATGTCCGAGGTTTTGCCGTCCGCGGGGACCTTTGCATAAGCCAGGAAGTACAGATTAAACTTGGCATCCGGGTTCTCGACTGTGCGAACCAAGGTCATACCCATAGACTCTTGGTAGAATTTGAGACTGGCCTCGGCATCCTTGACACGCAGCATGGAGTGGTTCATGCGGTAGGTGCCCGGGTCGGTGGTGGTGGACAGATTCTCCTCGGCCCGCTTAATGATCTCGACCCAGTATCCATCGGGATCCTTCGCAAAGGCGATGTGTCGCATGCGACCCTCGGTCAACTTCTTCTGAAACGTATATCCGGCATCCTCGATCCGCTTGCAAGCGACTTCGATGTTGTCGACGGAGATGGCGAGATGGCCGAAGCCTCGGTGTGGCTCGGTGTTGCCGTTGACGACACTGTACTCGGGGTCGTTCTCGGTACCCCAATTGTGGCAGAGTTCGACGGTACCTTGGAGATCGGTAAAGTGGCAATCTCCATTCAGAGACTTCGGGCCGGTATAGGCCAGGAAGTAGTTTGTGAACTTTCCTTCCGGGACATCCATCTTGATGACCACGCTCATACCGAGGAACTTGTAGAACTCCAACGATCGCTGGGGGTCCTTGACCCGCAACATCGTGTCTATATTTCATGGCGATTAGTGATATGAGGGGGTATATTAAGCGATGTAATGCGACGAGAGAGGTGAGAGAGGAACGAACGGTTCAACTTATAGGTGGAGGGATCGGAGGCCATGGTGAAGGATCGCGCTGCATCTTGGTCAGTGATTGGGTCCAGATCAAGATCTGAATGTGGAGCCGGGGGGCATAAGCATACAAGCACCTGTGACAGGGACAACAGAAAGTCTGGGGAAACGGAAAGGAGTGAGGACCCTTGAAGATAGACGGGCGAACATGGTGGGAGGAGGGGGAGAGTGGGAGGGGCAGCATTAGAAAGCAAAAGCCCGTGAGGAGAAGAGTGGGGGCATGACGCGGTGGAGGATCTTACATAGGCAGCTGCAGTTTAACTACGATATAGTTATAATTATAGTTATAGGGTAATTATAATTATAGCTATAGCTATAGCTATAATTCATATAAAATAATTCACTGATATAGATCAGTATAGCATGCCCAACTGGGCGTACCTATAGCTAATAGTTAACCAGTAAGCTGTTTAGGTAGTGCTGCAGCTGTAGCTCCGCCGCGGCACCACCACCGCACCACCACCATCAGCACCTCCGCCCGTCTTCTCCCCTCTTCCTCTTTCCTTCTCCTCTCCTCTCCTCTCCTCCAACCTCCAACCTCCAACCTCCAACCCTCCCCCCTCCCCTCTCCGTATTGGCCAGGTAAGTCTATATTTTCTTTTTCTTTTGCTTATTCTTGCCCTTTCTTCATTCGTCCATTCCCATACCCATTATCCCCTTCCCTCGTGGCCTTCGTTTGCCTTCCCTGCACTCCACAAGTCGTGCGCCCCCGCATCCACCGTTGATCGCCGCGTCTCTGTCATTGGCCTCCAACCCTTCCCCGGCTTCGTGTCTCTCCCTGGCACAACCTACGACGCTCCTGGGCCCTTTTCTTTTCTTTTTCTTCAATTCTTTTACTTTCCGCGCTTAGCTGTCAAACATACGACTGCTGCTCAATCGCACCTCCCCCAATCATAACTCCCCTCGTCAACACGTTCTCGTTTTCTCACTCCCCCCCCCGGAAGGCAATCTGCACGATGGCCCTGGCGCCTCTGCCGCGGAGCCTCGCAGCCTCGCAGCCTCGCAGCGCACCTCATGACTGCAGTCCTACCCCGACGCTTGCTATAAATTATCCTTCTCCCTCCGAGCTGGTCCTGTGCCACCCGGACACGGCGGGATTCTTTTATGACTTGTCATCTGGACCGGCCCGTCCTGCATTCTATCGATGCAAATCATCACCCCGTCGTCTCCCTCCTTCCTGTGTTCCCCTGCAAGCCCGCTATGATAACACTGCCCTCGTGCCCCCTGTTCTTTGATATTTGTGCCAAGGCAAGGGACGCCTGCGCCTGTCGCGTGCCCTTTTTTCCTCATGGGTCTCAAGATGGCTGAATTCGAACCCTTTCCAGTCTCCAACTTCTTCAACAAATCAGACCTCCCCTCCCATACCGACCCCCCATTTATTCCCTACTGGGCCCGGTGCCATACACAGCGCGCACAAAATCTCCTCGACTGTACCGACGAACCGATCGAATACGACCACGACGACGAGGACTACAGCGACAACTGCTTCTTTTTTCCAGAAGACTGCTCGTGGACACCTCCGAAAGAGTCGGTTGTTGAAGCGCATTTCAAAGCCCTCAAGGAGAAATCCGATATCCCAGTGGTAGCACCCACGCAGAACATCCCAGACGCTACCGGCAACATGATTCCTGGGCTTCCTGATATCAAGATGCTCGACTCAGAGGCGCTAGGTGACTTGCTGGAAGACAACCTTTCCCCGCCAGAGATAACCACGATTCTGTAAGTATCTGCTACCCTACCTGCAGCTTAAGATTTGTTCAAAGCTCAAGTTTTTTTTTCTCGTACAGCGTATTCGCAACAAACGGTGCTGTCTTCGCCTACGGATCTACCCTTTCCTCTCGCCAACTACGAAACCTTAGCGCCACATACGGTGCTGCCTACACGTGCTACGCAAAGACCGCCTCCAGCGGGAATCTGACTGGTGTGAACCCCGCTAGCCATCCGTCCTCCTACGTAACAGCCCAGTCCATGTCCCTCGGCGACGTAGGCTCAATTGTTTTCGAGCTTGACGACTCGGTAGCGGTGGTAACACGTATTGCTGACAAGGTTCTGCTGGCTGCCGTTGGCCCTTCTAAGCCGGAGGCTGGTGCGGCAAATGGAGCTGGCGAGAATATCGGCGGAGACGGAGCCATATCCGGCGACCTAAGCAACGGCGCTACTTCGGACAGCTTAGGGGACGGCCACCGCACTCCAACAGCACCACCCTCTCCCAACCCACTGCCGCGCGATGGAAATGAGACGCAGCATGAGATAGATCGGAGTGCAGATTTGGCCCGGCTTGCAAGCTTAAACCTCTCCGCCTCACCTTCTGTCCTGCTTGCCCTTGAGTCGAAGTGCGCGGCACTGGGCAGATTCCTCGGGTCAAAACTCGACGACTTAGACAGCCCAGAGGACTTCTAACAACGATGAAGTAATGGCATGGTGATGACTGGTGGTCCTGGTCTGATATTTGTGGGACGTAATGTTTCAGCGAGGCATATTTTACGAACCTGAGCGAATTTATTCACGATGAATTGACGACAACCTGAAAAATTGAAAATTTCAAGTTATTTGCTGAATCCAGTTGATGGGGCGAAGTTTAGGCTAATGTACAGACCCAAAGATGCGATTCCAACCCTCATCAAATGATGGCAACTAAGCAACCTTCGTCCCGACTTGTAAATGCGTGTCTTTCTATAGACCGTAGGACAGGCACAGGTGCCTATGTACTAGCAACTATGCAAAGCCTATAACGTTTGCAAGCCCCCACGGAAGCACGGCATCTACTAACCTGGCGGAATGTCAACTTTCTCCCTCCCGCATCTCGCATTCAATCTGCTGCTGCTGTCGAGGCGCATCCCACATGTCACCTAGCTGAGTTCAAGGATACTAAATCGCGTCACCCCTCGTACTGCTCCACAATATTGGCAGTCGCCAGCATGGAGAGCGACCCGGAGGAAGTCTTTAGGACTAAACTCTATGAATTAGCGTCAGCCAGTTGCCTGGGGAATGAGCAGACCCCGTTGACTGCGAACAGACTCGAGTCTACCACCGAAGCAGGCCAATTCAATCTGGCTTTGTTCCTTTCAAGTTGAAGTTTAATCACGGCTTTGAAATAAGTCGAAGCTGGGGCACTCAAGGAGAGCGAGGGGACCCATGTCAAAGAAACTCTTCCCTTTGTTCGTCATACCTTTGGACAATAAGTTAAATATTGCTGAGACGAGTCGTGCTTGGAAACAGTCCCATCTGTTTGACTATATTATTTATTTCTACCAGCTTCGATATCACTCAACATGCCTCGCCAGCCTGCAAAGAAGCGCAAGGAGCAACCCGAGCCCGAGGCTGAGGACCCGTCCGAGGTTGAAGCCCCGTCAGAGGCCGAGGACGGACCCGAAGCCAATTGGTCCCCCTGGGATCCAACGGAGCGCAAAGTGCTTGATATTCGTAAGCTGGACCTCAACAAATCATACCACAATGAGAATCGACCCAGGTCAAACTTGACCAAGGTCAAAGTCGGCCACACAACCTCGAAGCCCCCGCCGGAACGGCAACGATGGCAGCATACCGGCAAAAAGCCCATCGAGAAGGTGGAAGATCTACCCAAGGGCTGGCATGCGACTGAGCCGGATCTCGATGAAGAGTAAGCTTGTGTGAATATCTGTTCTAGCCCAGATACTAATTAATGGATTTCTATTTTTTAGGGACCTCAGTGGCCAGATTGCAAGGTGCCATGAAAGAATCGAGGACAAGGTCATGCCGAAGTTCTTCAAGGAAAAGCTAAAAGGCCTTCAAGCTTCCAAGGCATATTACGAGTAAGCAACTTCCCAATTTGAGTCTCACTAGAGGCATCTACTAATGAGATATTCTTTCAGCCGAATGTCCGAGAACGAGCCCGAGGATCTAAGCCAAGAGGTTTATGAAAGGATCAACTCCCTCAGAGCAATCGAAAAGGATCTCAAGAAATCGGACAAAACCCACCAACTTCCTAATGCACAGACTATTCTGCAAGCATATCTTGATGGAAAGCTGCACTGGACCCCCGGTCTGATTACCTACTGGTCGAACGGAGTCAAGTTATGCGAGCCTCGCCCATTCAACTGGGATGAATTCGAGGCGATCAACGCCGCACACGGCCGCGCCGGATCATTTTGGACTGAAGGGGTATGTCTGATATGAAAATGCATCTGTTAATTTTGAGACAAGTGAATTGATAACTGACGGATTGCTTAGCTTTCTGGTCCAGGTCCTGAATTCCAAGGTGCAACGCTAATCATCGGCTCAAGCCCCAGTGCCCTGGAAATCAACATAGTACGTGACATGCAGCCTCCATCGACAAAAAAAGACCAACACTAACATCCAACCCTTTTGTGAATAATAGTACAGAATCGCCGTCCGCGCCCCGAGTGGTGACTGGTGGGATGAACTAGAATTCGTACACGACACAGGAGCATCGATCATGCACATCTACCAACACGACATACGACGAATAATCGGTCCGCATAGACGTCAAGCAGCATCATTCCTTCCAGTAGTTAGCACGAACCAATTCCGAACTGCAAGCGGAACTATGACCCGAGACATCGTCGAGCTAGAAGTTACGCTCCTTAACCATTCGAGAAAGCGGATCCTCCCCTGGACGCGAGTCCAGTGTGTCGTTAGTTCTGACCCTTACGTAGAAGGGCTAACCCGCCGACTGGACGGGCCCTTTTTACGGGCTATGATGTACACATCGACCAGGCCTGATGGTAATTTCCATCTCACGGCATCAACTGTCAAGCATTCGAGTGTTTTTAGCAGTTTAACCCACACTATCCCATTGGGGGAGAGGGGTGTGCCAATGGCGAACTTTCCTCCCGGGCTGAAGCTAAGGGAATATTTGCGACACGGCCTCCGACTCAGCCTGAGAATGTCTATGGTTCGAAGGCTATGCCTGATGCCCATATCAGCTGGCTTGGGAGTTAATGTTAATATGCGCTTGGTCATTCTTCCAGGGTCTGTTGAATCATTCACTGTTGGAAATCTTGGGTTATGTTTAATTTCCGTCCTTTTGAGGCTCGAGTGGAACCTCGTTAAATGCTACAGCAGTCGTGCATTGCACGGGATCTTTTTCTTTCACGTTATCCTACCGAGATCAATATTCATGTCGTTGTTTTCGTTCTGCTTTTTAATTAAATGTCGTTCGATACTAGTTGTACATGGCTCGAGTCTACGAGTGGTGTGGTATTAGGGATAGAAAACTTATACTACTACCCGGTATCCTACCCAGTATCCTACCCAGTATCCTACGCATTTATATACTCACTACTTCAAATTATTATGATAAAGGAAGCTACATAGGTATAAAAGGTAGCTTTGATTACCAAGCGGTCGCAGAAATTTAACTATAGGGAACTTGGACACTAGTAATTCTGGGAAGCTGGCCACCTTGCAAGCCTGCCACTGAGCCGGTTGTCGCTACGAAGGCAGCGCAATCAACCAGTTACCGACATACCTTACAGGTTTCCAATGTTCACTGGGTAGCATATTTGATTGGTCCCTCTCATGTCCGTGGTCAGGGTCGTTGTTATGTGAGGGAACAATCATTATACGACCACACGCATGTCGGGCAGATCAGAGCAAAGTAAAAATGACCAAAAGCCCTGGAGTACCCGTGTAGTAAGAAGTGTGAAGATTCACAGCGTAATTGTAATAGATCTAGACTTAACGATAGCATCTTCAAGTCCACTAGTGTACCGTGCCTACAACTTGAACTACAGTGGAATAGTTATCTTGTGCCCAGGCCTTAGGCCACCTCATTTCAAAAAAAGAGGACATAATAAAAGTTTTACATATAAAGATACAAAAAAAAAGAAAAATTAAACGAAGGTCGAGGCCTCCGGGGCCTCCTTCGCAGCTCTCGCCTCTGCCCGCTTGCGGGCCCATGACTCCTTCTGTTGCTTGGCCTTCTTCTCCTTCTTCAAGAGGGCCTTATCCCCCTTGGGGGGCTGGTTGGAGGTTTCCTCCTCCTCCTCCTCCTCCTCCTCCCTCCTCCTCCTCCTCCTCCTCCTCCTCCTCCTCCTCCTCCCCTCCTCCTCCTCCTCCTTCTCCTCCCCCTTATCCTTCTTCTCTTCTTCCTCCTTGTTGTTGTCCTTGGCCCTCTTGGGGGCCAGGGCCTCGTCCTCCGAAGAGGGGGCAGGACGCTTGCTGTCAGGGCCGGGGGCGGAAAGTTTCTGATATAATGTGTTAACTTGACGTCAATACTAGATGACATGATACTCTTACCTCCTCGGCGAGGGCCAGGCGGACTCGCTTCGCGAAGCGGCACTGGTCAGAGGTATGGCCACATGGGCCGTGGATATTGCAGAACTACAATTATCTAGGTCAACAGTGGTCTTCGTGACACAAGATCAAACGAGATGAGATAAGAAACGCCTCCGATTCCTCGACGAAGGAAAGCGACGCAAAGCCGAACACCATGGATGAAGAGTCATGAAGCGTCACGGCATGGACACAGAGGAAAAGCATGTATCTGATGCAGGGGAGCATAAAATAGATTCACTTACAGGCATGGCTGCTGATTGGAGGGTGATGAGAGGGACAGAGAGAGATTCTGTGTGTGAGGGTGTGTGTAGGTGAGAGCGGGAGTGATACGAGAAGGTGAGGCTACTGCTACTAGTACTGTACGCTACCCCAACGTTAGCAGGCTGACCTTTAGGCTGGGAGTGGTTCGTAATGGATTTTCCTAGTTAGACCAGATTGCATTTGGGCTACTCGTCAGTCTGTCCGGATGGACTGTCGGTCTACATGTCCAAGATTTGACCACTGGAGAAATACCTAGCGTATTATATCTAGAAGTATGCAAGCAAAGCCCTTGGTAGATGAATTATTTGTTCGTTGTACGCGAAACTTTACGCGAGAAACTTGTGAATCGAGGTATCGGCTTTTTAAAGAAGACAAATTAATACCGAGTATGAATCATGAAAACGAAATACCCAGAATTTACTCCTCCTGGCCCTCCAGAATGATTAATTAGGAGGCGCATCCAACGCCGAGCATGCTGCTGTATTCCATTTCGTTTCCGTATTTCACCTGGTCCCTTTGACCTCTAGAGCCATTTGTTTTGGACTCCGGAAAACTCTCCTACCATCCATTATATAGACCCTTCGTTGTAGGCAGGATTTCTTGCTCGAGATGCATCGGTTCGACAACAGGGCATGGTGTGAAAGGTCCAGGTCGCAGCCGGCTGGCACGGGCGCCTTCAATGGCTTCGATTTGAAACGATAAAGGCTTGGTCAAGACTTGGTGATTGTAGTTCACCATCCGGATAAGAAGAATGTTGCCACTGTAGTCCAAAGTTTCGTGTCAGTCTCCATTGTGATTCGAAATCTCGGAAGGGCTTAAAAGCTTATTGTCGACCTCAAATGGAATAGCAAAAAGACTGTGGATCAAATACCGATACTCCGCAGATGCCCTTCCTCGATTGCAACCACTTCCGCCCTTGATATCGTTGGGTCGAGACATGCATTCGTCGGTCGGGGAGGCTGCGAAGGCTCTGGGCGATGGCCGGCCAGCCCGAACGGCCTAGACGGCTTCAATTGGAGACATTATGGAGTTCCATAATGATGAATGACAGTCGTTGATTATCATGATAACGAGGGGCTTGCCAGTGTAATTCGAAAAATTGATTTTTGAAATCGGAATCTCAATAGCAAGAAAGCACCATGGTGGAAGCACTCATTGCCTGCAGCTCAATCATCAAGCATGCAGGGGTGCCAGTCGAAGTAAAATTTGCATGTTTGAAAGTCTCTCCTTATACGCTTGAACGATGGTGTTGGAAATCTGGACGGGTACGTCGGGTTTCTTTGGGCTCATACGAGCAGCGTTCGCGACGCTCAGCCGGGGTATCGAGGATGGGTGTTGGATTAAATCGTATGGACCACACGGCAGCTAGTCGCAATATTTGGATCTGTATGCCAGAAAAAAGATATAATTTCATACCGTGGGACGATTCGAGGTGTATTGCGATCGTGGTAGTCGTTCCCGGCATGGGCAGTGTTCGACAGCATCCCGATTGAACAGCAATTCGTAAAAAGGTGGGAATACCGCCGAAGAGATAGCGGACCTCTCCAAAGAGAACGATTTATGATCGAGATCGCACTGCGAGCAGATGTGTAAGAAATATGGTGATTGATCGGCACAAAAATATAAACGAGGGCCAAATGATTGTTTTGATTTGGTTCTTTGACGAGAGTTGCTGGCTGGCGCAACACGATTAATGGCCTCAGGCAGCAGTTGTACATATAGCCCTAACAACTGAGAATTACTAGTACAAATTACACAATTCAACCTATCTTTTCAATGTCCTGAATTTGAATGGCACTTCATCACATGCTAGAGACGAGACATGATAATCAATTCGAAGTTCAACGGACAGAAAGTCGGAAGCTGTGGCGCTGCAAAAGTTTGAAATCCCATGTTGACCGTTTTTGTCTCCGCCTTGTAATCGCGAACTAGTAGCTACCTGAGCTGGAATAGATTGGCCTATCTCTTCCATCTCAGGTAACAAATATTTTCTCATTAGATGGCAGTAAATCATGGTGGGTAATATGGGGTTTCAAACTTTTGCAACGCCAGTGTAGGCAAGGATTGATTCTTGTCATGCATGCATAACGGTGAGCTGGCAAGCCGCAGTCCTGAGTCCTGAGGACTTCAGTATTACAGTAAATCTTCGGCAGGAAAGGCGAATAGCTCTTTGAATAGCTGTTTCGATTCAAGTGTCTTAGTATTTTTTCTACAATCTAATTTGTGTCTGGGCTTAGCCCACATCATTTCAAAAATGGGCGCAACGCAAACGCAGATACAAACAGTACAACAGCAAAATACACCAAACAGAGGCCGAAGCGTTCACACCCTCGTTCTCAACTATCCGCGTTACCTCCTCCGAGATGACGAGGCCCTTAGAGGTTGTCCCTGTAGGGAGTGCCTCTTAAAGAGAGGTGGCCGCCAGGTGGTCTGCGGTGGCTTCTACTACCAGGTTCGGTCAGTAATTTGGAGGAAGGTGATAGACAGGAATTATTCATGACTTACCCTCGGCATCCTTCTTTTCAGTACGCTTTTCAGCGCGCTTGGCGGCCCGGGTCTCCTTCTGGACTTTGGCCTCCTTGGCCTTTTCTTGGAGGGTTCACATCCTGGTACTATTTCCGGCAGGTGCGCTCCTTAGAAAAGGTGGCTGGTGGCTGACCCAAGCGTACCTTCCTTACCCTAAGCAGTACTAGTAGTGTGCTGGCGTGGTTGTGGCAGGTGCGCTCCACTGCTCCTTTATTCACATTCACTACTAGTAGTTACTATATACTACAGTAACTACTGGTAGTCGAGTACTCCTCTGCTTGGTTTCTCGTTGTTGGCTTTTCCCAGTTAGAAGCTCCGGAGAGGAATTTCCTACGATCCCTTAAATTCAATCAAAATCCAGAACCTGCCCTTCAATGGATACAGGCCCGGGGCTGTGACAGTAGTTCAAGAGAAGTCAGAGCTAGTGAAGTAATTTACACATTGTGGTTAGATTCCGCCAGCATCTCGGGGCGTATAGTTTCCCGCTACTTTAGGAAAACTGCATAACCCCGACTGAAACGGGTTGAGCCATGTCCGCCGTTTGCCTTTCATATAACGAACCCATTTCGTCGTTACCTTTCTGGCCTTGCTGCCTTGGCTGCCTACATTGAATGGCATTCACTGCGGCACTCTGTATCCATTTCCTACTCCTCCCTTTCCCTTCTTCTTCTTCTCCAAGTTCATTACTTTCTTCAAACCGCTACTGCAAGTGACCTGATATTTGTCGTATCAAGCTTGACAACCCTCACGCCATACCACAAGCAAAGTGCAAGTTCACTCCAGCCACTATTCCAAGTGATATCTTACTCTAGCTCCAAGACTTTCCAGCCATATCGTCGACTATCGTCAACCGTCGCGGGTCTCTCTTTTCTCTCTGGCAACACCGCACTCTCCAACCTCTCCTCCTCCCGAAGCATTCCCAACAATGAAACACGCCAAAGATCAGAAAGCCGAGAAAAGCAATTCTCAACTCGTCAAAGAAGCCCTCGAATCATTTACCAAAACAGCTCTCGCGGAACTGGAGTTCGACTACGACGATCTGTACTCTCGAAAGCATCACAGAAAAAGCAAGGCCACCGACGAGCAGCATGAAAACCTCCTCATAGTCGTCGAGGAAGTCTGGAGTAGCCTCAATGCATCTCTGGAGATCGATCTCAGCTCGAATCGACATATCCTTCTGGATAAACGAAGCCAAGATGCCCTCAAACGGGCCATCAAGAAGGATCAGACCTTGACCCTTGATTTCGTGACGAAGTTCATACCTACCTTCTGGATAAAGTTCGTCGACCAGCGGAAGCAGCAGGAGAAGAGAGATCTACTGAAGAAGAAGCGAGATGCACAAAAGGCGAAAGAGGAGGAAGAGAAGCAGAAGCAGGAGTAGAACGAGCACAGGGAAAAGCAGAAGCTGAAAGTTGAGCAGTGAAGCCCTGAGAGGAAAAGAGCCGGAACAATAGCAATAGCAATGGCAATGGCAATGGCAATGGCAATGGTAATGATAAAACTGGTTCCTTGTTCTTGAAGGGAGAGCCTAAGCTCTGCTTGACTCAGATACAGTCACCCTCAATCGCGATTTGTGATCAATTGTTGTATCCATTTACATAGCTACAATATCGTCCTTCTGAAAAGAGGTAATTTCCCCTTTCGTTTAGGAATAGCTCATATATTGTTGGGAAGCTTGCGATCCTTAAGATAATCGGAATTATGACGCGCAGATGCCCAAGAAGGCTTCCAATTACTGCCCGGTTGCTGAAGATATCCAGAATCTCTGCAATTGCCAAAGCATTTAAGACGCGTGGGAAAACGACATGCAACAAAATTTCATGATCAACGTTTCTCATCGAATCAAATTAAAGAGGAAGATCTCCAGTGACTATGCGCAAGGCAATATGAAACAATAAAATTTGAGAATAATAATTTCTTTATTCACATGTCAGCCGGACAAAATAAGTATATACAGAGAATGAAGTGAATATCATCTTCTTAGAAAGAGACGCTGTCAGAGGTACCAAGCACAGTCTCACCCTGACGGGCAACAACATGGATGGGGCTAGTTGGCGGGCTTGTCAGGCTGATCATAGTTTCGAACCCAGTACGATTAGCAGAACCAATCTGCTGGCCGTTCGAATCATTCGAGGCACCCGAGTAGACGACCCAGTTATCGTAGTCGGTCGCACCATTCCAGCTCATAAAAACATCAGCACCATTGTTGGTGGTAGTGACATTGGCTACGGGAGACCAGAATGGAACAGCACTCCACTGGCATCTATAGCCTCGGTATGAAGCTACTGCGTTATCCTCGCCAAACTGAGCACTCAGCACCAATTTTCCATCACCATCATATTCCTTGACCTTGGAGATGGAACCGTAGTCCATGAATACATGGCCACTGGTTTCACTCAGGAGTTGGTAACTTCCTTGACTCACGGAGTGGATGGAGTCGCTGGGGTCACTAAGGGAACGAAGGCTGGTCACTGTTTTCTTGGTCAGGTCGATAGCCAAGCTCACGCCAGTAGTGGGAGACTCAGTATTGGTCGGGGTGTTGGCATTATTGAAAAGGTTCAGGACCAAGCCTTCGTCGGTCTCGTTGAAGACGCGCATGTCGTGTTGCCATGAGAAGCCAGCATCGCCGATCTGTTTGAAGTCGCCACCATCTTCACCGCTCACACGCCAGATCACGGTTCCGTTGTGGTGGAGGTAGTATCCCGACCACATGTGGCGTAAAGAGACGAGATAGCCATTGTTGGTGGTTGTGATGGCGTTGATGTGATAGGCATCGTAGGGAGCATCCTGAGTGCCGACGTCGCTACCGAGCCCTTGGTGAGAAGTGGTCAAGGGAATATCTGCCTCCTGCTCCAAGGCACTCCATGAATTAAGAATCTCGTTGGTGGAAATGTCAATCTCGTAGAAATGACTGTCGAGCATCCAATCCGATGAGCTACCATTGATAGAAGTCAAATCGTGCTGGGTAAGGTTGTAGGCGGTAACGAGCAGAGTGTTTTGAGGAGTGATAATACTCTCGTGCAGATCGATATACGAATCCTTGGTCGAGTTGTCAGGAGTAACGAAGGCGCCCTCCAATGTCACGGTATGAATTTCCTTGTAGCTGCTGTCGAGAATGTGTACGGAGCCGTAACCATAGCCAATGTCCATCATCTCGCCAGCCCAGAAGGTGATAACGGACTTGTTATTCAGCTCTTGGACCATGAAGTTGGCTGTAACCTCCTCGGGGCCCTCGTAAACCAGATTCCCTTCGTCGTCATAGATGAGCGCAGCCTGGCCAGCGGTCTGCACACCACCACGAGGACCAAGGAAGAGGAATCCAGGCTCAGTGGTGCCGGTTTTGTTAACCACAAGCTTTGGCGGTTGGAAGTCGATCGAACTGTAAGTCGAGTAGTCCCAAGCCGCAGCACCGATAGATAGCAGCAGCGTGCTGCCGGCAGTGTACCACCAGGGGATCATTTTAGGGAGTGTATGTATACACTAGGTATACTTCGAAACGAACGAATGAGGTTAAAATAAAGGAATGGCGACAGCAAGAACTGCGAAGGCGTGCGAATTGGATTTCCCCGGGCGCAGTGACTTATTTAAAGTAAAAGAGAGAAAAATCGGATGAAAGAACATGGCATTGCCGTTTCGCGTCCCGCACCCTCAAACCAGGCCCTGAAGATCATTGCCATGGCCTGGCGAATAGTGGGTTCCGATCTCGTCATAGACCAACCAATTTTTTTTTATTTTGCCATCACTCCAATCCACTATGCACCCCGGAAGTCGGCGTACTCGGCAATGAGCCTCTTGGCTCTCGTCATTACAGGCTTGTCGCTTCATATTTCCAGAGTACGAGATGAGCGGGCATCGCATTGATCATGTTCAGGCAGCACGTTGCCTCACTCCTGGAGGAACGGACTAATTTCCTGTAGCACATTGAATCGAAAGTTTGCGAGTAACAGCATGGACCAACCAGATCGCACTATTGGAAGGATAGTGTAGTCAAGTGAAGGGATCGACTCGCCGATCGATGTGACTCGATACTGCGCCTTGAAGATGAGGTCGCCAATTGCGGCCGGGACTCGCGTGGCTGAACAAGCCTCTTCCGTCGGCTGTCCGCGTGGCGTGCCGCTTGCCAGTCACTGCCCGAGTGTGGAGTTGTAACAAAGTAATGCGACTGGTGGTTCCAAACGGTGAGTATCCGTGGGAAGAGCGACGGCAAAACGCCCCTGGCGAGGATCGGCTCCGAGAATGCCTGATATGGCAGGCCTTGATGGAGCCGATACTGGATGAACAGGGCAGAGCGGAAGGGCGGAAGAGTTAATTTCCTCTCGCTGGCCGACGGAGATCGTCGCAGATGAGACACTGCGTGCAAGTAGTGCATCCGAACACCCCCTTCCGATTCACTTGAATGGCCCTAGAAAAGAAATAGGCTTTGTCTCGGAAATCACAGCATAATACTATTAGCAAATACTACGAGTACTATATAAGACCATCGACCTGGTCCAAGTAATACTAGTAATCCTTCAAGATGTGATAGACCCACTTAGATTCTAGCCTCATCAGATAAAAGTACTGCACAGCTAATTGGCCCGATCTATGTCAGGGCCTCATCTATTGAAATTCCTGTGGAGAAAAGACGAAAAAAAGGAAAACACAAAAGGTAAGGCGTGAAAGGTATCGTCTGGAAATTTGTCCTCCTGTCTCTGTATCTCTTCAAATCCCTGGTCCTGCCCCCCGTCATTAAAGGCCCTGTTCAGAGCAGCGGTCGTCATGGTATCTATTATAGATCGTGGCGTTAGACAGCGATAGTGTATAGGATCCACGGGGCTCTCTCGGACTTGCCATAATCCTCCTTCTTGGCAACTTGAACTCGCTGGGCCTTTCTTTTGGTCCACTAGGCCTTGGGCAAGAGGAAAATTCTCGAGATGGGCTTCGCGTCCTTCTTCCCATTCTTGGTGGAAGGTGCCTCATCCTCTTCGGAGGAGGCGAAGTGATTTGTGGTTTCCGGATCGACGGTACCCATCTTGATGATGAGTGATATGAAAAACTTCAGATTTGCGATATTATGACTGAATCTCCGTGGATGTAACAGAATTTAGGTTCTCTCGGTGAGGTCTGGATGTAGCAGAATGCGACTCCGAGTTGTGGGGGAACAGAGAAATGGGAGTAGTGGGAGTAGGAATAGGTACTGGTATGGGCCGCTCTTACCTCTGTGCCTGCCTCTGTATCTGTAGCTGCTAAGTTGCAATGACTGACCAGGGTGTAGGCGACTAGTCTAGTACTACTATCAGTACTACTAAATAGATACATATACCAGAGTGAATAAGATAGAACTACCACTATCCTATTTCTTCATCGATCTAGTCCGACTACTAGTAATAGTCCTTTCAGATGTGATTGACCCACCAAAATTCTAGTCCCATCAGATAAAAGCTTCCCTGGCATCATGTACTACGTCTAGACCTAGGATGCGGTTTTGCGGATAATGCTGTGCCGGTATCTCATCGATTGAAGAATTCTTTTCTATTTACTTTAATGAAAGCCAACGAACCATTGGAAATGAAAAATGAAAAATCAATTTGCATGTGATTCGTTCATCATTTCTTAGAAGGTCGTTTGATAAATTTAGCTAAAGATTCGTAATATCAAGCTGTTGGTGGCAGAATACTCTTGAGATTAGACACTGAAAGACATGGAATTTATTGATGGCAAAGTAACACTGGCCGAGAGTTCATAGCGCATTGTCGAGATGTGGCTTATAAGTTCTAGATCAAGTTGTCGGAGAATTCTCAAAATAAGCCACATGCCATTGTGAGACCAGCAGTGAAAAACTCGATCAAATTTGCTACTTGGGCGATAATACCCGATTTCACATTCCTCGAGGTCTCGGACTTCATGCTATCAGCCATTAATCTCCTCGCAAGGTTATATCCAATCAAAGGTAGTTACTCAGGACCAGAGGTTGTCGCATACTGCAAATTATCGGCCTCCTGTCATTGGTTCCTCTTCTCGGATGGCGACATGCGTCCTTTCTTCATTTCTTGGCTGCCCCAGGCCAGCCGACGAAGATGCGCCAAAACGCCATCCTATGTCCCCTGAGGATGTTACATCCCTGACATTGTCGAGATCATTTCCCTGAGGTTGCGTGCGCTAATTACACAACAGTTCCTTCCGATCATCTCGAGCTATAAAACAATGGTAATTCCGGGTGCCGAAATCGTTTAAACCGCATTTAACCTATTCACTACAAACCCACAAGTTCAGCATTATACGAAAAAAGCAGCAGCATGATGCTTGGCAATTATTTTTCACTTCTTTCTCTCGCCACATTGGCTTTTTCCCGTCCTGGGTCTGAAATTGCGAGCAATCGCGATGATCCAGTGCCCTACGGTGCATTTCCATCATCTACGCCCTCTCCTTCTGTCGCCCCGGTGGTAATTCCAAACGCCCCAGAGAGCGACGCTTCCAGTGTTGGAAAGGCAATCATATACAACTCTTGTCGATTTCCGATTTATGTCTGGTCAGTGGGGTCAACAATCACTCCCGAAACCACTGTTCTTCCGTCCAAAAGCTTCTCAGAGACGTATCGTGTTGATCGCCTCACCGGCGGCATAGCTTTGAAAATAACGACGGTAAAGGATGGACTATTCAATAGTTCACCACAGACGATATTTGCATACAATCTTGATGAGCAGAATTCGAAAGTATGGTATGACTTAACAGATGTCTTTGGAGACCCATTCAAGGGACATCCGGTCTCACTGTTACCTTCCGACCCGACCGTATTCTGGCCGAATGGAATTCCTCCAGCTGGGAGCGAGGTTAGGGTTAAGCCATCGACCCAAGACTTAAGATTGTATTTGTGTTGAGCGGAATTGTGGTGGTGTGTGTGGCTGTTATACTATAATTATGGGTTTCACACCTACGAGAGGGAGCGTCGGGCTATCAATTTCTTTTTTTTTTGACTGAAAAGTAGTGTTTAATCTAGGAATTTCTTGCATTTGTCAAACAATTCACTTTGAGTCAGTAGTTTTTCCACAAATAATTGGATTAGTTCGTTTACTCTCCGAGAGCTACTTGGTGCTGATGTCATTGCCGAGGAACCTCGGCCCCAGTCAGCTCACGCACAGCTGATGCACCAGTTGGTTGCTCAACAATGACGGGAGTTGGTGGAGAAGAGTTAAACCCCAAATTGGAAATGAAATTGGAGAAATAATAGCTTAAGCGGTAAACTGAGCATATTCAATGGGCATAGTAATTGGCTGACAGACTTCGGTGTTCTGGCCGAGTACTTGAATGCCCCCGATTCCCCCGCTCCCGCGAAATTGGAGAAACAGTCCCGCTTTTGGTTCAACCTCTCCCTTCTTCACCTCTTCCACTTCTCTCGTCCACACATCACGCACGCACCCACAGACACACACACACCACCTCAAAATGGTCGCGCCAGCAATCAGAGTGGCCCCTTCGGCCGCGAATCGCGCCTTGAATCTGTTGCGCACAGTGCAGTACACTCATCCACCCAACTGCCCTTGTCATTCCAACCCCAATCACCATCATCACCACAAGACCTCTTCAATGATGAACACGGTCCGCCGCCATCTGGCTACTCCCGTGGATCCCTCGCGCGAGAAAGAGTACGCTTTCGAAATGGCCGCGTCTAGTATTCGTTTCGGTCCCGGTTCTACCAAGGAGGTCGGCATGGACTTCAAGAATATGGGCGCCAAGCGCGTGTGCATTGTCACCGATTCCAATGTCACCAAGCTCGATGCTATGAAGCAAGCGGTGGAGGGTCTGACTAAGGAGGGAATCGCATTCACCATCTATGACAAGGTTCGGACTGAGCCTAAGGACAGCTCGTAAGCTCCCACACTACAATTCGTCGATGATGGAAAAACACAGCTGACACTGCATGAACCACTCCAGAATCAGAGATGCCATTGCGTTTGCCAAGCCCTATAAACCCGACGCATTTCTCGCAGTTGGTACGTCAAAACAGCGGGCCAGAAAATTCAAGAAGAACCACTACTAACCCGTAACAGGCGGCGGATCTGTCATTGACACCGCAAAGCTCATGAACCTATATAACGCTTACCCCGAAGCCGACTTCCTTGACTTCGTCAACGCCCCTTTGGGCAAGGGTCTTCCCGTCGACAAGCCTCTGCTCCCTCTGGTCGCCGTGCCCACAACAGCAGGCACGGGCTCCGAAACAACAGGAACCGCGATCTTCGACCTCGTCTCGAAGAAGGCAAAGACAGGAATTGCCCACCGCAACTTGAAGCCCACACTCGGAATTTGCGATCCGCTCAACACCCGCACCATGCCATCCGCCGTTCACGCCGCATCAGGCTTAGATGTGCTCTGCCACTCCCTTGAATCCTGGACCGCTATCCCATACTACGAGCGTACCCCCCACCCGACAAACCCCATCAACCGACCCGCCTACCAGGGCGCAAATCCCATCTCAGATATCTTCTCCCTTCACGCCCTCCGCAGCACCGTCAAATATCTCCCCCGTGCAGTCCGCGACCCAGATGACCACGAAGCGCAGTCTCAAATGCTTCTTGCCGCTACGCTAGCAGGAATTGGCTTCGGAAATGCAGGTGTGCATCTTTGCCACGGCATGAGTTACCCAATTTCAAGCCAGAACCCTGGGTACAAGCATAGCGGATATGAGGTCGATCATCCCATCATTCCCCACGGTGTTTCCGTCGCAGTCACAGCACCCGCTGTGTTCAAGTTTACCGCGGCCTCTAATCCTGATCGTCATCTTGCTGCTGCGGAGGCATTCGGTGTTGATATTTCGAACGTCAAGCGGGAGAGCGCAGGTGAGGTTCTCGGCGCTGCGATCGCTGAATTCTTGGCTTCTTTGGGTGATCAGCCTCGCGGTCTTAAGGATCTGGGCTTCAAGGCTTCGGACTTGGAGGGCCTTGTTGAGGGTACCCTTCCGCAGAGACGAGTCCTTATGCTTGCGCCTAACTTGAGTGAGGAGCTTCAGGCTGAAAAGGGAGAGCTAAGAAGTCTCTTGGAAGAGTCTTTCGACTACTGAGGTGATTGTTGGAATGTGAATCTTTCATGATGTGATGAGGATTGGATATTTAAGGTGTTGGAAAGCTAAAATGAGATACTGTATATATAACGAGAATATTTCCACCCGTGACAAAGAAGAAATTGGATATCACAAGTTTGAAAATGCAGTTGCGCTGTGCAGCAAGATAAAAATCCCAGGACCTGCTTGGGTTTATTCAAAGGGTCATTCCAAGCGACAGAAATGATTCGTGGGCAATTCATACAATCAGCGCGATGAGGACTCGGATGTCTCAGCAGATGTGTCTTCTTCAACACACGCAACGGAATCAGTCAACAGCTTGACACCCATCATCCCCATCGAGGAAGCGACGCGGTCTAGCCAAATCACGGCGCGTGGATCATTCCTATCAGATGTTTGGGAGGGACCTCGACCAAGTTCGGAGTATATACGGAAAGGAAGGGTGAATGTCCTCGGATTCGTAGCCGGGGGCGATGGAGTGTCCACACTGGCGTCACTCGGTGTTGCTATTGGAGAATCTGGAGAAAGTTCTTCGATAGTGCGACTGCGCTTCTGATCTTCAATGCGATCATGAAGCTGACCAAGTGTTTCAAGAATGCTTTCCGATCCCCGGAGAAGCAAGGAGGGGCCCGTTTCTGGGAAGATTTCAGGCACAGGCCCAACAAAACTCTCCGGTCGTCGCACAATGCCTTGCTGGCGCTGACCATGGGCGCTAATACAAGCACGAAGCTTGATATTGAGATTATGGAGCTTTCGAGAGGTGTTATTGATGCGTTGCAGAAGCGCTTCAACACTATCGTGTTCCCATTCAGTCCGACCAGAGAGGATGTCTTGAGATTCACTGATATATCGTGGACATTTGACAATCTCCATAAAGACCTCGTCCGAGGTCACTGCATAGGCAGACCACTCACCGGGCTTCTGTGCATCCTCGGCCATAATTCTCCGGGCATAGTTCTGCCATTCCTCCCGATCCAGAAAGCAGGGTGTGCCTTGATAGACAGCCGTTGCGACATGAAAGCCCCGAAATGCGATGTAACATGACCGTCCGAATCCAGATTCATGGAGAGCAGGTCTGCGGCTCATCATCAGTCGCTTGACAGCGTCTGAATGGATCACCCACGCACCGGGGCTGGTTTGCGCGTACATCTCGAACACGCTCAGCATCATTGCGGTACAAACCATATTGTCAGACATAGCCCGGTCGGGATTATTCAGCGCACGAACAACTGCCTGTAAAGAAAGACCATACATGCGCCGACTTGTTCTGAGAAGAACTGGATCTTGAGTGAGGTGGGCGAGATACACGGAGCTCAAGCAGCAGATAGCGGAATCCATAAAGGCATCCTGGCCGAAATTCAGCACGATGAATTCAGCAAAACCCGGCTCACTGCCAGCACGGAAATGATTGTGAAAATAAAGCGTCGGAAATGAGGCGCTGATGAAATCCAAAAATAGTTGTGGTTGCGCTGCTTGGAATGTTTTGCGCACCAGAGACGGCGACACACTTTCATCGAGTGAGACAGAGGCGGAATGTCGGCGCATCAGAGCTATGGCATTATCGCGCACAATTACAGCGACGCCAGCTTCGTGGTCGACGACAGAGTCGGAGCTATCGACAGAATCAAGAGGCTCTCGCAGTGAGGACGATGTTGAGGCCGAAGCCACTGTGCTTGGCGTGGTGGGCCCCGTTGAAGCCCCGCGGCCGCGCCGTCGTGGACCGCGATGGCGTCGAGCCAAAATGGGGCCCTCATCTTGAAAGCGAAATGTGCGACGATATCCCGGACAGGTACGGCCGTATCGCTGGCATTGAGTGCACTCGGGGACTGCTTCGTCACACTGGATTACCCCTCAATCCGTCAGCAATCGAGTTTCAACAAGCAGGACCTGTAGATGCGCAGAACTCACCTTGATGTGTCTGTCGCGACAGAGAGAGCAACCAGTACTGTGCGGTACCCCCACCATGGTTGACAACGGCAGAATCAGTGCCAACTCATGACTGAAGTAGACGCTGTGACCCGACAGGGGTGCGACTCTGTGCGTTTGTTGACCTTTTGAACAGATCGCTAGAAGCTATCGCAAAGTGCCACCGGGGGTGAGAGGTTTGGGGGCGGAGAGGTTGGATGGAGCTAAAGGAGGAATAAGAACTTGAAACTGAAGATGATAACATGACAAGAGGCTGAATTACGTGCCGGAGAACAGCCGACAGGGCGTAGTGGGGATGGTGCCTCCCTTGGCGGGCCAGCCGTTGCAGGTTGTTGGGAACCTGAATACGGAGATCGTATTTTAGACCGTGGATCCGGGGGCGATCTTCTATTTAAAACTTTCCGATACGAGGTATACTTTTAGTATACGGAGATAAGACAAATATAGAACAAGATGTGTTAGGTCACTGTCCATTGTTGAACTTGAAGATTTCCTAGTAGTTGACCAGGTGCATCCCACTGTACGGAATACTCCGTAGTACATTCCTCGTACATAATCGAAACTAGCACGCATCCTGCAATCTGACGCTGCATGTATCAGACTGACGCTCGGACCTATGATATAGGGGTAATTTAACCGATTTTTGAGATCGACATCCTCTTGACACAACTTAATTTCGTTGCTCTTTCACAGAGAGCAATATGCCAAATTTGAATGCATTTAGGAGTAGTCGTATAGATCAGAAGCCCTGGAGTAATACCAAAAAAAACTTGAAAGCATACAGAGTTGAAGCCCCAGGGGTGTGCGTTGACGACACTGGCGGCAATTGCATATATCCACCTGGGCAGCCGTAACCACCATCCATCCGGGGATCGTCTAGATTCTTCCATGCTTTCGACTCTATGTGATGGAAAATCCTTTTTTTTAACTGGCGGACGGTTGCATTTTGGAAAAGAACGAAGTGAGATGGTTTATAACCGAACCTTGGTGGGATGCTACCGCCATCCTGATATCGAGAATCAAAAGTAGTTCGACCGAGTTGTTTTTGGCAGGTTTAAATGGACTGCTTAAGAAGGATGATAGTTGATGTACAAAGTTTCACGATTCGAGGATGCAACACTTGTCCTGGACAAGAGAGTCGCTTTATCGCATGTATAATGGCCGGGAACTCTCCTGCTGTCGAGAGGGCCCTCAATATTCTCGATTCAACATACACCTACTTCGCTGGTTCATGAAGTAAATTGAAAGAACTTGGACTTTGCACTCAACATCCGGTGAAGTTTCTTTTGTCATTTCGGGAAGTGAAAATGAGACCGCAGAATTCTGAAAGTGATCAGAAAGATGAGAGGACTTTTCCGGTTGATGGGGAATCACTATGCTATGTCTTTGTATGTCTATGCTACTCGTACATTCGCTCGGGTACGCGTCGTTTTGAGGTTATCTGCCAAGATTAAGAAAAGGATCGCAGTTAAGGAAGTGAGCATAGAGATACTAGTATGTTTCACAATGATAGCATTTCCCCGCTTGGGACCCGGTTGCAACTTTGAACGCATCGAAATATTTATTGCTAGGCGAATCTTTCGTAGGGAGAGAATATTTATAACTAGAGACCTCTATAATCATCACCTGAGACATTATCTGTTGTACCAAATACTAGCAGCGCCTAGATGGCGCCTAAATTTCTCAAACACTCCGGACCAATTAAGTCTTCCATCCCCTAAGACTGCTCTATCCACTTCTGCAGGACAGCAGCAACTTGCAAACTGTTCTTCTCCATGAAGACCATATGTCCATTACCATGAATGCCGACATCCGCCAGTTGGAGATGCTCCACCGGGACACCAGCCTGCTTCAGGAACTTCACCGTGCACCAGTCATACGGCGCGTGGTAAGATGATTCGGTCGTCATAACGAGGACTGGCGTCTGAGCGAGATTAACTAGTTGCCTCGGTGCGGGAGAATCGGCCTGGATAACGCAATCGCTGTATTCCGACGAGTTGGAAGGAATGACGTGCTTCACGAGGTCGGAGGCATCCTTCAAGGCGGGCGAGTAGGTGATCGGGATATCAGTAAGCCCGTACGCGCGACTGGAGGTGTTGCTGAAGACAGCTTCCTGAAATGGAGGACCGGTGGGTTCGAGCGAGACGATCGAGTGGACGAGTTTCGGGCGCACATCCGCAATAAGCCAGGGCATACATCCACCCTGGGAGTGGGAGAGAATGATAACCGGGGATCCGATGATGTCGAGAAGAGCAGCACTAGCAGCTTGCACGGTTGACTGCTGGTAGGTTGCTGAACCGAGAAATTGGACAGTTGAGGCATAGTAGGCGTCGAAAATAGGGTCACCCATGACGCCCGTTCCATTCCATTGGGTATGCAGGGAGGCCTGCGGCCAAAGCTTGTACTTCTCGGGCGCAGTGAAACGTTGCTGCAACACCTCGGCGCTGTAGGTGCTTAGAGTCCCATTACCGGGGATCCAAGGACTCCGGCCGCGGAAAGTTTGGTCGACGAGATAGCATTCATATCCTTGAGAGAGAAAGTAAGAGGCCCAACCTTCTCCTCCATCAGGCTTGTTGAGCCAGTTCACGGCCGTTTGTGCCTGTCCGTGAATGAACAGGATTGGGTGAGGCTTGGTAACCTTGTCCGGGGTCAATTTCTCGACATACATCTGATCCGCGAAGACATGCCCGCCTGAACTATCCAATCTGTATTGACCGCCAACGTACATGTACGATCGCTGGGCCGGCACCTCACCACTCCAGCTCGAAGCTGTAGCAGCAATTGCGCCTGCAATCAACAGGATCCCTGTCTTCAACATGTTTTTGAGAGGATGGGTGACGGAAAAGCAAAACAAAGCTTATCAGGGGTCGATATATGCTAACCTGAGACCCAGCCAAGCTTGCTGGAATGTTTTGCCGAATTTATCCCGCGAACTTGAATGACAGTTTCGCCCCCACAATGGCTCCCCACTGGACAGGTTGTACGAGGCTACCATGGTAAGACCGAATAAATTCGAAGGAAAACAATTTCAGACGAGCAGATGACCGGAATTGTGAATAGCTTAACGTCAACCCTGAAGACTCGGACTCTCGGTGATTGCCAGTGGTCCGGCAGGGGCATTCAAAATAAATTTCTATTCTGGCCTCCTTATGAATTAAACGTTGTGATAAATTTTATTGGTCAACAAAAACCCGCTACGTGAGTCGATTAGGAAATACAAAGGACTGATCATGGATTTCATTGGCCAGGTTTTAAATCTTATTAAGAATTCGTACGACATTAATGAGGAAATCTGACTCCGAGTTCTTTTGACCCACTGCATCTTACGGTTTTTCCCGTGTCAAACCCTAATGATCAAGAATAGATGGGCAACAGGTTTTGCCAAGTGAACCTTGAATATCGTTGGCGCCTCTCCTTTACAGTCTTCGTAAATGAGATGGGTCCTCATTCCGTAGGCGATTCCATTTGGGTTTTTCCTCCCGAGGTGTTATGAGATACGAGTTCAGAAGATGGCTATTGGAAATTCTCCTATTGGAAATTCTCCTCGGTCACCTTTTGATATACTTGCCTCCCTCCCAGTCTCGCTTCTCTCACTTTTCTTCGTTTCTTTGGGACCCTTAGAGGCCGTCATTCAGAGACATGGATTCCACTCTGATTATACATTGGGTATTTACCTGGCTGACAATTGGCTTGATCCTTTTGCGGCTTCTTATGCGGAAGCTGAAAGGATTGCGGTTTGTCCTGGGCGATTATTTCTCAATGGGAGCGATCCTATGTGTGCTCGCCCGCCTCGCCTTGGTCCATGTTATTCTCATATGGGGGACCAACAATATGACTCCCACTTTTCGACAAACACACCACTTCACTCTAGAGGAGATCCGTCGCAGAGAGATCGCGAGCAAGTTTGTACTCGTCAATCGCGTTTTCTACAATTCATAGTAAGTTCCGGGTTGAATGCGAATGAGGTTCTCGTGGTGCTGTATCTCATATCTCTTTTAGTCTGTGGCTTCAAAAATTTGTTCTTTTAGATACGTATAGAAGATTGCTTACCCAGCTAAGTTGGGAGAAGATCACGATGATCTCCTACGTTGGGGTATTGGCAGCGACATATCTCACGGTCCAGATCGTGACCTTTACTGAGTGCGATCCTTTCTCTAACTACTGGCTCGTTTACCCTGGAGACCCAGGAGTATGTTGCCAAGCACAGCTCCAATTGATCGTCCTCGGTATGTCCCCATTAGGAAAGTCACGTCAATTTATGTGCTAATGTCTTAGGCGTGTTAAACATCATCACCGATCTCATGCTGATCGCGTTGCCGATTCCGATTCTAGTTATGGTCAAGCGATCCACCATCGAGTAAGCTTCAGTCAACTTTTATCACTGCTATATGCATCTTGCTAACGTCTAATCTCTCTCAGAAAACTCCAATTAGCTGTTCTCTTCGGGGTCGGCCTATTCATAGTTGCAATCACGATTGCCAGATTACCCCAAAACGCCAAAAACCCCACCGCACAAGTTAGCAGAACAACTTGGGCGTCGATTGAGTTACTCGCTGCAGCCGTCGTTGCCAATGCCCCATGTCCTGTACGGACTACTGAAAGGACACAGACAGCGCTCTAAATACGCGGCGTCAGGGGCTGGATCGGCTGGACCATCGTGGCAGGGACTACAACAAAGATCGGCAACAAAGGAGCCGGATTTCGAACTTCAAGGGATCACTCATAGTAAGCGAGGGTCTTCTCTTGGTTCAAAACTATCTTCTAGGAATTATGTGGATATCGATGGTCAGAGCAGCCAGTCGTTGACACGAAGCCTAGAGAAGTGAGACATTAAACTAAGAATTAATACTAATGAAATATAATTGATTATCACCGCGCATGATAAAAGCTAGCTATGTTAGCATTAAAAGAGGTATTTGAAGAAGGCAATTTCACAGGGTAAGATCATAATGTTTGCCCGGTAGATCTAGAATCCTCTCTCGTTCATACAATGGGCCACAATATCAAAACGGAATGTTGATTTTCTATTTCTTGAATTTTATTCCATACCAAGGTGGGGTCATATTACCAAGGATTCTCATCAATATTTCATTTTTCATTTGTCCTTTCTTCGGGAAACTTCGAGTCCACCTGGGCATGTTTTTGAAATATACCAGAGAGGAAAGATTCTGTTGGTCAACCAAATGAATGCCAAATCCAGGCTTCTGACCTGCTGACCACTTAGTGCAGCTCTAGAGATCATCTAGCAACACTTCTTGGTATCCAGTTGGCAGAAGCACGATGTCCTGATTGGAATGTCGGCTACTGCAAGAGCCAACTTGGTTGAATGCTCAATCATAGTAGCCTCTTCAGTCTTGCCCAAGCGAAGAAGACACTCGTGATATCCTTGAAGCGACCAAACGTTGTTGGGGTGGCGACGAGGTCGAATAACAGATTTGTCAAAACCGAGATCCGCGCGATATGTTTTTGCTGCTTCTTCGAGGTGACCTTGTTCCATCAGCAGCGCAGCATATGCGTGGCGAACAGGCTGCATCCATGACCAAGGCTCACTGTAGGGCAGCTTATCTTCAATGTCGATCGCGCGACGAAGGGATTCAAAAGCCTTGTCGAAGTTTTGACAGCGGTATTCAATTTCGCCTTCCAACATTGCAGCAGCGACCTTGAGCACATCAACAATCTTGCCATTGTAAGCGCGCCGGCTTTCTGGGACTAGCGCCCATGTCTTTAAAAAGAGTTCCTGCTCTTTTCGCGCCGAGGGGAGATCACCGGTAGCTGCATATGCGATACCCTTAGCATAATGAGCAGTAGCAGTTGTACCCGCATACAGTTGCTGATCATGGGGTAGATCCTTCTGCTTTAGCTCCTCCCACATGCCGAATCGTACCATGACATGCAAACGAATGCCCACGAACTGCTCCAACCAATCGATCATAAGGGGTGATGTAATGCGAAGTACTTCCTCGGGGAGCGTTGATTCCATGCGAGTGACCGCATCAAGGGCGGCCTTGGATTTACCTGCGAACATGGCCGCATAAATCAGAGAGTGATAATCGTGCATTCGATAAAAGGTATAGAAGTTCGTGGCACCAGACTTGTGGAAGTATTTGTCATCTGCCACAGTCGATTTATAGTTTGAATCCAGAGATCTGCGCCAGTCGCCGACCAGTATATCGAGATGGGTAGGCATATGTCGAACGTGACCAGCATCCGGGATTAGTCCCCTCAACGCATCGGCAGGGTTCATACCCAACTCTGGTGTTGGAGACATTTCGATGAAATGAATATAAAGGTGAAGTAATCCAGGGTTCCGGTATGCGCCATCTTCTTCTCGCGCCAATGCACGCTCTAATACAGCTTGTGCTTCAAGTGTGCGGGCTTTCGGATTCGGCAGTCCAGTAAACAGATCCCAAAGGGCCCAGGGTGTCATATTCATTAGCGCATCGGCATATAATGTGGCCACATCAAGATCCTGGCCATGTTGGTCGTAGACCAGTTTCATGGCATCGGCGTAACCTTTGTTGAGAGCTGGGTAATCACTTGCAGGCTTGTCAGTCAAAAATCGGTACTGAATGGCCTCGATAAGAGCTTGTTCGAGCGGTGTTGCGTTTGCCGAATGCTCTTTGGCCTTTCGCGACGCATCATACCCCCTTTGAACGGATCTGTAGAGATCGACACGGTCAAATGATTCAAAAGGTCGATTATAATTTGGACCAACAGCATATGCCAACCCCCAATATGCCATCGCGCAATTTTCCTGGTATTCGGGGGAACGTTAGCGGTAGCTGCGGGGTTGAAGATCATTTGGGAGTGTGAACTCACGTCATGAGCAATAGCTTGTTCGAAACAAAAGGCACCTTCGGCATGATTGAATGAATACACCCAGGTCAATCCTCTATTGAACCAAGTCTGGGCATCGGAGCTGGCGGTGGTGACTGCGTGGCCAAATTCACCCAGGTCATAGTAGTCGGCGCTAGCCGGGATTGGGGACATCTTTTCTTCGGTCATTTCGGCGACGAGCTAGTAGGAAACCAAGAATCGATGATATCTGTAAAGGTCACAAGGCCTTTGAGGATGGGAGGTACTAATTATTTAATGTTGTGCTTGGTCGTGGTGGGGCCTGGGCCACCTGGCATCGGAAGTGGAGTGGATGGCGCCACTTGACTCATCAACTTGAATCAAAGCCCGATTTAACCAAACAATCCCCGGTCGCCGTAGTTTGTGATCAGCCGACCTATTCGCCGTTGAAAAATATCTAGCGACCATCTGCGATCTCGATGTAAGGGGTCTGTTGAAAGCTGAATGTTGGACCTACATTCCAGTTATATTATTGAACTTGAACTGAGCACCATCCAATGTTTTTTCGGGAAAAGAAGTCAAATCCATGCATTTAGGCATTTTGAATATTATTATGGGACAAACCGCTTTAATATCGCTATAGGACCGTTGGAGCTACAGTCTTGACTGTATAGTGGAATAATATTCGTCCTTTGTCTGCCTTGCTCACATCTCCAGTAGCAGCCCACGCAACTACTGTACATTGCCGTCGTTGGTCATAATGGCCGTCGCGTAGTGGATAGTCTGGTATCTAGGCAATGAAATATCTTGGTTTTAGAAATATCACATCAAATATGAATGTGAAGTGGAGCCATTGTATAGAACTTGAATTCTTTTCAATCCACAGGTGGAGTATATTCAACTGTTGAACCTCCAGGGCTCTCTCGAATATGACGATATTTCCTAAGTCAAACCTAAATCTTGGAATAGAACTAAAAACAGAAAGGCTGTGCGCTGTGCGCTGTGCGATATATTGAGAAGTCACGACTTGGCGTCAAGTTGATGTGGGATTTCATGGCATCTCAAACAATTTCGGGGGGAGTGTCGGATATCGTACGAAGTGTTGAAACCATCTAGATTGTGATCTGGAGCAGATATGTACTAGTAGGTATCTGGGCTACTCGATAACCCTAGGAATTAACTATACACTATACTATACCTCTAATTCTACCTACTATACGTACTACGCAGCCAATCCGTTTGGGGACTAGCGCAGATCTACGAACTACTAACTACTACTGCACCATTCAACTTCACCGCTGAAGACCGTTGACAGCTCAGCTCCTAGTATTAGCAATATACTAGCCTGTCAATAATTAGTCTCTCTCTCCTTCTCTCGCTCCGTGGCTCTTCGGGATCAAACCATTGGAACCACCGACATCGCGCCGAGTCACCAATCATTGGCGTCATGGCCCAGCTACCCCGCGCGCTGCTCACTCGGGAGGCAATGTGATGTGACACGGCGCAGTTGGCGATGATTGGGTAATTGCAGCGAGAATCACCAGGCTGTCGAGTTATAATGGGCCAATCTGTTAATCTGTCAAACTGCGATGTCGCTCCGCGTCTGGCGCCCAAATTCACGGCAAGAACGCTGAACAACACAACACAAAGTTGGGAGAAAGTACGACGAGACCACCAAGGTTCACTGATCACTGATTGCTGACGCGCAGTCACTCACTCACGCCTCGTATAAAACCCTCAAATCCCCTCTTCACTCCTCTTCACCTCAATTGATCCATCCTTCTACCCCCATCTTCAGTCCCCAGCATGCCCCTTTTCAAAAACGCCCCTTCCAAGGTCCTGGTACCTGAGAAGTTGTCCCCAGATGGTCTCGCCCTCTTGCGGAGCTCCCTGGACGTGGACGAGAGGAAGGGTCTTAGCCCTGACGAGCTGTTAGAAATAATTCCAAACTATGAAGCTCTACTCGTTCGTTCTGAAACGAAAGTCACAGCAACCGTGCTTCGTGCAGCTCGAAACCTAAAGGTTGTGGCACGAGCTGGAGTGGGAGTCGACAACGTTGGTATGTACACAAAAGCACCGCTCATGTGTTGTTGCATGTCTGACCTTCGATTATAGATGTCGAGGAAGCCACCAAGCTCGGTATCGTTGTTTGTAACTCACCATCCGGCAATATCGGAGCCGCAGCAGAACACACGATTGCTCTCCTGATGTCGATGGCCAGAAAGATACCAGAGGGGTGTGCCAGTCTCAAGGATGGGAAATGGGAACGAAGCAAGTTCGTCGGGGTGGAAGTCAAGGGCAAAGTTCTAGGAATTGTGGGTCTGGGGAAAGGTATGGCATGGCCTTTCATCTCCACTTCCGGAGATAAGTCAAAGAACATTATCAAATAACTGATTGATCTCATCTAGTCGGTCTTACCGTCGCTCGCCTTGCCAAGGGCCTCGGAATGAACGTCCATGCCTTGGACCCCTATGCCTCTCCAGCTGTGGCAGCCTCAGCCTCAGTCACCCTCGTCTCGTCACTGTCAGAACTTCTTCCGACCGTCGACTTTCTCACCATCCATACGCCTTTGATTGCTTCCACTCGCGGTATGATCAGCGATGCCGAGCTTGCTCTGATGAAGCCGGGCTCCCGGATTCTCAATGTGGCACGGGGAGGCACAATTGACGAGACTGCGCTTCTAGCCGCTCTGGAATCTGGCCATTTAGGAGGAGCGGCGATTGATGTGTTCACTTCAGAGCCCCCGGTGCCCGATTCGACTGCTGCCAAATTGATTGCGCATCCACGGGCTGTTGTGACACCTCATCTTGGAGCGTCAACGGTTGAAGCCCAGGAAAATGTGTCAGTGGATGTCTGTCAGCAAGTTCTCGAGATTCTCGCTGGCTCGCTACCTCGAAGTGCCGTAAACGCACCCATCATTTTACCAGAAGAATACAAGAAGCTGCAGCCGTTTGTTCGCTTGGTCGAAAAGTTGGGCAGTCTTTATACACAGCACTACGCTGGCTCGCCAGGGGGATCGATGACCTTGAACACTTTCGACCTCATCTACAAGGGAGAGGTGGCCGGTATCAACAATACGGCTCCTCTATTTGCTGCCCTCATCAAAGGTCTACTGTCCCCGATTAGTAGCACGGAGGGCATTAACATCAACATCGTCAATGCCGAACTTGTAGCTCGTGAACGCGGAATATTCGTCTCAGAACAACGCTCTCGCGACCCAGCTGACGAATCTTCTTATTCTTCACTGGTCACTCTTGTAGCTCGACCACCATCCCGTGCTTCTTCCCGTGCTCCGACAGGCGATGTTGTCGGAGGTGCACCTCACGCCCAACATCAGCGCATCATATCTGGCACATGCTCCGGTGACCAACCATTGATCACTCGCTTGGGCCGATTTGAAGCCTCCTTTGAACCCAATGGAACTCTTCTAATCTGTGAGAACTATGACTCGCCCGGCAAAATTGGCGTGGTCGGCAGCATCCTCGGTCGTGAAGGCGTGAATATCAACTTCATGACAGTCGCCCCGGTTTCTTCCAAGCTCATTGCCGGGGTGAAATCACGGATATCAAAGCAACGAAGGATGCTTCCGCCGAAGAAGATAACCCGATATCGAAAGAAGCCTTGATGATTCTCGGCATTGATCGAAACGTTTCTCCCAAGGTCACGACCGATCTTGTCAAGGAAGGGGGCGTGCTCAGCGCTTGTGCCGTGACACTCTAAATGACGCTTTCTTCCAACAAAGACTGTCTGATTTCCCTAACTATGAGCTGATTAGAACGGCTTCCTCCTCTATTACTCAACGCTCTCCACGGATATTCTTCATCCCTGAATTTCAACACAGCAGGAGTGACGTGGAACTTTTTCGGTAACCGTTATAACCACGGACTGCAAGTCCAAATCAATTACCCTGCGCTGCGCTCTTATGCATAGAAACCTCAATAATGAAAAAAGCTATCATTCTAAAAGAATATGAACTTCATTTCAAAAAAAAAAAAAAAAAAAACTACTTATTGAATCTGGTAAATCCATACATTTCAGGATCGTCGCCTTTCTACTCGAATGATTTGAAGAGGTAAAACTATGTTGATTCGACTTCCTAGCACTCTACAAACTTCACGGCAGCACCCCAAAGCCCCTGTTGTTCATAGATTATATAAGACAAACTAACAACAAGGTAGAAATCGAGGTGGATGGAAATAAACAAGAGGGGAAGGGGTGTAAGCCAAGGTAAAGCAAAGACTCAAACCGCCGGACACCATGCAATAGCCAATGTGCAGATCGTACTACCACTAATGCAAGATGGGAACAAAACGGAAAATGGGCAAAGGGAGGGGGCATAATCATCGAAAAGACTGTCTCTTTTCATTTACTATCGAATAGGACTATTTACTCCCAAACATTGGAGAAAAGGTCGTCCGATCCACCACCAAACCCGCCAGCCGGCTTGGTTGAGCTATTGGTGGTCGTTGTCGTAGCAGGCGTGATTGGAGAAGCGCTGGTCCAGCCGCCGAAATCTTCGTCCGCGGCCACAGTAGGGGTAGGTTTAGGGGCCGGGGCTCCCCAGCCACTGCCTATGTCGTTTGCAGTCAGGGTGTCGGGGACCTTCATCATGGAGGCACCGGACGGGGCAGCCGGGGCGGGTGCGGGTGCTTGAGCTGGCTCGGGGTTGCTCCAGGCATTACCACCCCAGGGGTCCATCATACCGGCGGCAGCGGCAGTTGCGGCGGGAACTGCGGGCTTCTGGGCCTGTTGGGGAGGAGATCGAACTGGCGGACTAGAGATATTGAATGCGGAGCTCATTTCCTGCTGAGGAGATGACACGGTAGGCTTGGGTGGTGCTGCAGGTGCGACAGGTGGAGAAGAAAGACCCCAGAGATCATTGGAGAGTGATGAAGATGGCGGGTTGGGCTTGGGCTGGGGAGGTGGCGAAGAAAATCCACCGAATCCGAAGTCTTGGGAGTTTGAGGAAATTGAAGTGTTTCGCGACTGGGGCTTTGTTGCAGACATGGTTGGGGAGGTCAAGCTCGCGAAAAGGTCACCACTAGCAGATCCAGCAGGAGAGGTAACCTTGGGAGCAGCAGGCGTCGACTTGGCGCTGCCAAAGTTTGTGAGGTTTGCAAATGGAGATGGCTTCTCGGCGGGCTTGGCTGGAGGGGGAGAAGTTGTAGACGGGAAGCTGAGTCCACTGAAAGCATCGGTCAAACCACCCATGTTTGAGGATGATGGGGCCTGCGGAGATGCCATGTCGCCAAATGAGTTATTCCGCTCATGTTGGACCGGTGCAGGCTGCGGCTTCGAATATAGAGACAGAATTGATTGCTTCAGATCGGGACGAGACAAACCGCTCGGCGCAGCGGGAGTGGATGAGGTGCTACTCGGTCGGCTTCCGGCAGGCGGTTGAGAGTTGCCAAAGAAGTCTAGACCAAGCAATGAATCACCCGTCTTCTGGGCCTTGGGCTGTGTAGGTTGAGCTTGTCGCGGGGGTGGGGGCGCACGAGTAGATGGCTCGGTCGTGCTGGGTCTAGGCGGGGCAGACATCATATCATCATCCGCAAAGAGATCAATGGGGGCTTGTCGGCGCGTAGGTTGGGGAGGAGGTGCAACTCGCTGGGAAGCGGAGCGCTCAATCTTCGCTTTTTCCTGGACAACCGCAAGAGGCTGGTAAGGTCAGTGGTTGTTCGAAATATTGTTCGGCGCATGATATCCGAGGCTCACCACATCGTCGTCCCCTTCACTCAGGGTGGAAGGATCAGGAATCCCACCCTCCATAACCCATCGCTTGGCCTCATACTTGGTCCGAATGAAGTTCTCGATTTTCCTGAAAGTGATCACATCAGCAACTTATCCCAGTAGCCGGTGGCAATGCAATCAATCACTCACGCATCCGACGGAACATGGCCAGGTGCCAGCTTCGCTTCCCAGTACCTATACAGCATGAGTACAGAACATATGTTGTCAATTCCTTGTCACTGACTTGTTGGCCCTTCCATTGCCCCATTTCAGCACACTTTGGACTTGCTCATCGGTCCAGGCATCCAAATCGACCGACTTGACCCGGCTAATGTGTGTACCCATTCCTCGATGAATACCGGAGCAGCGAATGCAGACGAAGATTCCCAGATTCCAAGAGGCCCATCGTGGATCTATATTCAGCAAGTTTCAATGTTAGTTGGCACGTTCTCAAAACAAAATGACCTATCGCATGGTCGGCCGCTCGGAGACGAGGGGGGATACTAACGCTTGTTGCGCTTGCAGTCAGCGCACACCTTATTGGGCTCAAGTTTCAGCAGACTCTTGATGGTCTGCTGATTCTGGGCAGCTTGGCCCGGGGTAGCACGTCGAGACATAATCTGTTGGCGACTCGAAGTGATGATGAGAAAGGAGAAACAATGGGCAACCCGCAATGCGCAGGTGGCGGTCGGTGCTGCGGCCTTAGGCTGCGGTCGGGGGTCGGTAGGGTGGGGCGGGATGTGCCAGATGCGCAGTTTGATGTATATTGCCAGTGCCACTCTTGCCCAGAGACAAGGCTCTTTTTTTGAACTTGAAGCTGCCCGGGCTCAATCTAGCAGTACGATTATACCCGTGGACATACAAGGTCACTGGCAATACTACTAGTAGGTACCAATAATTTCCCCTAATCCAATTTCCAGGTGTCGGGATCATGATGTTCATTTGTATATATTTTCGCCACATAATATTGTTAGTGCTAGTATGTTGTACTACTAGTACTAGTACTGCTAATTTACTACTAGGACCTTGGAAGACGAAATTCCAATGTCCTTCCAACCTTGGAAGGTTGTAATACGAGTCACACTTCAAGCTGAACACGGGAAATAACCTCAAGTTCCTTTACACTTCACATATCTTTTAAAGTTCCAAGATTGACGGCTATCAATCCACCACATGGCACTATACACCCCCGAGGTACTCAAAACATGCTTCTCCGCCCAGTCCAATCAAGTTCCTAGAACACCGTGACCTTAAATACGTTTAAATGGCTTTATATCCAATTACGCCTTGGACTTGACCTTAGGATCTGCGTCCTCTGAAAAGCGCAAACTGATACTGTTAACACAGTGTCGCTCATCGGTCGGCGTCGGGAACCCCTCTCCCTCGAAAACGTGTCCAAGGTGACCGCCGCAGTTGTTACAAACAATCTCAGTCCGCTTCATGCCAAAGGTGTTATCGACATGTCTCTTAACGGCACCGGGAATCGAATCGAAGTAAGCGGGCCAGCCACAGCCAGACTTGAATTTGTGATCGGCTGTGTACAGAGGCGCATCGCAGCCGGCGCAGTTATAGACGCCTTTCGAGGGATAATGCTTGTCATATTCGCCGGTACCAGCGGGCTCGGTGCCCTTCTCACGGAGAATCCGAAACTGTTCTGTGTGTAGACTGGCGTTAACGGCGTGTTCATCGTCGACGGTACAGAGCACCAAGTTACTTACCGGGATTCAGAACCGTTCTCCATTGCTCATCACTACGGTTGTCCGGGTATGACATGTTCTCGGTTGTATCTTTGGAACTGCTGCTTGAGCCGAATAGCGCACCGAGGAATGGCAAGGTTGGAGCAGCGCGTAGTGTTTTGGAACTTGCTGGGCCGGGTGTCTTGCGCGTAAATATAGAGTAATGCCGAGCAGGACCTGCAGGCTTAGCGAGGGTGAGTTGCCGGAGGGGTGCTTGCAAGCTTCGGAGTGTTTGAGGTCGCATAGAGAAGGGTATCAGCAGATTATGCCGTTATTGTCGCTGAGGGGCGCGACGGAGCCCGCTAAGACAGAGGTGGTTACGTCATCATGCGGGGAGTTCGAGTCGGACTTTATATACAGTTTGTTTAGACCTCCTAGGAATGAATGCCAACTTGAAGTGGATGGAATATATGATGTAATAAAACGCCAGCAATGCATTGGTTTATGGGTATCCTCTAGCAAAAAGCAAATCGTGCATGTATGTCAACCTCTCCTGATGCAGATGGTACCAACCGAGGCCAAGGCAGCCATAAGATGTCGGTCATCGCATGGAAATGATTTGAAGATGTTCCGACGAAAGATCATCACTCCCATACTGGTGCTAGCGTCGAGTAGCACCGAGAACTATCAAAGACCCGGGTGTGATACTTATACGCCATCCTTCGCTGATTAGCATTTTTCCAACAGCCGGGCCCAGTCTAGAAGTGCCATCCCGACTATGGCGGCCAATGCCGGTGATAATTTTATAGCCGCCATGAACATCAATACCGCCTCCTCGTATATACCTAACATCTCCAAGAGAATCCCACCAGGAAGCGACGCGCTCGCGAGTGATGCGCTTTGCATTTTCAACAGTGACTCCATGCAAGTCCAGGTCACATTTTGACGATTGTCTGTCAACGAGCCGATCAGATGCTGCCGCAAGTTGATTCATTGCACGCTCCCGATGCTCCTGTCCAACTTGGCGATAGTATGCCGATACTCCACCGTATAGGTGGTTGGATCTTGAACGACGCGCAGCTTGTGCAGCTTGCATATGTGCGGCTGAACTTGCAGCAAAATTGGCATTTGCAGTTGATTGCAGATCTTCATATTCGATGTTGTTATGAGAAGGCTCCGTGGGACGATAGGAGGCTCCAGAGAGATCATTCTCCTCGTCATCATTAAGATTGAGCGGTGTAGGTGTGAACTTGATAAGTTCGCTGATCTCAGCCTGAGAAGGCTGTCGAAGCAACACGGCCGCCAGTTCATTTGCCGGCGTTACCATGTCGCCCGTAACCCGAAGTAAGCCGATGAGTGTGGTCTTCGAGATGGTTGGATAGACAGCGGCAAGTTCAGCAACATGTTCCATCATGGCAGGGTCCTTGTCAACATCGGAATTATTGAATTGGTCATCAAGAGCCAAAGCCTTGATCGTCGCACGAAGGTCCATCCCTTTGCTGTTGTAGATGGCCGAAATCTTCCCTCTGGGCAGATCAGGGATGCACGAGCAGATGAAATCTATGTCAGCCTTGCCTGTCTCCCACTTGTTCGTGATAGACGCGTCTTGAGATGACGAAGAACGTGCCAGAGGGACTTTCTGGTTCTTATTGCGCTTCTTGCTGCGACCCTTCTGACGACCGATGTCTGCATTTCCTGCATAGAATCCATCTATGCCCTTTGGCACTGATATGTGGCTGTCGTCTCCGGTGGTCAAGGTCTCGTTGAAAAAGGACAAATTTAACAATACGTCCATTGATTTGTCGACATCACCGTCGCTCTTTTTCAAGCACTGCTCTATATCAAGAAGAGAGACAGTGGGAAACATTGCAGCTAGCAAGTTCACCTTGTCGTCTGCCGATGCACCGGTCAATTTCAAGGACCCATCAGCGGCAATGGTGTACGCAATGTTTGGGTTTATCGGTGACGCAATATTTCTATCGGAACTTTCATCGGACGCAAAATATGACTCCATGCTAGTGACGTCGGTGAATGTGCGCAGTGAATCTCCATGAGCTGAGGTCCCGGCCTCGGAAAGAATTCCGCCCATGTCGGTGGCAAGCTGGTCATTTGCCGTGCCTGAAGGATCAAATGGATCGTTTTCTTGGAGCTGAGCAGACTCTTTTAGAGAGTCCAACATCCCTCTTAAAGCAGTGACATCGTTGGAATCCGTGAGATTAAAATCGGAGACAAGAGCAGCAAAAAGAGCAGAGTCTAATGGAGGGCAATATGTTTTCTCCAGTTCCTATGAATCCTGTCGCATCAGATACCTGACTGGGCCATATTCCATACTATAGAGCACTTACAGATCGCAAAGTATCGCCGATATCATCCATGATGATAAATGTCGTCAACAAGATAGAAAACGTTCGTGAGTTCAAGTGGCATATCCTGCCTAAATCGGAGTTTCTCCAGCGCGAGAAATAGATAAGAAGAGAAGCTCTAATTCGAATAGTCGATAGGGTTTGTGAACAGCTCCATAAATGTAGGGCGACGGGTGTGACGTGCCCCCAAGTCCAGGTTGTGGAGGGAATAACTCCGATCCGCGTGGGGGAGTCTTTTTTGTGCCCGTGTCCACCGCCAACCTAATGGGCCCAAATAGGGTTTGGAGCCTTTTGATTGGCTGCATCACGTTAACTTGCGATGCGCTAAACTTCATTGGAATGGTGGGGGTTGTTGATACTGTGCATTCTGGGTGCTTATCAAGGTGAATGTTAATGATAATGTGCGATTCCGTAGCCTGTTAAAATAAACACCATAAATTATTCCTACTTCCTAGTAGATCACGTTCAGTCCAGTTACCCCAGAGGATTTTTATCAGCATTGAAATAGATACAAGTTTAAATCCATCGTCCTAATTTGAAACCTGCAGACACAGAAGGTTCTTGGAGTCCGAGTAATCTAGTATGGGCCGACCAGGTGCTCTATTTCTCAGGTGCCTCTCGCAATGCGAGGTTTCAAAAGCCTCGAAATAATGAATAACAAGATGTTGTTCTTGAATTAATGATATTGCCATATTCTACGTCATATCTCGCGATGACTATGATATTCAGTAGACCCAACTGGCTCTGTGGTTCTTAGATACCGCATGTCGGTAGTAAACAACTTGAATCCGGCCACAGAAGGACTGTCGGAGAGCACAGGTATGCGTCAGAGACTGAAGGACCACAACCTCTCAGCAAGAGCAAAACAGGAATACGAAGTGCAACATAGGACGCTGATAGACACATTTGAATTCAATCTGAGGAGAACCCAATCAAGATGATTCCGATCGGGGGCTGTACCTCCGCTGTGCGAATACTAATGAACAGTGCCGAAATTTATACACACTGGCACTCTCACGCAATGCATGAAAGAGACCAGAAAACAGAGAGCCAATACTATAATGAGTAAATTTCGGCGATTCATAGAAGAGATATTTTTCGCTCATAATTACATTCCGGTGTTGCGTGGGGAAGAAGTCAGGTTGAAAACATAATTGGCCTCGGCTCTTGGCATCTGTCCCACATAGATTCATGACTTCCATTCGAGACCATGCGCAAGGAATCCATCTGTTCCGAAGCGCTATGGCCCTCAAAGATAATTATCCGGCCTTTCAATTGGGTTTGGAGCAGTATCTTGCGATGAAAAGATAGCCTGGGTCTTGGGCCATAAGTTCAACATGGCCACCCCAGTCTTCACAACAAACGGCACAAATATAGATATAAGCGACTTGCGGGTTATGTGTGGACTACTGGTACTAGTCGTAATAAGCCCAGAAAAAGAAGCCCGAGATTCCACATTTTGAAAAAAGTCAGATGACATCTTATTTCTGCAAAGCTACCCGGGTGACCTATGTTAAATGGGCTGCAGCGGTGATCGCAGTGACAAGACAAGTAAAAAGAAATGAATTGGCTACAGAAGCTTGTAAAATGCAGCATTATCCCCTCATTTTCAATATGAACAGGTACTGCACAGGAACTATGACGCGCGGCCGGTCGCAATGGCGTTGACTGTGCTGCACAAATTCGCCGGTTGAGGATTAAAATTTGGGCCAACATTGGTTTGTTGCAGCTACAGCTTTCATACCTTTGGGAATAGAAGATAGTATCCTTGATACACTACGGATTCTGCCTGGGTGGTAGAGGAGTACGGCCCTGCTGGCTGCTTCTCGTACTCCCCTAGATATCGAAGCATGAGACATGACGCATTGAAGCATCACGAGTACCCTGGCTCAGAAAAGCTCAGAATGAAATTGGACAAATGCTGTGCAATGGGTGGCGGATTTCTGGTTATATGAAACTTATAAAACATTCACGGCCCTCCCAAGTTTTCTATTCTTCTCCTTAGCTGACCGACTTCTGCTTCGATCCAGTTCCACGATTTGATTGAGGATATTTTCTTTTCGTAAACGTTGCAAGAAAGGAAGTAGGCTAATAATTCAAAATGCGAACTACAATCCTCTCGTTCCTGATCGCCTTCACGGCCACGGCTGCAGGTACGGCTGCCAATGATATTTCGACATACAAATCCAACTGACTTCGAGTAGGTCTCGTCATCACTTCACCCACAGTGGGGCAAAATGTCGACAATTCCAAGTCTGTGACTGTTAAATGGCATGCCGTAGAGTCTGTTCTCTCCTTAAAATGAGCTATATGGCTTGTTGATTTTCAAAGTCACTTATCGCAAGCATAGGACCGACCCTGACACGTTCTCTATCTACCTCATCAACCAGAACGTTTATCCGCCCACCCAAGAGCTCGTGGCATCGGATGTCCCTAAAAGCAAGGGGTCATACACCATCAATGCCAAAAGCATAGACGGTGTTGATACTGGGTAACCCACATCACACAATTCCAGATTTTGGTTGGCAAAATTCTGACCGTAATCGTTGCAGCCGCGGATATCAGGTCAACTTTGTCTCGGATACCGACACCCAGGCCATTTTGGCACAGTCATCGCAATTCAAGGTGGCTGATCATGCTGATCTGACTGCCAGCTCTGGTAAGGAAACAGCCACTGCTACCGATTACACTTCTGCTACGGATTCTCTTTCTATTACCGATTTCACTTCTGCCACCGATTCCACTTCTGCTGCTTCTGAAACTACCTCTCTCTCTGCTACAACCTCTATGACTTCTTTGTCTGCGTCGACTACTACAGATTCCTCGACTGCTTCTTCTACTTCTCCGACCACTACTCACACCTCTACCAGTGCGTCTACCTCTACCACCTCTTCATCTACTTCTTCACCTATTTCTACTTCTACCCATACTTCATCTTCTTTGATGACCTCTACTACTAGTACGTCAACCTCCTCTTCTTTATCTTCTTCAGTTTTTAGCTCTACCGCTCCAACACCTACCACATCCCTCTCTTCATCGTCGTTTATAACGACATCTACACCCTCTTCCTCTCAATCTTCCTCAATACCAAGCAGTTCACCTACTACAGCCTACTCAACCTCGTCCGGGACTCTTTCATCTTCTACATTGCACAGTTCCACTAAAACGCGTTCTACCACATCAGCTATATCTACCTCTACCTCTACCTCCACCTCCACCTCTACATCTCTTTTTACTTCTACTTCTACATCCTCTTCTACACCTTCTCCTACCACATCTACACATACAAAAACTACCAGCACTCTCAGCACTTCTACTTCTACATCTATCTCTACTTCCCCAACATCCACCTCTACCCATACCCGCACAAAGATATCCACCATGAGCACCACGGGTCAGTTATTGGTGCCACCTTGGGCTTCCAGATTTTTTAATCATTGCAAGATTCACTCTTCGAGTTATAACAAGCCGCTGATCATCCCATTCTATAGGCGAAACAACCACCACCATGACAGCAAAGACTCACTCTTCTACTTCCACAGAGACTTCGACTACTACTTCGCACCACACGAAGACCATGACTTCTACTGCCACGGAAGAGGCTACCACAACTTCGAATGCAGCAGGGTTGTTGATGCCTACCAACCATGCCGGCAGTCTTCTTCTGGGTCTTGCTGCTCTGATGCTGTGATGACTCGCAACGATGAAATCTTATATTCCAAAACATTGATACGAGGTGCTGGATTTGATCATATGAGGATGTCAGGGTGTCTGTTATCGTTCATCCGATATAGTTTGACAGACAGTGAGGGTGAAGAATCAAGGTTATTCGGGCTCGCTTTTGTTGCTATTGGGGCTTTAATTATCAATGAATTCTGCAATAATCGATATTATGATGACTGATGTCCTTTTTTTTTGCTTTGAGTGTAGAGCCTACATTAGTATTCGGGCGGAGATTATTAAACAACTTTAAGTAAACCTCGGCATCGGCGCGCGGATCCATTTCCCCGCAGTGAAATCATAAGGTCAATTGAATACACCGCATATCTAGCAGCTAGTTAGCAATTAACCATTCTCTCCACACTTGAATGCTCCAACAATTTCACAAACATCAATCATTTCACAATCCTACCCAGCCATGCCGATCTGCACTCTCCACCTCCTCGCTCTGAAGGAACCAACAGATGCACAATCCTACGTCCAAGAATTACAAAAATCAACCAAAGTGATCCTCGCCTCAAGACCCCGACACATCGTAATCCACCCAACAAATCTGGATACAAACCCCCCTAGCAACAGAACCATGGGATCTCCTCCTCCTCCTCCAACCCAAACCAAATACGACCGAAGACCCCATCCCAACCTCCCTCCGCACCGCCATAAAAGCAGAATACAAAATACCAACAGGGATCCCCTCCAAACTCATCACCAGCTACGCGACCCGCAACAAAGTCCTTCAAGACAAGGCCTCCTCAATCCCTTTAACGGGATCCCTTGAAAGACACCTCGCCAGCGGCAGCAAATCAACCTCGCAAAATCTAGAAATCTCCCCAAGTCTCGTATCCTTCATGGAGGAGCTATCCAAGACGCATCCCGGCCCTGTAACAATGCTCAATCTCCTGCATTTCCAACAACCCGGTGGTAAGCAGAGTTATTACCAGTACGGTCAGGCATTTGTTCCTGTCGCAGGCAAACGCGGCGGGGATGCTAAGCTGGTTGGTAATGTGGTGACACCGCAGCTGCAGCACAGCAGCAAAGATCCAAGTTCAAGCTCCCGGGCCGCTGTGGCGGAGGAGTGGTGGAATGAGATTTCCCTTGTGCATTATCCTTCTATTAGGCATTTCTGCGATATGCTTGCTGGGGATGATTATCAGGCTATTAATGAAAAGTATCGGCTTTCGGTGAGTTTTCTTTGGAGTTCCCGCTCTCTCCTCCTCGTCGTGTTCTGCTTTCTGCTGTTGTGGCCTTTTGCAAATCGGGTTGAAGGGATCGTGCTGACAGCCCTGGGCAGGCACTTCGTGATACCTTTCTCTTGTGTACTACCGAGTTAAACCTTGAGGGGGTGGGTACTAGTACCACTTCGAAATTGTGAGACAGTGCACTACTACTTTCACTAGTAGGGACATGAGATAGAAGAGGTGATTGAAGCGAGTACAAATTCAATTGTTCATATATCAAAGCAAGGTGTTATGCACTGATCTCATCTTCTTTTTTTCTGCTTGATAAACTGGGTATCTGAAATCATGGGACGTGTAAATCTTGTCCCTCAACGCTGGGAAATAATATAGCTACGTAACAACATATGTACTGTCCTGCCTTGAAGATGAACTGAACTGGGCTGATCTGCGAAATTGAACGTTCAAAGATGATCATGACGACTTGACAACGCTGTCACTTGGTCGGTCCCAGGTGCGAATGTGGCCTGATAATGTCAGTGAAATAATCCGTGATCCTGGGAAATTATCCACATACCTTCAAGTGAGGATGTCATAATAGAATCCTTCTGGAAACCGAGCCAGCAAATAGGATCTTCTCCAACGATTTTGGACTAGGAATATTGTTAGAATGAATGTAACTTGGAAGATGCTGCTTAAAACATACCATAATAGGTGGTAACATGGCAGTCCGAGCCCGAGGTTCAACGGGATGGCTAGCCATTGGATCAATAACTGCGTCGAGCTTTTCGGTTTTCTCCGAGTCTGAGCGAAGACGGTTACCACCACTGTCAGCCCGATAGCGGTTGCCACCTTGTGTGCTTGGCACGACAACGCTGCTTCGATGACGGGTAGAATTTTGGTGATGCTGTTGAAGAAGGTTAGCACTTTGCTTGGGAGACAACTTGGGACGAAAAAAACGAACCGCACGAGGTCTATGCAGCATGCCGACACTGAAATCCCACAAGAGAAGTCTGCAGTCGTCACCGACGCTACCAAATCGATACGTCTTCTGATCACAGCGCCATGGATCGAACGCGACGGCAGAAACGAAGGAATTATGTCCTTGGCAGCGAGCGACAATTTTGCGTTCGGGGAAAGACCAGATAGTGAGAAGGTCGTCTTGACCACCAGTCACGATGTATTTTCCGTCGGGTGACCAACAGACGCAGATTATACCACCGTAGTAGCTTCGGAAGATGTCCAGAACCCTGTGATGATTTCGTTAGCGCCAATTTACACAGTAATCTCACAGTCTTTCAACGTACTCTTCTTCCAAATAATCCATTAACCGGAGAGAACCATCCTCCAGGACAACTGCCAGATGTCTCTGGTCAGGCGCGAAGGAGAAATGGGAGATTTTCTGGTTCGCTAGCTTCCAAAGGCATAGCGGGTTGGTCTTCTGGTTCTTAGATTGCACTGATTTGAGAACCTCCAGGGGGAATTTGCTGGGATCATGGTCGGGTGGAGGAATCACTTCGGGTGTGAAGAGTGCATCCTCCTTCTCCTTGTCATAAACGACCAACACGCCATTCGCATGCGATGCAAGGAACAGATTCTCAGATCCGGGTAGCCATTTGATATGAGTAACAGGGGAGTTGTTAATCACACCATTCTTGTTGATGCGGGCATATTTCTGCGACATCGGCTCATACCAAATGATGTCACCGGCGGAGGAACCCATCACAATATCCAGATGTGAAGAAGTTTTGGTCAACTCGTTGATATCGTGACAGAGCATGTGCGCCTTCGTAAACAGAACCTTGGTGAGATGTTCCTCCTTCTGAGCCGAGTTGAGGTCCAGCCATTGGAATGCTCGGTTGATGTTGGCAAAGGCGAAAATGCCGTTCGGGTCACGGTCGCTGAGGCGCTTTGCGGAAGTTTCGTGCGTAATCACTCGAGACACGAATGAGGAGCTGCTCTTGATAATATTGTTCTTCGGTTTGCGACGCTTCAGCGCATCCTTTGCCGGTTGCACCGGGGCCGCAAGTGCGGGGTTCCCATCTCCGAACGGCGGTGCTACAATGGCTGTATTCAGGAAGGCCGGAGGTTGCTTGCGATGATCCAGGCTGACCAGTGACAGCTTGACGCCAGAGGTTGGAGGTGTTGGAACGGTGGCCAGTGGGTTGGGATTGATGATGGGTGCTTCGGAGGGGTGTGGGGGTGGTGTCGCGAGCAGAAGGTCATCCTTGAGGGTATATGTACCTATTGTCAGAATTTTCATTAGCAGTGTACTTGACCTGAAAAGCGAGGTGAGGGGGAAGGGGGGACTTGACGACACGTGTGAACTGAGAATGCAATACACATGCCACATACCTTCTCCGACTTGCAGGGGACATCCGCTCTCCGGGTGGGAGATAGTGTTGTTTGTTTCGACCACAGGGACCGCCATGCCGTTCGCCGCCCCCGCCGCATAAGCGACAGGGATGGTATATCTCGGAGGGGGAGGTGGGAGGACACTGGGGGTGGTTTGGACCGGGTCAGTATGTGCCTGGACTGTGGTTGCTATCTTGATCGGCCCAAGGGTCGGCGGGGAAGGTGACTTTTCGGCATAGGACAGTCACATCATATCCCACATGAAGTATGGAATGGGGAGTATAGTGGTTACAGAGGGAGGGAAAGGAAAGAGGGATTGAAAAAGAAGAGAGGGAGGGCCATCTTACAACATGGTTGCGTTACCGTCTCGATTTAGACCGAGACAGACCTAATGTCGTGACACGGGCGAGGAAGCACAACAGAACAGTAGCGCTGCAGTCAGGGACGGATGCTGCAGCGGAGGTGATACAGTTCGTCCCAACTTGACGGCGTTGAATATCAAGAGCTGGAGAGCCTCAATATGGCTTCTCTGGCGATGTCGGAGAAAATGAGGGGAAGCGAGCGCACAGCCCCAGGGGATTAATCCAATAAATCCGCTATAGAGAGGGGGGAGAAAGGAATCTATATCGACCAATGCAGGGAGAGACCAAATCAATTGCCCAAGACCTGATGCAGAGGAGAGGAGAGGAGAGAAGCGCAAGCAGAGGAGGAGAGGTGCAGAGATGCAGTGCAGAGATCAGCGGTCCGGGGTAATGGCCGGGCGAAGCGGAGAAAGGCAAGTCTCGTGCCTGAACTTCCGGGGCTTGGCGGGGATATCTCCGTGGGGGCGAGGTAATATTATACACATTATAGTTATAACATATTGCATAATACCCCCATACTATTTACAAATGTTAATCTGCCTTGTTGCCCGAGTCTTTTTGCTTTTCAAGGTTAACATTATAGGGTTTTAGTGGGAGAGATGGGAGGGTGAGATGGCAAACCGTATGAAGATGGATCTATGCGATAGGGGGGGAATCCTCACGCTATATCTATCTATAGAATGACAAACAATATGCACCGGGCGCAATCGCCAACGGAAAGTAGTAGAAGTAATATACAATGCAGACAGGGATATACTACCTAGGTACCCTAGACCTGCATGCATCAAGTGTGCCCTGGCCATGCCACTAGGCCTGAGGCCCACGGCCTCAGTAGGCTTATTTGATCGAATAAGACAATATATTTTTGTTAATATATGATGATTTGCTCAGGGTATCAAGGTATTATTAAAACACTATCATCTAACCAGTACTACTGGTACTACCTCATTGCCCACTGCCCACTCGTCTCCAGATCATCACTGCTGCGGCCCCGGCACAGACGACCGCCCCCAACGCGATACCCCACGACATCCATTTCCCTTCAACATCCTCTTCACTGCGCGGGAACGCCGTGCTGGGCTCCATGGCAGCTTCCGCGATATGGACAAAGACCTCCTGGATCGAATTCCAGGTTACACTGACATGAAGAGGGGGAGTAGGGATGTTCAGCATCGCCGTGTATTCATGGGGCTGATGCTCCGCCCGCTGCGTGGTCCGGTCCAAGTCGGCCTTGAGTGCAATAAACACACTAGGCAATTCTTCCAGGTGGGGGTACTTGGCTCGCAGCGCGGGTATATACGCAAACGAATCCGGATCAGACGAGTCATATGTATAGGCGACCACGTCACATTGGTCCAGTAATTTCGCCTGGTTCTCCAGAATGGCGGGCTCCAGTTCGCCTAGCTCGTCCATAATCAGATAGCACTGTTTCCCGCCAGGTAGCTCAACTGTATTCACAGCTGTACGGGGTTGAATGGTGGGATGATATGTCGAGCTGAATCCACGGGACAGCAGTGCGTCCAAAAGAGCAGATTTTCCTGATCCGGCAGCACCCAAAACGTGGCATTGAACTACATTTCGTCCGACGCGTCCCGGGCGCCGCCTTCTCTTGCGCGGTCGCGTCACCTTCAACGCCGATGTGATGGAAGGATTACTTCGGTCAGATGATTCGAAACCGAGGTAGGCCAGGTACTCTAGTGTAGTCTTGGCAGACATGAAGGTCGTCATACTCCATTGCGCGAGCCATCCCTGGAGTGTGACATGGCCGGCTTCATTGCGGACAGTTGAAGAAGGGAACGAACCGTCGGCCCAAGATGCGGGCAGCCCAGGGGTCGGTGCGAATAAGGACGCCAGTTCGGCGTTATTCAGACCACCGTCATTGTCCTTATCGGATAGTAGGAACAGATTCACAAAGAAGCGATACCCTTCCGGGGAAAGTTCTGCCGATGCATAAGGCGGGACTTCGAACCGGGGATGTAAGAAGTTTTCTTGCAGGGACAGGTTGTCGGTGTACTGGAATGCTCGTAGAATAATCCAAACCGTCTCGTGTCGACCCTTTTCCGCGTAAAGCTTATTTAAATGAATGAAACCAGGGCAGTCAATGCCGGAGTCGTTCACTGAGTCCGGGAAGCTCCGTTGGATGGTTTCTTTAATATGTGCCAGATCCTCCTCGCTGAGAGGCTTGCCAAAGCATCGCGTTTGGAAGTCCGCAATTTCCTTATCCGAGAGATAACCATCTCGATCCTTGTCGCTGAGGTAGAAAATGCGCTGGAGTGCGGCGACGGCGGCGGGTTTTAGAGCGGCTTCCTTGGAATCGAAAAGGGGGGCGATTGGGTGCGTGACTGCTTTTTGGCAAACGAAGAAAGCTTCATTGACGTTCCGATGCTCGCGGGCACTTGTACGAATGCAAGAATCAATTTCCTTGAACTCCGACATCAAAGGGAGCATTTCCTCCTCAATCACCTGCGCCTCGTTGTGGCTGGCGGCGAGGTCTGACTTGTTGGCGCACAGCACAACGGGGACATTGACACCCAGCGATCGGAAATAGGGTAGCCAGAAGAGCGCGACGCGCTCATAGCTGTAGTGATCAGAGTAGACCAACAGGATCACGTTGGACTTGCGGATCTCGCGCGCCAGGTTGTTTCGTTCTTGCGGGAGGGCGGAGGTGTCGACGACGGTTGTCGTGGTGACATTCTCCGGGGTTCCGATGGTAGGAGGGATCGTAATCTGAGGCAAAATGGGCTGGATCTTGTTGGTGACGAAGACACCCTTGACCAGGGAGGTGATCAAGCTGGACTTGCCAGTGCCTTCGTCGCCGCAGACGCTAATACGAACTGATGTTGTCAGCGAGGTCAGCTGGGGCCACGGGTGCAGCGGACTGAGAAAGTCGTACCTGTAGCCATTTGCAAGGGCAAAGCAAAGGGGATCACGAAGTCTATGGTCTGAGCATGACCGTAGTAGTAGTACCGGTACCAGTAGGTAGTAGTTAGTTAGTGACAGGTCAGGATGGAACTTGGGGGATGCGATAAGGTGGTTCCCGGGACGGGGAGTGCCAAGCCGTCGCGTAGGGTGGAGCGCGGCACGGATATAGAACTAGTAGTAGTAGTACTAGTAGTAGACTGTAGGATTCTTATATCGAATTCATTTCACCTTTGGAAGGGTTGTGTCTTATGTAGACCTTGGAACATCCAAGCTTTCGACTGAATATTTCAAGTAGTCTGTTCAAGTTGTGTATAGTAACAACCCCCATCCCGGTGTGTAATGAAACGCCCACCAGAGCATCCTCTCGTGTTGGCTCTTTGGTAGCTATCGGACAACAACAGACTTGGCACTGCAGGTATCATAAATTGTTCACCCTTAGCGCAAATCTGAGAGATTGGGGCTTAAACCCTCATAACCCTTTCTCAGGAACCTTCGCCCTGAAGGGAAACCTTGAGCACGAAATTCTAAATTAAACCCTTCCCCGTTCTCCCAGTTAATTATGGTCACTCATATGGCCTCATTCCTCATGGATCCAAGGAAATGGTTCCAGTACGATCGCGTGTCTGGCGACAAAAATCTGATCTAACTCTCGTTTGCAGTAGAGAGTGGTTCTGAGGATGTTGCCGCAGATGAATCATTCGACCGCGCGCCGACCACTCGCATGCTCGCTATCGCCGGACTAGTTGCATCCTGGATTTTTGGCATTATCTGTGTGGCATTTGGATCTGGGAAAATACTGAAGCCTACTATTTCTGTGGCGTCAAAAAATCACGGCGAAAACCGCGGCGTCAGCTATCATAATTGGCCGCAATTGAATATTTCTTCCGTCGCAGGCGAACTGCTGCCCTTGCTTGTCAACGAGATTGTGACTTTACTCGTGGAGGGTATGGGGCTGATCCACTCGAGGACTTTACCGATGGGCACTCTACGATCGCTTGGCTTTCAACTCGAATTTGCGTATATTTACGGTATCAGATCAACACGAATGCCTAGGCAAAGTCTCTCACATCCTGTATGCGGTCTTCCTCACCATGACATACGCCGGTGCATCTCTTATGTTTGCTACACCACCGGCTGAAAGCTTTTGCGAGAATGTCTCTGGTGTAGGACAGGACAAGGACCTAGGATGTGGTGATATAGTGGCCCCTTCCACTCCCAGTCTGTGCTGTCTGGGTGTAGGACTTCTGGGCCAGGCCGCTCTAACAACATGGCAATTCTTCGACATTCCAGTTCAAACCTGGTCATCAAATCCGTTGGACACTGCTTGGGCCAGCATTTGCACCGGCTCTCGGGCCAGAGTTTCCGGTCGCTGTATGATGAGTGTTCATGATGCAGAGCTTCCCACCGCACCACGACAAGCTCAGTCAAGACAACAATCTATTTGGAAGTCTCACAGCGAGGCCCGATGGGTCATGTCTTATAACTGGCTCATTACGTGGATTCTTTTATGATTTTCATCACTGTGCAAGCGGTACTTGTTGAAAGGGACAAGTTTTTCAAAAACTCGGACCAAAGGTGCAATGGGTGTAATGTGTATCTCGGCACCAACTGGAACCTACTTCGAGGGAGTGGCAGCACCCCAATGAGTGCTGCTATTATTGTGGAATACAGCCCGGGCATCTATGGAGGTCTTTGGATTGTCTTTGCCATTTTGCAGGGTATTTTGACCTTAGCTCTCCACTGCGCGGACCTCATCATCGCCGTCAGCCGGGACGAAGAAACCTGGCGCCGATGTTATGCGCAAACTATGAGGGGGAAAAACCTGCGACCAAACGCGCCGATTCGTGCCGCGACCAGCCGGCTTGCTGTTATGCTGTTTCTTCTGAAGGTTGTCCTACATTGGCTCTTCGGGAATGCCATTTCGTATGCGTACAATTGGGGTGTTTTTCTGCGGCCTCCACCACTCCTCTATCTTAGCATTGGTTCGTTTCTCTTGAGTGCTTTTGTGACTTACGTTTGTTTTCGGCGGCCTGGGGGTGAGCAACCCGCTACCTTTGGACATATCCAGACATTGATTAACCTAATTGATGTATGGCATCTCGAGCTGTTTTGGGAAGATAAAGGGGCAGCAGAAGACGGGCCCGAGGGAGTCAGACATGCAGGAACTGCCTCTCGGCCCCTAGAAGAAGTAATAAAAAGTCAATTGTACGAGTAGTTAATTAAAATAGGTCTCCTGTGTATTCTCCACTGCAGCATTTTCGAGACCGCCCTTTCTTCTAAGATATTTAGAAAGTGATATTATATAATATCTTCTGTATTCAGGGAATTTTCCTGTGACACTGAAAACTATTAAAATTTATACAGCCATAATTTCTAAAGTAATTACTTCTACTGGAGTTGTCACTTCTTGAAAGCAGACTATCTTCTATTTGCGGACAGGATTGTAGGATGGCTGTTCTGTTTAGCAGCGTTAGTACCTACTACTAGTAGTACTATTTTTTACTAGTATATATTGCAGACTTATTTTATTATTCTCTTTTAATATATTTGTTTTATTAGTACTATTACTTTATATGTATTTCCACTACTAAAAATTATATCTCAATTAGTACACTTACTACTAAATAGTACTATTAGTAACTGCCGATACTCACATACTCCCCGGTTTGCACGGCCCTCTTTAACCCCGCCGGTAGGTGACCCTGCTGCGCCACACCCAATGGCACACTTTAATGAGTCGAATGGGAGTTTGTAGATGTCATATATCCTTCTCGACACTTTTCCTTCTGCATAAGTTCAGGAACCAGCTCAGTGATCAGAGTCCCATATACCAAATCGGGTGTTTGTTCTCCTCCGTTCCTCCTAGCCACCTCCGCGAACCCGCGTCACCCGTCATCAGGCCCACACTGGCCCCATCTCACTGACTAACCTGCCCGAACCACTCCAACTCCAACTGCCTCCTCCTTCGAAGTCCCCCTACTCCCTTCTCCCCGAGTCACCTTCACATACATTCTCTCCCCGCCAAGATGCCTCTTGGGCTCCATAACCCGCTCCCGTCTTCTTTGAGCAGTATGTACTCTCCCTGTCCTCTCACTGCCTGCTTCCCCGCAATCGCATGCGGCATCTCCGGCTAACAAACACCCCCCTCATGAACAGGTGAATGCAAGAAGGCGGCAAAGATTCTGACTTCCTTCGTGGACCCAAAGCAGGCCTTTGGTCCAGATAAGGTCATTCCGCCCGATGTTCTGGCTGGCGCAAAGGTGAGTCTCACATATCGCGGGGTAGAACACAGTCCACGTTGCGGCTCAACTCTAATCCTTCCCTCCACCAGGGCCTTGCCATCCTCACAGTCCTCAAGGCCGGATTCATTGGATCCGGTCGATTCGGTTCCGGTATCGTTGTCGCCCGCCTGGGTGATGGCAGTTGGTCGGCCCCCTCCGCTATCGCAACCGCTGGTGCCGGTGTCGGTGGCCAAATTGGTTTCGAACTGACCGACTTCGTCTTCATTCTCAACGATGCCTCTGCCGTTCGCACATTCTCCCAAGTCGGAACTCTCACACTCGGTGGCAATGTCTCTCTCGCCGCTGGACCGGTCGGCCGAAATGCTGAAGCAGCCGGTGCTGCGAGCACAAAGGGTGTTGCGGCCATCTTTTCATACTCGAAGACCAAGGGTCTCTTCGCCGGTGTCAGTTTGGAAGGCAGCATGCTTGTTGAGCGCAAGGATGCCAATCAGAAGATGTATCAGAGTCGAGTCTCTGCGGGCCAGCTACTCTCAGGAACTGTTCGACCGCCGCCGTCTACCGACGCGCTGATGCGTGTTCTGGGCTCGCGCGCCTTCTATGGTGGTCGTGGTGGGCCCAATGGCGCTAGCCCCGGAGAAGGGGACTCGATGTACAACGATATCCCAGTTTACGATGATAGCCACGACGATGTGGTTTGGGAAGGACGCCGCGGAGAGGCTTATGGCCAGGGGACACGAAGGGAACGCTCAAACACCCAGGATGATGGATATGACTACCGCGACAAGCCGCGCCGAGCTAATACCTGGGCCGACGATGTGTATGATCGACCGGCTGGAGGGCTGGGTCGGTCTGCGACCACGCGAGAAGCGCCGAATGATACATACGGACGCAGCCGCAGCAACACCGCGCCTTATGATGATGATTATTCCTACTCGGATCGCAGACCGACTCGACCGACCGCGCCCAAGCCGGTGTTTGGTCAAAGAACGGGCCAGGGCGCTGGGCTGCGTGCGGACCAGGTTGTTGCGCTGTACACCTTTGATGCGGACCAAGATGGTGACCTTGGCTTCAAAAAGGGTGAAGTGATCACGATCCTCAAACGGACAGAGAAGGCAGAGGATTGGTGGACTGGTCGGATTGGCGACCGTGTCGGCATTTTCCCTAGGTAAGCATCAGCATCAGCAACAGCAGCAATCAGGTGGATTGCATCAAAGCCTGGCTAGAATGAAGTTCAGCTGGATAAGAGTGAAGCTGACATGATCGCAGTAACTACGTCGACACCTCATCCTAGACATAGGAACGGAATCTCACAGATATGCCCGTGTGCTCATCTCATTCTTTTGCAGTGGATAGACACACACACGTATAGCTTCCGGGGATGACGGCTGGGTTGGATATGGGATATGATGAATATATTTTAGGCGCATTTTTTCTTGTCTTTTCTTTTCTTTGGATTCCCTTCTTCTGGATACCGCTTCATACCTCGAGCGTTTGGAGTTTCTCATTCTCGTCACGAAGGTTTCTTCTTTGCTTCGCAACATCCGTGGGTCTTGTGTGAGCTTTGCATGTTTCTAGAGTTTCGGTCCGAGTGCTTTCAAGTTGATTCCGATTCTCTGCTTCTCTTCTGCCTCTTCTTCTTCTGCTTCCTCTTCTCCGGATGTTTTGTGGAAATAACGTTTCTGCCGGGGGGGGTCAGATTGCACCTTTTCTTCAGCCTAGACCAGAGCGTTGAGCATGGGCCGTTCCAGCGTGGCGCTCAGGACGTTTGAAATGACAGACGCCAATCAATTGCACCTCCCGCTCTGCCGTAGCCAGTAGAGTCACACGGCAGCGACCTGAGACTATCACGATGTCCCCTGACCGGGCTGGCACGGGGCTGATTGATACTGGGTGTGGGTTTGGTTCGGTTCGAGGGCGATCGCGTGGTTTCGTGAGACCAGCTGGGCACCATAGCAGTATTTGGCAGGATTGTAGGGGGTTGAATTGAAGAGGTGAGGTTGTCGATGGCTTATAGATGCCTAGTACTCGTAGTCACTCGCCATGTCAAAAATAAGGAACCAAACTATTGGCGGGAACGGGTCTACCGTCTGACACGCGATCGGCCCTTCAGCCTCGCGTCATGATCAATACCCATCGCAGTAAGTTCCAGGAGTACCACAAGGTCGAGGAAGATGGAGAACCGAGGCGGGTCGTACTTGTATACGGGGAGGTTCCAATCCGAACTGGTGAGAAGAGTACTAGGAAGAGTATTGTATGTACGAAAGAGAAAGAAAGTGTCGATCTCTCCATTTTCTCCAGATCGTCGATGGACTGGCCAGGCTTCCCGTTTCTTTCTTTTGGTGGAGCCCTCCACGAACTTGAACTTATCCAACACAACCACCGACACACCTACTTCTTTCCTCCCAGTTTCAACTTCCTCGTGTCCCCCCCCCCCCACTCCTCCCCCCCATGCCATAAACTCCCCGGCTTCTTTTTTTCCTCTTCCCTTTTCCTCCCCCCGCTTCGATGATCGCTCGTCTTCAGGTGGTACCTTGACCTCCAGGCCTCCTCCCCCCCTCCCCTCCTCCCCCCCCTCCTCCTGGCTACCCTCTGGTCTTAAGGGTTTTTTGGCCTTGGTTTCCTGTATAGCTGGTTCCCATGCAGGTACGTTCCTCATGATATTCTTTCAATCTCCTCTTTCATCCCATCCCGGACAAGTGCGGTTACTTGACCTCCTACCCCGAATTATCGCTGCTTTCGTCTCCCTCCCCGAGAAAGTCCTCTGAACTTTGAGATCAGCGAGTCTCCGCCGCTGTCAGCTCCGCCGCATTGACTTGGCACCGCACTTGGGATAAAATGCTTCTTTATGGCCCTCTTGGAGACTGACCCTTTTTTCTTCTTCTTTTCCATCTAGGCTTCCACGAGTGCCCCTGAGGCAGGCGGAGGACACACGACTCGGAGAGGACACTCCCCCATCTCTCCATCAGCGACCCAAGTCACCATGTCACCGAAGCTATCGGCCACATGTACGACGATGATTACGATCGCAATGATCCGAGGCGTCTCAGCTATATAACCTCACCGTTAGGCGAGTCAATAACAACGATTCCGCGAGCCGCCGAGTCCGCCGCCCCCTCCACCCTATCACCTACACCTACACCTACACCTACCCAGAAACAAACCCAGAAACAAAAGCAGAACTCGCCGGTCGAGGGACAGCCCAAGACAAAAAATGGTCATTTACGCCCAACTCTCTCCCCTCATCGGTCATTTGACCGTGACAGTGAACCCGGCTCCCCAGACTCCACACGATCAGTCTCGGAAACCGCGACCTCTTCCTTCCCTTTGAACGATATCGATTATGAGTCGGACCCGGCCGCCGTCGTCCAAGAGCTGAACAACCTGGCCGCCATTCGCCGTATGTCCATGGATGTCGCAGCAACTGGTGACCCCGATCTTCCATCCTATGGCGGCAACCTCTCCGTTCCATCCTTACCTCCCTCCCCCACCGCCGATGAAAATGATGCCTCAAGATTATTTTGGGTCCCAGCCAGCCTACACCCCGAGCTGGCCCCGAAGGAGTTCAAGACATTTTTGGAAAGCAAGGCCGATATAATCAAGCGGAAATCCGGCGATTTTTCGTCTCTTGGTCCTGAGCGTCAGGGCTCGGGCAGCGGGCTTCGTCGCAAACGGTCTATGCTGTCTCGACAAATTGACAGCTCTTCGGGTTATACGGATGGTGCGGATCGGTTAGAGCGGCAGCGATCGCAATCAAGTCGGCGCGATGGCATGCTCAGTCCCAATCTGCAGGAGCTGGAAACCATAGTGGATGATTCGAAATCTACCTCCCCCGCCGAGCTCGTGCGAGAGATGCAAAATGCGAGCATCGCAGCCCACGAAGATAAACCGATTCTACCCTCAGCACCTCCAGGGCACAGCCTACGACGATCGACCCGGACACAATACAGGAAGGGCAGCTTGAAGAAGGGCGAGAAGCCCCCTTACTCTAAACGAGTGGGGAGAGGTCTGTCCGAATCAGCTGGTTCAGCTCCTCCGACTATAGCTCCATCCGATGATCAGCCAATCCTCGGATCTACTCGCGTGTCCACGGACTCGGTTTCCTCAACATCCTCTCGGCCAACGCGTGGGCACTCGACCTCCTCTCGCAGCACAACCTACTCTGCCAATGCCATTGGCACAGCATTCGATTCTATTCTTGATAATCCGGAAGCTGAGCAAGAGGAGGCAAAGGCTGCTAGCACCCAGCCACAGACTGACTCTATCAACCAGTCGAATGCAGCTTCATATGCCCGAGAATGGCATTCTCGCATCGACTCGAATGGCCGATCTAATACGAATACTCCTCAGAAACAGCAAGCCGTTCCTGCGATTGTCGAGACACCTCCTGCCGACTCCCACCGTGAACAGTCTAGTCCCAGTCCGCCGGCTTCGCGATCAGCCGAACGCAATGCACCATCGCAATACTCGGTCCAGACGTCCCCGGTTCAAGATTCTACCCCCAGCAAGCGTACCGCGATGAGCCGTCAACCCGGCAAAGACACTACCACCACCACGCTTGACGACTTTAGCAATAATCCCCAGATGATACCCGGCAACAACACGCGGACGGACAGTCTCTCGTTCATTCCGACCATGCCCGAGGAGCAACGGAAATCCGAAGACCGTAAATCCGATGGCAAGAAGTCCAAGAAGGAGTCTGAGGGGCGAAAGTCAAGCTGGCATTGGTTGCTGGGCAGTGAAGAGAAAGATAAAAAGAAGGATAAAGATGGAGACTCGAAGAAGTCGAGGTCGAGGTTCTCCGACAAGATAACACACAATAATTCTCGCATCGAAACACCCCCGCAATCATCAATGGACAATAGCCCGAAGGGCAGAGAAAGTCTCATCCTTGATCGCCTCGACCCGAAGTTGGAGGAAGAGCGACGAAAGGATGGTGTTCGGAGGGCTTCGGGGGAGTCCAAGAAAGAGAAAGACGGTATCTTCTCATCCATCTTTGGTGGTGGTAGGAAAAAGCATAGCGGAGACGGCCACCATCGAAAGAACTCTTCGCGTAATCTGTCTCCCGACCCCCCAGTGCGGGTGCTGAAGGCAGATGTCGACTACCCTTGGACTCGATTCTCCATTTTGGAGGAGCGAGCTATTTATCGCATGGCGCACATCAAACTAGCGAATCCGCGACGCGCACTTCACTCTCAAGTGTTGCTGAGCAATTTCATGTACTCGTATCTGGAAAAAGTGCAGCAAATGCATCCCCACATGATGGTGGCATCTTCTGGATCTCAGAGGTCTTCTCAACAAAGAGACCAGCCTGATGAGTACACTCAATATCAGCGATACCAAGAGGTTAGTGAACAACGCCATTCTGCCAATGAGCTAGATGACTGACCGCGGAACTTTTCCCATATTTTACAGGCGCAGGAGCAACAACAATACGCGGATAGCGCATATGATGATCAATCCATGTATGACTACGACGACGATCCGCATGATCCGTACCAGTCCCAGGGGAGGAATGGTAAACATGGCTACGAAAACGGCCATGCTTACGATTCGGGGCATTACCAGTACGGGCACTCGTCCTATGGGCATGGCCATGATGCCCATTTGGATGACGACGATGACGATGATATGTGGTGAACCAAGAGCCGGCGTCTTCACTCATTTCCCTTTTTTATCTGCCATTCTGATTTCTCGTTTTCTGCGACCCACGGAAATACCCACGCGTTTGTCAGTCCTGGTTGATAGTTGATACTGGAACTTTGTATAAGCCTTGTTGTCTCTCTCCTTCTATTTCTTCCTTTTCTTTGCTACTCCCCTCTATTCCTTCCTTTCTACCAGTTCTCGAATGACGGAATCTCCAGCCATGGGTTCCTTCGTATCTTTACTTCACGCACATTTCAGGATTCCAGGAACATTACCCGGCAGGAACTAGGATTGGGGGCCGATTGTGCCATACCTTTTTCGCCCTTGGTCTCTTCTTATCTTGCCTGGCCGTCCATAACCCCTTCCCTTCTGCCTCTGGCCTGTTGTCTTCTTGGGCCTGTGCATCGCCATATAGTTTGTTCACACACATGGTCTGATTTGTCACTTCGCATAGCGTCTGGGGTTTGTTTTTGTCGTTCCGTTATTCTCTTGGTTCACCTTGGGTCTGAGCAGCTTGGACCAACTTCTGTATCCCCTTTTTCTCACTTAAGCCATTACTCTTTTACCCGATTTGATTGAGCCATTATATACCATTCGTACAGTGTGGATCGATGGAATAAATACTGGCAATAAGAAACATTGGTGCCATTCCATTCGCGTTTAAGATTATAAAACCCCATCCATAAATGTCGTCAGTTGCCATTGCTATCTAGTAAAGAAAGAAGAAAAAGAAGAAACACAGAAATGGGCCATGGTCTTCGTCATCACATATCACATCACATCACACCAACTCCATAGATGGACTAGAATCCTCCAAAAACGCACACGTCTGAAACGACGTCCCAAGACGCAAATGCTCAGTGGTATGCAACATCTCCCTCTCAAAAACCCGCGCATCCCTCAAATGAAAATCATTATTAAAATCAATCGCAACGGAAAACAGCCTCGCCCTCAAGAGCGGATCAGACGTCGCCGCCCAAGCAGCGCTCACGCAAACAACAATATAAGCCGCCCCAATCGGCTTCCAAATAACCGACCTTTGCGCCAAATCCAGCACCTCCTCCGAGAGATAAGTAGCGTCGAACTCCGTAGTACTGACACTGACATCATCAAGCCCTTGTCCTTGTCCATGTCCACGCCCATACGCATCCAGCGCAGAAAGCATACAATTAAAAACAAGCGTACAAGCCAAACCAATCCCATACGTGCGCTGATAATGCGCAAAGCCGAATTCGAGAATAAATTTGCGGCCGGCGGGACTGGCTGTTTTAAAAAGTTCTGAGAAGTCGTTTTCGACGGAGCGGTGCTTTAGTATGCTTAGGTTTGTTTTGCAGTCTTGGTATATTGTCCAGACTTGGTTGCGGATTGAGGTTGTGTCGGTGCCTGTGCGGAGTGCTTCGCGGCCGTGTCGCATTAGGTGTGGTGCTTTTGAGAGGTTGAGGAGGATTTTTCCGTCCGGGGTTGTGCTGTCGTAGTCGTTTCGGACTAGGTTGTCCCATTCTTCTGGGGTTAGGTTTATTCTGTCGTTGAAGATTCCTTCGAAGAGCTGGGTTTGGGATTAGTACTCGTATTGGAAGGTAAAGTCGAGTTCAAGTTCGTGCTTGGGTTATGGAGAAAAAGAAGAGAGGGGATAAGGAGATAAGAAGAAATAAAGGAAAATAATAAGACGAACCACACTGCCACGCATGGATAGAAATAACTTCGCTTCAAACGCATCACGAGGTCCAAAGTCCTTCCTTGCTCTGAGAATAGCCGCCGCACCCTCGGCATGGCCCGAGAACTTTCGATTGGAAGGGCCCAAGAATAACTGACAGATCAAAAGGACCATCACAGCAGAAAGTGTACTGGATGATTGCGCATGGACCTTGTCATCCAGGTACACGCTTAGCGTGCGGAGAGCACGCGAGTGTTTGGCAAGCGCCTCCACCGAGGGGCCCCGGTTGCATGAGAAATTAGAGTGAGCGGTTGTCAACGTATCCACCGCACGGTCAAGTGCCTCGTTAGTTCCCAGTCGTTTGGGTACATCTTCAAGCCATAAGCCGAAAGACCACCAGAGATTATAGCGTAGGTCTGTAGTTCGCTTAATCGTCGCGATGAAACCACCTGCCAAGGAGGAAATATCGCTACTAGGGAGTAGCTTTGGGGACTCTGGGGGCAGGAGCTGCTTTTTTAATGCACGCTTCTGTCTGCGAGGCGGTAATTGTGTCGCGGAGACTGTAAATGCTGCTTGAGGTGGAGACTTGGACTGGGACTGGGACTGGGATGGAGACTCGGAGGAAGTATCAGATAGACTTCCGGAGGAATCTCCGGTGGAGAGCGCGTGCTGTTTTCTCACGCGCGTGGAGTACTGTTTCTCTTCCTGGAATTTAAATCGAACCTGGCCCGAACCCACGCAGGGGATCTTTAGACGTAGACAGCGGGCACAGGAGGGTTGCTTTTCATCACACTGTTGCCATTGTCGTTAGTGGACGATCACTCGGTGAATACGAATTAGGATCGATGCAGCGGACCTTTTTCTTTTGCTTGCGGCAGGCATCGCAGGCACGACCTGTCGGTACGCCTGGCATTTCCTTTCCAGGGGATCTTGGAGGGGTAAATTATGTACAGAGTTGATCCTGGTAGATCCTGGTGAATGTGGGTATCAGTGCGGGTCTCTACCGCTACTGTGATATACGCGACTTGGTGTCACAGGCCGTCAGGAAGGGGGGGGGGGATTCTTTGTCGACTGCAAATATGCGTCTATCGGTACGCTAAAAAGCAAAGCAGTGAGGTTATTCGAGAAGTTGGAGCTGACGCTGCGCCATCACCGTCATATTCAGGGTCCCGCTTGCTAGCCGTGTTGGGCATGATGTGCCGCTCCAAGGCTGAGTCGGAAGCCTGTGATTGGAGCGGAGTTTACAACACATGCCCTTCTTTTGGGGGCCATTTGGGGTTCTTCAAGGCCCTGAAATCATTTTAAGATTGGGGGGCGGGTCTGCGCCTCAGGCTGATCTCGCTTGAGTCTTAACCCCTTTGGGCGCCATGTCGCGCTGACACGAGGAATAAGCTCATCGTTCGTGATGATAGTCGAAGGTATTTAGAAGAGGTGAGTCCCAATAGAAAATTCTTCATCAAATCTTTAGTTTTCTACAGTATTTTCCAATCATGGCTATCGACGGTCAAGAAAAGCCTCATGGCTACTATCTATACAAGCCTAGCCATATTCTACCAGCCGTGTTCGCGGCGCTTGTGGCTATTTCTTTGATCCTGCACACTTTGCAAAATATGTTTGTTTTCCTGGTACAATGGCATTCTACATTTACATTATACTAATTACTCCCTACTCTAGTCGCTATAGATTCTGGCGCGTTACATTCTTTATCAGCTGGGGAGGTATCATTTTTACCACTGGATGGATCCTTCGATGTATCTCCAGTTACTATCCTGACCACCTGGGACTCTATGTTGCTCAGGCTGTCTTTATCTATCTAGCCCCGCCTGTATATTCGGCTGCCGCATACAACATAGTCGGCCGTTTGATGAACTATCTCCCCATGCATGCAGTCCTGAATCCCGATCGCGTGTTAATCTTCTTCGTCTACCTCGGTGCTGCAGTCGAGGGCATGACTGCTGCCGGAGCTGCCAAGAATGCAGCGGCTGGAAAGGAGCTCGACGAATACAAGAAGGGCGGCCAGCTTATCGCTGCTGGTCTCATTCTGCAAGCTGTTGTGGAAATGCTAGTCATCGCGCTCGTGGCGACAGTTCATCGCCGCGCAGCAAAGGCCGACAAAGTCACTACTAACGTGCAACTTGTCTGTTTCACCCTATACGGAACCTCGACCTTTGTGGTTTTACGCTGTATCTTCCGAGCTGTCGAGTCCTTTGAAATGTTCGACAAACTTGGTTGCACCGAGAACTGCGGAGCCATCCTCAGCAATGAATGGTATCTCTATGCATTCGAACTAGGCCCCATGTTGATATTTACCTACTGGCTGAACCTATTGCACCCCGGGCGCTATCTGCCCAGACAAAAACATCGCTATCTCGGTACAGATGCTCGGACTGAACGCGTTGGACCTGGCTGGAGAGATCGTCGTAGTCGATGGGAGACTTTTGTCGACCCCCTTGACGTGAAGGGCATGTTCAAAGGCCAAGCCTCGCATGAAAAGTTCTGGGAAAATCCCGAGCAATGGCCTGCCTGTACAGATGGTAGTTTTGCAGAGGGAACGGCCTCGAATGTCAAGAATCAGGGTTATTCTAAGGAAAATGTCTTACTTGCCAATCAAGCCTAAGGTTTCTCGATATGGGTATTGAGGACTGGAGTGGAATGGGATGTGAGATGTGAGATGTGTGATTTTATTAATTGAATACCTAGGTATCAACAGGCTCCAACTTCCAAGGTTCGAGACATTTCTTTTTTTTGGGGGGGGTTGTTATATACCAAGCGATCTCTTTGCTTTTTTACTCTGGAGGTTGAAGTGAAGCGAATGTACAATATATTTTGGGGGCAACTTGAACTTTTCGAATACAAGGGCTTCTTTGATAATCTGTGCCGAAGCTGCATTAAAGGATGTCATTGATCTGATTGTAGGTGAAAAAAACCTCATTAAATTAGTAGGAAGTGGAAACATATAATATTATACTTCAACCCCTCAGAGGCCACTGGCAGATAAGTTCAGCGCTCGCCGGTACTTTCCCGCTTCCGCCCCGCTCCGTCTTCCGACCGCGCATCCATCCACCTACAATTTTGCACCAAATCGTACTGGAGCACGCTTTTGTTAGCGATAGACCCCGTCTCAGTATTATAGTCCGGCCAGAGGTTGGTATGGTGTCCGTCTCTTACTAATGGCGACTACCGAAGAGGAGCGTCCGGCGAAACGTGCCCGTCAGGCCTGTGAGCCATGCCGGTAAATGCTTAACTTTCCCATCCAGGCGGACTTCCCGCAGATACTGACTGCTTGACAGGCGGAAGAAAACAAGGTGTCCCGGAGAGAAACCGATTTGTTCCTTCTGCGAGAGACTAGGCCAAAAATGTCTATATGCGGGCACGGAGGTCGTGGAAGAAGGTTCCGACTTTGCAAGGAATATGGTGAGAATACCAGGCCTAGCTCCAGTAAAACCATGTGAATTCTGCTTCTAATGGATTCTAATAGGAAGACCGAGTTTCTCGGATCGAAGATAAGCTGGAGAAATTGATTGACTTCATCACGTAAGTACTCGCTCGGTCCACCGCCAGCTCTTGTCTCATTTATGAATCACAGCCAAAGTACCCAAGAAAAGGCCCCAGGGCCCGTCGCCGAGAGAACTACACAAGAAGAGCCTTTGCCAAATCCTAATTTCTCAACACCAGATACTGATGTCATGTAAGATGTCGAATCCTTCAAAAAAGCTCTGTTCTCGCACTAACAGATCTTCTAGGGCACACTCTTCTGATTCATCGGCTCTTGATCTATATTTCACTTTCTGCAACTCTCAACCACTTTCGTTATTTCCTTGTGGGGCATGTCCTGACAATATTGGGAGGAGAGACCCTGAACTACTTCTCGCCATGGAGGCCTTGGGCCTTCGATTCCAGGGAAGAGGGTTCAAAGACAGCCAAATTGAGTCTGAAATTCAAAGCAAGACCAAAAGGTCCCGCCAAGCCGTCATGTCGCGCTTAGATGATGGGGCTGTGGAGCTTTCCACGATACAGAGCCTTTGTTTGCTGAGTATGCTCGATTACACAGGTGAGGATGGCTACTAAGTGCGGAACAATTTTGCCATTTTTCTCACGCTGACTGCTAGTTAGCTGGTAACTTGATTCGTGCTGGTTTCTATTCCCGCATGGCTGGGTATTTTATTCGAAACACTCGGGTAAGCGATTTGGAATTCATCAATACATTAGACAACGAGCACGATGAGCGGAAGCTCTGTCACGCGAGTGTGATATTGCTCCAAAATCTTCAAGGAAGCCTCCATGCATTTCCACCAAAGGATACCACAGACCTTTCTTGTGATACGTGGCTTGCGACTCCAGTATTTGAAACAATGATATCAAAGAAAGACACCCGGCGGGGAACAAGCGACTTGAAGCTAGACATCGGAATCAACGCCGCTAACATGCATGCCAGTGAGCTATGGGCTTTGGCTTGCAAGTACGCGATGGATTATCGCATTGATGCAAATCCTCCATGGCATCCGCAATCTCATTATGGAATGATCACATACTGGCACACTGAGCATGAAAGCTGCATGCCACTGAGATTTCGGCTGCACGCAAGCCGGTTCCAAGACTATTCCTCATCAGATCTACAGAAGTATCGGAACTACTGGGGCCCATGGCTATTCTTCCAGATAGTATGGCATGCAGTCCCGTGTCTTTTGAACCATCCCTTTCTTCTTTCCATGCGTCTGAGAAACTTTAGGAGAACCATGCCTCAAACATTCCTTCGCAATTCCTTCGAACAACTCACTCTACACTCCGGCTGGATAGTGCATTTCCTTGACCTTGTGGAACATAAGCGATTCGAAATATCCGACCCCACTCTAGGCCATTGTGTTGCGATAGTTGCAACGATCTACCTTCAACACAGTTTCACGGAAGATGAGGCATTCAGCAAAAAAGCCCAAATGGGGCTTGAGAAATGTATCCGTTTCCTACAAAAGATGGCCCATCGATGGCCACACATCGGTCGACAAGTGAGTTACAAGTCCAGAGATTGAAGCTTCAAAACTAATCATAATATTCGTCAGGCACAACAACTCGAGCAGCTCCGGGGCAGTATCTCCCCTGGCGGCCTATTTACCGAGCCGGGGTAGCAAACTCTCCTCTCCAGCCCTAAATGGTCCGTTAATTTCCAGCTTCTCTGGAAGATATTAGTATATGCCCACGCGAGCAAGTCACCGGACCATTCAACTGATATTTTTGGTCCTATACTGGGCAAAGATAGCGTTGGGAATTCTGGAATGAATTCTACTGGAATCATTGCTGAACCTGATTTCGCTCTCATCGGATCTGCTGGTCTCTCAGGGCACAAAACAGTAGCATCTGAATGTGTCACATATCCCCCAGAGCAGGCGGAACACATTTCACAAGAACAGAATGCGCTAGGTCAAAACCCAGCACCTATAGATCTATCGGAATTGCCGGAAGACCCGGCGTTGGATTTGAACTGTGGCGACACATTGTTTCTACAACTTCAAGATTATGGGCGAGCATTCGAGGACTGGCTTAGTGTGAATCCAGGGTGAGAAGAAATAGTCAGTGTATACTGGTATAACATATGATGCAGTCGATCATGGCATTCGGGACGCAGTTTCTGGCAGACCCGGTCCACTCCCGTCTTCTCCGGGTGCCAAGACCCGGTAATTCTCCGGGTGTTCCTGTCAAACCGCCACATTTCAGCTTTTAAATACTCGCGCATCCAACACTTTTCAAGCCTTCAGAATCTATCATACGACAGTAATCAAAGTCTAAAAATGCCTGCCTCTAAGAATGATTCGATTATAATCGTGGGCGCTGGCGTCTTCGGCCTGTCAACGGCCCTAGAACTGAAGCAGCGCGGATATACCAACATCACAGTTTTGGATCGATACACGCCTCCGGCTGTCGACGGAAGCAGCGTGGATATCTCTCGCATTATTCGCATTGATTATGCTGATCCGGTATATTGCAAAATGGCCCGTGAAGCCTACAACGGCTGGAAAACTGAATACTCTGACCACTACTACGAGTCGGGCTTTGCACTGCTCTCGGAGACGCCTAACAATGACTGGATCACTAAATCCGCAGCCACCGTGAAGGCAAATGGCGGTACTATCGAAGATCTTCCCGATGCCACCAAACTGATCAAGTCATACCCAAACATCCAGTCCAACCTGTCCGGCATGAATGGTTACCTCAACCGACGAGGTGGGTGGGCCAATGCTGCAGGAAGTATCCAGCAACTGGCCTCGCGATGCAGCGTGGAGGGAATCTCCATCATCACTGGCCCGCGCGGTACCGTACTTTCCTTGATCAACGAGGGTTCCCGTGTCGTCGGTGTCAATGTGCTTAGCGGTGGCTCCATCCGTGCCTCCCAAGTTATTCTCAGCACAGGCGCTTGGACAAGTCGACTGTTGAATGTCGCGCACGCCGCTTCATCTTCGGGCCAGCCAGTTGGCTTCATTCAATTGACTCAAGATGAAGCTCGAACTCTAGATAACACCCCCGTTATGATCGACATGACTACCGGTGTATTCGTCTTCCCGCCCACCCCTGGCTCCAACATTCTGAAGCTCGCTCGCCATGGATACGGCTATGCCAACGAAACCACCACCATCAACGATGGAAACCGAACAATTTCTGCTCCGAAATTGGAGAGCAGCAATGCGCAGACCGGATATATCCCAGGAGATGCAGATGACAGCCTGCGCGAGGGCCTGCGTCGCTTCTTCCCCAAATTTGCTCAACGTCCCTGGTCGAACCGCCGTTTGTGCTGGTATACCGATACTCCCAAGGGCGACTTCATCATTGATAATCACCCGAAGTATGACGGTCTTTTTGTGGCCACCGGTGGAGCTGGACAGTAAGTACCATCATATCATTCCCCTCGTAAGCAGGGGCGGCCGGAACTCTTCAGCTAACAGTCAATAGTGGATTTAAATTCCTTCCGATCTTGGGTAAATATATTGCAGACTGTTTTGAGGGCAAGGCCTCAAAGGAGCTTCGCGAAAAGTGGCGACTACCTCCATCGCCAGGTGGCTCTAAGGAGAACAATATGGCGGGCGATGGAAGCCGAGCTGGACCACCTCTGAGGAAGCTCAACGATTATGAGAAGGCTCGCCTGTAACATGTAAACATCTTATATTGGTGCACTTGGTATAGCCGTGACGAAACAATAAATAAAAATCCAATGAGAGATCTTTTTCCATGCCAGAGATGAGAGCCACATCCTGCCACATCAGAGCCACATCGCATGTGGGATCCAACCACAGGGGCAAGATGCTCGGCTCCTCCGGCATGTTCTCCACTATTTATTGCAGTTATTGGATCGTGAGGAGTAGAAAAATTTGATTGTAACTGGTCCTGGGTCTTCCGTCACATAAATCCATGTGGGTGATTGGCAGAGGTGGATGTGGAGGCTGTTGCTTGGTCAGGTTGCGGGGGTGGGGATCGAAACAGGCCGGTTTTCTCTTTAGCTGCTATAAATACGGCTTGCTAGAACGATGAATTATAATCGTTCGACAGCTCAGAAATAAACACATCATGGCATTGAAGCTGATGGATCAGCCGATTGAATGCGCACTGGGAATACTCATCGCGTATATTTCCGGATACATTATTTACCAGCGATTCCTTCATCCTCTCGCAAAATTCCCTGGTCCATTCCTTGCTTCACTGACCGACCTATGGCAAGTTTATCAATTCATAACATTGAAGCAACCTTACACCCTCACAAACCTTCATGAAAAATACGGATCCATCGTCCGATATGGCCCCGATAAGTTGAGCATAACCGACGAGGAAGCCGTCCGATTGATCTATCAGACCGGAGCCAGGTACATGCCCAAGACCGAATTCTACGATGCATATGGTGCGGCTCACCCGAATGTATTCGGCATGCGTGACGAAGCGGTTCGTCAATCTTGCTCCCCTGAAACTGAACATTCTACTAATACGTCTCCAAGGCCCACTCCATTCGACGACGGCACATGTCACACAGCTTTTCCATGGGCTACGTCAAAGAAATGGAGCAATATCTGGATTCAAACATAAGGATCCTACGCGATAAAATATCCCACCACGCCTTGAATGACGAGCCATTCGATTTGAAAAAGATATTGCACTATTACACTATCGACGTCCTAGGTGAGCTTGCTTTCAGCCAAACATTCGGTATTCAAGAATCCGACGATGAATCCCGTATCCCGCCCGTGATTGAGCATAGCCTGTTGGCAGCTGTCACAGGTGCCTGGCCGGCTATGACGATGACTCTCAAGAAATGGCTTCCTGTAATTCCACACAGGGGGCTCCAGGCTTTATTTAAAGGTCGCAAAGCCTGTGCAGACCTGGCTTCTCGATGTGTCAATATTAGATTGAGCACTCTGCGGTCCAAGGATGGAACGCCAAACGATTTTCCAGAAAGAAAGGACATTTTGACTAATCTTATAAATTCCAAACACCCCGATACGGGAGAAAGTCTGACTCAAATTGACTTGGAGACGGAAGCATTTGGCTTCATGTATGTTTCATCTTCACGCTTTACCAACCACAACTCGCTTATTTCTTGATTGAAATGAAAATTAACTAACTTGAGCCCCAGCATCGCGGGGACCCATACAACAAGTGCCACAACGACACTGTTATTCTACCACTTGCTGCACAACACCAACCTCATGAACAAATGCGTCACCGAGATTGACGAAAAATTGCCCACTCTCCAGCCCAACGAAAGTGCGTATTCGGTGACAGATGCCGAAGCCTCTTTGCCATTTTTGCGCAATTGCATAAAAGAGAATTTCCGAATAACCCCTGTCTTCACGATGCCACTCGCAAGACGAGTCTTGAAGGGTGAAGGTGTGATAATTGCTGGGAATCATATTCCGTCCAGGGTAAGCTCGGCTCCTAAGTAGTAGCCCTTCAACGTGATTTAAACTGACAATTTCAATCAATCAGACCTCTGTTGCAGTTTGTAACCATGCATTCCATCATAATCCAGAGGTTTGGGGTGAGGACCACAATGTTTTCGACCCGTCTCGATGGGATATACCCGAGGTGGCGAGCAAAGCCCGGCTCTTGATGCACTTTGGTCTTGGGGGTCGACAATGTATTGGGAAAACTGTGGCTATGTCCAATATCTACAAGTTGATGAGTACGCTGCTTAAGGAGTTTCAATTTGAATTGGTGGATGGAAAAGAGAAAGCGAAGGTAGGGAGGGGTGGCTTTCAAGGGGAAATCCCGGAGATGATCAGCGTTGGTATTAGTGATCTCGCCTCGCCGCTGATGGTGAAAGCTCGCAAGAGAAATTAAATAGAATGAAGCGAGGGTCTCAAGTATAGTTTATTTGAAGCCCTGGAGGCATCTAGTTAATTGAAGATCACGTTATGCATAGTATTTGCGAATTATTAGTCAATATATATGAGGCAAAACATTGCTTCCAAAGATTGGCTGTGCGGATAAATCCAGAATGTAGTAAGCTTCACCATGAGCAGAGGGATTGAATATTCAGAGCAGAGCGTAGAAAAAAAGAATAAAGCTGACGATGCATCATTGCAATCCAATGCGTATTTTGTGGGGATGCAAGGCAAGCTGAGTCGAGACTAAACAGGAATGCAGACCAGAAAAGGATATTTTACTTCTTCATGACTTCTTCTCGGAGCTTTCTGCGACTGCAGATCCTCCCGGGGAAGTGTGGAAGTGACTGGCAGTGCTTGCAGTGCGGCTGATACCGGGGGTCGGGGCCTTCTCCTTGGCATCGATGGCAGGGGAGGCAGGGGTCGTCGAGGCCGGGCTGCCGGCATTTTCCTTTTCCTTCTCAGCGTAGACTGGGGGCTGGTTCTGAGAAGTGCTACCGGTGGGGCTGGTGGGTGTCGCAGCAGCAGCAGCAGCAGTTGGCGAAGTTGCAGTAGGCGAGGTTGCGGTTGACGCAGCAGTAGGGACAGGGTTGCGAGTGGAATCCTTGATAACAGACCACCACTTCTCCGCATCAGAGGCCGAGTGTGCCTTGAAGCTAAGCTCGGTTGTGGTGTGGAATGCATTGCCAACCTTGCCGCTGGACACATCCTTACCCTTGACGTTGAATTTCACACCGTCAATGGCACCAACAATGGAGTCGGGCAAGTACAGAGACAGCTGAGGAGTAGGATCCTGGCGGAAGTCATCATTGTCCTTAAACTCGTGCAGGTAACGGGCCGGTGTGACAACGTAGTAGCCGGTGCTGTAACCCTTGATGACAGCACGGGAACGACGCTCCAAAGACCCTTCCAGGAGAGGCTGTGTAGATCGGTGATCCATGTTGGGGAAGGTGACGCTCTCGAATGTACGGGGAGGTGAGTCCGGGTTCACGAGCGTGGAGTCGTTGCGAACGACAAAGTTAACCCACTCAAAGTCGGGTGGGATGCGTTGCGCGGTGGCCAGAATCTCACCATACATAGCTCGCTGGCGATCAAGCTGCGCACCCATGATCTGGAAGAACTGCTCCAAGGCGCCTTGCAGGGTCAGCAACACATAGCCCTCGAATGACTGGAATGAGTTCTGCACGGCGAGAATATCATTCCGGTGGTTGTTTTCTTCAATGATTTGCTTGTTCAAACGGTGGTTAATACCGCGCTTGAGGATGTAGGGGTCGTGTGCGGTCTCGATCTTGTTGCCGAACGAGGAGTCGTGAGTGGCAGAGTTCTGACCGAGCAGTTCGATGTGCTTTTGGGTCAGTTGGCGGGCCTTCTCCACGGCTTTAGCACCCTTGGCCGCCCCTGACTTTAATTCCTTGGATTTATTCTTGATCTCCTTGTGTAGACGTTCGAGGGTGGGCAGAACGCCGCCCTTCAGGTTCTTCTCGGTGTCGAGGTACATGTTGACCATTCCCTAGTAAAAAACACCCACCAGTCAGTGATGTGCAGTAAAGCAAGCCAATGGACATTGGAACTTTACCTGGGAGTTGTTGCGCATGTTCTCGATCAAGCCTGCTACACCACCAGCGCTGGAGCTGAAGTGATGGCTCTCTTTCAAAGGTTCATTGACCGTCTGTTCCGAGCAACTTGGTGATTAGCATGGGAAATTGCGCTTCGCACACGCAGCCACCGACCTTGAGGATTTTCTCGTGATCCTTCGACTGAGACTTGGAGATCTTCAAAGTGGCAGTCATATAGTCCTCCAAATTTCCGCAAACATGCTTCCATGCTCGCAGGCGTTCAATTAGGAGGTTGGTAGTCTATCCAGAAATCAACATAGGTTAGCAGCCGTTGCTTTGCTACCGCGGGGGTATTTATTTGTATGGCGGGTCTGCGTGGAACTGTGGTCCATGAGGATGGTCTTGACACACCTGGCTACTGTCGGTATCGGGGATGGCCTCATCGTCGCTCATAGAGGTGCGGCGAGTGAAGCTGCTGGAGACAGTTCCCGACCGCTGGGGGAGCTTGTGCTCCACGGGGCTAACCGGGGTCGACATGGCGGATAGCGGGAAGTAGGCGGTTGGCGGAGGAAGGGGAGGGAGAGAGGTCGGATCGGTCAGATCGAAGCACGCAAGGCTTGGAGCTCAAAGCACGGAGCACGAAGGTGTCACAAATTGACTGTCGGGTGTGTCGATCGTGTCGGGCAGATCGGGGGGGGGGGAAGATCAGTATATGGGCAACTGTGGTGGTTGTTAATACCGGGAGCGGAATAAGAACACTAGTCTGTAGCCGGACTAGTGGGAAAGAGAGAGGGGGAGAGAGAGAGACTCACCCCGGAGTGGGTCAGATGGTGGGCAGTGAAATGGAGGTGGGAGAGTCGAGGTTGAGGTTGAGGTGTGAAGTGACGAAGTGGACTGAAGTGGGATGTTTTTCTCTGCGATCGGCCATCGGTGATGACCTCATCGTGTCCGCTCTCGGCCCTTCCAAACATTCCCAACATTTCAGCCCAATCGCGTGTTCCTTGTTCCTCTATTTCTTATTTTTCCCTGCGCCAATCCAATCACTTAGAAGGAGGCGCACAAGATTTCCTCCAACTCAAATTGTGATGCCGATACTCAGCCACGTACATGTTTTTCCCCACAGTCACCGCGTACCACGTCCTTGGGTGGGCGCCACAGACGTGGTGGAGCCGCCCAAAGTGCGGATCGTGAGGTTGCATTGTCCTGGTAAAGGCTAAATGGTAAATAATGGAAAGTGGGAAATGTATAGGGGCTTCCAGAATTATGTGTAAGTCGGATATCATCGAAGCTAACCACAACTGTACGTCACGGTTCTATCCGAGTCCTAGTATTTACACAGAATCTTATACTCGTGATATGCAAGGGGGCTTCAAAACAGTTCCAATTTGACTGCAATACACCTGAGCATACTATAATGGATCTCTTTCAAAATTCACTCAAAAAAATATATCATCGTCGTTCTCCTCGCCCTCCGAATCCTGGGCCGGGTTCTGCTCTTCTTGCAGCATTTTGGCTCGATATTCCTCCAAGGATCGCCCGCGTAACAACCCTCTTTCGGAAATCCGGCGCCCACTCGTCACCGCGGTAGGTCGGAGGTTGACGATATAATGAGGCCAGATAGTACTGGCGTCTTCGAGAAATAGAGTATTGGAGAACGGGGTAGCCAAAAGTAACTTGAAACTCGGCTTCAGGAACTTATTCCGAACAGTCTGGTTCAAGATAAACAAAACATCATTCATCTCGGCTTTCCAGATCTCAGATTCGAACCGGTTTATACCATCAATGATGCAAACGACAGTGGTGGTATTCGGAAGTTGCTCAATCAGCAATCGGAATATACTGCAAAGATCCTGCAGATAGTGCGACTTGATTTGTTCTGCAAATGCTCGGGTATTAATAAAGTCGAGATTAAATGTGACCCCAGAAAGAAGTAACTGGGCGATTAGGCTTCGAATCAACCAGCTTGGTCCGTCGTTTTGATGGCTGTGGGCTTCATGTAGACCGCAGAACGCGTGAAGAACGATATAATGGGTGTTTTTCGACAGGTTAAGTGAAAGACTTGCGCACAATGCTGACAAAACCGAGATACGGCCGGGACCGACCATTTGAAAATGCCCTTTCACAAAAAGTGTCTCGGCGAGAGATGATTTCATCCACCTCAAGAAGTCCTCCGATGAGAGAAGTTGCTGTGCCTGGGTTTGAGCGGCGATATCGAATTGGTCCCGATGTCTAAGTACATGGTCGACATCTTCAATCGACTCATTAACTTGCACTCCAATAGCATGGAATAAATCAGTGTCGGAAAGAAAGGGCTGCGGGTAATACTGCGGTTGACTGCTATATGAGCTGGCAAGGGATGGAGTGTCTGGGCCTAAGATTAGCGGAGTAATTTCCACAACAAGGCCAATACAACTTACCAGGAGGATCAGATCGAACAAAAACAAGAAAAAAGTTTTTAGAATCCACTTCCTGGCTGTGCCGGATTTGTTGCTCCAAGCGACTCGCCTCGAACCCTCTTTTTAGAGAGTTGATATCCTGTCGAATATGTCCGAGGTCTTCTCCCATACTTTCCGTGTTCTCCTGGATGATTATGCCTTGATCAAGAATCACTTTGCTATTCTCGTGAGTGGCCACGAGGTACTCATCGCGGACCAATTGCAAACAGTCGCGGAACTTGCTAACACTTGTCTCCACTTCACCCAGAAGCTCGTCTATTTCTGCCGCAGAATGATACGGGATTAGCTTCTTGCCTAATCGTTTGGCCTTTTCTCTGAATTTTGCTTTTGACCCGCTGGGGTTGAGGGTTATGATGAGGTGTGCGAGGGAGTGCGCAAGGATTTTGTAAAGATGAATTGCCTCGACTCTGATGCTTGGAACCGCGGAGAAAACATTTTGTTGCTTCTGAGTCTCAAACATGACATCTGGGATCTCATGTAAGGCGCGGAGGATTTTCTGTCGATTTTCGGCATTTTTCTTCGCAATCTGGAGATACGCTTAAGCTTATTTTGTTCGACATGCCGCTCTTACTTTGGCTCACATACGTTCAGAATAGCTTTCAGCCCACCGGCAAGGACGCTCATCCCATTGTCGTTAGGAATCAACTCTAGCCAAGGACGGAGAGCATCCGCATTATCCCCTGCAAATCTTCCTACGTAACGATGGGCACCGGCTATGCCCTTTTCCTTTTTCTTATATCGACCGTCTGCTTCGGCTATCTCCAGAAGAACATCATTGATAGTATAGGAGACAAGATCTAGTCTGTACTTCTCCTCGGTTGTTTCATTGTATTCATAAAGGGCGACTCTCAGATCGTCTTCGGCGTTACTATATCCAGAGTCTGGCGTTGGCTCAAACCAGGTTGTCACTTCATTATAATGTGCTTTAGCTCCCAAAGCTTCATGGTATTTATCTCCATTTTGCTGCACAAATTGAACGTCGAGAGTAGCTTCATTCGTGGTAGATTTGAATATGGAAGAGTCCAGGAAACGCATTTTGGAGGGTGTCAGCGGTTGCTACAAAATACATCAAGTTGGGGCTTTGAGAGGGGGGGATGAAGATTTCATTTCTGTCAGCCCCGGGGGTCAAGTTGGAGGCTAGTGCTACCTAATAATGGCTGACCAGGCGAGGGCACGATCCTATCATACGCTTTGCTGACGTTCCCGTTCGTGCATTGGGGGCGTTAATTTCGCGGCTCTCATTCGGCATGTTGATATATCCTGCTGACGGAGTGGAGACGACGCCCGACGACGAACGGTTAAGCTACCTTAGGTCATTGGTGCTTTGCGAACGCTTGTGAGATAGTAATCGCACCATGCATGAATCTGGTGCATTTCTGTGCGGAAATAGCGCTCTTCGGCGTTATTGATGTGGTCCATCCCCGTCACGGTGCTTCTCATGGTGAGGGGTAGGAGGCTGAAAACCACCAGCCGCCTAGAATATAATGCGAGAAAGGAAAAAAAACACAATACCTCTGGTTTCACAGTGCCAATTCACTTTCTCACCTTCCCGCCTGTTTCGGCTTTCTCCCCTTAGTTAACCTTTTTCGTTATGGAGACTACGGAACATGCCGATTCCAATGGCGACGGAAACCACCTGGAGGCCCCTGAGGATGCTCAGGCCGCCTACATTCGAAAACTTGAGGATCGCCTCGTCGCCCTTGAGAACAAAATGCTCAGCATAGAGTCTGCGAGGTCAGAGAAGAGTGGCTCCATGAAAGAGGACCAAGCAGATTTGTCGGAAAATCATGATTCTGTAAAAGTCGACAAATCCTCGCTAAAGTCGGGTCACGACGGCTCCTCAAGTAGCGATGGCGATGTAGACAAGGAAAACGCAAAAGCAGAACATCCATCCTTCCCGCCAACTATTGCAGAGGTTCGATTTATGGACCTTGTTCAAGCCAGTCATCATGTTTTCAAGACGCCAACTATCCCCGCAATCGAGCTCATATGCTTCCCTAACAAGAAGGATGAAGAAGAAATTAAGCTCACTTCGTTCAGAAAGACTTTCAAGGACGTCAGCCCAAAGGAAGCAATAGAAATAATCAATGCAAACTACATGAAGCCACATGAGGCGGATATGAGCTTGCAGTTTGACTTTATCAATATTCTTTCACTGCCCCTTTCTCAGCTTCTCTGGTCAACTTACTATAACGAAACCCTGCAGCCAGATCGAATGGCCAGTTTTGGGAAACCCTGGATCTCATCTATCTATCGCCACGAAGAGGTGAAGAATAAGCTTGCAGAAATGGAGAAAGAACAAGAGCGACCACCAGACTCGGAAGCTGAACCTCTGGACAAAAGTGGCAAGAACAGCAACCTATTGGACGAATTTCGAGCATATATACGACTGATGGAGGATACTATCATGCCTTACTATGCTGGATTCAAGACAAAGACGGCAGCAGACAACTTGAAGATTTACTATTATGATATTTGGCATTTGTTTGAACCCGGGGAAATTATATTTTACCCAGAAGCCAAGGAAACACCCTCCAAGTCGGACTACACCAAACTCCAAAGGAGTAAAAGACCAGACCAGAAACTATGGAGAGTCTACACGAGATTGCGGAGAGGTGAAGAATACTGGGTGAAGGCATATTGTATTGATTACGATGGTGAATCCTATGTCTGCGTGAAGGAGTGGTTCTGCATCGAGAAGTTCGAGGGAAGAAGGAGCGTCAATTCTCTCACAGTATATCCCGTTCGATTTGCGGCTAACGGAACTAAGCTCTTGGAGGATGCCACGGAAGCTGGCAGAGAATTTATGAAGAACCGGGACTCGAAGCTAATGGGACACGAAGGATGGAGTTCGATTTCGGACCAAGACTCAGGTACAAGCCTCATTTACACATCTGGCGATGTTATGATCGACTTTGCGGAAACCTTCAGAGTCCATCCCGACTGGAAGCCTATTTCTATGGTCCCCGCAACATACTATCCGGGGGGCTGGGGGTCGGAACAAGAGGACGATGATAGGTCAAGGTGGTACTGGACTGAGGGAAAAGAGCTTAAATGGCATCATCCCGAGATGGTTTACCTTGGTGATAACCAAATGGCGCGGCGCACCAAAAGAGAGTACATCTTGGAGAAGGACAAATTTCTATCATGGTTACTCAAAAAAGCCTCATCCAAGTGGACGCCGCAAGAGGAAGATCTATGTCTACTTCCCAGTAGGCTTTTCGGTTATTCGTTCCAAGACCGAAGATTTGTCTCAGTGGATGCCAAAAACCTTCGACAAATTGAAGATAACAAAAACAAATTCAAGAATCTGATCATCGATCAGACTCACGAGGGTATGCTTCTAGCATTGGTTGAATCCCACTTCAGGCGAAAGGAGATCAACGAAACTACAGGCATTTCTACGAATCAGGATATCGTCCAGAACAAGGGGAGAGGCTTGGTTATTCTACTACATGGTGTTCCAGGTGTTGGCAAGACATCTACTGCGGAAATGATCGCGAGTACATTTCAAAGACCTCTTCTCCCCATCACTTGTGGTGATCTGGGATTGGATCCTGCGACAGTAGAAAAGTCTTTGAAGCAAATGTTCCGAGTGGGACAACTCTGGGATTGCATCTTGCTGCTTGATGAGGCAGACGTATTTCTATCAGAGCGAGTGTCATCTGATTTGAATCGCAATGCACTGGTATCAGGTTTGTGAACTCTGCCTCTATATCATCTCCCCAAATTTACATGACTAATCTATATACAGTTTTCCTACGCGTCCTAGATTACTATTCGGGCATTCTGTTTCTCACAACAAATCGGGTGGGCACCACCGATGAAGCATTCAAGTCCAGGATCCACATCAGCCTGTATTATCCATACCTTGACCTTGACCAAACAGAGAAAATATGGGCGGTCAACCTTGAAAGACTAGCCGTTATAGAGGCAGAGCAGAGTGCCATCCAGCCGCCTCTATCAATAGACAAGGAAGACATCCTCAAATTTGCCAAAAGACAATACGAGAAAAGCAATTTCGGAAAAGGCAGATGGAACGGAAGACAAATCCGCAATGCATTCCTCATCGCCTCAGCCCTCGCACACTATGAGAAGACGCATGGGCATAAGAAAGACGATAACAAGCACGACCTTAGCTCCCGGCATTTCAGAACAGTCGTGAAAGCTGGAACTGGATTTGAAAGATACCTACTTCAAGCGAGGGGCATGACGGATCAAGAAGCAGCATATCGTGATGGTACTAGGGCCGATCACGTCCTGTCAGCAGAGGGTGGTGCTGCACCAAGAACACCCTTGCCAACATCGGCACAACCTGCCCAACCTCCGGCTCATCCAGCTGCTTGGGCAGGTCAATACGCTTCTCATCCGCCCTTCACGCCTCCTCGAAATGCCTCTACGTATAACCTCGCCCATCATTCACCCGCCAACAGTTTGCATCCTCAGCAGCCGCCGCAGCCCCAACATTATGTCTATGAGGCAGCTGCTCCGCTGGACACATTTGGTCAACCCCCAATGGCTACAGGTTATCCCATTCAACGGGCACTGACGCCAGGATCATCTCAGCCGCAGCCTCAAGCGCATGGATGGATTACGCATGGCCACCACCCGCCTGATTATGATTCAGATATTTAGACGCAGATGACGCCCGGATACATCATATATGTGGACTTTATACTCACAACCTTGGAAGCGTGCATTGTATCTTCAATTTTCATTATGAATCTATTTTGTTTTGAATTGATTTTCGTTCTTTTTTTCCACTTTGGCCAATCACCCAGATGTGCTTGCTATGCATCGAGACAGTATGGCCTCCATACCCGCAATCGACCCAGTAGTTATCTACTATCTCCAAGTCCCAAAATTACTAGTCGTCCCATAAGGCTCTGCCACTCCCCTTCCGCCCCAGTAAAGCTGTTCTACCGATACAAATTACTTGATCCTAACAATCCAGGATACTGAGCATATGCCTGGGTAGAATACCAAGAAGTATAATGTTCATCTAGTAGCATCTCTACTACGGCAGTGGGAATGAAAGTAGAAGTAAAAGTAAAAGGTATAGCGCAAAGGCAATGCCTCTTAGGCAATAATTTCCGAAATTAAGCGACACAAAGTGTAGTAAGATAGATGTGTCTTGATAAGGATAAATAAAAAATAAAGGCATCTGTGCGTATCTCGTGGCTGCGGGAGTCTGTTTCTCGCCGTCTATCTCAAATTCCCCCGAAAAAATAAAAGCAAGGTGTGTGGTCATGTCCCGTCTATAAGATACCCGATCCGTTCTATGAATTTCCCAAACGCCAAAATAGACACAAAAAAAACGAAAAGGCGAAAGAGAAAGAAGATGATGCAGGGGGCAGACTAGGGAAGTCGGCTTGGAAAAAAATAAGGATATGCAAGGGTAGAATGGAAAAAAGGTTCAGTGTCCAGCACTGGTTTCGCATGGGATTTTTGAAAGGCTTTGAAGGGCATGAGGAAGAGGAGAGGAGAGGAGAGGTAGTGGAGGTGGCGGTGGTGAAGAGACGAAAGAGGCGAGGATATCACGCTCTAGCGCGCGCTTGTACTAAACGGAGTCTGCGGGCCATGTCGTCAGCGTTGTTGTTGAGCGATTGGAGATAGCTAGATCGATTCACCTCTAATGGCGTTGTTGGCGTAGAAAAGCCACTGGGGCGGGCGCTAGAACGGCCACTCCGAAGGTAGGCCTGCTGTGGTGACTGAAGCGTGGGAATGTCACTGGCCATGACCGTCTCGTAGCCGGGTAGCTGTGAGTCACAGGGGCCGACGGCAGCGCGCACGGCGGTTGAGTAGCTAGGCACTCGGCTCAGAGTCTCAACCTCGGCATATTGTGGGTGGAACGGGGTGGCCATTCCAGAGGAGATGGCCTCGTTATCACCGTCGTCAGAGGGCCGGCGGGACAGCTCTGGGCTGGCAGGAGTATGCGAGCCGGAGTTTGGAGCCGATCCGAAATAATCACTGAAGTGCACGTTCAGCTGGCGGGAGTTGGGATGGCTCTCGGTGGGGGAGTCATGAGGTTCGTTAGGAGAGGGGCGGTTTGCGTTGAGATTCGTCAGGCGGGTGTGGAGAGCAGAGGCAGATATATCGGTGTTCGTCAATGCGTTCATCGAGGCGAGGTTCTCTGCAGAGATATTACGACTGAGTGGGCCAAAAGGCGTTCCTGCTCCGCCGCTGCCGGGTCCTGGTGTCCGATAACCGTTTGGATCCACCTGGCTGTAAAGCTGATCGAACTGATGCTCTCCATATAGGGGCGGGGCTTGCTGGACAACCTCATCAGCTGCCCGGCGGGCTTGTTGGGGCGTGGAATCGCGGATATTGTTGTTTTCGTCAATGGCGATGTGCGGGGAAATATAGATCGATACAGGGAGTGTCGCGCGCAGCTAAATATACTGTTAGGGATGGCTCGAACGTCCGCGGGATTTTCTCGAAAACCTACCTCGCTGATATGCCCATCAGGGTTATGTAATTGAATGCGGAACTTCATCTTGTGGCGAATTTTGATACCCTTGGTGTCTGTATCCTGCAAGCACCGGGTGAGGGTTTGTGGCATGTCGAGGAACCGTGTGAACTGGTATCCCTCGGCTGCCTCATCAATGATTTCTAAACTTTCGTCTGCCAATTCATGCTCATCTGTCATGATGGTTCGGGTAATTTTGTAGGTGTTGCGTATGGAGTCGGATTCTTCCGGGTTGAGGGTCAGATCGTGACTCTCGATAAGCTGTGACGTAGTTTGTCCGATCCGAAGGCCCTTCAGCAAAGGAATCAATTTGAAGTCGACGCGGATAGAGGTGCCGAAAACAACGGCCTTTGTGGGCGTGCTAATGGAGTATTCGATCTTGTTGGGCCAAATATTGTCGACCGACTGTTGAGTAGGTGAGCATGAGGTCAATTTGCAGCTCGAGAAGGGGAATATTTACCATCGCATGTGATAGCTCGAGGGCACTGGGGTCGAGTGTTCGGATGATGCGCAAAGGTTTCCGAGCCACGATATCTTTGGCGTACTTGCGACCGATCTCGGCCTTGAACCGGTACATGACCCAGGTCTCGGACAGGCCCTCGACACTCTCAGGCATGGAGCCCTCGAGAACGACATCGAAGGGGTATTCGTAATTACCGGCCGCGAGAATCTCCGTTTTTCCTTTTCCAGCGTCGCGGAATTGCCAGGTTTTCTCGTAAAAGACGCGCTCTCTCCAGGATTTGCGGCCGCCAGCGGTCGAACTAGAAGGTAGATGCCAGCTGCGATGAGTCAGTCAATCAGGTCCGTTTTCATCTTATTTTTCCACTTATGTTTTTCTTTCTTTCTTCTGCTTCTCTTTGTTGCGAAGTAATGCGACTGGGGATCTTACCAGACACGCGACATGCCAGTGAGGTGCAGTCGCAAGTGTTTAATGGCGAGAGGCTCGGACAAGCAGAGGACCAAGGTCCCCTTCAAATGAGCGCTGGCGGATTCATGTTCGTTGCCACGAAAGACAATATAATCATCGTTCAAACTGGGAGGTGCGTTAGAGCCGCAGTGCAGTAGCATAAAATAGATGCCGAGTCCCCCACTCACCGGATATCGAAATACTTGGCGTTGCTTGCGCTCCCGCCGCCACTAAAGAAGCTGAGAGCCATTTTTCTGAGATGCCCGCAACGATCGGGCGGGCAATGAGGGGCAGAAGCAGTAGAAGTGAAGGATAGGCTGCAGGGGATGAGGAATGGGAGGAATGGGAGGGAAGAAGAGAGGAACTTCCAGAAGAGGGGTGGAGGGGAGATCAAGAAAAAAAAATAATCAAGCCGCTATGACACCACCGATGGGAAATTTGCGGATTTCCAGCGACGGGCGATCTACCGGAGGATGTCCAGAATCGCAATCCGGTCCGACCAAACGGGTTCCACTTGGGAGGTTCCGCTTCCGGCAGAGTGGCGATTTGATACAAATCTGCGATAAGAGTGGATGTGGATGTGATGGGAGATAGTGGGAGTAGGGGAGTAGAATGTAGAAGAGAGCTGAGTAGAATAAGCCAAAGAGAGATGAAAGGGAGAGGGTGAGATGAGGATGGTGGTAATGGTGGTGATGAGGATTTACGTCAGCACGCAGCAGGCACTTACGGGCGTAGTGGCAGCACTACTAGTAGTATACCAGTAGATATACTGGTAAATATACTGGTAAATATTAATAGTAGTATAATACTTGGTACTATTTACTGAGTTATATACACCCTGTAAGATCGATTACCCTAGCACTGGTCGATTGCCGCTATAGAGTGCCGTGGTTATAGCTATGCCTATGCCTAAGCTATGGTTATAGTTATAACCAACAACAGTTATAGTATACCGAGTATACCCCCGAATATCCCCCCCCCCCGAGTATACCCATCAACCCATCTCCAACGTGGCTATCCTCTTTTGCGCCCATCACGCCATCCTCGGCATCGCCCTTCCCGCACTTGATTTCTCCTAACACATGCGTGCATTCAGTACAGAGGACGGGGTACTCTGCGATGGATCCCTGGAGGACGATCTTGTGCCTGGCCTGCACAACATCCATGTTACACAACATTATCTTCCTGTTTGCTTTTCCCCACCCCACTTCAAGTTTGCATACATACACGCATACAGTACAGTATGTATTCGGTACAGAAGCTTAGGCTTCTCCAAAACATCGAAATTCGGACCTAGCCCTACTCTGATCTGGTCTGATCTGGTCTGATCTGATCATCGCGATGCATGCGCATATGCATGTGCATGTGCAGCCAAGGACCAGGGAGGCATGTGGATTCTGCAGCACCTTGTCTGTCACACAAGGACACCTGGGCAGCATTGCCAAATTCCTCCCCTCCCAGAGCGACTGGGAATGTGCCTGACAACCATGTGGACATGCCATGCAACCAGCCTAGTCTACCCTGGGATCCGTGCGTCTCTGAATGCAGCGATTCCCTATTAGTGAACTAATTCGGTGATATGTTTGTTTTTATTTATTGATATATGGTATGATTATTTTCCTATCGTTCTACTTTCTACTTTCAAGTCCCACTTATCTCGAGTACTCCGTATTACTTTGTAAAAAAACTCCATTTCTTCACATCTTGAGTCCCTGGCGGTAGCAGCGGGAAGGCCCTTTGCGGTAGACGATCCGCCCACGCCCCACCATCCCAAGTGTCAGCCTCTTCACCGGTCGCATATCCAGTCTTTGGGTCGGGTTCTAGACAAAATGACGATGATTTGCTACAATTGACGTGGGTGGTCGTCTTTGACCTACCGATGGAGTCCAACAGAGATAAGCTCGAGGCCGCCGAATGGACCCATTTTCCACCGCTGATGGGGCGCCGTGAAGGTGGCGTTCGAGATGTGTACTATGGAACCCTTGAAAGGAAACTGAATGTGATTTGCGCCGCTCAGCAAACTATAGTAGAGGAGCTGAACAAGCCGATGATTCAGATTGGATGGCCCTAACCCCTTTGCCCCTGCAGTTGCACTGCCCTGCACTGATCTCATTCACGGGTCTCGGCCTGAATGCCGACCAACGGGCTCCATCGGGATGCCTTTTGGAAGCTTCGGGCGTTCCCGCTTCACCGGAATCCCGACCTCGTCCCGAATTCTCTGCCCGACACCATTGCGCGTCCAAATCGCCATCGCACTTGCTCCTGTCGATCGAAGATTGCTAGCCCGTTTCGCAATTTTGTTCTATGTCAAAGGTACGAAGCCCTCAATACTCTTACGGATATTTGATTCAATATCGCACAATTCTAAAGTGATTGAAAGCCAAGAGTTTGTTACTACCTTTAGCATACCAAACCAACTCAGCGCCAGAGCAATGGAGTTCAACCAATAACTATGACTCGATATACTTCTCAACCTAAAAATTAAAAGAATACGAAATATCATTCATTGCCTTTTTCGGAGTCCACAAAATGCTCCGGGTACCATCTCAAGGTCCTCGACAGCATTTTCTTCCCGGCCCACTCGTACCAGTAGATCATGGACGGTGAGCTCTTCCCGCCGGAGTCTTGTACTCCTGTCTCGACCATTCTTAGAAAAAACTAGATCCAGCAACCGGTGTGTCTGTTGAGGTTCCAGAACCAGATCCTGTTTCTATCAAAGCGGGTACCATCTCATCATTGGTGTCGCAAAAGCTAATATTGTGGACCTGATTGGCGCAAGACATACATATTTTTCCTACGGAGTATTCTTTGAAGCTTCAATGTAGATGGTTAGCTGGTCGTGCAAAAGAACTTCATGTGCTCAGCGCGAAACACCTCGGGCACCCTTTCTTAGCCCTCGGCCCAATCAGTCATGCCACACACTGCTGTCCTGCTGTTTAGAAAGACCCGCTCGGCACTTCCGACATTTTCATCAGAGAAACACTGCTGAGGCAAAAAGCGAGAAAAATGAATTAGTAAAAAATACATCAAAATAATCCCGATTCGTTGCTTTAGCCAGGGCTAGCCAGCCTTATCAGCTCGGTTGAACTCTTCCGAGTCAAAGATATCATAGCTACCCTAGGGTATGCAATAGCTAAGAGTATGATGCGACAGCCAAGAGCCAAACCCCTGTGGAACCACAAAGGGAAGGGAGAGGGTCCTGCCTAATCATTCTTGCCAATTGCCGCCCAGAATTGCAGCACGCTCACACAAAGCAACAGATCTCGAGACCCACGGCGGACTTGCTAGCAGGATTTTCCCCGATTGAATTGGCAACGACAATCGGAAGGCGAGAATCGGCGCCTTTAGGAAATTAGATATCGGAGAAATTGCGAGCCTTCTGGCCCCCCTTGGCAAAAAGGACGACAGTATGGTCGCACCTTTTTTTTTCTTCCTATGTAGGCTATGGTTTATTTTGCCCGCTCGGTAAATTAAGTGCCGAGGGCGGAAAAATGGTGTTTGTGGTGTTCTCCGATGATCGACGCTCGTTTTCTAGACACTTTCAATTTCTTCCAATTGAGGGGGATCGACGTCTCCCTGCCAAGACCAGCGGGATAAGACCTTTTGCGCTGCCAGTTTGTCGTCTGATGTTGTTGCACCACATTGTTTGCAGATTGCATAGTACTAGTAACAGGATTGGCCTGATATGGAATGATTTAGTACCACTTCCAATGATTCAATTCACGACGGAAAACTGCATACAGTGTATACAAAATAATAAATCTAGCATGCATCTATGAACGTCTCAAAAAAAGACAAAAACTCCGCTGTACATGTATTAACAAAAGTCGAAGGTATTGCCTCAACAAATACAAAAGTCATATCTCGTCAAACCGGGGAAGTCCAGCTCGGCTGATCAAAATTGGGAAGACACTTGACCATAGCCGGAGGCGCAGACTGCCATTGAACAATCTCATCCCGTGCCAGACTCGGTCTAGGCTGATCAACATGGTCACCAACAGCCTCCTCATCGGAGTATGCGACATTAACTGCAGGCACGACCAGAACCTTCCCAAGGCCCTGGCGATACAAATCCTTCGCCAAAAGCGTCAGCTCACCCATATAGAACTCGCCAGGATCCGAGGCACGGAACTTGCCCGTGTCATCAGCGAATGAAGCCGCATCCAGGGTTACCATCACGCCCCAGCAAGAGTATACCTGGGAAGGCTTTTTGGCTTCGTATCGCCGCCTGCCATCTGGATCGCTCCAAAAGATATCTGGGATTATGGCCACGAGCCGTCGTGCGGGATTTCGAAGAACCTATCACCAACCAAGGTGCGCGATACCCAAACGTCATAAAATGTTGTGTCGTTGAAGATCCAATCAAATGCACAGGTCATATGTGCCTCCCTGGTTGGCGTACTGGAACACCAATTCGAGGATATCTTCCGGACACAGCACGATATCATTCACGAAAATGATGACTGCATCTGACGAGTACATTTCTCTCAGTTTATCGCTCGATCCCGACGAGGTCACGGACTTCAATGGAAGGAGCGCCATATTTCGTAATTCGGCCAATGTCTGGACACGGTTTACATCCTTGCTCGCCTTTGGATTAATGTCGCTGGATGATAGGGAAAATACCCGCCCATCGCATCGATGCGCTCTTTCAATGCGGTCAGGATCTCGTATGTCCCGTCTTCGAATCGGCCTTCGACGACAGCGATAGCGCAGTTCCTTGGCCCAAGTAATCGCATCGTTTCCACGATACTGCTCATAAGTCGTGAGATGATTCCGGCTGATTGGTAAAGATCCATTGCGAAGAAATATTTGATTTTGCCGTTGTCTCCGTGCGTGGAACTCAATTGACTGTACCGATGGGCAAGAACTTCGATTCATTGCCGCATCGTCTCCGAAGTTGAGATTCGAGCCCACGTATCTCTCCACGTCGTCGAATGACATGTAGACATTTGATGGGTTTGGTTCCTTTTCTGACGAAGTTTGACTTGCCGCTGTTGATCGATGTTCATGGTTTGACTCGATAACATCTGTCTCTTCAAAGAGTTGTCAGCTTGAGGTTCGTATTATGATTTGGAGTTGATCAAACTTACCGTCATGAGCAATGATCTTGACAGCTTGATTTCAGCGCGCCCCAAAGTCCTAAAATCGCATCGTCAGGAACTAAAGCCCGAATGCGATGGTGGCCGCTGCCACCAGGATCTGATATTGCCGAGGCCTCATATTGATCGTCAAATGCCGATGACAACACTGTATTTTGGGATTGAAAATAAGCTCCTCGGGGAGTGTGTATATCGACCATTACCGCGCAGTCCTCAGTCCCATCGCAAATATTGAAGAAAATATGGGGTAAAGCCAGACACCAGAGATGGAAATCCCTCCAGAGAACCTTGGAGCAGGAAGTCAGCTTATTGTCGCATCTCGTCTTGTCGGTCACCCCCATGCCACTGTCGATAAATAGCTGTTCATAGAAATTGGCCGCATCGAGCCGAATGGAGCTCCACTCGGTGATGATGGGGAGCGTGGTGGACGAATACACCACAAGCATTCCAATGGTACGGTTGCCGTTTCCGGCATTCCTGGGGTTGCGGGGGCCAGAACACTACATCAACTCCACCGGCAGACCGATTCTTAAAAGTTTAATCAATAAATAGAACTTGAAAATTCAGTTAAGCTTTTTCACACTGGATAGCTGGACCGTTCTGGGCACTCGAATTTTGAAATTTGAATTGGCCCGGAAACCATTGAACCAATGCATATATCGACTCTGTATAGAGGAAGCCTCTATGTTTAGCACCGTACTCCCGAGGTCTTAATTAGGTAAAGCATATAAGCGCACTCGGTAATTTGATAAAGAATCAAGGAAAATGGATAAGATTTAAATAAGAATAGAGGCCACTGACAGTGGAACGGATTATGTTCACTCTAAAGGGGTAGTTTCGACATAGAAATAGCACAGAATCAACAAAGCCGACTCCTCCAGAACAATGCAAACACAAAAGGCAGTCTTGCTCATTTTTGAACGACGAGAGCATCGCAAATATCGAAGAGGACAGGTCGTAAAGCATCAATTGAGGAAGAAAGGGTGTGAGGTATGAATCCACGCCGCCAAGACCCCATATCCTCTTTGCAGGGTTCTGAATTTATGCAAAGGGGTTTATTGGCAAGGAAATCGAAGTATTACGGTCGAGAGTAGGGTGAATGGGTTGAGTGGACTATGCGGAGCGTCCATCGAAACGGTCGGGGGTATCTTGAACCAGCAAGAGTGCTCATTATCGATATTGTCGTGAAGATAGGAGACGCTTCGGAGAGGGTAATAGAGTAGCCAAGGAGAGAAAGTTGCCAGTATCACCCCTCAGAATATCCAGCCCAGAATAATATAGATGGCGGTGCCCGCCGCGATGACGATACCTGCGATCTTCAGCACGGCAGTAGTGTCGCCTTGTTTCGCCATTCTGGTCAGTCGGGAGGCGCTGCCTTTCAGGGTCGTCGAGAAGGAGGAAAATGCTTCGCTCTAGATAGGTGAAAGCCTGTCAGTTCTGCTCTGGGTAACGATGATCCAGCCTGTAAGGCCAGGATGCCGTTGCACCCCAGCAAGGTCGTTGCTCTCTGGAGACGTACCGAATTATGGATCATATCCTGATCCGTAGCCTGGTCGTGAATATCAATCGTTACTGATCGCAAGGCAGAGACCTTGGAGGAGAGAGAGTTGAGGAGCGCATTGTTCTGCCTGGAAGAGGCCGTTAGCGAAAGTTGTCTAGTAGATAGCGGCGCCGCCCCGGGGGCGACTGGGGAGTCGAGGAGTTGAAGAGGCAGCTCGGGGAGCTGCATAGATGGACACGTACTGCTCGCGCTCATATCCTTCACTCATCTTGATGGGTTGGAGATGTATCGATGGCCTCTTTCGGGGCGATTTAGGAGGCTTGCGTGGCTGCTGGCTGAGAAAGAAAGCAGGCAAGGTGGCTCGGCCGGGGTTGACGGTGCCGCCTCCGCGATTGGTCACGTGCTCTCAATATATACAGCGCGCTGCTGATGAACCAGAACGAATCATAGAGGCAAAAAAAAAAATTCAAGAAACGAGATTTTTGGCAAGCTCGAAGTTTTTAACCCGTGTTTACCTCCCCTTATCTTCAATTGTGTCGTGAATAGTGTACAAGAGCTGCGCATAATCAGTCATCCAGTGAGACCCAACTTCGTCTAAAAGACTAGCAAACTCCAAGATGATACGCTTAGCATGCTGAGCTCCAGATTGATATTTCTTCCCATCCATAACAATGGGACCACCGAAATGAATAAATCTGACCGCTGCATTTTCTGAGCTTGGGAATTTTGGCAATTCAGAAAAGCCCTCTTCCCCGATGGTCTTCCAATCAACATCCGTATTAGATAAGTCAAATGCAACATTTTCATGGACTGGTGAGTAGATGGGGGAGGATTCTTTGGCAAGGAGGTAAAATCCAAGGACCAGCGCCGACATGAATAAAGTTCGGACGGACTGAAATGCTGTTCCATCAGCCGGCTTGCGATGTGATAGTATCCGAAACGTCTGAGCTGCATGGATGCATGCTCGTCGTGAAGCATCTGTTTCTGTCCACGATATCAATTCCTGTCGAGCCTTGTTCATAGCATTTGGTCCTTCGCGACCTGCGGCGCGTGCTAGAACATTGCCATCCACGCAGACAAGCATGCAAACGCAGTGCCAAATAACAATGCAGTTTGGATTTGATTCGCCGAGCGTATCTTCGTACTCATTAATGGTATTAGTTAGTAGAGGTACGCCAATACTCGCCCGCCTGTCAAGCCGGCAGACCATCCAGGGAACATGGTGATGCTGGCTCGATGGCATTAATTCGGATTTGGTGACCAATCGATCTATATCACTTGAGACCCGGAGGAGAATGGCACAGAGAATGCCATACATTGAAAATGCATGGATTGGTCCCTCTAGCCAAGGGAGACGAAAAGTTCGGGGCGATAATTCGAAGGTCTGGGTGGCATTTGAGTATTGAGCAATTAGTTCCAACCATTTACCATGGTGATTAGCTTGGTAGATATCGTGGTTTGCGGGCAGTGCAAGCTTCAGGTTATCTGGCTGAATTATTGAATTCATCGAAAAAAGCTCCGAGAGCCAGGCATCGTGAAGCAAAAGACCAAGTATTAGGCTGCGCGGTCAATAAGTCAGACCTGAACAAAATTATTGGAGATGGGTGTATAGGCACTTTTTCGTTGATTCAACTCGAGCCCATGCTTGCCACCTTCTAACACCGCCTAAGGACGACTCAAGAATGGAACATTCTATTTCGTCCACGGTAAAACAGAATAAACCAAAGTCACATGCTGTCTAGGCAATTATAAGCCATGGGCCTCCAAGATAATTGAGATGACATACCGAGAGACCATAGATATAAAAGGCCTTAGCCTTTTCTCTGCAAATGGTACCCTGCACTCAAGTCAGAGCTTTAAATCAAGAGTATTTCACACCTTTAAACTCACACCCGTCGAAAGAAAGAGGAACAGAACATGATGGCACAGAACTAGGGTATCGAGAATATCGGTTGATTTCTGGTACTTTGAAGCCGCCGAGATCAATTGTGTAAAAGCCTTTTCCAAAATATGCTTGGGAAAGATAGAAATATCAGCATTTAAGTGTATAATTCCAAGGTCACAGACAATAGCATTCTCACTGGATACGTCATTCGGATGAAGGTCACGGCGTTTTCTGTTTTTAGAAGCGAAACACCAATCATACACATTGTGAACAGGAGTATGCCCGAGACTTTCTCTGGATTGAAGGTCGGTAGATGGGCCATCGGGTAGGCTGGCTGGTATTTTCGTGTATAGAGGTAGAATCCTTGTTCAAAAATCTCCGTAGTATTTCTACACAGAGAGCCTTTATCACAAGTCATCTTGTCATCAAATAAGTTTGTGCAATCACATATCAAAATGTTCTTTTTGAGAGTCATGAGACGTTCCTTAGTAGCATTCGTAAGGTTGATCTCAATTGAAAAGGAGTCATCAACCGAACGCAAACTCTCGCTTCTGGTAGGGAATGCATGTGTCGACGTAGGAGGGCTGTCAAAAATATTTACCGCCGATTTCGATATAATTTCATGCCACAAATGTTGACGCTCCATTGGTAGAACACCGGCCGGCCAGGACTTCTGAACCTTTGATGCTGTTCGAGCCTGACTGCTCGACGGGGACATGAACTCTCTCGTAGATACAGAGGGTACGAGAGCATTTCCAAAAGGTGGATGCATCTGGCCGCTTTCCGAATAACCTTGGCTATAATTGATAGGTGTTTGTGAGGGAAATGGAAGCTCAAGCGAAGAGTCGAAGAATATACCAAGGAACCCGCTTGGGTCTACGCCCAACAAAGTATCCCTGTTACCGTCCACTTGTGTCCCTGGAAAACTGAAGACACTTGCTATTTCAGTGTTGGCGATTGAACTATTAAGCTCGTCTTTGTCGGTTCTCAAAATACCATCGTCGACATGGCTATCCATGCTGGTCTCCGGAAATAGTGGAGGTGTTTGATGGGACAGAACGCGGAAAGGATGCGGCTTATCCTGGCCATAAAATCAACAAGGAGGGTCATACTTCGCGCCCAAATCGACTTAGGAAACCCACCGGATCATTTGTATGATCGTACCCGGCATGGCTCCGGCGATGACGGAGAAGAACATCTCTGAATTTTTTAATGAGCGTATCCAGTCTTTGGTCAAGATCACTCACCTCCGAGCGAAGCTTTTGGTGCAGGTGGAACACTTGTATGGTCGCTCGCCGGTATCTGTTCGGGGGCAAAAGAATGAGATTTCTTCCTTCTTCTGTCGGAATAACGATAGCATGTACAACTTACGGGCCAATTTGTGCCGGTTAAGATGCTCCAATTTCGAAAATGTCTTGTCGCATCTCGCACATGGAATCCTTCGCGCCATTGCTTCGAAACTCTTTTGCCGGGTTGGCCTCGGAGTATCAAGGAATGCGGAGAAACTCCCAAAGAGTCCGATGGTGATCTGCGGGGTTGATATTAGCATGACGAGAAAGGCTTAGACTGGAAAGCTCAAAAATTGTGGATGAATATTCTCCCGGCTCTAATCACTCTAGCGCTGTCAAGTCGTCCTAGGCCGCATTTTGTCCGAGAACTGCATCTCCCCCTAACTACTACTATCTTTGAAGGCAGACCGTAGCTTCCTTGTTCTGTTGACCCGTACCCCATGACAAAGACTACTGCTGCTGCTACTACTAGTTACTACTAGTAGTACCTAGGTAGACTAGTCCTAATGTACTCCTGTGTAACTACCTCCTGATCGTAACTGCCTCAGTCGTAGGATTTGTTTACCTTCTTCCTCTCCTCGCTCCAAGCCCTCGACTTTCCAACTTTCCCTTGCAAACTAACGGCGATGACTATGATACTAGTACCGACCATTGTGAGGTAGCAAGCAACATGAGAATGATTCACACACATACAAACAAAGAGCATTGTCAGCTCTAAAAAATATTTACCGCTCTGGTAAGTGGATCTGTTCTATACTCCCCTACATGCGATGCCTCCTTTTCCATGCATGCCATGAGGTCTTGCATCGAATCAATGGATCAACGTTGCGTTGCCCTTCTTGATTCGTCTGGTTTATCCGATGTATACCCTTGCTAACGTAGAGAAGTTTCAGGTTTTACCGCTTACAAGGCGACGATGTCCTCGAATTACGTTGGCTCGGCCACAACTGCTAGCACACAATAGTGCAAAAAGCGCAATTCGTTGCGGCCTCGACGTCTTATTGCTGAAGCTTTGTCAAATGCTTCAGAGCCCATGACCCAGAAGTGCGAGCTAGGTCAGCAATGCCAGATGCCAACCTTCGCCACGGTATGCATTGGGCCAGGGCATTCCGCTAATTCCAGGTTTATGGCGGCCATGAAACAAAGAAATGCTTCAATTGCAAGGCGGAAAACCTCAGAATTGTCCAGGTAAGAGCCTTCAGTCAACAGACCTACGTTTTATTGCATAATTTTAACGTGTAATATGTGGAAGTAGGTGCAGAAGCAGCCCTCTCGAGTGAGGACAAGGCCCATTCTCGCAAGAGGGCCAAGGGCGAGGGCATGCAACGCCGCTCGAAAGGCGGGGGAGGACGATATTTTGGAGGCAGGACATTGGATCGACCAGGAGTTTATGGAGGATCTTGTGGGTAAAGAAGGTAAGTCTTATATCGCACGCCTCAAATACATTATTACGCTATGTCTCATGCCATGCTATAACAGAAGATCGGTCTCCTGCAAAACCCTGGGCAGATAAGCTCGATCAGTATCGCTGGCCGTGATATTATGCATGGGCTCCAATAACTCCCAGCACTGTACAGCGACAAGGGCTTGGGGGGCTTCTGGCGTTCCCCCGGTGCTCTTTAACCGTTTTTACTTCTATCCGAGAACCTTAGCGAGGTGCGATGAAGGGGAAAACGTGTACTTTGTATCACGGTCCTCTTTTTTTGTATTTGTATATTATGCTTTCATATATAGTTATACTGAGTTGACTAGGCCTCGTTGGAGATTACTATGTTGGAATGGATGCTGTTAGTCTTTTGAGATACGTATTGTACTACTAGTAGTAGTTAGTAGCTATAGGTTTACAAAGCTAATATTTCATGATTGAATAAATAAGTCTTTATTTGGCAAAATGCATGTCCAGGAGAGGCGGCTTCTATCACAGGGGACGAAACAGTGATTCTAGGTGCGAGAGGAGCGATGGCGACGATGCTTTGGTCTTGCACTCAGTCCGAGCACAATCAACACCGGTCACGATGGTACATTCTCGGTGAGAGGCGTTCAAGGGCGTCTGACTTTCGACCAGGACCAGTCTGAATGCGCGATTTTAGAACGGTGGGACCCGCGGTTGTTTTATGCTGGCCCAGGAGAAGAAACGAGTGGCTGCCGTTGAGATTTCTGGCCTTTCTTGGGCACAGTTGTCCTGCAACCCCCACTGAATAAGCCATATTTCCACTGTTCTCAGTTAGTATGAGTAGGGTTGGTGTAGTGAGCACGTCAAGGTACCAAGGATGGCTTATTCGCAAGGATAGGAGAACGTCACACATTCATCGGCTCGATCTTCTGGATACAAAGAGCTGCCCAGCCCCATTGCGTGCAGGGATGCATCCCCGTGGGCAAATCAGAGCTCAGGCTGCTTCTGCCCAGAGCTTCTCGCTGGCTTAGCTCTTCTACCCACAGCCAATAACCGCTGGAGCTGCCATGCTCACTCGGCTGCAAGCCGGTCGGCTGTCGCCTAGCCTTCGGTAAGCCTTCGATATTCAGGGTCGAGACTGCACTAACTCAGAGCGTGCACGAATAAATTGAGCCAAATGGCCGGGGCTGCGATGTGATCTACGATAAATCCACTGCGGGGCCCCTCTTTTCCCCAGACACACCCCCGAATCTGAACTTGTTAGTGAATGAACCTCACCTTTCATGGGTTGCGGGGACTGAAGATCAATCAACTCTTTTAACACTCTGCTTGTGGTCCCCAAGAGCTTATCAGTGGGATCGTCGACATCATGGGTCGCAAACTCGGCCTCTTTAGGGCCGTTTACTTGGTCTCGGCTAGCTGCATGGGCTCTTTCGCCTTCGCCTTTGACACTGGAATCATCAGTTCGTCCAATATCACCCTTTAAATCCAACTTTCAGTCGGAATGACTGATAAATTCAACCCTTTTCTAATGCAGGTGGGGTCCTTTCTTTGGCATCGTTCCAAGAAGACTTCAATTACTCCCATTTCACTAAAGCTCAAAAAACGACCGTCAACTCCAACGCAGTCTCTATTCTCCAAGGGGGTGCATTTTTCGGATGTTTCCTCATTTCCCCGATTGCATCATATTTTGGCCGTCGCACAGGGCTCATCATCAGCTCTCTTGTGTTTACACTAGGTACAATCTTGCAAGTGATCAATACGGGCACTCTGGGAACTTTCTATGCAGGTCGGGTCGTTGCAGGCTTCGGGATAGGAGCAGCCACCGTCCTCATTCCGATTTACTCGGCAGAAATGTCTCCCAAAGAGATCCGCGGTCGCCTTGGTGCTTGTTTCCAACTATTTTTCGCTCTTGGCGTCATGATCGCTTATTGGACTACCTACGCCGTTTCAAAGGACCAACCCAATGGAACCAATCAGTGGCAGACTGCACTAGGCCTCCAGCTTCTGGGATCAACTTTCTTACTTATTGGCATGTGCACTGTCAAAGAAAGCTCTCGATGGCTCGCCTCCAAGGGAAGGATTGACAAAGCACGCGAATCGCTCAAGTGGGTTCGTGGCGGCGAGGAAACCGAAGAGCTCCAGAAAGAGTTCGATGAGATATTGGCCGGTATCGAGGAAGAGGCCCGCGTCAAGGAGAACCTAACCTTTCGCGAACTCTTCCTCCCTGCAAATCGATATCGATTCTTTATTGCTATCACAATTCAACTCTGCGCCCAGCTGACTGGCAATACTTCACTAGCTTACTATGCTAATCAGATTTTTCAAGCAGTAGGAGCCGGGGGCTCAGCGAAACTTGTAACCGGTTTCTTTGGCCTCGTGAAAGTGTGTGGTGTTCTCATCTTCCAAATATTTGTGCTCGATCGCATTGGTCGCCGCGTCCCGTTTATGGTGGGAGCCTTTGCAATGGGTTCATTCATGTTGATCATTGCTATCATTCTGGCAACGCATCCGGTTAACCCAAATGCCACGAGTCCCACCTCGGCTGGTATTGCCTGCATCATCATGACCTATGGAGAGGCATTCAGTTACAATATGTCTTGGGGTCCACTCCCATGGCTTTATTTGGGGGAGATCTTCTCCAGCCGCACGAGAGAGGCAGGAGTTTCTGTCGGTGCCGCTTCACAATGGCTTTTTAATTTCGCCCTCAGTCAAATCACACCTCACGCCATCGAGAACATCGGCTGGCGAATGTTTCTAATGTTCTCTATCCTCAATTATGCCATTATCGGATATTCCTGGCTTGTGCTGAGAGAGGTTCGTGCTTCTACTTTGTCGCCGGGAAGACTTTTGGTTAATATCGCTAATAGACATCGCAACACTCCCTCGAAGAGATGCAGGAAGTATTCGGAGGGCCGAAGCATGAGCAGAAACATGTGGAAGATGCGAAGCCTGTTGAAAGTCGCGCGGAGCCTACACCTAGCCTGAAGCAGTAAGCATTTGTAAATGATAGCAATTTAGCCCGACGGCATTGAGTTCCAAGGTTCATCTAGTATATTCCACTTCTCCACAAACACGACGCAGTAACCTCACTCCACTTAAAAAGTCTCGCATCACCCGTCTCTAGCCTGTTGCTCTCCCCAGGATTGGCTCGCTCCCCAGGTTTTGGCCCCGCGGCGGGGAAATAGCGGAGTTGAGATGCCTTGGCGTTGCATCGTCGATTTTAGTCTTTGGGACCTTTTTCTTTATGCCTCACTGCAAAGTCCCATCTCCCACGTTTCACCATGAACTGGGTTCCTCAAAACTTACTTTCTATGAATTTGACCGATTTCCTTTTGGATTACGAACTTAAACGGTTCGTCTGCCCAAGCAGCATCTCCATGAAGCCTATTTAAAACAACCAACTTGACCTAATGCGACGCCACAAATTCTTCGAAAACAACACGGGTCCCCATGTAACCCTTCTGATTTGCTAGCTCCCCTGTCAGAATTCATTTGTATCCGGTACGGAGCACACGACACAACGCGGCTCTCGAAGTCCAGCTACCCCAGTTTTAACGCTAGCACAACGCCACCTATCCCCTGGAAATTCTCACAAAGCCAAAGGCTCGGGGAACTACCCACGTAATGCAGATCAAATTTGATCCAACATACTATTAGACTGACTAGTATTTCTTTGTTTTTTTATTCAATTGAATATCCAATTTAAGGCGATCTGACCTCAGTCAGCTCTATTTCAAATTCCTCGCGCTGGCAGCATTGCAAATTCAGAAGGGTCGCCTTGGTCCTCGATCTAGCCAAGCCACGTCCAGTTACCAAGTGCCCTGATTACGTTTCTAATTTCTACAATCAGAATTGCGCCTCGGGACTTACTTCCCCAGTGAACTAAACCTTAAGTATCGTGCTGCTTACGACGCCCTAAAGAACAAGTCGGCTCGCTTCCACGGTCTATGATTTCCTACTTCTTCCCTGGGCCCCTTTTCATGTGATATGAAAGTTCACTTAAACTGTCTCGGCATATCTCTTATCTCTTTCCCTGGATCAATTCAACCCGGTAATGAACTAATTCACCATGAAGGATCGAGTTGTGCGGCCTACCGATCCCGACGCTCTGGTCCTTGAGGCATGGGGTCAGGGATTAATGGTCGGCAGTCTTCTCATCATGGCTGCTATCACTGCGGCCAACATGAAGAGACACATTCTTTTGCATAAACTGATTTTCGCAGAGGTGAGAAAGACTCTACCCCCCAAAAAGTTAATGCCAGTGCAATTGTTGGAGCGAAATACTTTTGATAAACCCAACTGACAGCCATTTCGCAGCTTATTCTCGCAATGGCTCATGGTACATTCATTTTCCCTCATGAGCCTACATATGGCTGGTATCTCTCTGTGACGGCGATCGGGTTAAATATTTCCTGGGTATTACACAACATCATTTCATGGATGAAAATTCGACCTTTCCTTTCACGCAAAGTCTCAATCTTCTACATCGTCACTATGGTGCTCTGTTGGCCCTATTGGGTATTGGAGATATATGCCAACTTTACCTATTTCAACAACATCAACGATATCTTCCTCAAGACCAGGCCCCTTGAACCACTCTTTCGGTATGATTCCTTATATCCAATGTTCTATTTCCATGATCCGTTGTCCAATGATTTTCACTGCCTGGCTGTGGGTGTTATTATGGCTTTAAGTCCATCACTAATTCTCCAAAGGGATCCCTGGTGGGTTCTAACAGGCCTTTGCCTCTTCTGGACGATCAAACGTGAATACAATTTCAAACTCTGGGAGCTCATAGTCGTCAGCCCACGATTTGGCGTGATGCTTGCATCGATGCTTCTCTCGATCGCATTTATTGTCGTCGATACTTGCAGCGTTCTCAACGCTTTCAGTGGCTCAGATCTTCCCACGGGTGTGGAGCCTTTCTGGAAGGTATCAATCCCTGCTCCTCGTGTCACTCGGAATTAAATCCGTCCAACTTGCCGATGTTTGTGATTGAAAATTTCCGACTAACAGTTGTCTGTAGTTATCATTTATCTTTAAGTGCCTATGCGACACCGTTATCCTGGACGACTTTAAAACAGCCCTCGATCGGCTTCGAACGTATTGGCTACGCAAACAAGCCACCGGCGAGGGGTTTTACCCACTGAGTGGACAGGGACAAGGACGTGAACGAAGTGATGATATTGAATCAAGTCAGGGAAAGATTGTAACGCACAAACTCGTGCGATTGGATAGACCTTCTTCTATTCCACGAGCGCTTCTCAGTCGGAAGGATGCTCCATAAGTCTATCCGTGGATTCATTACTGTGCTTAAAACTTGTGTGAATACAGTGCACTTTCAGTGAGATCTCTAGCTTAGATTTTAGCAGCCACATATCTTATTCGATGGGGTTAGTCTGAATCTGCAATATCGGGCGGCTTTGGCAACGAAAATGACGATCACAAGAAGTTCCGTTATAAGATATCTGATACTTTTGACTGTCACTCTGGTAGTGGTTCTATAGCAGTTGCCTTGCTCTTGTATTGGCAGCAAATGCAGTCCATTGATGATTAATGCTTAGTCGTCCACCCAGTAGCTGCAGGCCTCGCCACCACGCACAAGCCTCCCCTGCATCCCACCTCTCGGAGAATTGGGTTCGGAGAATTACGCCGACCCACCACGTTTATTGAAGTATTGTGAAGAACATCATTGTCTGGGCACATATCCAGATCTGCTGGCAGTTCATGGAGAAATATTCTAATTCTCCGACTTGCTGCAGAACCTGCGCATGGACCCTGGCAGCTACAGCTGAATACCCCCACGCAACTCCATATAATCGGATGATACATCGAACTACTTAGATACTCTCAATATCCAGAAGCAATCACATAATTGATTTACCGTCCAGAATATGACCCATAAGCTTCATCCCACGCGCTACTTCGGCCACATGATGAGTACCCAACCCATTCGATCGAAAATGAACCGTGGAACGTGGAACAGTACATTCTGAAATCGTGGTTTGCATTTCAAATATAAATAGGGCCTCGTCTCCCATCCTTTATATGCATCTCAACAATTCATTCTCATTCTCATTCCCAAATTATAAAAACCCCCTTCCACCATGAGCTCCATCGACATCCCCAAAACGCAGACCGTGGCTTTAGTCCGCAATCTCGGTGGCCCGGTTGAATTCAAGGAAGACTACCCAGTCCCCACCCCAGGCAAAAACGAGGTTCTCGCAAAGGTCCTCTACACGGGCGTTTGTCAAAGCGGTTAGTACTATCAACCAACTTGAATATATCCTCCCCACCTCCCTCCGTACCAGCCAACCTCGGAGTTGGACTCAAAACGAACAAACATCTCACTATAACCCCAGATCTACACACCAGAGCCGGCACCGCAGCCGGTCCAGATGGAAACCCAATCACCAAAATCAAAACGCCCCATATTGGCGGCCACGAGGGAATTGGACGGATTGTCTCGTTGGGCCCGGACATCACGCATGAGACTGGGGTCAGAGTTGGCGCGCTAGTTGGAATTAGATTTTCTTCTCGAATCTGCCGGCGTTGCGAGTTCTGTCTTGCTGGGACTGAGCAGTATTGCGTGCAGAGTACGAATCATTTGCATCATGAGGATGGTAGTTTTTCGGAGTATCTTGCGCTTGATGCTGATTACTTGACGATCTTGCCCGATGATTGTGATCCAGTGGTTATGGGACCTGTTTTGTGCGCTGGTCTGACAGCTTATAAGGTAGGTCGAGGCTGTTTTTTGGCGCGGGGGATTGTTTGACTAACTCTTTCAGGCTGTTTTGAATGCCAATATTCGGCCTGGGCAATGGGTGGTTGTTGTCGGAGCTGGTGGAGGTCTGGGGCACTTGGCAGGTATGGATCTTTTCTCAAATAGTTGAAGGGAGCAGTTGTTAATTTTCTTCTCTTTTAGTACAATATGCCCGTGCTGCTGGTGGTTTGGTGATCGGAGTTGATGGACCTGGAAAGCGGGATTTCGTTCTTGGCGTTGGAGCGCAAGAATTCATCGACTTTGCGAAAGAAGATCCGATCAAGAGGGTACAGGAGATTACTGGTCTTGGAGCACATGCTGCAGTTGTTACAGCTGGGTCTGCTAAAGCATTTGCACACGCCTGTGAGATGTTGCGAGTTGGCGGGAGTCTGAGCTGCGTCGGTATTCCGCCAGGTCGACCATGCCTTGAGACTCCGATTTGTACGATCGTGATTAAGGGGTTGAGGATCACCGGTAACTTGGTTGGGTCTTTGAAGGAGTGTATGGAAGCAGTCGACCTTGTTCGACGGGGTGTGGTCAAACCGGTCATCAAAGTCAGGCAATTCAAGGACTTGCCCCAGGTATATGAGGAGATGGAGAGAGGAGATATTTCCGGGCGTGTGGTTCTTCAGATTGCCCAGTGAGGATCTATCACTTGATAATAACAATCTTCAGCTTCTGAATTCCAGCTCTCTTTATTTGACCCCATGTTCATCTCAAGTCCTGGCTCACAGTCGATATTCCCCAGCTCCATCGTCAGCAGTGAAGCTGGTGCCATAACGAGTACTTCGGCCGTCTTCGCCCGAAGGATAGAGTTTAGTACTGGGTCTTGTTCCAGAAAAGGTGAAAGTTTTTGATAGAGAGCATGTAAGAAGTTCTTCGGGGATAAGTGGAAGCTAGGTTGTGAACCGGTGGAAGTAAGAAGAGCCGTGTCTGCAAGGGAGTTTGCGACCTCGAAACATTTTAACAGCTTTACTAGGTATCAACGTGGGACTCTCTTCAATTGAAAGTTTAGAGAGAACTTACCTGATCCCGACCCAAAGGTAGCAAGTCTGTCTCGGAGAAGAACCGCAGAGAATGAAGCAGATCACGGCTAACCTTTGCAGGAAAGCTAAAGGTCATTACATCTCTCGAAGTTGAGGAGGAGAGCAACCCCATGGATAATGCTTTCTGCCACAAAATAGTTCGCATCCACTCCCGAGTGATATGGCAGTCTGCTGTTCTAGTCGAGATCTGATCGGCAATATTGAGGCACAGCGAAGATAGTCTGTTCTCCGTCTCTGTAAGATGGGTCGCGGAGGCAAATTCGTTCCCGAATTTATGGCGGAGAGATATTTGATCAAATGCAATGAACAGTCTCGCAAGGTCTAACAGCCCTTGAACATGGATGTCCTCGGAAGATTCTCCGAGGCCTGTGAGTGGTGGTGGATCAATGCATGACGGTGATAAGCCGAGGTGCATTGCATATCCTCTGTTCAATATCTCAGCTAATGAACTTGACGTTGATCTACAATGGATGGACATCGACTTACCTCTCTGAAACCCACAGCAGAGGGAAAATTAGCTCGCGGTTATGAATGATATCATTTTCCTGGAAAGTCGGAAGCCCCTCTGACTGTACTGAGGTATCATCTAATTGAAGAATCCGCGAAATTGCCTCTTGAATATAACTCCACGCAGTGTTACATTGATTGACCTTTGCATAGTACACATGCAAGAAGAAGGATACCAGGGAGCTGGTGAAATGAGAATGCTCTTTGTTATCAGAGCATTGACTTCTGATCCGGAGGCAAGTCTTCGCCATAACCGTGGAATCCACTGACCCCATTACCGGGTCAAGCTGGAGCTGGGCCATGGTCGCCGCACATAGAGCGGCAACAAGACAGGCAATATTTGCAGAGGCATTTTCTGTGTTTTCAAGCTCAATATCCTCGAGTTGTCCAAGCAATGCGTCGGCATTGATCACCGGCCAGACACTATAAGAATGTTCCCGGTAGAGGCGCACGATAGGCGCAATGATATCTTTGGATATTCGAGATGGGAGAGCAACGTCTGCGGATACAACCTGCAGCTTGTCATCAACCAAAGAGGTTTGATTATTTTCAGACTGCTCATGAGATAAATCCTGATCACGTCGAGCTGCCCGTCTCACCTTGGGGCCTCTTCTCCGTGGCGGCTTGAGATAGGTACATTCGACCTTCTTGATGGAATCACAGCAAGAACCGCAGGGCCATGATCCGCTGCATTTGATTTTCCGTGCGATGCACGTATCACAAGCTCGTTTGGGGGGCATGGGAGAATCGAGCCGCTCTGGTAAGATGTGTTCCTAGGTTGGTATTGGGAAGTGGGAGTGGGGAGGGGAGTATGCGGGGAAGGAAAGCATCTCATTTGGTGTGAGTGTAGTAAGTACTTCGGTAGTGGAATGGGGATCCGGCACATTGCCGATGCAGTAAGTAGTAGTGTCCACTCTTTATTCTTTACGATATACTACATACACACCTTACACAATAATAGAGTACTTCTATTCTATACCCTAACTCGTACCGCAATCCTCTCTGTAGAAAAAAAGTGGATCCACCTCTTGTAGGGAAGGTCCAACGTCAACCTCGACGTCAACGTCAACCCCCACTTGGAACAGTCCAGACAGTAAAAGTAGTTAAGACACTCCATCTCACCTTTCTCTTCTCCCTCTACAAATTCCTAAATTTCCCAATTCCCATCCTTACACCAAAAACCACTTTCACAATGGCTCTCTCCGCCCCCAGCACCGACGTGAGTCCCCTCCCCATTACCATTGCCATTCCATATCTAACTTTGATACCCCACAGCCCCAAACCCTCATCGCTCAAGAAGTAAGCCATGAGCAAACCTTCAACACCTTCACCACCAGCACAGCCTGGACCCTAGGCACCGCCCTCCGCGAGCGCATCCTCTCCCTCCCGCAAGGAACCCGCAAGCCCGCCTTAATCTCCATTGCCCTCGCAACCGCCACATCCGGCGGGGTCCCGCTCCACGTCGTTTTCCAGAGCGCAACTGAGAGCGGGACGATCCCCGATAATGAGAACTGGGTGCGGCGCAAGCGGAACACCGTCCTGCGGTGGGGGGTGTCCAGCTGGGCGATGAGGCAGAAGACCGTGTCGGGTCTTGCGGCTGGTGCGACGGCTGATGAGATTGAGAGCGCTTTTGTGAGGAAGTATGCTGTTGCTAGTGCGAATGGGGGTGCTGTTGCGGATGAGTATGCGATTCATGGGGGTGGGTATCCGATTCGGGTTCGTGGGGTTGAGGGCCTTGTTGCTGTTGTTGTTGTTAGTGGGTTGAAGCAGGAGGATGATCATCAGGTAGTTGCTGAGACTATTCGGGAGGTTATTGCGAAGGGCAATTAGGGGAAGTGAAAGTAGTTAAAAGGGTGTTAATAACGAATAGAACTGGATATATGTACGCATCAATCTATGTGGGCTTGATTACAACACTACACGGTAGGACGTTGGTAGAAAGCTAGAAGGTATCATGGTATTTAGGCCAGCTCAAGCCGACTCAATGCGACGGGTCTTTATCCCGCGCATGACTAGAAACAAAAGCAGAATAGAAAGAACTCCATGGATAATGCCTCAAAAGATAGTTTTACAGTTCGTCGTGGTCCAGGGGCTCATCATCCTCGGGAGGAGCTCCAGAGCCGTACAGCTTGCTGGTGATGGGGTAAGCAATGCCAGAGAGCTGCTCCTTCTGCTCCTCGAAGTCCTCGGCGGTGGCGGTAGGACCGTTGTCCTCGAGCCAGTCGATGGCCTCCTTGACAGCGTCCAGGATGGTCTGCTTGTCGTCCTCGTCGATCTGGCCACCAAGACCCTCCTCGTCGGCGACCTGGTTCTTCAGGCTGAAGGCGTAGTTCTCGAGACCGTTACGGGCCTCAATCTTGCCCTTCATGGCCTTGTCCTCCTCGGCGAACTCCTCGGCTTCCTGGACCATGCGCTCAATGTCCTCGGGAGTGAGACGGCCCTTCTCATTGGTGATGGTGATGGACTCGGCCTTGCCGGTACCCTTGTCACTGGCGCTGACCTTGAGGATTCCGTTGGCATCAAGGTCGAAAGCGACCTCAACCTGAGGAACACCGCGAGGAGCGGGGGGGATACCGTTCAGCTCGAACTTGCCGAGCTGGTTGTTGTCCTTGGTCATAGAGCGCTCACCCTCGAAGACCTGGATCAACACGGTGGGCTGGTTGTCGGCCGCAGTGGAGAAGATCTGCGACTTGCGGGTGGGGATAACAGTGTTGCGGGGAATAAGCTTGGTCATAACACCGCCGGTGGTCTCAATACCCAGAGTCAGGGGGTTGACATCCATGAGAACAACGTCAGCCAGGCTCTCGTCACCGGAAAGGACACCACCCTGAACGGCGGCACCGAAGGCAACGGCCTCATCAGGGTTGATACCCTTGCTGGCCTTCTTGCCACCGAAGTACTCCTCAATGAGGCTCTGGACCTTAGGGATACGGGTAGAACCACCAACAAGGACAATATCGTCGACATCAGCCTTCTTGACCTTGGCATCCTTAAGAACCTGCTCGACAGGCTTAAGGGTCTTCTTGAACAGATCGTTATTCAGTTCTTCGAACTTGGCGCGGGTCAGGGTCTCGGAAAAGTCCTCGCCGTTGTGGAAAGACTCGATTTCAATGCGAGTGGACATCTGGGAAGACAGAGTACGCTTGGCCTTCTCGACCTCACGCTTGAGCTTACCCATGGACTTGAGGTCCTTGGTGACATCGACGTTGTTCTTCTTGTTGTAGAGCTTGACGAAGTGGTCAATGACACGCTGGTCAAAGTCCTCACCACCAAGGTGGGTGTCACCAGCGGTGCTGAGAACCTCGAAGATGCCGTTGTCGATAGACAGAAGAGAGACATCGAAAGTACCACCACCCAGATCGTAGACAATAATCTGGCGCTCATCACCGACCTTATCAAGACCATAGGCGATAGCGGCGGCGGTGGGCTCGTTGACGACACGAAGGATGGTAAGGCCGGCAATAGTACCAGCATCCTTGGTGGCCTGACGCTGAGCGTCATTGAAGTAGGCGGGGACGGTAACAACGGCGTGAGTGACAGTCTTGCCGAGATAGCTCTCAGCGGTCTCCTTCATCTTGCCGAGAACCATGGCGGAGATCTCCTCAGGGGTGAAGACCTTGGGAGTCTTGTTGACCTCAACCTTGACATTAGGCTTGCCATCCTTGTTGACAACCTTGAAGGGGAAGTGCTTGATGTCCTTTTGAGTGTCCTTGTCCTCGAACTTGCGACCAATCAATCGCTTGACGTCGAAGACGGTGCGGACAGGGTTGGCGGCGTACTGGTTCTTGGCGGCGTCACCAACAAGACGTTCCTCATCGGTGAAAGCGACGTAGGAAGGAGTGATACGGTTACCCTGGTCGTTGGCGATGATCTCAACCTTGCCCTGTTGCATCACACCGACACAGCTGTGGCAAGTTAGCTTAATTCCATGGGGATTGTGAGGACAATGCAGGGGCAAACATACGAGTAGGTGGTTCCCAAATCAATACCAATGACATTGCCATATTCCTCAGTATCGGTCTCGTTCTCGGCTTGAGCACCGGTACCGAACAGGGCCATGGGCGCAATCAGAACCAATAGAAGGTAAAAGACGGTGGTCCAAGTGAAAGACTTGGACGCGCCGGCGCTACTCCTCGAGAGGCGCGCCATTGTGAAAGAATGAAAGGGAGAATCGACAAAAGCACACTCTAGTGTGTCCTCACAGTTGTCGAAGTTGTCGAAAGGGTCGAGGGGAGGAGGGTAACCCGAACAAGAGATGGGGAAGAGGAAAAGTGGAAAGTGAACGCGGAGGGAAGGCCTACTTGTATGGAAAGGTAAAAAGGCCACCTCGCGCCGCAGCGGCCAGCATGGCCTTTTCCACAGAGGAAGGGTTACTTCTCGTCATTTGATTGGTGGATTTCTGCTGAGGGACTGGCTGACTCAGTTGTTTCTCACCGCTTACTATTTTGGTGTGAGCTTAATCCCAATCGGGTAGACTAAGTGGGTCGATCCGATAAATACTTCAGCCACTGACCCAATCAGCAACCGCCACCCTGTCGAATTTGCTAGAAGAAGCTAAGCGTTTGCCCCCAATTTTACGAGTCACTCGCTTCAAGGGTCCCATGGATCCTTTTGGGTTACTCACGCAATTAATTGATAATAATGCGTAAAGTAATGGAGCCAAGTGGCATGTACGACAATGAGATGCCACTGTATACCTAGGTACAGAGTAATATTCCATTACATACTAACCAGCTTCACTGGAGGATCGACAGTACATTCCCTTCTGGCCAAGAAACATGGGGCTAGGCCAGGGATCGGCGGAGCCTCAGGAACCCTGGGTACCTGTGGCACACGTGAACTAAGAAGAACACCTTGGAACCTGAGTGATCAAGGATCCCCATTTTCAAATTAGTAGTGCCTACCTAGGTACAGAGTAGGTTATCGAGTATACATTGTTGTTCGACTTTTTGTTTATTTACTTCTCAGCTCTCGATTGGGACTAATGTTTACTACTGCAAATCACGGTGCCAGTATAATACTAGTAGTAGTATTGTAAAGATATCTATCTAGACATCGATGCTCACAACTCCCGCAACTCGCAATCACTCCAATAATCCAGCCGCCACTGTCGTACCCCCACTGCGGAGAACAATCCTCGTAGGTGCTTCCAAAGGAACCGCCTGGTCCATCTCAACAACCACCCGCGCCACCGTACCAGGAGACACAATCTTTGGCCGCTTCTTCAGCGCCGCACCAGAAGCCTTATCCAAAGATGCCACCAATTTGCTAATTCGCGCGGGAACATGGAGTCGACCACGGTGCACATCAACAAGCATCGGCATGAGGTGCTCAAAGGCCAAGACCTTAGCCGTAAATGTCGTGATGGTGGGGATCGGCGCAGATGCGCGACAGACCACGTCGCCAGATCGAAGGTGCACAGGGTCGATGTTCGCCAAGTTCAGTGTGACGTTCTGTCCCGCCACAGCCCAGTCGCTAGGCTCGCTGTCCACCTCCACGCTGCGGATCAAGGCCTTTTCGCCGCTGGGCATGGTCAGGATTTGATCGCCGATCTGCAAGCTGCCAGCGTCGAGACGGCCAGAGATGGAAATCGGGTTCTGTACACCACCGCGGAAGACGTCGCCAATTGTCATGCGTAAAGGCTTGTCAAGCGCATGTGTGTATGGCTCTGAAGTCTCGAGCTCCTCGATCAAAGTTCGGCCCGTGTACCAAGATGCGTTTGCCTCTTCGCTGCGGCGAGTAATGTTGTCGCCCAGTACACCGGAGCAAGGAATGAAGGAAATGTTCTTTTCTAGAAAGCCGGCAGTAGTCAGGAAAGACGAGATCTGCTGCTCAATCTCCGTAAAACGTTCCTTATCCCACTGCACAGCATCCATCTTGTTGACAGCCACGATGATCTTTTGCACACCCATGCTACGGACCAGCAATGCGTGCTCCTTGGTCTGACCCTTCAAGCCAGATTCAAACTTGCCTATACTAGAATCGATCACCAGCACAGCAAAATCTGCCTGGCTAGCACCGGCGATCATATTTGGGACAAAGTCCCGATGACCTGGGGCATCAACAATCGTAAAGGCGGTGTTGTCTGTCTCAAACTTGTTGGTAGCGATATCAATCGTCACACCTCGTGCGCGCTCCTCGGACCCTTGATCCAACACCCATGCAAGTGCGAATGAGCCCTTTCCAATCTTCTCCGCCTCTTTTCGGTATTTGTCCAATGTTCGCTGGTCGATGGCTCCTTGGTCTGCCAATAACCGTCCCATCAGAGTACTCTTTCCAGCATCAACATGCCCTGGGTAGGTCAGCAATGAATTTTTTGATAGCTTGAATCAATAAACCCACCAATAACAACAAAGTTAGCAGACTTCTTCCGCTTGGACTTGCTGTATTCATCCAGGACATTCAAGTTTTTGCTCTTGACCGTTACTTTCTCTTCCACAGAGAGGTTGTTCATGCCACCTGCGAGATCACCTTGCGCCTTCTTATCACCCGGCTTGGATGCGGCGGCTTTGGACTTCATTCCTGCATATTATTAGGCGAGTGAAATCTAATTCTTCTTGCGAATCGCCAAACCTTTTGCTGTATTTTGAGCATTGAGCACCACATCATCGGGGCTGGGGCCTGCAAAGTCAAAAGGTTCAGCATGGTCCTGGCCATAGATCTTGAGAAGATCCACGTCATTCGAGTCGAAGTGGCTGGGCTCAGCCATCGTTGGTCCCGCTGGGTTTCCGACAATGATGCTGGCAAATATAGATGGCGCGGCGCGAATGGCAGATGCCACTGGCTGTGCTTCCGGCTTGGGGCTTGAATCCTCTTTCTGGGCTGCCGGGGTAGATTCATCCGACTCCGATACTGATGGCTTTTTGATAGGCAACGGAGATGCAGATGAGGTTGGTTTTCCGGATCTTCGTAGACCTGCAAGGCCAGAACTTGGCTCGGAAGCTTTTGCTGCCTTTGCCTTTGCCAGTCTTTCACTGAGAGAAAGCGGAGCTGCCCGTGGCTCGGATACAGGCGAGTCTTTGTTTTCAGACTGCGGCGCGGGCGGAGCGGCCGATGCTGCTGCCGCTTCGGCCTCTTTCTTCTTTCGGGCCGCTGCAAGCTGAGCAAGCTTGGAGGGTTTGCCTGCAGCTTCTGGTGCACCACCTAGCAGTCCCAATTGTGGGTATAATGGTTCGACCATGATATCAGCCTTGCGATGTGAAGGAACATTGAGCCACGGGCAGTCGCGGAAAAAGTCGGCGGCAGAGAAATGCGCCATCGGGGGAGGATTGGGCGCTGGGAATCCTAGCAATGAGATACCTGTTAGAACATAGTCCAAACTTCCATGCCACGTCAGTTCCAAATACTCAGTGATACAGGGCAAGGTATGAAGCTAGTGCGATCCTCAAATACATACCATTAAAGCAATTCCATTGGCCAAGACGCACGCAGCGTCTTCTGAGCCCAGCCACAACACATCGAATCTGATACAAGAAATCCAAATTGAAATTGCTTACCAGTTTGACCCTTGGTCTTCTGTGCTGTGCCAGAAGCCTGTTGCTTCTTCATCTCCTTCTCCTTTTTGCCTGTAGAAAAGGATGCCGCTGTCAGCTCACTGTCCGTTTCTCGTTTACCAGTTTCCCGCAAACGATTGAATGCGAAGGACGGTAGATGATGCAGGCTGCGAGTTGGCATTTATACCTTTGAGGTAATTCACGGATTTCTCCACATCATAGTAGTAGTAATACAATGTTTCCTGGGCCTCTTCTTTGGTGACAGTCATCGACGGCAGCCCCGCGCTAAGCTGTTGCAAGACTTCCGCAGTCGACCGTTGTAGTAGCGCTTGCTCCTCGGGATCGGGCGAATCATATCCATCGTCAGAATAGTAGTCATCGTCGTCGTATCCAACATTCTTCACGCGGTGTCTCGACATGGTGGGGGTGCGGGATGCGAAAGAGTGTCGGGCCGCAGGTTTTGGTGGGGGAGAGGCGAGGGGAGAGAGGGGGAGAGAGGGAGGAAAGGGAAGCGACAGAAGGAGGGGGGGTGTACCGAGACAAATGAGCTCGACGTCGAAGGGATAGAATTATAAGGAGAAAAAGGAGAAGGACCTGAGAAAGATCTCAGTCGAAAGTTGGAGGGGAGCAGGTTAGAAGCGAGGGAGAAGCTGCTGTTTAGGCAGACCACGTCATTCCCCACCCACTCAACCCGTGGAGCTTTGGAATATGGACATTCAAGACTTGCCATGAGTCACGATCCTATGTACTTTAGACTTGATACTTCTATGCAAAATATGGATAACTTGTAGCCATTGCATTTATGAGATAGCTAGACTGAATTCTATGACTAATGCAAATATCATGTAGTGTTCCAGTGGGATCAACAGCAAGGATACCGGAAACTACCCACAGCCTAATGGGGCGAAAGCGAAGAAGAAGGGGGGAAATGTCTATCGAAGGGGGCTTCCTCCAAAGAAATCACCAGTTCCTGGTCCCGAAAAGCTGCCATTGCTGGGGGTTAGAGCAATGGATCTTCGGAAAGCCTGGCGGGGTGTTGTAGGAGCACTTGTAGGGGCAGGATTTGCCGCTGCCGCATTTCCTGCCGATGTAGCAGCAGGAGCGCTGGCATCCGTTGCACTGGGGGTATTTCGACCGCTGTCGTTCGACATTGTGATTGCCGTACCGGGTCGAGAGAGGACTGCTGCGGTGCCGTTCCTGGGAGGAGGTCGGAAACCCAGTTTCTGGCCCTCGCGGAAAATCTCTTCGAGCATCTGTGCCGAAATTCCAGCATCCTCGTACTCTTGGAACTTCTTCCAGAGGCGCATAGCCATGCGAGCGTCCTCAATCGAGTCATGTCCCTGTATTGTTTCGGTGGTGGGTTCTTCCTGGATGTATTCTTTGAAGACAGCCCAAGCGAGATAGCGAAGGCTGAGGCGGCGGTTCTTGCCAGGATGGAAGAAGAGGTATTGAGTGTCGACGGTTTGAGACTTCGGCACTTTAATATTGATCTTGCGGAAGTCCGAGGCCAATCCATGGCCAACAAAAACACAGCCAAGATTCAACAGCAGCCAGAGTTTCTTGTAAGCCGCCTTCAACGGCACCAAGTTGTGCTCACTGGTTCGTGGATCCAGGTCACCAGGTTTGATACCAGAATACTGAGTTACATAGTCCACGATTGGCTCCCGGATGGTGATGTAGTCATCAATGAACGGCACACCTTCGTCGATGCCTGAAGCCCGTAGGACGGAAACTCGGGCAAGGCCACTCTTATTCGGCCGAACCATTTCCTGTGATCCATCTGCCTTGACATCAATCTCGGCCTTTTCAAGGTCCACGAATTCGGTATCCAGGGCCACGGGAGTGCCAGCCTGAGGCTTCTCTGCTTCAGAAAGATTGCGGCAGGTATCAACTTGATGCCCACCGTTCAATGACCACTCGCGGAACAAGAGCGTAGTGTCAAGAGATTTCTTCCATGAATCATCAACAGCGTGATTTGTATCACGGACCTGGAAAGCCAACACACAAGGTTGCTTCCAAGGCTGCGTAAAGCGAAGGGCTTCATCCTGATCCACTTCAGTGACCAAAAAGTCGTTGAACAAATGCCATCTCGATTTTTCCGGTTGCTCTCGACCAGAGAGGGAGATATTGACGAAAGATACCAAGTGCGGTTTCTGATGTTCTGGAATGTCAATCTCGGAGACGAGGCCTACCAAGTCATATACGACAAGCCCAGGCGTGTTGCTCTGTATTCTTAAATTGAGTTCATCTCCTTCGAAACAAGCAACCTGTCCGTTGTCGATGAGAACGCCAACCGCATCGGGAAGCCATCCAGGAATAGCCCATAGTCGCCGACAGATTGGATTCGTAAGAGCTGCGTTGAGCATGAGAATCAAAGGCATTCTATGCACCGTCTTCCGCATCATCACTTGTTGATAGCGCCGGCAATAGTTGCACCATCCGCGATTTTGCGTTTCACGTTCAATACTCGCCCGCAAAATACTGGAGAATCGATAGGCAGGGTTTCGTCTCGCATGCTTTGGGTCCATGTTGGGGTACAAAAGCTCATTGGCAAGGGAATTGCCAGGTCGAACGGTCTCTTGCTGACAGAACATGCAGCGAATTGTTTCAGATGCAACAGTGGAAAGGCGTAGATCCAATTCCTCAGAGCTCGGTTGAACCATGCGGAAGTCGTGTGCTATCTGGGTCAAGAAAAATCGATTCACGGCTTGAATCGCGGTTGAGAGAGATTTATTAGTTAGATTCTCTTCCAAGAGGCCTAGATTTGAAGCCTCTCGGAAGCTGCTGAATGTTTTCAAGAGGTTCGTTGCTTGGCAATTCTGTCCGTTTGCTTTTTCTAGCATGTCAAATAGATATCCCAGTTCACAGAGTAGGCAGTGTTCGAAGATGCAAGAGCCGGCAGCGTGAGTGAGTGAGAGATTTCGGAATAGTGGGATAAATTTGAAGAGTTGAAGGAGAGAATTTGTGAATGAGTTTGCGATGTGAGTCTCGAGACCAGAAAATGCCGTCTTATTGTAAAATCTGGAGACAATGTCAGCAAACAAATCTAGATTCGATGGAACGTAGTCATGGGACGAATAAGCACATACCGGAAGTCAAAATCGTCAACGCCAAAACGACTATACTTAATCTCGACGTTGCTGTACTTCAGGAGTGGGTCGTCATCACTCTCGCCGTTGATATTTGCACCTGCAAGAGCCTCGGCAGCATCGATAACTGAGCTTTCTAGTTTCGACTTGCTGTGATCCCGAGCCTTTTCACTTAAGAACTTGGGAGCGATAAGAGCCGGCTCCGCGTTTGCCAATGCGCGTGTATTCTCTACTTGATTTCGTCGGGTTTTCCTTGGGTTCGGGGCATGGTGTCCCACTTCAGAGGGGCGTAGATACGGCAGCAGGGACTGGTCCAGCTGAGCAGGTGGACTGCCAATCTCAAAGACAAGATGGCTAGGCCAAGCCGAGTGGAGGCGCTCATGATAATAGGGCAGTCCTACCATGTTCAGAGGGGTATCAGGGGACCAGTCAATCGGTGGCGGTCGAGTAGGGACATCGGCAAATTCCATTTCTTTGCTCATTTCGTTGAAATGAATCTTAGTGGGAGATCCCCATAAATGTATGGAGCATTCGGCATCATTGATTGCTAGAGCCTCTCCTGATGGGGAAATATCAAGACCAAGCATAAGTGATACGTTGGCCTGTCGTAGGTTGATTGCGTTGGGGTTCATGAGGTCGACAACTTGCAGCTGACCGGTTTGCGAGGCCACGAAGCTTGTCGTGTGGAGTTTGGGATGCATACGGACATAAGCCGCCCCGGCGTGAAATGGGATGGGAGGTAATGGCGTCAATGTTTTCAGGTCATAAACGTTGGCCAAGGGATCAACGATCGGAGCGCCCATGTGCCGCATGGAAAAGCCACATGTTACCAGTAAGTCATTCCGCGCATCCATATCATTGACGGCCGTCCCATGTGCTTTCCACGATTTCACGACACTGAAGTCCGCAAGACTGAGTGCATTTACGGAGCCCGTATCAGTTGCAGCGCACAGGTATCGACTCTTCTTCATAAGCGTATAGCTGTACTCGGTAGGCAATTTGTCCACAATCGTACCCTTGTCGATATCCACCGTGAACATCACGTTTTGACAACCGGCCACGAGGATCCGGTTAAGTTGCGCCGTAAAGCTCATGCAGCGGAGGTCCACCATTTCCTCGTGATTCAAGTGCCATTGTGTCAGGCCGCGTCGAGTAATCATATGCACGCTCTTGGGAGAGAGCGATATCACACCTCGCTCGTGGAACAGTATCTGCCGCACTGGTCCTTCGGCGGCCGGGTGTGCTCGTACGGAGGTGTATCGACCTAATTCAGGCCCGCAAAATGAGGAGATTCGACCCTAGTGAGCACAGATATTGAGTTAGTCAGTCGTTCGTTGGAGCTTCCATCTCAAAGTATGCACCCACATATTCATTTCCGGTCCAAAGAAGTTCCATAACATCGTCAAACGCGACTGCTGTCGCGATCGTAGGCATTGCATGTGGACTGGGTGGCGGCATGGGAATGCGCGCCAACTCGTCCCAATCTGCCTCCATCATTGCAGGGAGTTATCCAGGTGGACACCCAAGTGGTACGTTTCGAGGAAATCAAAAAAGGGACTCGCAAGTGGCTCTTGGGGCCTGAAGCGCTTCACCCTTAACGCCTCACACGATGCCGATCATCGTCTTCGAGGAGAAGACGCGATTGCGGGGAAGCTATGAGGACAGTTGGAAGGTTCGTTCGTGACGTGATATACTGTTTATAGATAGCGGCCACGTGGAAGTGAATGACCAAACCGGTCACTATGTTCCGACCGCGAAGCGGACTTGATTGAGACGACGCTGGTTTAGCGTTGCTTGTTGTCGCCCGCCTGGCGAGCCCAGCGGGTCGAGGACGGTTGATATCTCTCACGTGATTAGTGATTAACGTGATAACATCGAAACTTAGCGGTCAAGGTTGTCCTGGCTAGTGTGTTATCTAGAAGAGGAATTGGCTTGGTTGTATAATTGGGAATATCCACCTGGTTTTTTTTTCTTAATTTTTGGTCTTATTTCCGGGTGGAATTTGGCAATAATTTTCCACTGTACTACTAGTACAGTGTTTTGTTCAACTAATCTCAGTTTGGATCACGTGGCTTCAGGTGATGTGAAACTTGAGGTGAAAGTTAGAACATCATAACGTCTTAACCCCTATGAATGTATATTTCTATGAGAAATCACTCAATTTGTTCGACACTAATGTTGAATTTTTACTGCTAGGTACAATTTGGTCCAAGTTCTTTTCTAAAACTTCAAGTTCCATTAGAATTTGAATAATCTTGACTTGAATACTACACCCTCAACTGGGGTCTGTCCCGTTTAGTACTAGTACTACTAGTATATAGAGCCAACACCTTCCAAGGTTACCATAATCTCCGCGCCCAATAATTGAAGTGACTTCCAAGGTTCCAAGGTTCCAAAGTTCCATTCCAGGCTCAGACTAAATGGAGATATGCATTCAAACATTGCAGAAAATATCATATTGCTAAACACCTGAGGTATAAAGAAACACATATGTACTGGCATACAGTGGTTTGGCCGGAATCAGTGATTTACTACATACACAGCTAACGGCGCAATTCCGAGCAAAGGCAAGATGACATAAATATTCAGGACTTATTCAAGCAATTAGCCACAAGCAAGCTCCCTCCTTATCTATAGAAGGATGCTGGGTTCGACGCAGGCGCCCCACCCGGTGCGGGCTGGTATGCCTGGTACTCGCCGCCGCCAGGGGCTGAAGGGGCCGGGTTGAAAGCGGTGTATTGGGATGGGGGAGCCCCGGCGCCCGGCACTGGGGGCGGTTGGTGGGACGGCGCTTGTTGCTGAACGCTTGGTGAGTCTGGGTAGGGAGCTTGGGATTGCGGCTGCGGCGGGAAATGGTTGGAAGGTTGCTGGACAGGGGGCATTCCAGGAGCCGATGGCAGCTGAGCAGAGTCATCGGCAGAATAGGCTGATGGGGAATAATCCTGTTGCTGTTGTTGCGGGTGCTGCTGTTGGAACTGTTGGTGAGCCACCGGCGGGGCTTGCCCGGTAGGAGGGTAAGGAGGGCGTCCTCCGACATTGTGTTGGTCAACAGGCGAGTCATAGACAGATGTGCCTAGTTCTTGGGGATGGTCGTAGGTAGACTGGGGACGATGATGCATAGGTTGCTGGTATGGATCGGAAGGTGGCGCTTGCTGCGGCGCCTGTTGTGGCTGCAAAGGCTGCGCCCCGGCATACTGAGCTCGAGGGTCCGGAGAATGAGAGGCGGGCCGGTACGGCATGGCCTGCTGCTCTGCGCCGTAGAAAGGCGTACCTTGAGGCTGCGGGGGTTGGGTTTCTGGAAATTTAGATCAGCATCCTAATGTGGCGAGATCGACGTTGAGTCTGGACAAACCTTGAGGACGAGGGCTAAAGTAACGCTGGTCGGCCTGGGGAGGAGGACCTTGGGGATATCCAGCAGGAGCCGCACCAGGATAGCCATACTGCGGCTGTCCAGGTCGTCCGTACTGGGGTTGTACCGGCTGAGCCATTGAAGCCTCCAATAGGGATTCATAGTCTCGGCGAGCCTTGATGAATTTCTCATTAAGTTGGGTGAACTCATCTAATATAGGATTAGCATGTCTCCCTTCGTAGCGTAGCAAGATATGCGCATACCTTTCTTCTGTGAGTATTTGCCAATCAACTCGATAAGTTTGGGTCGGATAGCAAGGGTTGAATGATAGAGTGTAGTGATTTCCTCATTCTCCTGCACATTGAGGTCGGAGCTGCGAGTGCTCAGCAGTGTGAGAAGCTTCTCGACGTTCTTAATTTGACCAAAAACATCTCCTTCCATCTGCGCCTCGCGATGAAGCTCTTCAACTGTCGGGTCGGCCAACTTCTCGACGTAGTTGAGAGGGAAAATTCCGGTCTGGCCGCGCAGCGAACCCTTCCACCAATCTTTATAAACGGACTCCAGAACAGCAATTATATCGCCCTTTCGGAACTGTAGCTCGCCGGGCTCAGAAGGCTGGAAGTCAAACAAAGCTCTCACTCGCGAGACGGTGGCCGCTGAAGTTCCGGGTGGGACGGGATGGGGAATCGCAGGCTCTTCTGCCACGGCGGCCGGTGCAGGTGTAGGGGTTGATGCGCTGGCAGCTGCAGCAGATGAGGTCGCCTGAGTAGGGACAGGTTTTCTCTCTTTGACGGAGAGTGCAAGTGCCATCTGGAGCTCCTCTTCTTCTTTCTGTCTGTCCACGTCTGTGATCTGTTGCTTCACGGGTTTCGATGGTGGCTGGAGATTCGGGTCTAACGGAAAGTTTTATTAGTTGTGAAAGGGCGCCTCTAAACTTCAAAACTCACTTTGAGTCTTCAGCTTCATGTAGGCCTGTTCCATGATTCCGAAATCCGGGTTGGATGAGAACATTTTAGTCCATTCTTCCATTCGCTCGAGGATCTTAGACTTCACTTGCTGATGCGTGTTCTAAAGTAACAGGTTAATGTCAGCAATCTATCATGTAGCAAGTGGCATCCAGGTACAAGCTTACCCGGTCAGCCGCCAATCGCAGCATAGCATCCGTAAAGCTCCTTGAGGCCAGCTCCCGGTGGATCTTCGGACCACAGTTCTGTGATAGCGCGTTACCAAGCTAAAGGTAGGGTCAGCCGAGCCATCATATATTATGCGCATTCGTATGCGCGATGCAGATATACCGACCTCCAACGTGTAGAGCTGCACATTAGCGTTCCTGTGAGCCAACCTCTTGATCATGGCAGCAACCGCCTCCTTTGCGCTATATCATCACCGCATATTAGCATCCATTTTCCCACGTAGCGCATAGTTTCAAGACCTATCTGATTGAAGACACATACCCAGATTCTTCAGAACCGACTTTATCACAGACATCCTATACGGCAAAAGCAAGTCAAGTCAGCCTCCGGTGTCCCACTCTGTGCTGTCGCAATATCTTCGGCCGGTCGGTGGGGCATAACGTACGAGGATGTATTCCCAGTTCTCGGAGGTCAGGTTCTCGTCCGTCGCCTTGGCTGCAGCAGACACAGAAGTTAGCATTTGTCATGGTCGAACGTTTCAAGCGCTCTCCCGGCCCCCCAGCAGTCGCGGCTCAGCCGCTTCGCAGTGCACTCTGTAGGCAGAAGCAGCCCCGCGAGTCGAGCGTGAAATTCGCAGCTCGGTATAACTTACCGACGGCATCGTCGAAAGCGTTCTGTTGTGCGCGAAACATTGCCAACGAATTATTTGTAATGAGACTGGATGGTCAGGGGAGAGTGTGGTGTTGTAGTTGGTCGGGGAAGTCGAATCGGGCACCGCCTCCTCTGCCTTAAGCACAAGCAGCTAGCTAGCTCAATCAACCGCCAGGAGAAACCACGTGTGGCGAATATGTCCGTTGATCAATGGGCTTCGCACTGGCTGCTCTTGTGTTATGAGATATTGGAATATGTTGTTTTTTGACCGTGACGCACGTAATGCGGGGAGTGGACTGAGGATCACAGCAGGCGGAGCTGAGAGGGTCAGGGTACACCGCCGAGGGGGTTGGACAGAGGCGGGTTTGGAGATCGGAAAGGAGGGGTGATGGGTCTCGGGTTGGTACTGCTCGTCAAACAAGTCAAGTCAACCTTGAAAATCAAGCGATGATTGTGAAGGTGTTGAGGTCTCTCAAGGTGTTGTCCGGCAGAAATCCAGAGTCAGCTGACGATGACGACGGTATGGAGCTCGGATATTCTTAGCATGTGGCTGCCTTGAGCCATTCTTCCACTTCTATTATTACTAGATTGGGCTTGCAAATTCTTCCATTTACCTGCACTGCCATGGTCCATAGGCTGTAATATTTTCCATCGTGGGTTCCTTTCTTCTTCTTTTTTTCCCGGGCCATTTCTGCTTTTTAGATCCCGTTCTGCATCCCATGTTGCTACTATAGCTTGACACTCTGTTCTATACTCATAGGATGATATCCAACCAATTAATGACGGAAGAGATGTAATTGAAAAATTGTAATATCACAGATCCTGCACGGCCAAAGGCCTCTTATAATTCCAAACGCCGAATGCGAACACGCCGCATTCTAAATCCCACGAACTCAAGAAGACAATATAATGCACAGTGACAGAAGGCTCGCAATCCCATCCATGACGCCACTTGAGACCAGATTCAAACTGCGCTGGGAGAGTGTCGGAGGTAGGACTACAGAACGCTACACAAGCACACATACACACACATCTGAGGGGGGCAAAAAAAAAGCTTAGACGTGGGGATAAACAGGGGGGTGGGGACAATACAAGCACAGGCTCGTGAAATCAGATCATTTTCATCACAAAAGGATGTTCATCAAGAAATAAAGTGGTAAAAAAAGATAATTTGACACTGAAATGGGACCCGGGCGACATGATGCGAAGATGAGCATATCGGGGTCTAGAAGAAACATCGGGAGTGATGGGGTATCTGAAACGAGATGGGAAGATGGATGGACAGAACGAAAAAAAAGGAAAAGTTGAAGAAGAAGATAGAGGGAAGGAGACGGAAGGAGACGGAAGGAGAAAGGAACCGAAACACTCGATTTAATCGAAGACCTGGGTTCTTCCTGGCCACCTAAGCTCAGCCCTTCTGCGCCTTTTCTTGAGCACGGCTGATTCTAGCAGCCTTCACAAGGGGCGCAAGGTGGGTGAGAGGCGAACAGAGAGACATGAATGGATGCTATCAAAGATGTTAGTATCAAACATGATGTTCTGGGGGAAGGGGGCATGAACATACCTTCAGTAGGTCATGAGCTGAAGCTCGCTTCTCCGGGTCGACCTTGAGGGCCAAATGCAAGAAGTCACGGAAGATGTGGGAAAGATTATGCTCATCTTTGATCGTGGGCGTGCCGTTTGTAGCAATCAGGTAGAGAGCCCGCAGGGGCGACTCGGTCAAATAGGGTGGCTCTCCCTCAATCATCTCGATTGCCATGATGCCCAAACTCCAGATGTCGACCTTGCGCCCATACTCCTTACGAGTGACAACCTCGGGTGCCATCCAGTATGGAGTGCCGACCATTGTGTTGCGCTTATTGTGCGAATCATTAATTTGCGCACAGAAGCCAAAATCGGCTGTGTAATAAATTAGTCATGATCTTGAGAGGAGGGATGTGTAGTTATACGTACTCAGCTTGATGTTGCCCTCCATGGAAAGCAGAATGTTATCGGACTTGATATCTCGATGGATAACACCCTTCGAGTGGAGGTGTTGCAATCCATTCAGTGTCTAGGATAATTGTCAATATTTTCTTCATTAGGGGAGAACCAGAAGTCAATTAAGCTTACCTCTCGGCAGACTGCCGCGATCTGGCCTTCGCTCATGATGTTGAAAGTCACCACATCCGTGAGACTGCCGCCTTCCATGTATTCCATGACTACCCAGAGGTCAATTCCGTTAAGATAACTCTCCAGGAAATTGACAATGTTCTTGTGTTTGCTGTCTTTCATGACAAGAATCTCGTTGATAATTAGGTCCTTCTTGGGCTGGAGATCGAGATTCATCTGCTTGATAGCAACGCAATTGTTTGTTCCGGTCTCGTAAGCCGTGTACACACCACCAGATGCACCTTGACCAATCTTGTTTAGAGTGTGATATATCTGGGTAGGGTCGCCGGGATGGCAGATTTGTAACAGACGTGTTCGGACATCCATGATATTACTCTGGCGCTGGCGTTGGCGGGGCCTGGCAGCCGGAGGTGCGCGCGTCGATGGCGATGCGCCAGCCGAGGCAGGATCTCCGGTGGAAGGACCAATATTAGTTGCAAGCGCCGGGGGTTGCTGTGCTTGCTGGCGTTGGCTGGTACTGCGATCCAGTTGTTTTGATGCAATGGCTTGCTGTGCAGCCGCCATAACCTGCTCCTGTTGTTGCTGGTACTGGGTCGGGTTGGAGATGATACCCGGTGCTTTGGTTGGAGGACCGCCATTACGGGAGCTCGAGCGGCTGAGCTGGGGAGAAACCGAATGAATTGGCTCTGATTCCGGAATAGATGGAGTGCCAAATGGATGACCGTATGGGTCCTGCATAGGTCTTTGCGGGGCACCGCCATATGATTGAGACACGGGGGGTTGTGGCGGCGGACGGGCAGGTGTCATATTGGTTGGCGGCTTGGGAGGGGCACGATGTGGCACCAGACCACCCAACGGCGGTGACATAGTTGGCACTTGCGGCACTTGCTGTGGTGGATTTGCTGGGGCGCCGCGAGGAATGGGAGGAGGGGCTCGTGGGTTCTCAAAACTCCATTCGTGATTCTGAGGGAAACGCGGACTTCCGGGAGGCGAAGTACTGCGACCGTTGTTGTTATTGGTATTGTTACTATTACCGCTGCTGGTGTTTCCGCCGTATGCGTTGTCGAACTTGTGCCAGACTTCATCGTCATCTCCACGAGTATTCTTCTCGTAGAATCGCATGATATCCATCATCGTTTGCGGGTGTTCTTCCTGTTCCTTCTTAGAGATTCCGTTTTCCTGGAGTAAGCGCTGCCACTCCTTGGGAAGGCCGGTGAATTGACCAGTTTGGTTATCGTAACCGACGTGAGTGACATGAACAGGGTTCTCCGGCGCGGAAATCTTGATATTGCGAGGGGAGCCCAACATGCTGTTCACGAAGCTAGAGAAGCTCGCCTTCTTGCTCTGTCTCTTGGCCGCCGTGGGCGTCGGCCCGGGCGGACCATTGGCGATAGTGCCCTCATCGGAGTAGCGCTTAGAATGAGGCGGTCGTTCGGTTTCGCGGTGTGCGAAGGGATCCATTCGGTTCGGCAGAGTGGTGAAGCTAGCTGACTGTCGAAGGGTTTGGCGACCGCGTGGGTCGGGACTTGTATGATGCGAGAGCGAGTGCGGAGGTTGCTGGGGATGAATATCGGTCTCGGCGCTGTTCTCATCCAACGCACTGAGCATGCCCCGCGTCTCGAAAGGGTTGTTTAATTCATCCGAACTTTGTTGATCATAGGAGAAGCGGTTTGAACGAGTGCGGGAGCGGGAGGAACTGTAACCGGAGAAGTAAGACCCCTCGTCCTGAATAGGGGATGGACCGCCACTGTGATCGAGCGAGGAGGATGACGAGCCAAAGGCGGCTGAAGCGTTGGATCGCGAGCGAACGTGCTCGCGACTACCGCTAGGGGAAGAACGGGGGTAGACGGGGGCGGAGGGATGACGTTTGAGAGAGGTAGCGCTCTGATGAGTCCGAAGAATGCGCGAACTGAAGCTAGGGGGGGTCCTTGTGAAGTTTGCTGGACGGACGGCGGAATTTTAACGAGAATCCTTCCTGGCTCATGGCGGGCAGGAATCTGTCTCTACACGAGACAGATTGGAATTGGGCCGAGGAGGGGTCAGGAGAAATTTCCAACCAGCCAATTCGAGGTCTGCGACCGGGTTTGCCGCGCGGTCAGCAGCAAACGCACACAACAGGACGAGAAGGATTGCGGTTCCCCAGAGATTGGTGGTCAAAATCAGGTAGTGGTTGGAGATGGAAGTTGAACCTGAAGTCTGAAGAGGAGAGGAGAAGGGTCAAATCGAATCCAATCCAATCGGTAAAATCGAAGCTGTCCAATTAGCACGTGGAGAGCGGAGCGAAAAAGGAGACGGTGGCTGGGTGGTCGAATGGGGCGATGACGCGGGGACCCGTCCAACGGCCAGAGTTTATCAGAGCGAGTGTGTATGTCTGTGTCTGTATCGACCGACAGACTCAGACTTTACTCTTTGGTATGGAGAAGGGTGAGTGTGAAAGACTGAGGGATGGAAGATGGGGATGGGGATGGGGATGGGGATGGGATGGGCTGCTCAGAGGTTCCCTGGTCAATCTAGATTTTCGAGTGACCCCGACCCGTCGAACGATGAGCGGGACAAGAATAGAAGCGGGTCTGTCATATTTGACATTTACCTAAGTATCGGTTCTTCAATTTTGGAGGGAAATTAGTATGTTTTATATTTATGAATATATTAATATATTTTGATCTCTAAATCAACTCGTATGTACTCCTGGCTGAGGTGCATGGTCGATGCAGGTCCACCCTCTGCCATCGGTCGCACGTGAGCATCGCCCCCAACGCTGAGCCACAGTGCGAGATGGATTACCAGTAGTGCTTATAACTACTACATCTTAGTTCATGTACCATATATGCGCCTCTATAAATAGTCTTTTTGATTCACATTTGCAGAATAACCGTTGTTTTCCCAAATCTATAGGTAGTAGCAAGTCAACCTTGGAAGTTGGCGTAGTCCACGAGTACTATCATATATATCTGCTACTAGTAGCTAGTAGTAAGTACTCTAATTAGTATAGTACAATTAGTATCTTTCCACTTCCACACTCACATCTGCTTTTATGGATCTGACAACTTGAAGAATAATTATTTTCTGTATTAAACTACATTTCTACGCCATTCATACCCGTCAAAAATAAATGTCGAGTAGTATTTACTACTAGTAGTTAGTACAAGTAGTTCACGCGAGACTGAAATCACCATCACGTGACCGCCCCCTAAATAGTGAGACAGCCCAAACTGATAGACTTCCCATGTTTTTGAGTAAGGCGTTCCATCCTGGCTGCCACAATGATGGCAGTCGAGGGCCTCCAATCAATCACGAGACAACGGGCAGCGAATCCAAAAGTGCGCACCGGCTGCATCACCTGCAAGTCAGTGATAGTCCCGATCAGCCCACACCCATCCGTATACACTTCTAAGATGTCTGCAGAGCTCGTCACGTCAAATGCGACGAGGGGAAGCCTGTTTGTCTCCGGTATGCTTGCTTCCCCGTGCTTTGCACCTCCCTCGTCATCTTGGACTCGAAAACATTGTACACGTCAACTAACCATACTAATCTCCAGGTGCTCGCGCACGAACCGGGTATGCGGGGGCTACCGAAGTGTCCCGCCTAAATCATCAGTACCCCGTTCGCTAGCAGTAGCACCTGCAGTCGATTCAACGACCGAGCATGCCTTGGAAGTATTCTTTCTCTGCACTGCTCCCGCTCTGGCAGGCTATTTCGAACATGCCTTCTTCCAGGGCAGTGTTTTACAATTCAGCCTTGGCGAACCTGCTATCCTCCAAGCAATCGCTGCTCTCGGTAGTCTCCATGAACAGGCCGCCGCGTCAAAGATACAACATCTGCACCGGAAAACATCTCTACCAGAGCTCCCGCTTAAGCTATACAATAGGGCCATTCGAGTCATGATAGAAAAGGTCACCGTAGACCCTACAAACCTTCCTTTGATTGCGATGGTGAACATCCTCTTTATCTGCTTTGAATATTTCCAAGGCAATCTACAAGCGGCTGCCTCCCATATAAGAGGTGGGATTGATATATTGAATAACTGGCGTGCCAAAAATATAATTAAACGCGATGAGACCGGTGGCCACAGATATGTTTCATCGGAGGCTGAATTCATGGAAACCGAGGTTGCGCCACTTCTTTGCACATTCAATATCAACGCTGTTCAGTGGGGTGTAGGAGTGCAGGCAAGTGTCGTTCCTGATCCACCCACTGACTCCAGTACAATTTCCATGCCCGATCGATTCGACACTCTCAAAGCAGCCAGAGCTGCACTGCTGAAACTGGTCATCTCTGCAACATGGGAGTTCGAGCCATCCGAAAAAGAGCTCTCTAATACCGATTTCCCTCTCATTTGCGAGAGAATAATGACTAGCTTGAATCGGTGGAAAGTTAGCTTTGAAGATTTGGTCAACCGACAGTCGCATCTCTGGGACAATCGGAAAAGGCAAACAGCAGATGCCATCATCGTCATGCATGCGAATGCCGAACTCGGGGTCTATTCATACCAAGCACAAAGCCACTGTGACTGGGATAAATACCGAGACCAGTACGAAGTGACAGCCGCGTTAATAAATAAGCTTATCGCCGATACTAATCACTTCCCTCACGAGTTGTCGAGGACCTTCAGCCTGGATTTTCGGATGATGTTTCCTCTTCAGCCGGTGGCGTGGAGGTGTCGTTGGCCACATCTTCATCGAGTGGGACTGGACCTACGGGCTCGTTTGCCAGATCTCAACTCGCTTCCGGCGGCTAAGCAGTACCATACAGTCTCTGCTCGCATCGCGGAGATCGAGGAGGCCTACCGAAACATGCCTGCGGCGAAAGGAGATTTCCCGGAGATGCTGAACATTCAAGATTATAGCATTGTCATATCACAGGGAGAGCAGGATCAGCCTCCAGCTTTTGTCGTGACATTTTGGAGCAAGCCGGATGGCTTGGAGGGGTCTTGGTATTCCTTCACGGAAAATATCCAATTAGAGTCTGGTGGGGCTGGCAATGCCTGTCTGCAGATTCGAGACCGCGAGGATATCCAGAAGGTGTCAGATCTGATAAGCGACACATACCAGGAAGACTCGAAACCTTCACCCTCCTCTCTCAAGAGCGCAGCGATGTATCCGTGTCCTCACATATCTAAACCAATTAAAGAAGAAAGGCCCGGGCCGTTCTAGGGATAAGGAGAGCAATCGGGCTTTGTACATAAGATTGTATACATACAGTGTAACCGCGTGTCTGCGACGGGCCATGATAATAACATAATTGAAAGCCGGCAATGCCACGGAATATTCTAATGAAGATCTGTGCAGCAATTGGAGTGGTACAAGGCGTGTTTTCAAGTCCAGATTCATATTTCCTTCGAGTTTCTACGGTATCGTCATATTGTAAACTATCCTGCCTGGCAATGGTGTCAGTGTCCATGAATAAATAATCTTGTTGAATCGGTTCTGCTGACAGCTCTCGTTGGAATAACCTCACCGTTGCCGTCATCTCTCTATCCTTATCGGGAACGGAGATGGCAAAATCTCGGGCCATTGACACTGGTGGATCTTAGTTCTCGCCGATCTGAGCTCCTCTAGGCCCAGCGCCAGAAAAAAGCTATCCATACTGTATAGAAATAAAGTTTTCTAGCTGGTGGATTTTCTGACATTGCCTAAGCTGAAACAATATGCCAAGCTTCTAAGTTCAAAAGAACGGATAGCCCCCCTGAAGAACGTCTGCGGAGAAACATCTGACAGTTCCACGAGCAACAATGGCCTCACTCACCCATTCGGCTGCTTCGGCAAATGCCACCCATATTCCCTCAGCTTTCAGCATCTACAACAATGATTTCCTCAATATCATCGGCTCAGCCCCTAAGCTGGAGGTCATTCTCGAAAACAATGACTACCCCTTTGCTCACGAAGCTAGCGTTTACATCCCGACCTCGGAATCGCTCTTCGTGTCGAGTAATCTGTACACTGATCCGGTCACGAACGAGAAAACAATCAAGGTCACCAAGGTGAGCGTCAACGCCCACCCCGTGACATCGGAGATCATCAATTCCACCATCCCGATGCCGAACGGCGGAGTGAACAATGACGGCGGTATCCTCTGGGCTGCCCAGGCACGATGAACGAGACTGGAGGTCTATTTCAGATGTCAGCCGAAGCCCCCCTATAAATCGGAGCTAGTCACGGGCAATTTCTACGGCCGGCAATTCAACTCGATCAACGATGTTGTCGTGGCCAAAGACGGGTCGTTCTGGTTCACCGACCCCATCTACGCCTATAAGCAGGGAATTCGACCGAAGCCCCAGCTGCCGAACCAGGTGTATAGGTACGATCCATCTACAAAGGACGTCCGCGTCATTGCAGATGGATTCGGTCGGCCTAATGGCATTTCTTTTCTCTCCCGACGAGAAGACCGTATACATCTCCGACACTGCCGAGACAATTGGCGACGGATCGAAGGATCTGACGCAACCAGCTACCATGTATGTTGTGCACGAATACCCCACCGCCCATAGAAAATAAGAATCCCGCTAACGTGTTTAGTTATGCCTTTGATATGACGACGATCCATGGTCAGCCTTTCTTGACGAACCGTCGTGTCTTTGCCATGCCCGGAGATGGCATTCCTGATGGAATCAAGGTTGATCAGGATGGCAATGTGTATGCTGGCTGCGGCGACGGAGTCAACGTTTGGTCTGCTGGCGGTGTTCTTCTGGGCAAAATCCTTGTCAAAGATGGGACATCTAACTTCTCGTTTGGTCGCAACGGCCAGATGTTTATTCTCAATGAGAACAAGATTTATCGCGCCCAGCTGAACCGCAAGGTGCACGGCACTCTCTTCTGAAGAAAGTAATCTTGCAAGAAGTGACCTGTTATATTTGACCGAATGACATATTATTTATTTCTTTTCGCCGTGGATAGACTAATCTCCTATAATTAATCGATAACCTATCGTCCCCTGGCATCCAACCTAATGATCCACTAGGTACGAGTACTATAGATAACATCCATAGATTCCATTTGGCAACGATATTCAGGACGATGCATCTGCAGCAAAAGCTGACGCGTCCTATTCCCAGAAACAGAATCTCCTGTCAGGAACATCGAGGTGGCCGCGTCAGCTCCGTTGATCTCTCAATAATCCATATGAGGTGTTGGGCCTTCGATTGGCGGGGACGCGATCAAGCTTCAGTGCAAGACGCCTCTCCCGCCACATCAGCGAACACGAAGGCGAAATCTTAAACAAGCTTAATCTGGGACCTACTGATAACGTGGGAAGGAAGCAGGTACACATCCGCCGCAGATTTTACGTATACGAATATGAGAAGAAGGAAAAATGAAAAGTTGAGGATGAAATGAATGTCGCGATCAAACCAAACAAACTCGATGCACCTCGGTCAACACAGCCGACCAATATAGAATCAAGCTACTGCTAGTAAGACTAGACCCCACTTCATTGTGTCAACGCCGAGAAATGATCATGAGCAATGAGGTCCGTCCACGTTCCCGAGATGCGGGATGTTTCCGATTTTTCCAAGATTCCCTGTTCACTGGTATGATGTACTACTAGTATATGTATACTACTTCCTAAGATCGGGCATTTCCGCATGTTAGGTTCAGTGTCGAGGTCACCGTCCGGGGTCACTTGCTATGGATGGAAGCCCCGATCGCAGCGATCGAAGGAAACTGAAGTAATCAAAAAAGGGAAACTCTACAAACTTCAAGAATGAATACATTATGCTTCGGCCAGAAGGAGGTTAGGAAAAAAAATACAAAACTGATCACGAGTACATCAACCATGTGTTGCGATGACGGCAGTGCGCTGTACACTTTTCCAGCCGCATGTACATTACACATATTCTAGCTAGCACCGACAAAAAGTTAAGGCTGAGGGGCAGCACTACCTCGTATGACAAAAATATCGAGCGCAAGTTCCAAAGTGGTTACTCTGGGCCAATCACCCGCCAGTAGTATCGATCGATGAGCAAGATGGAAGTTGGATGACGATGGCCAAGGTCGGCTGCGTCGCCGGCCGATGACATCTTTGTTCCCACATCTTCCATCGCATCTTCGTCGGCTGCCGGCTAAGACGACATCTGCAGATTCAAGAGAGCCGAGTCAGTGTGCGAGTTATGTATCATGCCATGGTCCACATGGGGCGGCTTCGACCTCGCACTTTACACTGGGTCCTCGCTGGGGCGGTAGATATTGCTCAAGCACGCCATACGAGTACAGATATTCGGAGTCTTTTTTCCCGCTTTTGTTGATCTGGACTCTCTCCTCCCCGACATCTCACGACCCCCTCTTGCGCCTCGCTGGAGATGTGTCCCGTCTGGGCAGCCCTTAAGGAGGGGAGGGGATGAGAGGAGGTGAGCAAAAGTGCATGCTAGTGCATAATGCCTAGATACACCTGCCGTCCTACCATATGGGGAGGGGGGATGACTTAAGACAGAGCGATCCTTGATCTTACTTTTCCTATTACAGGCGTCCCCACAACCATACAAGATCAAGACTCGGTGCACATCCCCCAAATGGGCGATCCGGGGGTGGGCGACTGGCTTTTCGCGCCCAAGCACCGTCCAGCTGGCGATCTCAGCCGGGAGGAGAAAGGAAACCGGGACCAGTGCCATTGGTCTACGACTTGTGAGTCCCGGCTGGGCGCTCCACATGGTGCGCCGATCATCGAGCCTCCCCGGACGCAGCCTGCGCCAGCTCCAAGATTTGGGCGCAAACTAAAAAATGCCCGAGTGTCCATGTCCATGTGCACCTGACCGTACCAGGAGAGAAGTGGGGATGGTGGACGGCAGTGTATTCTGGTTCGCTGGCATAGCAACTAAAAGATGATCTTTGACTATGTATGGAGTCTCTTTGGAAAGGGAAATGTGTTGCTCCGCCTACTGACCCGGAAAAAAAGAAAAAGAAAAAAAAGGAAATTGTCGAAAACAAAAGAAAAATCAAAACAAAATCAATAGTTCAGAAAGGAGCCAATGATCCCCTTACCTGAAAAGCTGCCAGGCTCAATCTCCTCAAGGGAATGTGGGTCCATGCACTCTTCCATTGCGAATCATGCACGGCTCATCCCTGCCGGGACTAACATTCGAATCAACAAATCTAGATATCATGTCGGACATGGTGGATGCTACAGTGGGTCTCTCAGGTGTTGGCCGCATTACAGATGCGAGACATCACATAAGGGATAACCCGGCAGGCGGTCCATGATATCTGGGCAAGCGGGTCTCTGTTTGTGAATTACCCAGTGCGGTGATGCTCCGCGCTTTAGGAATTATGCTTCACCTACGATTCGCATGTCTCCTTTGGCCCCATCCCTTTTGTGGCGCTGGAGCCACGCCGGGGCCGGGTCTACTACTGACATGTGCCTTACATTCATAGGATGGGTCTGCATGGGGAATGAACCTGTGATTGGTGTCGTTGGGTCCCAAGACCTTTGATCAGAACGAAAAACTTCCCCTCCAAGGCGACATCCTGCATGACCCTCGGAGAGAGAGCAAAGAGACGGATCGATTCATTATAAATTCGGGCTCATTTCCCGGTTTGGGGCAGATCAGATTAATCCCAGCCTCGTCCCAACAAGCCGCCAGCCCTCGACCTCCTCTTCGGTCCAGCATCTGTCGCCCTTCACCATGCTTGCGTTTATCTTCTTCCTCATCGCCTTGGCTGCGGCCTACCCTAACCGGGGTGCCTGCACTGGTGACTGCTGGACGAAGGATCCTGCTGTCATTCAGCGTAACAGCGATGGCAAATTTTTCCGCTTCGGCACTGGCACTGGTATTCCGATCATCACCTCTGATTCCATTAAGGGCCCATGGACTGCGGCTGGCAAAGCTCTGCCCAATGGATCGAAGATCACGGTCTCTGGCGTGGATAGCTCAAACATCTGGGTAAGCTGATTATCATACTACATTCGTTGTATCACAGCTAATTGAAAACCAGGCTCCGGATGTGCATCTCTCGGGTGACACCTACTACATGTACTATGTTCTGTCGCAGCTAGGAACCCAGAACTCTCAGATTGGTGTGGCTACTTCCAAGACCCTGGATTCTGGTTCCTGGACCGACCACGGCATTGTTGGCATCCCCCAGAACAGCGCCTACAACCGCATTGACCCCAACTGGATCAACATCGACGGCAAGGAGTACCTCAACTTCGGATCTTTCTGGGGCGATATCTACCAGGTTGAGCTCGAGACTCCCCTCAAGGTCGGCTCCAACACTCCTCACCAGATCGCCTACAACGAGACTCTCAACCACCGCGAGGAGGGCTCTTTCATGTACCAGCACGGCGCCTACCACTACCTGTTCATCAGCTCTGGAATTGCTGGTGGATACACCAAGACTACTCCTCCCCCCGGTGCCGAGTACCACATCAGCGTCTGCCGTTCTTCTGGAGGCTCCGGCGGATTCGTTGACCAGTCTGGACAAGATTGCTTGAAGTCTGGCGGCACTGTTGTTCTCGCTAGCCACGGCCAAGTTTTCGGACCCGGTGGACAGGGCGTCCTGAACGACAAGGACCTCGGACCTGTCCTCTACTACCACTACTACCCTCTTGCCAAGAAGAACGCTGGTGGCTCAGCTGATGGCCAGAACCAGAATTACATGTTCTCCTGGAACCAGCTCACCTTCACCAACGGATGGCCCGTTGTGTCGGCATAGGAGGGATGTCGATTTCTTCACGGTTTCTATTATACATATACCAGGCACTAGTCCAGCGACTAGTGCCGTTTCTTTCACTTCTTTCTGTCAATGATTGGGTCATACTTCTTCTTCAAAGTACTGCACTCGTTTAATTTGATACCCATTCCGTCGCGTCCATCTTGGCTCAGCGCGCGCTTGTGTCCTGGCAGAGCATTGTTCTACTAATTATTAATTTAGTCCAGCTGAGTCTGGTCTAATGCACATTTCCAATTGCATACAAATGAAACCAATCGTTATAGAGCTCTTCATTCTTCTCATATACAACATCTTTAAAATTATTATACTACATGGAAAAGATCTCCGCTGTCTCACCTCGCAGGAATGCTGGTCCCGTAGGTGATCGACAACTTTAACTATCGGCCCACATACCGCAGCTCCAAAATGCGCAGGGTAGGTACGAGATCGCCGTGAAGACTAGCGCCAACTCGTTCGCTATGTCTCCGCCCTGCACGCCTATCAACGAAGCCAACGCTCCGATGTAGTATGTCTCCACCATGCCCACAATCCACCCTGCCGCTCCACAGAGGAACGCTGTGAGACCGGCGTAACCGACAGGCATCTTCGAGGGGGTGTTCCAAGCGTCTAGATCGTAATTGGCGAGATTGCCCTTTCGGAAATAATAGTGCTCGGTGAATAGGATGACGAAGAAAGAGGTATTCCAGTATCCCAACAGGGAAAGGAAGTTCTCCAAAACATCTAATAGATGATTCCGACCCACGATACCGAGTAAGAGAATGCACACAAATACGATGAGAGACCAAACAACGCGAGGCACCTTGGCGCATGGCGGGGCAAAGAGTTGTGCAGATAGAGCGCCGGCGTAGATGGCGATACAGTTGACACCAACTAGAGAAAATGTTAGCGCCTCACACTATGTTTTTCACGGCAGCACTTTGATATCAGACATACTTCCAGAGAGAACGAGCAGAACAAGTAGGAACTTGGCGAAACCATTCGGATAGATGATCTCCTTCAAGATCTCACCAATCCCGCCCTCATAAGCCTCAGCCCAGTCAGGATTCTCACTCAGAGCAGAGGCGATACAGGCACCCAGCAACATTCCAATGCAAGTCGGGATCGTGATTCCCAGAGTCGTGTACAAGAACACCTTGATTTTGGGCGTGTTGACGGGGTAGTGAACATAGAAATCCGAGACGATGGAGCTCCACGACGCACTAGAGCCATAGACAACGCTGAACAAACTCAAAACCTGACCGGAGCGAGTCAAGCCGTGGACAGAGGGGGGGTCGGCCAGATTCGCGCGGTGCGCCGCTTCACCGTAAATAATCATGAAGATGATAAAGAACAGGATCCACGCGTATTTCTCATAGAGAAGTACACCGCGCAGTCCGACGAAACTGAATAGTAGACTGATACACGCGACGATCACCACGCCCACGGCGATCGAGACGTGTCCATTCGACACTGCGCTCAGCGCCAATCCGCCTGTGATACAGTTTACCGAGGCCCAGCCCAACTGCTCGATGACATTCAACAAGGCGACAATGGACGAGGGGTAATAACCGAGTGAATATCGCGAAATAGCGACCTGGCGCAGCCCAGTCCCGGGTCCCATTGTCGCGCACCAGCCCTAATTAGCCCAAAGTAAGCAATCTCGCCATCCCGAATCTTGTGGCGTAAACGTAAACGTAAAATGTAAAAGGGGGGGGGAAGGCAATTCGCGTACCGTCACCATGGCCCCTAATAGAGTAGCGAAAATAATGATGGGAATCGTTTGACCTAGCGATAACCCAAATTCCTTGCCCAGAAATCCCGTACTGAAACAGCTGACGTTCATCGTCGCGGACGCCCACATAAAGGCCATGACTTGTGGACTGGGCGAATGGCGGTTCTCCGGGTGCACACGGTCAAGACTATTGGACTCGATGCCCATCTTGCGATCCAGGTACTCTTCATAGTAGCGGAGTTTCGCGAAAAACCCCTTTGGTGCGACGGGTTCCTCCTCTTCGACGGGTCGCACCTCTGGTTCCAGTCTCTTCTCTGGGTCGAGTTCGAGGTCGGCCATGGCGATAATGGTGCCGGTGCTGGTGGTGTGGACTGGGAATGGCGAGAGACAAAGAGCGACAAAGGAGAGAAGGTCCCCCCTCCGCTCCCTTCCTTTTTCTTCTTTTTTCTTCTTCTCCGCACGGGGGATATGGGGCTAGGGTTACGGCGAATCTGCCAACTCGGGTGGCTCCGTCCAATCTGCGAGTTCGTGGTGGGCCACATGGGCAGGGCGGCTTATCGGCACTTCTTTGTTCTCTTTCCAAACCTTAGGAATGGCTTTTTTTTTTCAATATCTGGGCTATATTTAAGACATGGCTGTGGGGTATTTTGAGCTATCCACTGAATATTATGGGCTTGTGAGCATTTAACTCAAAACCCCAACCCTCTAGACATGGTGAAAGAATGAGAGAGTGTTCTAAAGGAATCTACTCTACTTTGGTTAAGCTTTTGGGGCCGACGAAAAAATTCTCGTTATCAGGTGGGGTAGGCTGAGCCGGGCCCGTTTGATTGGTCTACAATTCATCTCGCTTCCTTTCCGAGTGTTGGATATCTAGTCAAGCATACTTTTATGGCATGATGGATTGTTCTGTCAGCGTGGGACCCCCCCACGTATTTAAGATGTTGGGGTGGAGTGAGTGTCGGTTGATCTTTTGCCTTAAAAGCAAGTCAAGTATACTTCCAGTGCGGAGTACTGGTGGTCTGGCAATTGCTGATCACGAGTACTACTTGCTGCATATCTGTGCCTTTGGAGTCTAGACCTCGATCCCCAAGCTACATTTTAGAATATAGCGAAACTCGCTATTATTGCCACCGCGGCGGCGAACAGGCCCCCAGGGGCGAATTGATGCAATTAGTTGGCAATATCTCGTATTCTACTCTATTTTACGTAGGTGTACTTTGAAGCATTTAAAGTACTGGCAGTTGATTTGACAGCAGTCACCTGGATAGTTGCCCCAACACTGAGATCACGCGCAGCACGTAGATGGGCCTTATCGCCAAGAGGGCCAGGGAGATGTCGGACAGTCATATATAATTAGATACCTCGAATTGGCATCTTCTCCGAGTAATTGAGGGATCAATGCATCTGGGCAATGGCGGGGAAGTGATTGGCGTGAGGATGTGTGATCTGCGGGTGACATTGCCAACCAAGTCTGGACGACCCGTGGGGATGTGCCACACCCAAATAAATCAACCTTTAGACGTCTAGATGCTAGGGAAAACTGAGGAAGAATTGTAGATTAAAATGACAATCAAGTGAAATTAAAATGAATTGATGGAAAGAGAATTATATTCAAGTTCAGAGGCCCAACAGGGTCAGGTCAAAAAGGCCAAAGTGGCGCTCGGAGGCGGAGAAAAGCCCCCCGGGTTGAGCTGCTGGCCTCTTCGCTCTGCTCGGTGACTTACTTTGTTGTCTGGGGATCTCGAACTTCTTCCTCTCTCCACCTCCACCTCTACCACCTCCTCCCCCCCTCCCCCTCCCCCCCTTTTACGCCGCTTCCCCCTCACGACCCTTTTTGTTAGGGTCTACGGGTTCATTGTACATTCTCTAGGGTGTTTTGGCCAGTCCAATACTTCCCTCCCTATTGATACCTGTCCCAGCTTCCCCCCGGACACATCACTGAATTGTCAGAGGACATCTACATCGCCCTGTTTGTCAATTCGTCAAAGTAGCATTTATCTTGTGGGTTATTCTGCTTTCTACCCCCCTAATTCGCACTATCTGCATCAATACTGGCCACATCCCCCTCCGCACCGGCTCAAACTCCTCTACTCTCCTTCATCCATACTGATCTCACTTCGCTTCAATTGTAGGCTACCTTTGCACAGCCCCCAAACCCCCGTCGATTCTCCCCGGTTTTTTGATACATCCTCTGGATTCACCATGGCTGCCGATGCGTCTGCTACCGCCAATGGCGGTGCTTCCAAGTCTCTTGCCGCTATGCTTGAGGCGCAACACGAAGAGGCCCACAAGGTCACTGTTGAAGACGTCGTGGATGAGGAGGATCTGAAGCATCCCCCTCCCTCCGCGAACAAGCAACAGCAACCTTCCGCCGGTCCCCCGATTTTGGAAGCTGTTACCCCCGTCGAGTCGACTGCCCCGTCCCCGCCCCGAAGCCTCCCGTGAAGAAGTCTCCCGCATTTGACGTCCAATCCGAAGAGCTGTTCCCTGCGCTTGGCAGTGGACCGAAGCCTGCTGCTCCCGCTGCGGCCACATGGGGTGCGAAGAAGCCCTCGGCGGCCGCGGCCGTTGCGAATGGCCTTCCTCCCCAGCCATTGGGTAAGCTAATTGAAACCGAGTGAACTGAGAACTTCCGAAAGATCACTAACTCGGAATTGATAGATGTTCCCCGTGTTATGTCGCTCCCAGGAAAGCACATGGAGCAGCTCCGGTTGGCTCCTTCGCAGATGCAGCCACGCGGAGGCTTGAAGAAACCTCTGCGGGACATCTTGCGGGATATCTCCCGGCGGTCTAAGGCCACCGTTGACATGCGTGGTGGCCCCGGCGGCTCAATTATCTTCGAAGGAAAGGGCTCCGTTGATTCCGTTCGACAGGCCCTCAAGGAGGTGGCGCAACAGGTCGGATCGAAGGTATGTCAATAAGAAGTGCGCACGAAGCAAGGCCATGCAATTGGAAAACTAACACCTTCTTTCCCTCAAAGCAATCGGTTCGCGTGCCCATCCCCACCTCTGCCCGTGCCCACATCATCGGCCGCCAAGGCGCAGTCGTTCAAGATATCCAAAGCCGTACCGGTGCTCGTGTCCAAGTTCCCCGCGCCGATGACAACTCCGCTCCTGCCGACGATGACGATAGCGATACCATCGATGTGCTGATCGAGGGTGATGCAGTGGCTGCGGAGATGGCGCGCCGGGAGATCGAAGCAATCGTCAAGGAGCGTGGCTCTAACATGAGCCTTCGCTTGAAGACGATTCCACCGGAATTCTTCCCCTTCATTGCCGGTGCCCACGATGCCGGACTGCGGGAAATCGAGGAGCGCACAAAGGCACAGGTCCATGTGCCCCGATATGATACCTGGTCAAGCCAGCCTCCTCCCCAGGAAGCCCACCCTGGCCAGGTCCAGTTTGTGCCTTGTGCTGACAAGCATATTCTGATCTCCGGAGAGCGTGCTGCGGCCCAAGAGGCTCGTGCCGAGGTCGAACGCCTCGCTGCTGAGCTCCAGCGCAGCCTCACTCTTCGCCAGCTTGCAATCAACCGTGGTCAACACCAGTTCATTCTTGGAAATGAAGCCGATGCGCTCCACCAATTCCTTGCCCAGACCGGCTGCGCCATCGTTCTTCCTCCTGCCTCCGACGAGAGTGAATTCTTGACCATCACTGGCCCTCTGAACCAGATTGAGACTGGTATCAACCATGCCATGGATCTTGCTACCAGCATGCAAATGGCCAGCATTGACCTGTCCCGTCAACACCCCAGTGCCCCCGCTGGTCCTCACGCTCACGCCCGTGCCTTGACACAATATCTCCGCCGCCGCCAAATTATCAAGCAACTCGAGTCTGCCTACGATGCCCATATTGCGCTGCCCTCCAGTGTTGATGGTCCCGTTAACTGGGAGGTGTACTCTCGCGATGGCAAGAACACCATTCGTGCCCGCTCCGACATTATGAACCTCGTCCAAGCGCACCCTCCTTCTCGTCTGCGCCACGTCCCGGTCGACCCCTACTTCCACTCCTACCTGCGCTCGCGCGGTGCGAGCAAGCTCCAGGGCGACTATGGTGTTCACCTGCTGGTGCCGGATGATGTCAACAGCACCGAGGTTGTCCTGGTCTACGAGGGCCCATCCGCCACTACCTCCAGCTTCGAAGTTCCCCGTCAACGCCCCTCTCCCGCCGAGATCACCGCCTTTGAGAAGTCGCTTCAGGAGGCCCAGGAGTTCTTGTTGAGCACTCTCGGTAACCAGAGCGATATTGTCGCCAAGGCTGTCACCATCCCTGCCAAGTACCAGGAGAAGGCCCGCAAGTTTATCATTCGCGAGCAGGACACTAAGGGAGAGGACAGCATCCCCGTGCGAGCTATTGTTGGCGACGCAAAGGCATCCAAGTGCGAGATCGCTCTCCGTGGTCCCTCCGGCCTGGTTGACGAGCTTGCTGCCAAGCTCGAAGCCTTCATTGTTGAGCAGGAGAAGGATGATCTGGAGCGTGGATACACAAACACTTTCGACTTTCCCCAGAAGTATGCCAACTTCCTTATTGGCAAGCGTGGCGAGAACATCAACAAGCTTCGTGAGGAGTTCGATGTTGACATTAAGGTTGAGAATGGAAAGGTGGAGGTCAAGGGACCCAAGGCCAAGGCTGATGCTGCCCGCATGCGCATCATCAACATGGGCAAGAAGCTGGAGGATGAGACCACTCACATCCTGAAGATTCCCGCCCAGTACCACCGCGAGCTGATCGGCCAGCGTGGTAACCAGGTCAACCGTCTCCAGGATCGCTACTCCGTACGAGTTCAGTTCCCCCGCGCAGCTGTTGCGGATGATGTTTCCACAACCGACACAGGCAGTGATGCTGGTGGTGGTGCTCGGGCTGGCCGTCCCCAACAGGCCGCCGATGAGGTGTTGGTTAAGGGACCCAGCAAGGGTGCCGACTCCGCTCGTGATGAGCTTTTGAGTTTGTGGCAGTACGTCGTTGAGACCTCGCACACTGCCAATGTCTCCGTTGCCCAGAACCAAGTTGCTTCGCTGATCGGCCAGCGCGGTCGTGAAATGGATAAGCTGCGCGCTGATACCGGTGCTCAAATCGACGTCCCCAGTGCCAATGACGCACCGGATGCCTCGGGACGAGTTCAGATCCGTCTCAAGGGTACTAAGCAGCAGGTCGCCGAGGCTAAGAAGATCCTTACCCAACGGGCCAGTGAATTCGATGCCACTGTTACCAAGTCGATTGAGGTGGACAAGAAGTATCACAAGGCCTTGATTGGTGGAGGCGGTACGTTATTCCCATTAAGTCACACGATTCCTAGTTACTAACAGACACTAGGTGCCAACATCCGCAAGATCGTCGTTGATGCTGGTGGTCCCAGTGACGGCAGCGCTGCCCGCATGGTCCGTTTCCCGCGCCCCGATAGCACCGAATCTACCATCCGCCTCGAGGGCAATGGTAAGATCGTTGAGAGCATCATTGCTGCCATCGAAACCTTCGTCAAGGAGCGCGCCGATCAGGTCACCGAGACTCTCGATGTTCCAACCGCCCAGCACCGCCTGCTGATTGGTCGTGGTGGTGAGGCTCGTCGCGGCATCGAATCCAAGTTCAACGTTACCCTGGATATCCCAAGCAGGGCTCGGGCCGCACCGACATCAAGCTCAAGGGACCTAGCAACGCCGTTGCCGAAGCCAAGGAGCACGTCCAGGGTATGCTGAAGGAGCAGCACGCCGAGACTGCTGAAGTCCCAACCTACCTGCACCACGTCGTTGCCGACAACGGCGCTTTCTTCCGTCGCCTGCGCAATGAATACCAGGTTACCGTCGACCACGCCGGTAAATCTGTGCCCACAAACCGTCCCGCCGAGGAGACCCGCTCCGTTGCTAACGGCAATTCCCTTCCCCTAATCACCGACGACGCTGAAGCTCCTTCCGATGCCCACTCGTGGAACGTGGTCGATAACGCTAAGACTGCCGATGCCGATGTCAGCCCCTTCCCCTGGGTTCTGACCGGTTCTCCCGAGAGCGTGGCTAAGGCTCGTGCCGCCATCACCAAGGCGATTGATAACGCGCAGCAGCAATCTGCCATCGGCTACTTGATTCTGCCTGACCCCAAGACCTACCGCTACGTTGTCGGTCAGGGTGGTAGCCAGATCAACGCCATCCGCAAGAAGACCGGTTGCCGTATCAACGTGCCCAAGGACCAGGCTCAGGGTGAGGCGATTGAGATCCGTGGCAGCTCTGCTGGTTTGGAGGAAGCCAAGGATATGATTCTGGAGGCTGTTCAGAACGGTCTGAACGGCTCTGCCCGGTAATTGCTTTGTTTTTGTTGTTGTTGATGGATCTTGCCTCCTCCTAGGAATAACGACTGGACATATTGGGCATTCCAGACATACAGCACACCATTTCTTCGAGAAATTCTTTGTGTTTATTTTATTGATCCCTGTTTTCTTACATCTATGATGGTATTTAGTGTATCTCTTCTCTTCTATTTCAAAAAGAATGTTCTCTTCTCATTTCCCCCTTTTTTGCTGTGTGCTTTTCATTATGCATTGAAGTCTTCTACTTCAGCACTCCAAGGAGGGCTGTCTTGTGAATCTCAAGACCCAAGTTGATATTCTAGCGAAATAAAATATAAAAAAAAGGTTCAAACGGTATCGATTCATGAGTAAACGGTTCATTCTAGTACTGAGTATCCCGAGTCTGACTTGACTAGTCTAAGCACCGCCCCCTCCAAAGCTGAAGCCCCCCCCTCGCGACCCACCTCGAGTCCCCCTTGTGCAAGTCCCGCGATAATCGGCTTTCACGAGCACGTTGTCGACGGTTATACTCTTTGGCATGCTTTCTTTTCATCTTCTTATCGTCGGAAGATGGCCTTTGTGGTTCGTTCTGGATGGGATCGACCTCGGACTTGGTCTCGGATTCATCGTTCGAGTCGCCGCAGAACAGACGTTTCACCCAATCAAGCATTCTGATATTGAAATATGAACTTCTGGCGAGACGTCTGGTATTCTATATGATGCGTCAGCTTCGTTTCACGGGGAATTTCCAACGGAAGAAATACCTTTTACGCGGGATATGAATAAGAGCGACGTATGTTCATGGATATTCGGGTAGGCGATGTTGATTTTAACCGACAGAAATTGGGGGCGAAGGGGCCAAATTTCGCACCAGGTGATTTGCATCTTGGCGCGCTCTTGGTACAGAGGACCCGGTGGGAGAATTGCAAATCATTATGCTCGGAAACCTGCGATAGAATCTGGAAGCAATACTCGTACATCGTTCTCGGACGACTCGCCGAGGCCGACTTGCATTTTGTTCCTTGCATGGGCCATAGACTCGGGGAACCTATCGCTGCTGGGAATTTCATATTCTCAACGATTCAGAGAAAGTTGCCCTTGTACATTCGAAAAAGGCAAAGGAGAACTCTTCTTTGCCTGTCCAGAATGCCCAAGAGCCCGCACCACCACAAACTCCAGTATTTCTTCCACCCCCAAGCGTTTTGAGGCTAATAAATGTCTCAGGGGAATGTGAAGCAGCTGTTGAGGCATCGAGCCTGGAAATGGCTTCGGGAAATCGATCGACGACGAGAAAGCGATCATATCGGATGATACATTCAGTAGGTAATGGATCGAGGAAGGGTATTTCATGGGGGAGGGTTCCGGTTGCACTCTGTGCGCTTTCACGGCTTTCGTTCCTGGCTTCAGCTGTTATGAAGCGAGATAAACGAGTATTGCTGGCGTGGCTGAAATAGAAGGATGAATATGGGCCCGTGAGGGTGTTGGGTCTCTTTAGAATTGACAGTTAGAGGTCGGATCACTCACTGGGAAAGGTCGGAATTACTCAACTTGACTCAAAAGGTTACAGATGCTGTGTTGGATGATGTGATGTGATGTGATGGAATTTATTCTTTAAACTCAGACCGAATATGTAGCTGGATGTTCACCACTGAGTTTCGGAAATGAGCATGAGCCCAAGTTCATCCCCCTTGGTGATTTTGCTTTGCCTTCAACCATGTTGAGACTTCATCTACGCCGTCAGGTTTCGGGCAGAGACATGAGCCCAAGTCTTTCACCTGTGGAGATCTGGTTGATCCTTGATTATTGCGATAGACGAAATGGTAAGTTCGAAATCTCAAATCAAAGATGAGGGCCACCGTCATTACTGGATGCCCAAGGTCCCTTGCGGGACCGGTCTCATCCAGGGTGGCCAGGGCCATGGCCAATTCCAGACAACACGACCAATTTACAAGAACACCCAGGTGCAGCGCACGAAGATGTCTCGCCAGGAGATCGAGTCATCCTAAACGGACATGACCGTAGCCGGGGTCCGCAGCCATGACCATTCCGAACAACCCGACCAACTTAAAAGAACACCTAGGTGCAGCGCACGAAGATGTCTTTCCAGGAGGTCGAGTCTCATCCAGAATGAACACGGCTGTACCCGTGGCCCATGGCCAGGGCCAGGTTTCTGAATGCCACGATCGCTTACAAGAACACCTTGATGCACCAAGATGCCGAGCAGGGAGATCGAGTACCATCCAGAGCCATTGCCGTAGCCGGGTGGCGTGACCAAGGCTCTGAATGCCACGATCGCTTACAAGAACACCTTGATGCACCAAGATGCCCTGCAGGGAGATCGAGTACCATCCAGAGCCATGGCCGCAGCCGGGGCCGGAGGGGCGTGACCAAGACTCTGAATGCCACGATCGCTTACAAGGGCATCAGGTTTGCACCAAGATGCCGAGCAGGGAGATCGAGTACCATCCAGAGCCATGGCCGTAGCCGAGGCCGGGGGGCGTGGCCGGGGTTCTGAATGCCACGATCGCTTACAAGGGCATCAGGTTTGCACCAAGATGCCCTGCAGGGAGATCGAGTACCATCCATAGCCCGGGCCGTAGCCGGGACCGGGTTTCTGAAAGCCACGACCGCTTACAGGAACATCTAGGTGCAACGCACAAAGATGTCTTGCAAGGAGGTCGAGTACATTCAGAGTGCCCGGGACCTGCTGAAGGAGTGAGACCGCTTACAAGAAGAATTGATGCACCGCACCGAGATTTCTTGCAAGGAGGACTGGCTCCATCCAGAGTGTTGGTGGATATCCGAACTCCCTTGCGAGAGCCGGATTTCCAAAAGCTGTCGAGAGGCCCAGGGGGTCTGATCGGTTGGGACCCAGAGCACTCAGTGATGGGGGTCGATTCTCTCCCGCGAAAACCAGTGCCACCCAGACTGAGCGTCTGGAATCACAAGAGCCAGAAACACCCAGATGTCAGCAAAAGCGAGTGAGGGAGGAAGATGTTACCTGGGAGAGAGAGTGCTGTGACCAGTCAGTCAAGTGTTGTTGTTGTTGTTGTTGTTGTTTTCAGTCAGATTGAGTACTCACCATGTGTCCAGAACGGTGACTGCCGAACACGACTGAGGGTGTTTTTCAGTCCGTTGAAGATCAGAAAAGTGAGAGGAAGATGGAAAAGAAAGAAATGAGATGAGGAAACACGTCAAGTAGATGAAGGTGAGGTGGGTGGTGGTGGGGAAGAGAAAGAAAGTGAGAGTGGGAGAGAGAAGAAGAAGAAGGAGAAGAGGGGGAGATGGGACTGGGAGGAAGTAAACAGAAACAAACAGAAGTAAACAAAAGGGAATGTAAACAGTGAATGCAAAGTGGAAGGAGGGTGCCCCAAATGGGATCGATTGGTCGTGGTTGCCTAGTCTTGAACGGTGCATGGTGAATGGTGAATGCCGAGATGGAAGTTGCTGAGATAGCGTCACCGCTCCTTCCTCTGGTTCAGCTTGCACTGACTTGCTCACAAGAAGAGAAAAAGAAGCCACAGAAGGAAAAGAAGCGGCTGTGCACAGAATGAGCAAGAGGAGGCATATTGAGGCTCTACAGGTGTCGTTCATGTCAGGAGTGCATGGATTCGGATTTCCTTGAGCATTTCAAACTCTTTTTTTCTGGTGTAGATACAGAAGATGGTTTGTAAGATCAGAAAAAAAGGACCAACTCAATTGATCAACAGACTGCGACATTGTTGGGGGAAAAGAAGGCAGAGTTTCAAATTGAAGACCCGACGTTGTTTTTAGGCCGATCTAGTCAAAGCTTGGCATTGGTGGACTATGAATCGTGGGTTGTGACTAAGGACTAATTCTTCTTCTTTTTTATTCTACTTCACGCTCAGAACTGCCCTCTTCACCTCATACAAATAGCACAAATACCATTCATTGACCTTGAATATCATTGCGACGAGATAACCCTCAAGAACGAACCTTGGAAAGACAGAGGCGAAAAATTTCCCCTCGGGTATATTGACGAGAATAGACTGCGATATCTTTAATCCCTGGGGTAGACAACTTGTTTACTACGTGGCTCGCTATGTGGCTCGCTACGGCCATATATACCACAAATCATCCGCTGAATATCTCCACTCCAAACCCAGAAAGCAACTTAGGGGTGGACTGGAAAAGCTGAAGTCGAGATGCCGCCGGCATGCAGATGATCAAATCCGAATTATTTGAAGTCAATCAACATATAGTGATTCAATTGGAATCCTTCTCATTTCCAAGCAAACTGCTAACATCGCAAGATTTCCCGATGTAATTTGAAGAGGATTGCCGGAGAATAGTGGACGACTGTGTGCTCGCAAAATATTCCGATTGAGAAATATTGCCGGGGCGAGCCTTCCGGAAATTTAGGGTCTGCCAACTCACTGGCAACTATTACAGTGCAAATATATCCATATATGACCGCTCTGTGATGTCCAACTTCCGCCCTTATTGCTACCCATGAGAGCAACTTTGCAGAGCATGAAATGCCAGTAATACCGCCAACATTTTTATTTACTAGATTCTTGGCACCGGCAATTATTCCATGCCATACAGACCAGTCGGCTGGATCGTGGCCGCAAAGTCGTCATCGCTTGGTACACGCGCGAAAGAAGTCGATATTGAATCTGCAGTGAACTGGACCAAATTTTTGGCAGTCGCAAAGTTACATCCTTTATGCGTACCCGCTTTGCGGATGAGCTTGGGTTTTATAGCATGGCGAATTCTACTGTGGATGGCATAATCGTGGATAGTCGACGACCCTCGTCCTCGAAACAAGATGCCGAGTTTGTTGAAAAATAGGCGATGGCGGATTGCAACAACAATATCACATATACTCTATAAATTTATACTGAATGAGAACAAATTTTGATAATTAAATAAATGGTCTGATACCATTAAATGATTGAAAAGGCCTCGGATTCATGCGCATACATAAAGAAAAGCGAAAGCGGCCCAAACATACCGGCCCGGTGTCTGACGTACAAAGTCTACTGTAGACTCTAGACCTTAGTATTAGATATACCCTCATAAACCTTGGAGCGTTTTTGAACCATCTATTTCTGATACCACGATTAGTGTACTAGGCTTACGACATAAAGAACCTCTCGAAATCCCCTTTACTTGACAAAAGCCACGCTCCGGGCCTACAAGACTCGGAGAGATGCTTGGCGTGTAGATTTAGATACTTCAGCTACGCCATTTCGAACTGGTTGTACGTAGGTCACACGTGCTTGAAAGAACATGATAAAGGGCCTATCATATCATTTACGGACACAATGGTGAAGGCGAGTGCTTCATATGACAACCCCCCTGCACCCGTACAGCCACAGTCATCATGGACCTGCGTAAACAATGACATCATAGGTGGAATACTAGCCTTAAAAACCAACACATTTGAACTGAGACCTCCACTCCACAACATAACTATTCACCCCATTATATCCTTCAGGTACACATTTTCGAGGTCGAATTCTAAACCCATATTCTTGCTTTCCCCGATCAACCACAAGTGATACCCACCTATTCAAAAACCTACCAGCCTTCACCATGACGATCGGCTCCCAAGACCAAGGCGCAACAGGCGCTGCCAAGTGGGTGACATCCACCCTTGGAAACACCGTTGGCGGCGTGACCCGTACTGTGGGCGGAGTCACGGGCGCTGCGACGAGAGGTGTCGGTGATACCATCAACAGTGCGACGGGAAGTGCTGGACGACCCGTTGGCGATGCGATTGGAAATGCTGGGACTGGACTGGAGGATGGAACAAAGCAGGTCGCCAAGGGGGGTTGAGAATGCTGGGCAGTGGAAAGGACAGTGGAGGTAGTGCCAGCGGGATGAATCAGGCCGATATTATTCAACTTTCGTCTGAGTCCTCCCTTTGCGTTGATCGAATTTATATTCAACGTGGAGTTGGATGTGTATAACCACTGGCATGTGTATATGATGTTTCCTGTTTAATAGTCTAGTAGCTTCATTTCAATATCCAAACACCGTTCCATCAGTCCTTCCCTCTATTTCCGAGTCTCTATAGCAAGATCTAGTAGTGGTATATATATACAAAAGTCTAAAAAAGCACCAAAAAAAACAAATCCTAGAAGATCATCCCATCAATGCTCCGCAGGAACCTTGAGCTTAATCTGCGTTCCCAAGGTCACCAGCGTTCCAAAACTACCCACCGCCATAAAAACCGGTCCCCAAATAGCAGGCACAAACTGACCAACCATTAAATACCGGCGTATAGACCAATAGCGGAAAAATCCATATCCCAAACACCAAGCACCCAAAGACTGACAAATTCTCGACGCGGTGACATGTTCCTTCAACATGACGAGAATCTCAGGACTTTCCCCGCGCTTCGCGATCGCTTTGGTCTGCGGCTCCTTTCCCGCAAGCGCAAGTTGCTTGTGGAGGAGGTGGTCGACGGCTTCTAGGCGGTCTAGCGCGAGGGCCATGAGGCCGAAGCCAAGACCTGCTCGAGTCCATGAGAGGAAAGTGCGCTCGTTGGCGTGGTGGTCGCGCTGTTGGGAGCCTGAGTTTGCGACCCGTGAGGGAATGAGACGGCGGAAGAGTGAGGCCATCTCTTGGAGATTATGAAATGAGTGTGGGTGGCCGCGAGGACCAGACCTGAGGAATGTCTTGGGGAATTTCTTGAAGATGGATTGGGTTGGAGGCGTTTCAATTGCCGCAGGGCTGAGGATCCACGTGGAGACTGCGTTTGTTGCCGTTGCCGGTGGCCGTATACTCGGGCATAATCGGATACTTCACATAAGGTACTCGTATACTCTCGTACTTTCATTGATGTCGCTCGCCAAACAATAGTTCTCGAATGAAGCTTAAAATTCTCGGGATTTCATCTTATCTGATTTCACCATTTCATATGCAACACCATAAACAAACCCAATCCCTAGAGGCTTCCACGCCCGGACTTATGCACGGTAGCTGCCGCCTCCGATTGGTCCCCCACAAGCCGCGACCCGCAACGCTGCACTATACCTTAGGTTACCCCAGACTCTCGCCCTTGATCTTGGATAAATTGGAACCGTTGAAATTCTTCAGGTGACCCTAAACACCTTTCCCTACTTCCCACAAGGAAGTTGACTCGTTATTGAAGCCCTTGAGACATCTCGTTCGACCCTCGCCCATTCATTCGGGCGAGAGAATCCTGCTCGGGCGAGAAATAGCTTCTCGGGCGAGAGAGGATTGCGCCATCGCCAACTATACGGAAGAGTACTGTATCGTTACTGAGTATATGCTGGCAGCAATACACACGAGGTTTTGATATACTTATAGTATTATATGGGAGTCGCGTTTTGTGAAAGATATTATATACAATTTAAAGAATACAATTTAAAAATACAGATCAACCTGGTCAAGTCCCGTAGTGTGTGAAACATCACAACTCATTTCCGACGAAGAAAATGGAGCAATAGCATCTGGCTACGCACTACCACTCCAAACCATTCAATTTCAACGGTAAATGAAGAAATCGTTGTCCAGCATCCGTCGGCGCAGGAAGTCGTCCACCACGAATATTAACCTGCAGAGATTGATGGAGAAGCCTAGGCTCATTCAAACTAGCATCACGCTCCGTCCGCATCGCGACAAACTGCTCCTCCGAGATGGATTCTTTGATATGTCGATTCAACCGTTTGTGTTCACCGACACTCATAAATGCCACAGGGTCTCGGTCGGGCGGGGGTAGTCGTGCCCTGGCCAGATTTTGACACTTTCGTCGAACTCTAGTAACCTGCGAGCGGAGTTGTAGAGATTCTTTGCGTCGCCGCCGGGGAAGTCGCAGCGTGCTGTGCCGATGTCTATGTGAAAGAGGGAGTCGCCGCAGAAAATGTTTTCTGGAATAGAGACATGTCAGATTACCAGTAGTGATGAGTGATGGTGGAACGGTTGCTTAGTTTGAACTACATACCTCCGATTTGATAGCCAAGGTGATCTGGGGTATGACCCGGAAGATGTAGAGCTGTAGCTGTGAGCCCGCCAATGGTGAGCTTTTCATCGTCATCGAAAAGGTGGTCGAAGACTTGCTCGTATTCCTCTTTGCCGATGTGGTATCGCAGACCGAAGAGATTCTGAACCTGCGCGATGCGTTTGCCGATTCCTATCGGTGGCTTAAACCCTTGCGTTTGATTGAGTTGGTGCTGGAGATATGCAGATGCAGTGAGATGATCTGCGTGGGCGTGTGTCTCGAGGATTCGTTCAATTTGGTAGCCTTTTTCTTTGACTAATGCGAGTAACTCATCGGCCGCTGTCGTGGTGATGGCCTGAGTGGCTGGCTCATAGTTCAAGACCGGGTCGATTATGATGGCGGCTTTTGCGGATGGATCTGCCACGATATATTGCCATGTTCCCGTTGCGGGTTCAAAGATGTTGTGAATGGTTGGTTCTTTGGTTGATGCAGAGCTCGTGCTGTTTGGGCGTACTTGATACAGGCCCTGGGCATTGCGGGGTGGAGACATGTGGATATGAGTTTGAGCCCGGAGTCTCTGCGGCGTTAGACTCGTGCTGGATAGTGAACTCTTTGAGTGTGCTGAGATTTGCCGGCTGGCCACTGAAGGGATGGTGGCAATTGGCTTGAATTGTCTGCGTCCTATCGTTGATCTAAAGGGAGAAAGTAAAGAGTGGTTGACCTTCATCCTGAAGTCGAGCCGTAGGAAAGGATAAAGATATGTATTTATGTGTGGATGGATGTAGGAGGTGTGATGTGTTTGACGGGATCTCGGTGTCTACTAGACATGAGGTTGATGTTGAACATGAACTTGAAGATTACTCGTAATAAACTCGGGCTCTATCCCTTTGGTCGCCGATTGACTCGGCGAATGGAATGTCTCCGCTCGGAGACATTTAAACCAGATCAGATTCTAAATATTCAAGTCCCGACTCCCACTTTGTAGTCCATATTACTATGTAGTAATATCAGGCCATGCCCTGTCTCTAGTGAGATATGGTGAGATGGTGGATCCCCGGTAAGGCATTGTAACCGGTAAAAACGAACTCAAAGTTTCCGTCGATCACGGCCGAGACGAATGCGTCTCGCGTCATTCCATTCCTCTTTTTTTTTTTGGAACCCCATCTCTTCTCCTTCTCTCAATTCCCCAGTTTTGCTTGATACCCTCCCTCTCACCTTCAACATACAATCCTAATAATCATGTTCCGCCGCGTCACACGCGTCACTCAGGCCGTGCCAAGCATCCGCAGCTTCGCAACCGCCGCCCCCGCCGCTGCAGCCCGCAACCACAAAGTCGTCGTCGTCGGCGCCGGTACCGCCGGTCTATCAATCAGTCACCAGCTCCTGCAATCCGGCAAATTCAACCAAGATGACATCGCAATCGTCGACCCGGCCGAGTTCCACCACTACCAGCCAGGCTGGACGCTCGTCGGCGGCGGCCTCAAGACAAAGGAAGAACTCCGACGACCAATGAAAGAGCTAATCGACTCGAAGCTCAAATTCTACAACGACGGCGTCGCATCCTTCGCCCCGGAACAAAACACCGTCACTTTCGCCAATGGCAACAAAGTCAACTACGACCAATTGATCGTCGCTCCTGGTCTCACCATCAACTATGGCAGCATTAAGGGACTCCCTGAAGCCTTGGCCGATCCCTCCGCCCCCGTCTCCTCCATCTACGGCTACGACAGCGTTAGCAAGGTCTTCGGTACCATCCAGAAACTCGAGAAGGGAAATGCTATCTTCACACAACCCGCCGGCGCGATTAAGTGTGCCGGCGCCCCGCAAAAGATCATGTGGTTGGCTCTGGACCACTGGAAGCGCGCTGGTCTGTATGACCCGGCCAACCCCTCCAGTTCCGCAATCAATATCGACTTCGCAACCGGTATGCCGGTGATGTTCGGAGTGCCGAAGTATAACAAGGCTCTCACGGCGATGCAGCAGGAGCGCGGCGTGAATGCGCTATTCCAGCACGACCTTGTCAGCATTGATGGGAATACGGCGACATTTGCCCGGCCGGATGGTCAGGCGGAGGTTTCTAAGAAGTTTGATTTGTTGCACGTTGTGCCGAAGATGGGGTCGCCTGCTTTTGTGAAGAATAGTGCTCTCGCTAATGAGGCTGGCTTTGTGGATGTTGATGATGCGACGGCTCAGCATAAGAAGTTTGCTAATGTCTGGTCCGCGGGTGATGCGTCTAGTCTGCCTACTTCCAAGACTGCGGCTGCGGTTACTGCGCAGGCGCCTGTTGTGGTGCGGAACTTGTTGCAAACTATGGAGGGTAAGAAGGCTGATGCTGTTTATGATGGGTATACCTCTTGCCCGCTGTTGACGGAGTATGGAAAGGTTCTCCTTGCTGAGTTCAAGTATGGTGGTGAGCCGAAGGAGACTTTTGGTAATTGGTTCGGTGTTGACCAGGCTGTTCCGCGTCGCTCGTTCTATTACCTCAAGAAGGACTTTTTCCCTTGGGTTTACTATAACTCCATGGTTAAGGGTGAATGGGCTGGACCTAATGGGTGGAAATAGGGATATCATGCGAAGGTTTTGCTCTGAGTGCACTTTATGGAGTTTTGGGTCATAGATCGATCAATGTATTCTAGGACAGTATGTCGAAACAAAATGGAATACCCAGGTTAGGATATGTACAAATTGGAGTTCAAGTGGTTCAAGTTATCTGATTCATCCTTTTCTTTGAATTGGTTAGACGCTCATGCTGCAATCCCCATTACATGGGCACTACCTTAGGTACCAGGCACACCTGATACTATGCCATTGCGGGGAATGTTCCCCGCCGCGGTTCCTTCACTATCAGTGCCTTACTGCCCACCCAAAGCGCTTCCCGCTTTGGGTGGGCAGTAAGGCACTGATAGTGATACGGCAAAGGCGGATGGCGGATGGTGGATTCCGGGTCGGCGCTGTCTGAGCCGAAGCATGGCGGGGGTCCATTCCCTTCTAGAACGGACAATGGCAATGGCAATGGCAATCAGATATCGGTCTATTAATATATGCGTAGAAACAGAAAGATGACCATCATCTCCGCACACGAAGGCCCCCACCGCGGCAAAGTTGGCCCGAAGGAGCAAAAGATTCCGCCTTGCAGGGTAGGGGCCGCCGAGCTTTCCTCTGTTCGTCAAACTCTCCACCCAACCGTCAAGAGCCAGACATGGTCAAGAGATGCCAGTGAGTACCGAACATGAGCAAAGAGCGGAGAAATAAAAAGAGGCATAGCACATAGCACATAAGGCTCCCAGTATATCAGTAGGCAGGGGAGGAGCGACAAAAAAGGCCCGGGATATACCATTTGGCAATGAAATGATCACAATGAAAAAAAAGCAGACAGCCAATAATTAAAAAGAAAAAAAAAAGTGAAAACCCCAAAAAAGACATGAGTAAAATGATATCTCGCTGCAAAGGCTTTGCGGTCAATCTCCTCTCCTCTGCTCTGCTCTCCCCCGCAGCAGCTCTTTGCTATTTTCGTCTTCCCCTCACGGAGGATCATTCCAGCACCTTCCAAGGCGTGTTTCCCCCAACTTAGATCCTCCACATGTTTTTGACCCATTTCCCACCCCCTCATCACATGCCCCATCTATCGTTCGTTCTGATAGTGTAATCTCACATACATCGGCACGGCGGATACCCCCACTTTACTGTTGGGCCTTCTGGGCCTCAAGGTAGTTGTAAGCACCGTAGGCAATGGCACCACCAATGAGGATGATGGCGTAGAGACCGACACCGAAGCCGCCGGAGCTGGCAGTGGTGGCCGATGAGCTCGAGGTGGCGCCGTGTGACTTGGGCTCGGGGTCACCGGGCTGGAGGGAGTTAGCGATAGTTCAAAGATATCGACATGTAAACAGACAGCAGGGGAATAGAGCCGAGACATACCATGCGCTTCACGTTGCCGACGAGCAGACCGTCGAGAATCTCGCGCGCCTCATCGGAGTGGCCGACATCCTCGAAGGCCTCGGTTCCATCTTGGCCGCCGACGTCCAGGAGAACTTCCTCACCACCGCTATACCGGGAATGTTAGCCTAATTCCATATTATTGTGCAGGGAAAGTTGCAATATGACTCCCTGTGCGACTCGTCTGAGTCAGAGGAGGGGGAGGGGAGGCCAGGAACGTTTCGCTATTTTTCGATAGGGGTATATAGCCCAGCCGATCGGGTCTATAGACCCGACTCAGACGGAGGCGGGATGCAGAGGAAATGGAGTGGGAGGGGGTTGGAGAGGTATTTGACGTACGGGTGCTCATCGACGAAGCTGGTGCAGTCGTAGACCTTGTCGTGGATGACCATGTAGAGGTCCTTCTTGGTGTTGTGGCCGGTGACCTCCTGGAGGGTGAATTCCTTGGACTCAGACATGATGACGGATGGATATCTGGATGAGCAGCCGGAGAGACAAGAAATTAGCCTGGTGGACAGGATTGAAGGGCCAGATCTGCAGAGGGGGAAAAGGGTCCAGGTTCGGTGCAGAAATCCCAACGGGTCTCCGACACAAGAGGAGTTCGGAGAAGGCAAGACAGCGATCAGGAAGGCGGCCAGCCAGGTTCCGGGGACGGGTGATGTTGATATTTGAGAGGTATTGGGAGAGAGGGACTCACAGGGCGAAGAAGACGAGCTAATGGAAGCAAAAGGACTGTATGTGCAAAGAAAAGAAATGGATGGGAAGGGCAGATCGCAAAGTTGACGGGGCGTGCGCCAGGGCGGTCTCTCCGCGCGGTGGGCCTGAGGATTATTTAGTATTGGCTACCCTAGGCTATACCCAGGATTGGGTATTGGGTCTTGCCGTGGCTGCCATCCGATCAATTGAGGGGGGGGATTTGGTATTACCGGTACGGTGATTAAGTTGTCATTCAAGTTTGCTATCATTTCTCTATTGGTCTGCCACTGCAGTAATGTACCGGTGACTCTCTGGCGAGAAATCGACACACCCCCGTGCAATTGCCATTGGGCGAATCAGCGGCTGCTTATTCGAGCCTCGGCGCATATGATAAGGGTGCAGTTACACAGAGAGTTGGGAGAGAAAAAACTCGGTGAGGGTTTCGCTACAAAGTAATAATAGTATAATAATCACAGAATATGACTGACGAGGTCAAGTATATTGGGTATACCCAGAATGTCAACCTGGGGTAATATGGTACGAGTACATAATGCCACAGGCAAAGGCACATCCCTCGGGAGATGTACCACACCGACAGCCCAATGAGAGCGGGGACAATCGTCAGATCGGTCCTGACCAAGTCTTTCACCGTACTTGACCGTACTTGACCATACTTGGCCATACTGAGTATGGTGGCGGTGGCCATTACCGGGGCCCTCGGGTATTGCTCGCCCCGGGTAGTGTAATCGGTCTGGAGTGCGGAACACAATGGAATTGCTGACTCTGCTCAACTCTATTGTATATATTGTACCGTCCCTGCGGAATTTAATGCAGACCATGAATCTAATGCAACAATTGTGAATGTGAATGTGTATGGTATATACCCCGACCCCTCACTGGCCTGGCGCTCGTTCTATCCAATTCGTGACTATCGTGACATGCAAGAAAAGAAAAGAAAAAACAAAACAAGAAGACACTCATATGCAAGGAGGAACCTGGCCATGAAGAGAGAGAAAGAAAAAAAAAGCAAAAGCAAACAAAACACCACGTAATGTGGGACTCGCTCATTTCGCTGGGACTCGCTCATAAAACACAATATATGCTTGCTCATTCTGCAGCCGGTCGCGGGCCCGGAGGTCGCGCGGGTTGAAGTCGCCCGCCCGCTCATCGTCGAACCGCCGCCAAGTGTGTCGCTCCGCATCCCGCACCAGTGAAATGTAGTGTCCACTGCCCATTGAAGATCCAATATGACGTAGCACCCCAAATGCATCGTAGCTGAACGGAGGGTCCGTCGCTCCCATCGGTGGTGGCACTCCCATATCTGGCGGAGGCGCCGAAGCTCCGTGGGAGATCAAGAACTCATCCATTCGTAAGCCGTGAAGAGGAAATTCGATCGGAGTGTGGATTTTACGGGCGCTTTGCGTCTTCGAGGCCGAAAAGCGTTTGAAATGGACCACTAAGATCTGCGGTGCCCGCGTAATGAAGATTTGCTTGGTCGCCATACGCTTGCACTTGCAGTGTGGACATTTCCAAACCTCGTCGCCGCTCAACATCTCCTCCTTGCAGTAGCTGCGGAGACATTGGTATATATCTGCACTTCCCGTGGGTGGGATTTCCACACTGATACTGTAGAACGCTTCATATGTGGTCGATGTCTGATGACAGGTCGTGCAGCGGAGTCGACTAGCGTGCTGTCCGGCAAACAACGACGAAATGAAGGACTCCTCCCGATGACAATATCGATCCCATTCAATCCGAGAGACCTTTTGAACGGGCATGCGCTCTCGCTGCATCTCCTCCGGGAAGGTCAAAGGTCGCAGTGGGGTACGCTGCCAATTAACATTGAGGTCCTCGTGAAGACAGTCCACCACAAAATCGAAAAACTCCTTCGCGTCTTGTTGACGATCAATCGCCCATTCCCGATTCAATCGGCCACAGAAGTTTCTGAACGAACTTGGCATGATGACCTCCACATCATCTTTCCACAGCGACCGAATAAGATTGGCGTATAGTCCCGGCATCACACCTTGCGACCCCTTCCAATTCTTCTGTACATAGCCTCGGAACCGATTGTCGATGAAGAATTTGCTCATGATGGACGTCGCACTGAGACATTGAATCGTGGAATTCATATAGCAAGTCACACCAAAATTGGTTAGGCCAGTTCGTGGCAGTTTGAGGCGACGGAGAAGCGAGTTTGACATATACAAAGCCGTGCGTGTCGCCGAATTTTGTCTTTCCAAATGAGGTTGAATCTGCCGGCCTTCTGACACACCACTATAGCTAGGACGTGGGACCGCGGGAGGGGGCCGAGAGGGCGTTGATGGGATGGGAGCTGGGAAACTTTGCATCGGAGGAGCCGGCCTCGATTCAGGGCGAATCATGGATTGCTGCACATGGTGTGGTTCTGGGAATCGACGAAGAAAATCTTCATAGTTGTGCACAAATGGGGCGGGTGCTTCTGCCACAGACTCCTCTTGCGGCTCCTCCGTGAGCGGTTCCTCCTCAAGATAGTGGCTTGTGTCGATCTCCTCATTCTTGGACCTTTCCATCCATGCCGATAATTCCTCCGAATTCAACGGTGTGAACTCGCGGAGTCTCCTCTTGCGAACCTCCAAGCTGGAGTTGGCACTGGCCATCGTGGGCACCCGTCCTAGTGGACGACCAGGCCTGGAAATGGGTCGCTTGTTCTGAATCGATCCCATCACAGCGGCTGTTGAGGACGTGGCTAGAGATTGCTGTCCAAGGATATCAATCCACGCATCTAAACCACCCAGAAGAAGCGCCGGAGGACGTCCAGCCTTAAGTGGTTTGTATTCGTTGAATTCATAGAGTGTGTCATGGAGAGCTCGCAGGTGTGGCGCCGACGTTCCAGCGGGCGGGCCTGCAAGATAACTGACCGAGCTGGTATTTTGATCGTAATAAACAACCAGGTCGAATTCATTTCGTCGTTCGAATAGAGACAATTCGTATTCCGGAGACACGACGAGTCGGTCCTCGAGCTCTTCAGCCGAGACATTCTCTTTCAAAGAGACAGGTTCAATACATATAATGGACTTGGCATAAACGTGGCCATTGTCGAACTGGTCCCGAGAGCGGACATCGACCAGCAACACATTGAAAGTTCGAAGATATTCTCAGGAGACTTTGCGCCGTTATAGCATTGGTATAAGGCAAATCGGGAGAATTACTCCGTGTCTCTCGCGCAGAATGGACGCCGTTGGGTGTTCGAGATCGGTAGGGGCTGTCATCGAACCCGCGACTGGGACTCCCGCGAGGAGAATTGCTGAAATGTGAATATCGCTGGGTGATTGACCGTGTGCTTTCGGTGGAGGTCCGCGGGGGATTAGGCGGAGGTTGCGAGGGAACCGTGTAGATCGGACTGTAGGCGGGGTCGGGGGCACGTGGGAGGGACGTTGCGAGAGGAAGCTTGGGAGGTACACTCGGGACATGGTTTGACGATCCCATACTCCGAGGGCCCAGTGGACGGCGAGTCGGCGGGCCTTGAGAAGCACTGTAGTTTGACTGGGGGGGTATTGGAAGAGTATGCGGTGTATGCGGAAGCCTGGCCTGCAGGCCCCGAAGAAGGATGAGTAGGCTGCACATTGGAGTCCGGCCTATTGTCGTGAGATTGAGATGTTCTGAGTTTCGCAAAGCGCTGCGCCAACAGGTCCTCCGCGGGAACCGAGTTTCTCTTTACTTGTGTCTGAGAATCTGGGATTGGCTGGGACTGGAACTGTGTCGGGCTCGGCATCCGCATTGAATTGGTCCTAGAATTGCGATTCTCGCGACCTCGGGGAGCGGTCGAGTCGTTCTGGCCGGTAGAGGTCATCGTATATGTTCCGGCCGGTTGTACTTTGGTGCGGATATTGTCCTCGAGGATTTCCTGTTTAATGGTATCCATCGTCGCCTGCTTCGTTCGCACCGCCTAATTCGTGTCAGCTCAGGTAGATATATCGAGGATTTATGAACTCCGATCCGATGCTGACGTACCATCATCAGAGCCGCAAATTCCTTGGGCCATCCAGGGTGTGGGAGAGTGGTTGATCGATAATCGGGATGGTGGGGGATGGTATTCACGGTTATTTCGGAGGCACGCAAATATTGGACGTAAGCCTGGTCAGGTTGGGAGTCTGCCAGTTTCTTGGCGAGGTCGATTGCTTCGGCGGCGGTTCCAAGGAGGACCTCGAGCTGTGGATCAGGTGAGCAAGTTGTCCCCGCCGCGGGCATTCGCATTCCCCATACTTACCGGAGTGGTTTCATTCACGTTTAACAAAGCAGCTTGGTCCTGGAGGTCTTTGATATTTGGAAATATCGGTCGAGTAGTCGGGGCCCCATTACCATTACCATTCTGATAGGAGCCAGAGCCAGGTCTGGTGACCTGGCCTTTGGAATGTATGTTGCCCCCCACCGAGTAAGGACGGGTGCCGCCCTTCCACGGTGGTATGTCCGGTGGAGAGGGGAGGGCCGCCGCATCGGTGGGCATGATCGAAATAGAGAGAACAGCAAAAGGGTTCAGCGCATATTTAGATGAAAGGGGGAGAGAAAAGAAGGGCAGTGTCTCAACCCTGTATGTGTGTGATAGGCAAAGTCTCGCAAAGAAAGGGCAAGGAAGAAACACCAGGCACACCACGAGTCTGGGGAAGGGCATCAGCGGAGAGCGGAGCGCCACTGTACGAGTAATAATAGAAACGTCGCTCACCGCCGATGACGCAGCAAGCTAGAAGCTTAGTCAATGTCACCCAGAGAGCTCCCCTCATCAACATTCATCATTCATTATTCACCCCTCCAGATCTACAGATCTCCCTACAATCCCCTTCCATTATGGCAGGCTGGTTTTCTTCAGCGTCGCCCCTCGATGAGCAGATCGAGCGGGCGACCGCTTCCTCCCTGTACGTGGTGATCGGTGCTTTCATTCCTTCTGCCTTCCGCCTTCTGCCTGGCCGTGGTCCATGAGCTGCTGGCCATCATCTAACGTGGAATCGAACTGACCAATTTCTAGGGAGGATATCGCACTGAACCTGGAAATCTCCGATATGGTGCGATCCAAGAGTGTGCAACCTAAAGACGCCATGAGATCCTTGAAGCGTCGCTTAGAGAACCGAAACCCCAATATCCAGCTCGCGACATTGAAGGTTAGTTGCATTGATTTGATTTGATGAATTCGTGAACTTTGGTTTGGACTGAATCTAATAAATTGTCTCGCGACTAGTTGACGGACACATGTGTCAAGAATGGAGGAACCCACTTCCTCGCGGAGATCGCATCCCGCGAGTTTATGGACAATTTGGTGTCATTGATGAAGGCTGAAGGCGCACCTCTGAACTCCGATGTTCAACGAAAGGCCTTGGAGCTTATACAAGACTGGGCCATGGCCGCCCAGGGCCGAATGGACCTGATGTATGTGGGGGAGACATATCGCAAACTACAGAATGAGGGATTCCATTTCCCACCCAAGACCGAATTGAGTGGGAGTATGTTGGAAAGCAATGCAGTAAGTCCGGGCTTGCTTAGTCTATGACAAGGAGAGTTTAAGCTAATTGCTATGATAACCAGCCACCTGAGTGGATTGACTCGGATGTTTGTATGCGATGCCGCACAGCATTCAGCTTTATGAACCGAAAGCACCATTGCAGAAACTGTGGAAATGTCTTCGATGCCCAGTGCTCCAGCAAGACCATTCCCCTGCCTCATCTCGGAATTCTAGAACCCGTGCGAGTAGACGACGGGTGCTATACGAAACTCACCTCGAAATCTTTCGCCCCAGCAGGTTTATCAGACCGATCGGCCTATAAGAATAACTCCATCACCAAGTCCAGCTCCATGGAACCCCGCGGTGCTAAAGCAGATACCAGCTTTGATGATGACCTCCGTCGAGCGCTACAAATGAGCCTGGACGAAGCAGAAGGAAGAGGACCCTCGGGATATGTACCACAGACCGGCAACTCCCCCCAGCCGACGACCACGACCGCAGAGGTGACCGAAACCGCGGCTCCAGGACCTAGCAATGTCGAAGAGGAGGATGCTGATCTCAAGGCGGCAATCGAAGCGTCTCTCCAAGACATGGAGCAACACAAGCAGAACCACGCCGCAGCATTGAAGAACACTCCACAGCCAAGTTCTGCCTCGCGCGACTCGTCAAGCACCCCAAAGCCGGCTGCTCAAAATCCCTACGAACTCAGTGCCGTGGAAGCTGAAAACATCCATCTTTTTTCAACACTCGTCGATCGACTGCAGCACCAACCTCGGGGTACTATCCTTCGCGAGCCTCAAATCCAGGAACTTTACGATAGCATTGGAGCTCTTCGACCCAAGCTAGCTCGAAGCTATGGAGAGACAATGAGCAAACATGACACATTGCTTGACCTCCATTCCAAATTATCCACCGTCGTTCGGTATTATGATCGAATGCTGGAGGAGCGCCTTTCCAGTGCATATTCCCAGCAAAACCTCGGTTATGGAGCGGTGCCCAGTGCGGCTCCGTATCCCAACATGACTGGCTTGCCCTCCCAGGTTCCAAATGGCAAATCCGGAGCAGAAAACTTTTACTATGGTAACGCGCCAGATACCGCTGCTTCAGCCGGCCCAGCATATGCACCACCGCCCCAGACGAATATGAGTGGATATGAAGCTCGTTCTGCGAGTGTCACAAGTCCTTCCTATCCGCCACACTCACAATATGCGGCCCCTGGAGGTGAATCCGCCTGGGGTCAAAGCCCTTATCCGTCACTGGGGTCTCCTCCGCCCAATGCACCACCCCCCAACAATGATGTCGTTGCAGGTGGCTATGGTGGACCGGCACAGTACTATGCGTCGCAACCCGACCAGGAACCCCAACCATCCGAGACTTCGTACCAACCATCACCTGTACTGCGGCGAGATTCTCAATACCAGCCTAATGCGCCAGGGCCACACTCCCCCGAGCAAGTCCAAACACCTACATATTCCACCGTGCCACCGGCTACTCACCAACAGCCCGGCGGACATCCACCTCAGTCCTACTATTATCAGCCACAGCAGGCCAGTACGGTGCCGTCTGCATCTGCATACCCGCAGGTACCGACGGGTCAACCGGGACAATATTCGGAAGTAAACCAGACGCAACAACCCGCACGGGTGGAGGAGAGCTTGATTGAACTATAGCATTTTTTTTTGGTCGGGCGTTTCCATTGTTCCCCATGTCTTTGATTATTTCGCTTTTACCTGATGATACCTGAGGCCTATTTTTCTTGCAAATTGTACGTATCTAAATCACAATGGAGTTTGTAGCTTTGGAAAGCAAGCCCAAGTGTTCTCCACTTTTTGTAAGGTAGAAACTCTCGTTCTCGTCCAACCGGACGTTGGAAATAATACCCGCGTTGCCCCCCCTCCGGTCCGCGAGCGGCGAGATCGTCCTCGGCCCTCAACCTCAACCCGCCAACCTCCAACTTCGACGGGGTTCTTCCGTCTCCATCCTCCATCCTCTACCCCCATTCAACCTGACTCGCCGTCACTTACTCATTGTTGCACACATGGATTCGATCGGGGCGGTGTAATATCCTCCCCCCCCTGCGTTTCATTATTGAGGCTTCATTGCTTTTTCGCCTGCACGTCCATCTGCGGTGGTACCTCCTCATTGCCCCGGCCAATCCCCTTTCGACGTCCAGTGTACATCGTTGATTACCCGCCGCCTTTTTGGGATCTTTGCCGCCATGCCAAACAACACCTCCTCCCCCGTCAAGCGCCCCGGTCTCGCTCGTCGAGCGGTCTCCTCGCATGCAGTAGTCACGCGGGCCAATACCACCAGCGACTTGTCCGAGTCGCACACCAACAAGGCCCTCGTACACCCTGTACATCTTAAGTCACATCGCGCACATGTGGTGGGCGGTCACCGCAATCATCATCGGAACCCCTCGCTTGGGAAGAACCTGAGCAAACTGAAGCTCTTTCAACTTGCCCCCGAGGCCACCACCCGAAACCACCATCGCAAGAAGTCTGCCCCGGCGACTCCTGTGGGTAGCCCCAAGGACAAGGGACATGTACGTTGGGACGGCGCGCTGGAAGATCACCCGAAGAACTCGATGAAAAGAAATAACTCGACCCCCGTTCTACGACGCAACAACTCTGGTGGGACCGTGAGTAAGAAAGCTCTCGTAACCGACCGCCCGCTATTGAGCGCCGGCAAGAAGAAGTCAGTTGGATTTGAGTTGGGTGATGATCTTAACGACGACGCTGAGTGGGAAGACACCACGCAATCACCCGAAAGTACAAGGCGCAACTCGGTCGCGCCCTCTAACCCCAGCCTCGAGAACAACAACCAAGTCCTCGTCGATCCCCTTACCTTTGTGAAACGACCGTATCCGCAAATCTCTCGCGCTACCAGTCTCCCAGAATCGATCACAAACAAATTTGTACGCGACCAGTCCGATCCAGACGAAGAAGACGAGGACGAAGACGAAGACGCGGACGAGCGACAGGACGATTCCCAGGAACTTGACCAGTCCGCCGACCAGGGCGATATCGCGAACCGTTTGTTGAGTCCCACCCACTCTGCGAAAGCACCACCAGCTATGTCTTCAATCTCAGCGATGGCCAAGCCGTCGGCCAAGGATCCCGCGTCGCGCAGTGCCTCCGTGAACCTGGCCCAAGAAAGTACTCGACGGACATTCTCTACATCCAACCCTGGGCTGGCCATGACACCTGGTAGCCAGCCCCACGCAACTTCATCTTCGATGGAGGGCGGCGTTTCCAGATTTATTGTTAGCAATAAGACCGCCAATCAAGCATCATCGCGAACTGATTCCGACCCGAACACCCCCTCCTCATTCCTCCCTCACTACCACCCACAAACACCCCCATCTCCAAACCGCGGCGCTGCAAAAGCAGCAGCATCTCCAGCTCGGCCCCTTGGTGTTGACTTGCCCTCACGGACTCAACAGAAGCTATGGCTCCAGCGCACAGCTACCCTGAATGACTCTCCCCCGACAACCATGGAGTGGCCAAAGCTACGTCATCTACTGCCATGGACATGGCAGCGAACCAAGTACGCCCTGGTACTGTTACCTTTGATGTCAGCAGAGGCATCAACGGCGGGGCTCGCACTGGAGCTATTGGTCATGACAATGAATCGCGACAAACTCGCAAAGCATACGAGAAGGTAGCTTTGGAGCTGACAGCAGTACGACGATTCCAATCACCCACGGGCGATAGCTTCAACCGACTGCGCACCATCGCTCGTGCATCCAAGGCATCTGCCCTTGGCAAACCTATCAAGTCGGCCCCCTCGTTACCCCTTCTTCAGACTGGTAAACGCCCCAGTCGACTTGGATCTAGTTCGGAATCGAAGTCGCAGCTACATGACCCACAATCCTCCACCTCGGAAGATCCGGCCACTCAGAGCGAGTCCACCGACGCTGTGCAGGCAACCAAATCCTTTCACCCCTCCCACCGAATTCTTTCTACATCGGACGAGGCTGCGCATGGCCTGACCGGAGAGCAAGATACCGAAGACTACCCACAAGTCAACCAAACCGATATGATGATCCGTCGCATGTGGGAGAGTCGAGAGGTGGCTACGTCTGGATAATCGCCACCACAACCTAGTCTTTACGTTGATGACATTTTTTTTGCTTGCAATTACCCGGGCGTTGACATTTCTCTGGCGGTTCTCTCTCCTTTGCTCTTTTTTTGTTCTTTTTGAAAGCGTTCAATATCACTCATGAACATAGCTGTTTATCCTCTAGGGCATGCGCTAATTGTAATTGCAACATTCTATTTGGACCAATTCTTGGCACCCGGCATCCCCGTCTTCCGGGGATCGACCATGGCGTGACAATCTAACCCTAAGCTGAGTAATGGCTAATCATCCCCTGCTGATTTGTCCTGGCCAGACTGTATACATATTCTCATTCGAACTCGCTTTGTCGTCGCCTACGATCTTTCAAAAACATCATGGATGTTCTCGCTCCTCTGGTCGTCGGCCAAATTGCCCGCATCTCCTGCTACGTAGTTGGGATTGCCTTTATTTCGGTGGCTCTGAACGTGTTCAATCAGCTATTCCTATACAACCGCAATGAACCTCCGGTTGTCTTCCACTGGTTTCCCCTTGTGGGAAGTACCATTCCCTATGGCATGGATCCTTATAAGTTTTTCTTCTCCTGTCGTGAAAAGGTACGCGTGAATGGACATCCTGATATTTTGGTTTCGTGTCACTGATAGATGGGAACAGTACGGTGAAATCTTCACCTTCATACTCCTGGGGAAGAAGACTACTGTGTATCTCGGAACCGAAGGCAATGAGTTCATCCTGAACGGAAAATTGAAGGATGTCAATGCCGAGGAGGTCTATGGCAAGTTGACTACACCTGTCTTCGGCACCGACGTTGTATATGATTGCCCCAACTCCAAGCTGATGGAGCAGAAGAAGGTATACATAACATCTATCCTGAATGCCATATCATTGACCGTAAAGCTAACTCACTATCAACCTAGTTCATCAAATTTGGACTCAGCCAAGCCGCCCTCGAATCCTACGTCCCTCTGATCGAAGAAGAAGTCAACCAATACATCAAGACCTCCGGCAAATTCAAAGGAAAAACAGGTATTATCGACCTGAGCGCCGCGATGGCCGAAATCACCATCTTCACAGCCGGCCGTACCTTGCAAGGAGACGAAGTCCGCACCAAGTTGACTGCCGAGTTCGCCAGTCTTTACCACGACCTAGACCTAGGCTTCAACCCGATCAACTTCATGCTCCCCTGGGCCCCTCTCCCTCACAACCGCAAGCGAGACTTCGCCCATGCCCGCATGCGCGAAATCTATCTCGAAATCATCCAAGCCCGCCGAGATTCCACTACATCCGAGGAAGACCAATCCCAAGATATGATCTGGAACTTAATGCGCAGCGTCTACCGCGACGGCACCCCAATCCCAGACAAGGAAATAGCCCATATGATGATCACCCTCCTCATGGCCGGTCAGCACCAGTCATCATCAATCAGTTGCTGGATCTTCCTTCGACTAGCTTCGCAGCCTGAAATGACAGAAAAGCTATACAATGAACAGGTCATTGCCTTTGGTTCCGAGCTCCCTGCACTGAGCTACAAGGATATGGACAAACTCCCCCTCCACCAGAACGTCATCAAGGAGACCTTGCGTATCCACAACTCCATCCACACCCTCATGCGTAAGGTCAAGAATCCCCTCCCAGTCCCCGGAACCAGATACGTCGTGCCTACTAGCCACACCCTTCTCGCCTCACCTGGCGTCACAACCCGCGATGACAAACACTTTCGTAACGCAATGACCTGGGATCCGCACCGATGGGAATCGCGCGTTGAGGCCGAAGATGATGGGGAGACTATTGACTACGGATACGGCGTTGTGTCGAAGGGTACTAAAAGCCCTTATCTTCCTTTCGGTGCTGGTCGCCATAGGTGCATTGGGGAAAAATTTGCGTATCTGAATCTGACTGTTATTGTTGCCACTATGGTGCGTAACTTTCGCTTTTATAACCCCGAGGATAGAGAGGGTGTTCCTGAGACGGACTATTCGGTATGTTTGTTTCTCTTTCTCGTATTTCTGACGCTTGCGGTTCTGTCGAACTAATCTTTCTGTGTAGTCCCTCTTTTCTCAGCCGATGCAGCCATCGACCGTTCGTTGGGAGCGTCGTGGGGAATAATAATATCGGTGCCAAAATTGTCATGCGAAGCGTTAAAAGACTGCATGCTATACTTTTCTATTGTTTCTGTGGCGGTAGTTGTTTCTGCCGGACTCTCGGTTTAATAAGTGGTGCTTAATTGGTCATAAAGTGGTGTGTTTGATAAATCCGATGATATAGTATCAAAAATACTAGTACGTACATTGATCAGCCAAGACCACAGGAGATAGTGGTAATTCATCTGCTATTCAAACTGATACTATGACATGTGCTCGCAAAGGTTCTAATACTCTTTTGGGGCCCTAGCCGAATGTTTGTCCCCTAGGTAATAAGTAGTTATTATATACAGATAGTTAAACGCCCCTCCCACAAGGATTTATATGGCTCATAGCGAGGATTTCATAACGCCATGTATTAGTGAGCTCGTGATCATGATAGAAGTCAGGAGGCTCGTAAATCATCGACATACCCAAGCGATTCCCTCCGATCATCGCAGATCCGAGCATATTCCAAGAGTAGTCGGTAGGTGTAGATCTGCATGTCTTCTCTTCGGAGGACCTTCTCACTCCATGCTTTTCCAGCAAGAGCAATCTTGCGCGCCACATCATCATGACCTCCAAGGAAGTACGCCATGATTCCGTAGATATCCAGGTAAGTGGTATCCATAGGGACAAAATGTACCCAAGGGATCAACCGCGAGTCATGCCATTCGTTGTAGATGGTTGCTTTGATTGGGAGAGAGGTAGATAGCATGAAGCCTCGGAAACGACCACTGAAAGAATTTCCATCAAGATCAGGCAAATACTTGGAATTGTACATGTCTTTCATCGAAAGTCCTGGCATAATTTCGTAGTATGGATCGGTATAAGAGCAACGCGGGTCAGCTTCGATATACGGAAAGCAGACTAGGTGCACAAAGCCAGTGTCGGTGTGCTCCTCAATCATATCAGGGACGCTTCCCTTGGGGAGAGAGTATTTGTCATAATCCGGGAGCTTGAAATTGACACCGGAGCCATCGGTCTCCTCGGCCTGTCGGACTGATGTTGCGTTCATCATGGACATAAATCGATGTCTTTGGAAGCCCGACCAATTGGATTCCCGAGCCCGGCCTCCAGTCGCAGAACCACGCCACACTAATTTGTCATGCTTTGATCCCCAGGAACCGCCGTGATAGTCTTCCCCGCCAGAATAATGCTCAATTTTTGCCCAGTACATTGCTGGAGGTAGAAGAATTTCATTGTTGACAGGAAGTTTTGATCCTCCAAAGATCGGGAGCAGCTTCTGGGTGGTAGATACGGAAATTGGCTCAAGGAAGGTTCCGTGCAAAGCTTGAAGCTCTGGGCGCACACAGGGGTCTTTAGCAAGAGTGTAATTCATGACATAACCATTGTATGCCATTCTGTCGAAATTATCAAATTCCCAGGGAACAGAACTGAAGTTGACGTGGTCGACATGGCTGTTCCGCGCAGGACTTCTTGGAGGACACCCAGCACGAGCCATCTCCCAATACCCTCCTTCTCCGGGCCCAGTAAATCCAGGATCGAACGATGGCGTCTCTTCCTTATCCGATTCAGGAAGAGTCATGTATTTGGACACAGCATTTTTCGGGCTTGTGATGTGACGGGTTGATCGTTCCTTTTCCACGTACTCGCTTATCGTCTCAAAGGGAACAATAACCCGGCTCTCATCCATGACATTGATGGGCATATCGATATCGGGAAGACGAGTCTCTAATGTTTGGACCAATTCCATCCAAGAATCCATCCAGCTCCGTGGCTGATCGGTTACCATCTTTGCGACATGTCCGCGGACCACAATGCGAGTGGAAATACTTCGAGCTTGTCGTCGCAGTTCTTGTGGATCCAAGGCCCAGAATGGAGTGAGATCATGGTAGATTTGATCGAAAAACTCCTCAAGGACTAGTGCGTCTTTCGATTTGGCAAATTCAAACCATTCCGCAAACCCTGGGGGTGGATGGCGACCGCGGCGTGCTCGGTATCGTTCTGTGGCGGATGCGAGATTGGGGGGTTCTTCTTTCAGTAGGCGCTGAAAATAAGTGCCTGCTGTCTGGATTAAGGCATCAATGGGATGACTCTCCTTTGGTGTACTTTGCACAAAGAAGGTTTGCTCTGAGATGATCGAGGTGCCCTGTAGATTGAGAAATTGGTAGACGAGGGCGCAGAACGCAAGACAGGAAACCACCGCGAGAAGGCGCAGCCGGAAACCTGACCTGGCGATCATACTACCTACCATGGTGGTGGGAGCGATCTTGTGGGTGCTAGATGTAAAAGCGAAGACATGTGGAAAACCAGGAATTGGATGCGATCGAAGCGCGACATTACATCACTCCACGAGGTTGTTCCGCAATCGGAAATATTCTAGTGGGTCTCCAGCGGAGATATATGTTAGATAGACCATAGTCTTTGTTAATTGAACTACATTCCGGCTTTTTTCGAACACCACGCCCATCTGAAGGCGGTCAACAATTGGTGGGCAATAAGGGGTATCAAACTTTTGCGGTGGTACCTGTAGTCCAAATAGCAAAGATATCGTCCAATGAGAATCCCTCACTGCGGACCCTGCCCGTTCCTGCCGTTTCTTGTCTTTTCCAGATGAGATAGGCGTTCTCCGCACCGGGGCCGTGCTTAAAACATTAATGTCCAACAATCTCTGAACCCAACTTCGTTATAATTGATCCGGGATATTCCCAATAAAGGTGGAAAGGAGGTCGAGTAGTGGCCAAATGCTGGTCGATGACACGGTAGAATATGTGACAAGCCGGATGCAAATGCAAATCCTCGCAGATGAATCTTTTCAGAGCAGGGTACCGACGATCGATGAGTTGAACCATTGCATTGGCAGCAGTTGTGGGATCTCTTTGGCAAATGTTTCCAGGCGGTGGCGAACCGATGTGAAGGATTTCTAGATGAGGAAAATGCACTAAGCCGCTAGAGGGGTCCGGCTCATCAATGAATTCGAAACCGTATATAATTCGAAGTTCTTGGAGGCGAGGGCAGTGGCGAGATAGGCAGGCTAGAGAGCTGGGAGACAATTCGCTGACAAACGGCAAGCAAAGCACAACCAGCGAGTTCCATTGTGGTGCAATTGCTGCTATCAGTTCGTCGTTGAATCCAGCACACGACTCGCAATCTTCCCCAATTTCAAGTCTTCGAAGGAAGGGGCAGCCAGATGCTATATCACGAAATGACTTGGATAAGATGGTTGTTTCCCTATCAGTGTCGAAATATATATCCTCAAGACGCCGGCATAGGGATAATAGGCTGAGGACAGAACTAACAGCAACATCATCAATACCAGTAGGGCTATTAGTCGATTGCAGATGTACTCCTTGGAGGTTTTTGAGCAAGGGAATTAAGGCCTGCAAAGCTCTTTCTTCAGCCCAAACGTGAAGATACCGTAAGCTCGGAAATACGGAGCTCCCTCCACACTCATATAAAACCTGTTCAGTAAGATCCCACTCAAGAATCGTGTCACGACCAAGAGATAGCATTTCGAGATTTGGCCGCAACATGAGATATCGCAAGCAGGGTTTGTTCATAAGTGATTTACAGTCTCTCCAAAGCGTCAGATGGGTTATGAACGGCATGCTTTCGAGAAAATCAATAAAAGTTGAAGCCGTGATTGGAAGCTCGGGGCTTTCTTCTCCTAGGGCACTGTCAATATGGAAGACTCGGAGGCGGGGTGACCGTGCCTAGCGACTATAATTAGTTATTTTCTATCACGTCCATCGCTTTTCACGGTCTTCACGCGGAATACCTTGATCATGTCCAAGTACCATGTTGTAAAGTATCCACCAAAAAGCTCAAGTGATACCAAATTTGGCGACAGGAACTGAGCCATATCCCTCTCTTCCAAACCATAAAGTCCCAGGTGTACCCAAGCAGATCGTAAATTTGGAAATGAGAAAGTTGCTTCTGCAAGCAGCTTCTCGATCGCAGGATCTTCGCGCAAGTCATCACTGTAACTGATGCTAAGGTGTCGAATTTTTGAAGTGTACCTAATGGAGAATATGAGCAATCTGGTAGAATTTCCACAAGAATCAGAGTCTGCCCACCAAAGTCGACGTTCACTAGATAGACGAGCTAAGCTTCGTAGCGGGTCACTCAAACTGTCATTTCCATGACTATATTTCCCCGCCAAATGCACTGTCAAGTTTCCCGTGTTATTGGTCATTCTTCATTACGCGTCCGAGATCAATGGCCACTCACATTGGTTGCTTCTTCTGCCCAGAAAGAGTTGACTTGCGCGGCCGCGCATAAAGTGGTGCCGTCGGCGAATCGCAAGATGTTGGCAAGTATTTCTGGCACCTGCAGAGGATTTGACGCCATGGAACTCGAAGGGTATCAATTTTCGTCCAGAGGCTTGCAGATAGCAAAGAAGGCGATCTTAGAATCAAATCCCAGGTGGTGGCTATTGATGCCCAGGTCACGTTGATGAGTGTCGAGGTGTAGGTTGGCAGAGGCGGCCTGGGTGGCTGAGCCTAAGTCGCTGAGCCTAGGTCGCAGAGTGAGCCTTACCAGTTTGGTGCTAGTCCTAATTTATATTGGCGCCTTCCAAGCCTAGCTGGAAAATCAGTTCTCGTATTCTAACAACCATTGGAAAATCATATTTTCACCATAATCTTTTATGATATAACTACCTAGGTAGTTGGATTAAAACTCGATGCCCGTTTAGAGTTTTGGTATGAATGGTTGTGCCCAGGCTTGTCAAATAGTTGAAGCTTGTTAATGTTTATGTTATACAATAACTAGTAGATTTCTATAAAAGAAGGGAAATAGTATATTTAAACAACTTATGGAGAACACCACCAAAAAAAGCACCACTAGCCAGTGCAAACATTGGAAGCCGTGTGTATAAATAGTAACACGTACAGTATTTCGGGAAATCGCTGTCACTACCTAACCTCCAAGATAGACTAAACCCCATTTGGAAACCGATCTAAATACAAGCATTTTTCTGCTGGAACCTTCCCGAGAAAAATCCATCTTTGCTATGTGCCCGCTACTTATCATCTATCAACACATCACTGTTCACAGTTTATTATATTTCCAACAAAGTTTCTAATGCACCACCAGTCAGCCGATATACCATGGCATCTAATTGCCTCGAATCTTCACTGGGCCCCGGGTGAGCCTGCATTGGAAATTCGCGCTTTAGATCTTCCTCAGCTTCCCGGCAAACTGAATGACGAATCGGGCTGCGTGTGCGGTGTCACTAACTTGCACCCAACTTCTCCTGCGCCTAGATCTTCTGATCAAGATGAATTCGCTCAGGCTTTTGCACAGGCCGTGCGTGAGGATTCGAAACGCAAGCGAGCCCAATACCCGGAGAAGTATAACCCTCCCAGTCCCAGTGATGTTCTCTTGGGGGGAAAACTCGTTCAAACGATCGAATCGCATTTGTCCGAAGAGATGAAAGGAGGGCCTAGACTTTCATCTGAGCAAAGAACTGCCTTTGCCTTCCTTCATCCTTGGGATACTGGAGGTAGTTGCTATGCTTGGGAGAGCAATGAATTCGGGTTCATCAATCTGGAGGTAGTGAAGATGCTACTCATGCTAGGCGAACTAGATCCAATTCTTCAGGCGTGCGCTCACCCAGACGTAGGACTTTCAGGGTGGTATTATGCTGCCATCTGTGATTGCTCGGTAAGTACAGTTCTGATTAGATCGTTCCAGACGACATTATTAAATCTTATTGCAGGAGACCCCCGATGTTCTCGGGTGGGATATGGTCCATGATAGTGCTCTGTTAGCCTACATTGTTCTCAACATCGCTCTTTGTTTCCCGCAAATCTGTGACCCGACAGCGGGTAGAACTGATGAAACCGACTATCGCCATACAGGATTCTATCAGTACATGCTGAGAGAAATCACTCGGTCACTTGCTCCTTCCGAAGCAACATCCTATCCACATCAGCAGTTTTTTGGAATTCCTCACGATCACTTTTGCGAAGAAGATGATATGCATAAAAATATTGATAAGAAACACTGGCTGCATCGCACAAACATCATCGAACGCGGTCACTATGGTGTACTTTCATTTGATGAGTTCCTCAACTTAGAACGTCCATTGCCTGATCAATATCAGCCATCGGAATCTGATGTTGAATCAGCGAAACAAGAACTCCTTTCTAAATGCTTACCCCTCGAGATTGTGTTTATGATCATGAATTTCGCCGATTATAAAGCCAAAAGGATTCTCAAGGTCCCGCATGATCCCCTTCACCCTGACAACAGAGCCGAATTGAACCAATATCTTGATCAATGCTGGCAAATCATTATTGGCTGTGAGATCATGAGCAATGCATTGGGTCGGGGTACGATTGACTGGCAGAACATAGTCCATTCTAAAGTGAAGAACCTTTTTTACAAATCGAAATGGCCCTCGGGTCGGGGTAGTTCGATAACGGGAATGAAATGTAATGGGACTGGTGTCACTGTGCCGAAGGCACGAGGAAGACCCCGGCGGGGCCGAGGCCGAGGCGCGGGGCCATTACCACTAGGTTACTGTAATTACTAGTAAAGGAACGCCTACATAGCCATGGCGCTCACTGCATTAGGTTTATAGAATCTTGAATCGAATTGAATCGAAATGTACTGGGAGTTAGACTGTAATTGAAAGTTTTGTCATTATTTTGAACCAAGGCTATCGTTCCTGAAATCCTGTTCACAACTATGTTTCTTAACATTAACATCCCCATGTCTCTCAGCTGAGAATTGGGGGCGAGAAAAATCATTATCCTCCACGCATGCAACTCTGAAAAGCTTTACTAGCCCGAAAAGTCCTGACCATCTCCTTATTACTTTGTTCATCACTGCTAATCACGTCACGAATCGCAAAACGCGAGAAGTACTAGTACGGCAGTACCATCCGCGAAAGTAAAGCCGTGTGTATACGAGTAAACAAGAAATAGAGAACACCACCAACCAAAGTAAAGCTGCAGGCATGTGTACCTAGACAGGTTAAAGGTTGTATGCCTGATATCGAACGATAGTCGAAGTTACATGTTACTATTCTCAACTCGTAGATTAGAAATTTCCTTGAAAATCTGATATGAAAATTTCAATTAATGTATCGTATTCATCTGCCTGAAAACAGGAAAAGACTCTAGTATCATGTTTCTCATGACAGTACCAAATATACTGCCTTTCTCAAAACGCCAATTCTAACAACAATAAAGCATGTACAAGAATACCTACCGCCAAAACCTCTGTCTTGAGACATAAGAATGTTGGGATCCAATGTAACCAGCGGAAGCAATCACTTAAATGATCTAAATTGCAGTAGAAAAACAAAGGATCGTGAACCATTGATCAAATATTGGGGAAACATCCGCGTTACAGTCATCTCAAAAGACCATGCACAGCCCTGCACTGTACAAACCAGAGCAAAAGGACGGATCAAGCTTGATTACCCCGGTCTTTACCCCTACCGCGTTGCCCACCACGACGAGGATTCTTTCCGGCAACATGATTTCCAGCAGGTGTATCCCGAGGTTGCGTGGATCCATGACCATTCACATTTTTCTTCGGAGTGGGGTGGGCTTGCTTTTGGCCCTGGGAGCTGTTGGCTTCCGGCACCGAAGTCTTATTACCCCGGCGTTTCCGAGAGTTGCTAGGAGTGCCAGGGCCGGGACCAGTGCCTTTGCCGCCGTGTCCACTCTTCCCACTGCCACGCTGCTGATTCCCTTGCTGCTGCTGTTGTTGGGAGGGCTCAGGGTCCAAAAGGCCTTGGATACGCTTGCTCTCTTGGTCCCACCACTGTTGGAACTCTTGCTCGGCTTGGATTTCGTCGAGATTGTGCTTCGCATTGGCTGCTTCGCGAATCTCGTCCTTTTCTGTTTGCTGCTGGTGGAGGATAGAAGCCAAAGAGAAAGAGCCAGCAGAAGGGGAGCGAGATGCTGCATGCGGGTCAGGGCGCGGGATGTGTCGGATGGAATGAACCGGGGGTTGTGGAGAGGCTTTTGGTAGGGAATTGTGAGAAGAAGGCGAGGGCTTGGAGATAGAAGTTTGAATATTTGTTGAAACACTCCGGCTTTGTGACTGCACTGGGGTGGCGACTGGCTTCGATCTCGTTGGAGGGGGTGTCCCGGCAACGGTCTGGCGCATGGTCATGGCTGGCCTTTGAGCAGGCTTTTGATCGGATACTGGTGGGCTGGCAACCTTTTGACCGGGGAGAGGATCTTTGGTAGGAGTACCAGGGGTAGCTGGCGGGGGCAATTGCCATGGATTCTGCGATGCCTCTTTGGCCCTGTCCTGTGCGGCAAGCATCTCCTGCATCTGTTGTTGTTGTATCTTCTTCCTATCTCTTTGGGAAACCTTCTGGGTGGACTTGCTGCTGCTCTCGCGAGGACTAGACATGCCCAAAGTCAAATTGGAAACTCGAGATTGCGAAGTTTCTCCCATAATGTCTTTCAGATCCTTTTTGCCGCTGGGTAACGCCGGGGAGCCCCAGGGCGCCGAGGACCCTTGAGGCGATCCCAGAGAACGCTTTTGATGAAGCGCAATAGCTCTTGACTCGGTTGGAGACTCTGCCAGTAGGGTGTCGCGGGGTGAAGACATTTGGGCATCCAGGAAGCTTCTCTCCTCAATTGACTCAGGTATGCTTGCTCCAAGAGCGGGTGAGTTAGGGTATGAACTGTCAGCCAAGCTCATGCCACGCAAAGCGGCTTTACCCTTGGATAAGTCACTGGTTGAGCCTCCCTCTTCGTCCATCTGGAACATCAGATCACTACTGGATTGTCTCGGTTTTAGCATGGGACTGGCCGCTGAGCTGTGAAGGGCTCTGGGCGTGCTGGCTTTGCCCTTCCTCGCGGAAGAGGGTGTTTTGTCACCTGCAGTTTGCCGTGGTCGCATTTCATCGGATTCTCTATGGTCTAAGCGGGTTTGGAGAGCCATCGCGTCGATGCGACGTTGCTTGTCCGTTTCGACAGAGCTGGCGATCTCCGGGTACTTCTCAAACACGTATCCCTCGGAGTTGCGTCCTCGAGAGATCGGGAAGCACGCCAATTGGTTTTCGTGACACACCAAGTCGAGGTTCCCGAGTAAATCATCGTCAAGATCCAGATATTTGTTCGCAAGCATAGTCTCCAGATCAAGGCAGATGTACTCCAAAGCTGCTTCCTTGAATTCAGTCATGTAAACGGGGGCAGCGGAGTTGAGAAGGTATGAGATGTTACGCGTGTTAACAAATCGGCCAATCATATTCTGGCAAATCTGTGATAATCGGTCGATCATCAACTCATTGGCGACGTACATCACGTCCAGGAACAAGTCAATTAGATCATCGATTGTCTTTACGCGCACCTGATCAAACAAATGTTCATCATCATCTGAATACACGTAGCGCAAGACGAAGTCGAAGATCGATCGATCGATATGTTTCAAGTCGACATGTACTTTCTCAGATGACCGGCGGGACTCTAGCCACCTACCACCCGAGCGGCCATGGAACAGAGCCTCAAAGAAAGGACATCGTTGACAGATCACTTGGCTGTGCACTTTCAAAGAGCCACCCTTCAACTGAACAATCACGTCTGCATCATCGAAGAAAGAAGAATGGTCGATGGCATGGGCCATGTCCTTTTTCAAACTTCGTTGAGGTTCGACCATCAATCTGGCTGCGCGTTCCAGCGTCGGCAGAGCAAGCTGTGTGCCAACCCGCATTACTTCGTTGCGTACCTGGCGATAACGAGCTGCATTCTTGGTAGACGTCTTCGCAAGATGCCACACATCGAGAATCCCATCGGTATAGAGGAAAAATACCAGATTCATGACAGTCAGGAAATCGACTCCTCGAAATCGGATCTGCGTCTGCCCATCTTTGCCATACTCAATATCGAGAATATCAGGCACAGATGAGTAATAAGATTCTCGAAATTCGTGGAGCGCCTTTCGGAGGACAGGACTGCGACCCGCGAGAAGGAATTGATGTGCCGGAATGCGTTGCTCGGAATCCGTGGTTGTGAGCCAGATAGTGCCTGGAGTCTTAAAAGACAGAAACTGGCTTTCAATTTCTGGCGAGAGAATGAGTGCTCTTTTGATCATTGCCTCTGCCGGAAGTGGGACTGGATCATCTGTCACATCATTTGCAAGGACCGAGTCGATTTCTTCGATTCCAGGGGTAAGGAAGGGTGAAAGTGGTAACAGGTCATCCCAAAGAGTGCTGCGGCCAATGTGTACTTGATCTCGAGTCACATCGCAATCGCGCTGCGCAACGGAATATGCCCCGAACGCATTACTGCGCACAGCCACCGCCCGAGACAGGCCTGGAATGCGAGCGAATTTGTAGTCTTTTGAGGAACCGTCCTTACGCTTGTTTCTTTTCTCCTTTCTCCAGGCTGTGCCAGACGTGGTGCAGATGATGATGGATCCATCTTGTCCCACGTCTACATCACTTGCTGCCATGTGCGACTTTTTCACGGACCACGCCCTCATAGGGGAGGCCAATGAGTTCCTAATTTTGGCTGGGTTCGTCGTGGATGTTGATGTTTCAGAGTTCTCTGTCTTGCTAACCTCGACGGTGAAGACCTCTCCGGAACTAGACAATGCACATATTGTGTTGCCTCCACTAGCAAGTTTGACCACATGGTTGACTGAGTGGTCATATCGCGTGGCCATAAAACTATCTCGGATAAAGCTTGAGCTAGCCTCCAGTGGGAACGAGAGCTTTGAGTATCCGTATTGCGAAAATACCCAAACTTCATGGTTTTGCAGAAGGATGGCCGTGGCGCGGTCAATGGCGGATACCGTCTGAATGGGGCATTGAAACAGAGAGGCTCCCACGCGTCTAGGGGTTATTTGAACCTCAAGAGACCTTGCATCAGAGTCGACGAGTCCTAATTGACCCTCGTTCTTGCCAAAGGTATAAAGACCAGAATCACTGAAAACCACTGAGTGGATGGCTGATGCTGCAGCACCCATAATCCTCTCCCTCTTGAAAGCATTAAAGATCTGTCGAGGAGTGGTCTGGATGGGAACATCATTCCGATTGCTCGTCCGGGGCAGATTATAGCCCAGTTGACCGAAAGTGTTACTTCCCCAGCTGAAAATCTCACCGGTATCAGTGATAGCCAGACTATGGTCTTGGCCTAAGGCGACCGACACCACTGCCTTGCCTGCTAGACCACCACCCTCGATACAAACGAAATCAAACCTCGTAGATTCATCGCCGGTTCCAAGGCGACCACCAGGACCGAACCCGCACATGAAAAGGTTTGCTTCTGGATCATCCGTCATGATGGCAGTATGTAGCTTCGACATCGCTACATTGCGGAATTTCGTAGGCTTGTTTGCGATAATGGTCGGCAGCTCATCAGACGGATTTGTCTTGATCAGATTCTCCATTCCCAAGGATTCCATTCGATCCTGGTATTCGCGATAAAAACGATCAAGAAGATGATCGGGGCGTTGGATGGCGATACGCTCAGGAAACTGCCGATCATCTTGATCTCCAAGCCCCAAATTCAAGTTTTTATTACTGCCGAAGGTAAAAACCTCATCGGCCGAGAAGTCTGCGCCGATGCTCCTCGTGATTACCCGCAGAAAGGAACCGTCATCCTCATCCTCTTCATTGTGTGACGCAGCGTTGGAAGCCGTGTCATTCTCCAAATCACCGGGGAGCTTTATTTGTTTGATATCGCGAGAGGTGATTGTCGCACCATAAACGTCGAACGGAGAATAACCTTCGCGGTCCTTGATTTTAATCAGAGTTCCACTCTGGTGGTGGATGGATTTACTGTTCCCTAGCCGGGCGAAATCCGACTCATTGTCGCGGATCATCAACGCGCGCGCGACTGAAGCATTCCCGGCATACAATGCTCTGTGTAGAGCTGTCCATCCACTCTCCCAATCTTGTGCATAAATATCGAGCGAAGGGTAGGCTTCGAGGAGCGCACGCGCGAAGTTGATAGCGGTAGCTTTCGGTGACGAAGCGACGTGGTGTAGCAGCGTCCTACCATGGTGATCTCGAGCGTTTACATCCGATCGCGTCCCTTTCGGGTCCGGGCTCGCGAGGAGCCGTTGAAAGCTCTCGACGTCATCTTGTATAAAAAACTCCCAAAGCTTGCTCATGTGTGCCCGGAAGCCGCGCAGTGGCGATGACCGGGACGATATGTGTCCCGAATGAACGGAGAAAACGGAGGATAGGGAGGATCGTAGTGCGGCTGAGTATGAGTATGTTCAACGGATTGGATTCTGAGTGCGATGGGAGAGGTAGGGTTGGAATACTCGAGATGGACGCGAGCGCGGGGAACACAGTCAGTCGCACCGTGGCTTTTCTTATCGTCGCTCCGTCATGTTCCTGTGGAACCCTTGGGAACCGACATCCCACCAATCAAATCAAGCCAGTCCCTCCATGCCGTCGGACGAGAGGCGATTCGTCGATCTACCCAGGCCCGTGGGGAAGTGAGTGGTCAAGATGAACTTCAGTCCCTGCTTGTACAGGCATGGTTGATCATGGAATGCTCAGCTGCGCGTGATGGAGTTATACCCCGCAATTACTTGCATCGACTTGGTCTACTCCGCCGTGTAATATACCTCATAACAAAGGTCACCCCCCAAGCATTATAGGACAGCTCTATACTAACTACTATGTAGCTACATCCAGCCGATGCAGCTTGGTTGGGAGTGTTATAGTCACGATAAATGGAGGGTGATGTAGCTACTAGTAAAGTATCATTACACGACCTCTTCAACAAAACGTAGTCACTATATAAACCCAGGGCTAGACGCCCTTCAAACTCAATGATTACTAGTACTACTAGTACTACTTAGTAGATGGTTCTGCAGCGTGTAGACCCCTCTCTCCAGACTGTGCTTTTGGCGTTGACTCTCCGACCTTCGACTCCACTCCGTCGCCAACAACAATAGTCTCCCCCTCTTCATCACTTTGCTCGGAAGAATGAACAGATTTGCTCTTTCGTTGGTCTCTGCAAGAAGTGTTAGCTTTGCTGATGATAGTTATATCTTTTGGAGCTTCGTATATTACCGTCGGTGGATCAGGATGGCGGATATAAAGCCCGCCCAAAGAAGGAAATAGAATACAAAAGTCACCGGCCAACCCTTTCTCCATCTCGGAGCCCCGTCAGGCCCAGCAGTTGGAAATAGTAGAAGTGGGACCCAGATATTGAATGAATACCCAAAGGTCATCATAGAGCCCTGTCCAATAAATCAAGTTAGTCAACGCACGGCTTTCATAACCGGGTCAATTCGGGAAGTTCTTCGGAAGATGCAGGGGCTTACCATGATCAAGGCGCGTTCCTCGGAGTCATCCTTGACGATCGTATTCACGGTTGAGTATAGAATTGGACTGAGACATCCTGAAATTCCAAAAAGATACCAAGCAAAGAATCTGGACGGTGAAGTTGTTAGCCCTCTATTTAGCAAGAAAGCAAATACAGATCCACTTACTTTAATGCAGTGGGAATATTCCAAATTATCATGCAAAGCGTCGAGAAAAGCACACAAGCCGATGCCAGAGTGTAGATAATCCATGCAGGGTATATCGATGCAAGAGTCGACCCGAGCCAGGAAGCGACAATAGTAATTGCGTATATCACGGTTGGCAATTGATTAATCTGTGTCACCGAATAGCCCTCTGCTTTGAGCCACAGATTCATATATAATGACGGGTATGACGAAATGATCATGCACCTGTACAGCGTTATTGGAATGTGCCAATTTCTATTTTGGTTATCGCTACCAAACTCACGCATAGCAAAGGATAAACACCCAAATACGCCATTTCTTCAATGACCTCTTGAACACGTCCAATCCAAGCTTCCCGGGTCGTCGAATCTTGGCCCTGGCGGTTCTTTCTTTCGCCAATACAATATCACTCTCGGTGAGGTAGAACGGCCGCGGCGAGTCTGGAATACCAGGGAAAATGAAGAAACCAATAAGAGCGACCGGGATTGTAAAAATGCCGTCAATAATGAATAGCCACCTCCAACCCGGCATGCCTGCGACTCCGGAAAGGTTCGTGTACGCTGCTGATTGCAGATATCCGCTCACCATGGACCCTAGCGGGTTACAGATAAACCAGGCGCCGGCTCGCTTGAATAGTTCTGGTCCAGAATACCATGATCCTGTAAAAATATTGATCAGCAAGGTCAAATAATATGCAGCGACGAAAACTTACCTATAATGAAATGGGTCCCAGCAAAAACGGGTGCCTCTAACATTCCCACTAGAAACCGCAGGGCATAGATCTGGTTGACATTTGTTACGCGGCTTTGGGCAAATGTACAAATTCCCCATAGTACCTCTAGTCCAGGAAGTAGCCAGCGTGCTCTATATGTAGTCAGTCATACGTTCTCAAGCAAGGCAAGCCGAACCGGACTCACAGTTTTGGGCGCGACATCAACAAGAGCCCAGGAACCTGAAATACGACATATGCCGTGAAATAGCAAACATTGAAGTAATTCAACTCATTGCCGTAGAGGCCGAAATCTTCCTTGAGACCACTGACGTAGGCATTGCTGATGTTGGTTTGGTCTACGGCCGAATTAGCTAATTGAACTCAAGCATGTTTGATACCATGTTTCCTACCCAAGTATTTGACGAAGACTGCAAAAGAATTAGCTTAATCAACCTTTTGAACTTGCCATGATAGACTTACAGCATAGACAAGCGAAGATCAGAATAGATAAATCGAGTTTAAAAAGCAATCTGAAAATGTCAGTTCAGTATCAAAAAAATGGGTTGTACCTTCGTTCAACTGACTTTCGCTCCTCGGAGGGATATTCTGATGGATACCAGTTGAAAATCTCCTTGAACACCCCTAACAACGATGGTCGTCCCGTCTTTGGTTTTGTCTCAGGCATGATCAACGGCACACTACCTGCAGTAACGCCGGCTCTGGTGAATGGAGCAGATCAAAATCGAGGTCCCCTCGGAGAATTTTTATCCTGTCAAGTATACGCGGCCGGATTCATGCTTATTTTGAATAATTCATATCTTGCAATCTGATTAGAATCCACAAATCTAGGCCTGCTGATGGCTTCATGGCAATCGCCCCACGCCTTGTCGCCATCGAAATCTATCCGAGAGAAAGATAATAGCGACAAGGTCAGCCCCACATAATAATAGGTGTTAGGTAAAGCTAGACATAAGGTTCTCTATGGGAAGCGGATAGAATCATTTGTTTGAAGTTCTCGACTGCGACATGTCCCCGTAGGATGGCGTGCCCGACTCCTGATTCAAGGCGGATAGTTTTGCATCCGATGATTAGCCGGTATAATCTTTCCTCTCATTCGACAAAATATTGCGTGCTTTATTCATCAACTCTTGGGTTTTGATCAGAAGTGCGGGGTTTGGAATTACTTCTCTAATTTTGGGTTGGTTCTTATATGTGGTGCGCATCCGCGCTTGCTCATAATTACTCGCATCTTGCATAATCTCAATCTCGAAGCTTCATTTGACAACCTGAAGGGGCATTCGTTTAGAATATGCCTGGCAAAATACTGGAAAGTTACGATCACGTACCTGTGACCAAAGAAGATCGTAAGTTTTTCGTTTTAAGCGTGCCTTGGGAGAAAGAGTTTAACAATGAGACAGTGGACTGGGCGGAGCTCATCACCCTTGACCTGAGCGAATATGAGCAGCCTGGGGGGGAAGGAATCACTAGTAAAGAAACTCGAACATGCTGTCCGACATGTTGGTAAATAAACATCTACTTTGAGTTTGGTTTTCTTTTTCCAATTACTGACGGCTTTCTGAAGGGTTCTTTTACGTGAAAAACTTTAATATCGGCCAAGAAGAAGTTGATCGCCAGTTTGCCCTTGGTCGAGAGTTCTATGCACTACCTCTTGAGGAGAAGCTCAAGTACCATAATGCAGATGACCTAGTCAGGGGAGAATATAACGGGTATCGACCAGCTGGTCACCGCATGTAAGGCTACCTCCCAGTGAAGCTTCGATGTTCAAATAAACTGACAGCCCACTAGTCTTGGAAATGGAATCAAGGATAACGTGCAGGTTTACAATATTCCCAAATTCGATGGTTATCACCAGCGACAACAACCCCCCGTTATTTCCGAGAATATCGCCGAGATTGAAGCCTTCAGCCGGGTAATTATATGTTAATGGAATGAAATTTACCTCGAAAGCTAACGGGTAAACTTCAGAAATGCCATACAGAAGTAGTTGAGAAACTCCTCCGTCTATTTGCCATTCTTTTGGAACTTCCCGACGAGGAGCAATTGGTACGCGACCACCAATACGATGTTCGCGGCGAGGATCACCTGCGCTATATGCACTATGCGGCACGCAGTGCCGAAGAAACGAGAAAGTCGGAAGTCTTTACAGTCCCGGCCATACCGATTTGGGAACAGTAACCTTGCTTTTCCGACAGCCCGTGGCAGCCCTGCAAATTCTCAACTCCGACGGAAATTGGAAGTGGGTGCGCCCGCAAGACGGAACTATCACCATCAACACTTGTGATGCCCTGACGGCTCTTACGGGAGGGTTGATCAAGTCTAGTGTTCATCGGGTGCATGCGCCCCCTGCGGACCAAGCGCATGTTGACCGATTGGGCGTCCTATATTTTACCCGGTGAGTGACTTTCGGGGTTTTGGTAGAATTGAACTTTGTCGAGAAGCTAATGTGGAATAGCCCAAATAATCACGTTGTCCTGGATCCTATTACAAACAGCCCGCTCCTTGAGCGCCTCGGATTGACGAAGAACGTTTTTACCGAGCTCGGCCAGCATCTGACAACTGAGCAGTGGGTGAAAGTGCGCCAGACACAGCAACAGCGACGGAACAAAGATGTTAAGGTCTCTGGTGATGGGAAATATAGCTATGGCTCCAAAGATCTGGAGATCCTTCCTGGGTTGAGTGCGAAGATTTACAACTGAGGTACAATTCATTTGGAAGACTACAGGGCTCATTGTTATGACCCATCGTGTACGAGATACCTCAGTGTCTAGTAAATAATCAGTCTGGGGTCACTCTGCTTCTTGGCTTGATCTCCTTTGTGTTTGGATGAATTTTTGATTCGGCTCAAAAGGTAGTTGATATGATCAGGCTCCAAGGTTAAGGGTATCTACTCGAGCACTAGTAGCTAGCATAACTCCCAATCAATAGGAATACCTCGGGGTCTCAAAATAGTGTCACCGTAAATCTCAGTGGTAAATGATGATAGACCCGACGGCTTCCGATTATACCTATGGTATATCTGAATGGCCCCAGTAAACAAATTGTCTGTGCGCATCAAAGGCTCACAATTAATATATTAGAGTTCCGATATCACGGCCGTTGTGCCCCAATTTTCCATAAGTGGCTGGCTAATGCAGCGAGATTATTGATGCCATACTAGTATTTGGATGTTAGTCAGTCTGCATCGGAGTCAGTATATAGCAGAGCAGACCTATAAGTATGCCAGAAGAAGCTCAATATAAAGATCCAGGAACCCATGTATGGATTTCCCGTTCCTGAATTTGAAAGCTTTGGACCGGGAGATCATCGAACTCGATTTTCAGTCACCCAAAAGCAGCCGACTACCACGGTACAGAGGAGTGGACCCAAGGTAAGATGGCCGAAACCTACTCTAACCTAGTTCATGGTGAACAAATCCAGCGCATTTCGAGGCACATGGTTGCATTGAGGAGAATACCTCGATAATATCAAATTTCTATCATGTGTACGTCGCCTTCGACTCTGACTCCGATAGCCGTGCTCATCCGACGTATTGACGTATTGCAAGCCAAGAAAGCCCTACCCGCCGATCACTCGAACAGGTAAGCAAGGCGAACACTCAAAGAGCGGTGCGGGGTCCAGCGCCGATCCCCTATTTTCACACCCGGGGTTTCCCCAGGGGTTTTCCCCCAGAATAATAATGACTCGTGGGAGGAAACACACCACTTGAACTCCCCGAGTGCTGTGGAACATGAGCACCCGAAAAATAAAAGATATCGTGAGCTGCACATATCTACATACTATGGTTCGCACTATCGAATCAACTCCGCATAATCTTGCGTATTGGGCCGTATAAATCCTTCTGTCAGGATGCAGGAACAGTCTTCAGGGGGATGATGATCTTCATTCGAAGGATCGTCTGCCTCGGCAGAAGTTGTGGATCACATTCGCGAAATGCATAGTGCGGTGGATATTTATCTCGTTTCCATCCGACCTTTTTCCTACGGTAGGAATTATCCGACGCAAAACTGATACTCTTCCACTCCGCTCGCTGGTCACCATGGTCTCCGTCCCAGGCTCATCGGTGCGCCTCACCATGTTGGCTTTTATGGCCTTCATGCTGGCAATTGTGTCTGCCCGGCCTGCTGTTGCGCGGACTACACCTCAATTTACACGCCGTGGCCTGCCCCAGGCTCCTGCCGATGATCCGTTCTATCAGCCTCCAGCTGGATTCGAGAATGAGGACCCTGGAACCATTTTGAAGCAGCGCAATGTCAGCGTCGCGTTCCTAGGATTGATTCCCGACCCGGTCGAGGCATACCAGCTATTGTATCGCACGACCGCGATTAATGGCTCTGCTATCGCGACAGTGACGACAATTTTCAAACCTGCATCGCCCAAGAAGGATAGATTTGTCTCTTTCCACACGGCTTACGACAGCTCTGCAACCATCTGCAACCCGAGCTATAACTACCAGCTCTTTGCCGCGCAGACCGACATCATTTCCTCGGCCGAGCAACTGCTCCTTCAAGCCTACCTGCTGCTGGGTTATATTGTTGCCTCGCCTGACTATGAAGGGCCCGAGGCTGCCTTCGGTCCGGGCCGCCTCGAAGGCATGGGCGTGCTCGACAATATGCGTGCAGTGAGCAACTTTGGCTCACACCTTGGTCTGACTAGCGACAACCCCATGATTGTGGGAGCTGGCTATTCCGGCGGCGCCATTGCGACTGGATGGGCCGCCGCTCTGCAGCCGAGCTATGCGCCAGAGCTGGACATTAAGGGCTGGGTCCAGGGTGGAACCCCAGCGAACCTGACTGGAACATTGGTGTTCATTGACAACACGCTTTTCAGTGGTTTCCTTCCAGCGGCCGTGGTCGGTCTCTCGATGCCGAGTGCCTACGGCGCGGAGTTGACGCCGATCATCGAAAAGATATTGACCGATAAAGGGCGAAAGGCACTCGAAGCTGCCAAGACCAACTGCGCCGTTGGAGATCTGATCAGTTTCCCCGAAATGTCTCTCTTCTCGACGGATTTCCAGAGCTTGGGCACAGGTCTGCTAGAACAGCCCACGGTCAAGAAAATCATGAGCGAGAATGTGCTCGGTGTTAATAAGAAGGAGACTCCCACTGCGCCGGTATTTGTGTATCACGCTACGCAGGATGAGGTTATTCCCTACTCGAATGCAACTACTATGGTTAACTCGTGGTGCGCCAATGGAGCGAATGTCAAGTTCACTTCATACAGCAATGGTGGTCACGCGACCACCGAAGTGATTGCATTGCCGGATGCTGTTAGTTTTGTCCAGGCAGCCTTTGCAGGCACCACGGAGAAAGGCTGTTCTCAGAACACCAAGTTGGACAGTGTCTTGAACCCGATTGCGTTGGGAGTGGAGTTGGAGCCTATTCTGACCAAGCTGATCGACGTGTTGGCTGCATTGGGACGGGGCGACTCGGGCGTGAAGCAGAACCTCAATGTGTTGAAGGATGTGGTTACCTGGTAAATTTCAAGTATACCACGGTTGAGGTGGGGATCATTAATGCTTATTTAAGTATTCTGGATGAGGATGAGGATGAGGATGAAGACATGGAAAACAACGATATAGTTAATTTTCTTATACGATTATACATAATGTATGGATTTGAACATACCAGAGAACCCGGTAGGTAACTGAAAAGGTAGAATTATGAATCTTCAGGTTGACTCACCGTTTAACTTCTGTGACTCCTCTGTCGTGCTTGCTTGCGTCATTTCTCCGCGGCTCTGCTGCGCCCGAAGCGCGGTGTGCCTCGCGGAGCAACCCTGGGCAACCTGCCTGCCACCGCAGTGATAGGTTTATGATAGATCAACCCGGGCCAAGGCAGCCGTCCCCAGATAAACCCAAGACAAAGGATGATATCTCTGGGTCTAGGCGAAACCCATCAAGTCAGATCAAAGCAAATTATTAATTATGGACAATGTCAAGGGAGACAAAGCGTGAAAGAGTGAAAGAGTGAAAGATCAGCTGCTGCCAATGGCTGCTGACAGCCGCTCTTATCTCGAGCGGTGAGCGTCGATCGGGGCGAGTCTACGGAGTGTAGAGAGAATGGCTTCGTAGATTTCCCCCCCCCCGGATTCGCCTAAATTAAAGTAAAAAAAAAAGGACCCATCAGCGGAAATGAAAAGCAAATACCCGAAGCCGTAAAGTGATCAGATCAGAGATCAGCTGCGGTGGCGTAGGCTGACGAGCCAAAAGTCATCCCCAAAAGTGTAGCAAAGAGTGTAGTCACCGGATGTGCGTCACATTAACCTCTGCCCTTCTCTTCCACTTCCTCTTCCAGCTCACTCCTCACTCCTCACCTCTCCTTCCCCCCTATCCCTCTCTCCGCTTCCTCCTCCATCCTTTGTCTCCTTATTCATAATATATACTTCTCTTTTACCATTCTCCCGGGCCATGGCTATCGTCCCGTAGGTTCCACAACGTCCTGACGCTGTGAACCCTTCCCGTGCGGATCGGATCTGCTCTTGATGCGGAGAAGCTCCTCAAGGCTCCGAAGGTCCCAGGTCTAGATCGTCCCCTTCGATCATGTTTGTGACCGTCTACATTGTCTCCACCAATTTCAAGCTACCTTGAATCTTTCTTGATTCTATTTTATTCCTCGCCGATCCTCTATTTTCTCTGTTAGCATGGCCTTCTGCACCGGCCCCACCGACTCGCTGCGCTCCTGATAACACAATCGTGCGCTGGTAGCACCTCCTCTCCTCGGCCACCCGTCTCTCGGGGACAAGCACTGTTGCATCCATCGTGTGTGTGGGCTCGGTGCCCTGGAGACAGACATCATGCATCAACATCCTCGTTCTCCTGCTGTCGCTTCATCGACGCCAAAACAACCCCCAAGAACGCTGGCCGCGGCTCGGGATGACCTCAAGGACCCAGACTCCGTCCCGCCTTCCCCCACCGTTGACATTCGAACCAACTCGGCCAAAGGTTTGGGCATTGATGCTGGGTCAGATCCCTCTGAGCATCGGGCCGCGGCTCCTAGCAAAGAAAATATGGCCAAGCTGAACCAGATCATTTCGGTATGAACTCTTCTCTCGCCCATCCCCACCTTAATCCTTGCCCCCAATCCCCATCCCCACCTCCATCTCTATCGTCACCTCGAGAGACTGCAAACTCATGACTTATCCTTATCGCCCGCAGAACTACCATACAAAAGCAGCTCTAATCGTTCTTCATTCACGCGTCGATCTCCCTCCTTCATACCCAAAAGGCTCCGACACTCCGAGGATCAACCGTTGGGTACGTTACACCTACCCGTTTTATTCCCTTCTGCGGGGGTGGCTAACCTGGGCTTTTGGGCTTATGACAGTTTAATGTTGAACTAAACGATACCGATATCCTACGAGAACAACTTCGAATCTGGCGAACCTGCGATGCCACCGACAACCGACCTCCCCCTCTGCTCATCGAAGTATACTTGGATACCAAAGGCCTGACGAATAATCAGAGTCTGGTGGTCCTCGACGATAACGGAAAGCGATGGGACGTGCGAGATTCGCTCGCAGCCCTGCGGACGCAAACCTCCAACGTCCAGCAGTCGAAATCCGATGAGATCATCCTGGAGCGGTGGAAGATTGAGTTGGGCGAGTCCACGGCCAGACCTCCAGCTGATCTGGGCTCCATATTGCCAACCGTATATAAGAAGAGCATTGTTCTTTTCCGATCTTTGTTCACTTATTCCAAATTCCTGCCTGCCTGGAAGTTCTCCAAGCGAAACACAAAGTTACGCCGGAGCCCTGCCCTGCAAATCAAGTATCGTGTCATAGATGGGAGTATCCCTGTCGCAGGCCGGTCTGCATCACCAGATCACTTAACGGCCCCATTGTATGAGGGTAGTGGTAAGGTGGTGGACACCTACAGTTTCGGTGTCACCGAATCTCCGGCTGGGCCATTCTCCGTGCAGGTTACTTATCGGACAAACTGTGACTTCCGCGTGGATGATTCAGAAGCTCTTCTCAGCTCCCGTTTCATGGGCGCTGATGATGATATCTTCCGCCCCTCCCTCCCTCGGAGAACATCAGACCTAACCATGAGGTTGGCTCGGTGCCAGTAGAGAAGCGAACTGTTGGAGATCCCGACTGCTCACGCGCATACGGGAGCTTATCCACATTTCACCAGGTTGGCCCTGGGACAAGTCCTCTATCGGCTTTACGGAATATGAGAGATGTCGGCCCTTCATCTTCGCCGCCTGATTCCCCATCCAAGAAGCTCCTACCTCCCGCCAAAATAGCATCTACTGGACGAGCCGCTCAGATTGCAAGCGAGAGTGGTGGCGGATCGAACTTTGGTCGTCGGCCCTCCATTTCATTCCAGCCTTTCAAAGCACCTCCTCTATCAGCCTCCCCGGCATTGGTAGACACTCCACTCGGTGTATCACCTCGAACGACATCCGCTCGTGCCTCCGCGGGTACATCTGCCGAGTCTCGTGTCATGCCGCCCCCTTCTGTTGCGGCCTCTGCCCGAAGACCAGCCGCTCTTGTATCTGACCAAATAATTTCCCCTTCTAATTCAGCATCACCAAAACCAGCTCCGATCACCAGATACAGTAGTTCATTCAGCCATCGACGAGGCCGTCCATCTTCTGGCGGGACAACTAAGCTCGATGACGAAATTTCGAGCGGCAAGGCTAGTGCTGCATCCTCTAATGTACAGCCAGGCTCCGCCCTTCTCGCAGAAGCTACCGGCACTAGTGCAGGATCTATTCATGCGGACGATGAAAACATCTCCGACTTTTTGAAAATGCTTGATTTGAAGAAAGATCTGATGAATTCATCTGGCTCTGGCTCTCAAGATTCTGGACCTCGCAAGCCGACGGCCACATCTGCAGCCCTCGCTCGTTTCCAACGCATGCGTGATTCAAACGCAGCGCTGTCAGACTCAATGTCAACATCTATGCATCTGCGGCACTCTTCATCATCGTCCAGTAAACACCTCTCGGGTGTCCCGCAAATGGTTGCTGGCACATCTATCTCTACCGCCTCGTCCCCTGGGAAACCCATCTCACCCCATACCCCTCACACACCTGCTATTCGATCTCGCCTCAGTTCTAACAGTGTCGCCGATGAAATGGCCACGGAACATGATCGTCGCGTCCCACCGCATATTGAGCACGAATCGCCTCTTGAAGAAAACCCCGGCGAAACGATCACGCAGCGTGATCCATCCACCGCCGGGGCAATAGACATACCCATATCCCCCCCGTGTTTATCCTCCGGCCTACCGTCGCTCAAGCTCTGCGGCCCAACGGAGACGACCAGCAGTGGCTGATGACGACGAAATATTCCCGTTCGGCATGCGGAGCGTGAGTCTTGGCAACGAAGAAGGGGCTCATCCTCTTCCTGACACTATGCCGCGCATGAATGAAGATGAGAATGTCGATCCCGATCCCAATCTCTACCAGTGTCAGGCAGCAGACCAGCCATGTACCGAGGACAACAATGTCCCCGCGACGAGTGCTACTGGTACATCACGTCCATCTGCATCCGCAACTTCATCCATCTCAAATACGCATCTGTACCAACCCCGCTTCGCTAGCTCACGAGGCCGCGGTTACTCGGGTGGTCAATCTGTCAGTTCCGCATCGAGCAGCCTCGCAAGAGGCGCGGCAATCCCGCCTCACTTATCCGAGCGGGATGCCGATCGAGATGGTAACGCAAGTGGCAGCACGAGCGGTAATTCCACCATGGAATTGCGCCGTGGCTCGGGTCAAAGACCGAGCGTGAGCCGCGCCGCGCCATCTGCAGCCTTCGAGGACGACGAGCCGCTGCTTTTTGCCATGAGTGACTTCGGCGCCTCAAGGCGCAGCCTCGAGGAGAACAGGGGGAATCATGGCGGCAACGACTCGAATAGTGGTTCGAGGCGGGGCAGTGGTAGAAGAGGAGCTGGGCTTCCGAACTTCCATGTCTGGTAAGGCTCTGCTCAATTTTAAACTTGTGTTTTCGCATCTCATCTTTTTGCTGTTGACATCGATCGGACCAGGTAAGATATGCCTGGTCTGAGTTCTCTCGAAATACCCATTGTCTTTTATTCTCTCTCTCCCTTTCTAGCCTTGGTCTTTACTGCCGATGAAAGTCTCAAATCCCATCTTCTCTCCATATTCGCCCTTTTATTTTATCTTTGTCTAAAACTTTCTTCATTCGACAAGTGGCTGGCTTTTCTTTTTATAGACTGGATTCTGTGTTCGTGTTCTTGTTGCTTTCTTCTTTCCCGTTTCCCCATCATCAAGGTTGATCCTCATCTGCATAGAGATTGATTTTCGAGATCGTCTTTCTTTTTTCTCCTTTGATTGGCTGTTTGTCACCTGCCTGCCTGTCTTCCTGACCGTTCTTTGCCTTGGTAATGCGAGCTGAAACTTGCGTTGCGCCTAATTTTGCATTGTTCCGATGGTTGGTGTCGCTTGTTCTTGCGCTGATTGGTGCTTGTTGGTCATTTGGGACTTTACGCCCCCAATTCCACGATTCCTCATATGATGAGATGATTTTTATGCCGTGCGCTTTAACGTATCTGAGACACAATTAAGAAGTTTTCAAGAGCTTGGCGTCCATGAGAAATCGGGTAGAGTGCCAGTGGGGAGGCTGATATGGGAGTGTAGACATCCCAGCGTAACTTGTAGCTCGTAGCTCCCAATGTTGTTTATGAGGAAATGGTGGTATGTAGTCAATTCCATCATCGGTACTCCGTACTAGTAACTCCATTGATAATATAGAATTTATAAACTTTTATTCTTTGAGAACTATAAGAAACCAGGCTCCAGATGCTGAAAACGATACTTCATGCAATCAATACATATGGGTACAAAAAATTAGTCCAGACGCCGGTACGATAATCCAGACTTTTCTCTTTAATATGAACATGGGCTTATTCAGAAAGCGATACCCCCAACACAACAAGTATGTGAAGGAAGCAACTTCTCGATATTTTCACGGGTATCATAAGTAAACGTTTCGAACCAACCAAAAAAGTGGCAATGGATGGCACCGAAACAAGTCCAACGCAAATCACATTTACATCTTCCGGAAGAAATTACCGGAAGCACTGCGGCGTTCCTTGGCCTTGAACTCGGTCTTATCGTATTTGACCTCGGGCTTGCTGTTCTTGGACCGGCCAGCGGGCATGAAGCTGACTTCTCGTTCACCGACAACGGCGCTCTGTCGGTTCGGCCGTTGCTTTGTCTTCATGTTCTGGGCACGGGAGCCGAATGAGCGGTCGCGGGCGGAGTTGGTGCGGGTGGAGGAGGAGACCTGCATGCGAGGAGGAGCACGCTTAGTACGCTTGAAATCGGAGGAGGAGATCTTGTTGGAACGCTCGGGCTTCGCGGGGCGCTCGTCCTCGCTGGAGGAATCGGAATCGGAGCTGGATCCGGGCACGTCGTCAATGGCTTCTTGCTCGACGGCGGTTAGACCACGTTCCTTGCGCTCCTTGCGTTCAGCAGCAGGAATGGGAACAGTGCTGGGGTTGATAAGACGGAATTCGTGAGATTCCTCGTCCACGGCGAAGTCTGTGTCTTCGAACAGAGCGTTGAAACGGTTGTCGGCCAGAACACCCTTGCTCTTGGGTTCCTTGGACTCCTTGGGCTCCTTCTCGTCTTGATCCCCCTTGGCAGGAGCGTCGACCATATCTTCGTCACCGCCACGCGCAAGCACGCGCTTGGCGTCACGACGCTCCTTCTTCTCCTCTGCATTCATCAATCTATCGGCCAGTCGCTTGTTGACCTTGACGGCGGCCTTCTTCTTGCCGCGGATTCGGCTCTCACGCTCCTTATCAATCTTCTCCTTTACTCGCTTGGCACGCTCTTCTTCCCAGATGTACGGGTTGGTGATTAATCTGGCCTCCTCGTACAGACGCTGGGCCACGAAGTAACCGTGCATGTATGGTCGCAGTAGGTTAGTGCGGCCGATAAGATGCTCGAGATTAAGAGTGCGGAGTTGAGGAATAGTAAGGAACTTGTAGTTATCATAGACAGAACCGGCGCTGGAGCTGGCAAAGGCGTTGGGGTCGTTGGGATCTTCGGCCATCTCCTCGACCAGGTTATCCAGGAACGAGCACCATTTAGGCGCAGGGCCGAGCTGGGGAATGAAAAATGAGTGTTGTTGGCGGCCTTCGTTGGCTGTCAGAAGCATTCCACTGTCCTTGCACCAGGCCACCGAGTTGATATCCACTGCCGGTTCAACAGATGTCCAAGGGGTGCCGTCGCGAGGATCCCAGAGCTTGATGATACGCTTATCGGCTGACATGATCTTGGGCTCCATTGTCGCTTCCCGGGTAGCGCTTGATGATTCAAGGAATTTGAGAGTGTGAATGGGGAAACCGTATCCTTGGTCCTTCTTGAGGAGAGGAACAGGGGATCGGAGATCGTAAAGGTGAATCAAGCCGTTAGATGAGCCAGTTCCAAGGGTGAGACCGGAACGCTGGAACTCCAACGCGGTAATTTCATTGCGTGCCTCGTGCGGTCCAGGCTGTGTAGGCGGCAAGAGCACACCTGCACGACCCTTGGCTCGGGGATCCCACAGCTCGACAGTACCTATCGTGGTACCAAAGGCAAGCAGCCCGTGGCTCTCCTCTGCAATTGCACCAGTATTCACAGCACCAGTATGGATTCCACCCTGGAGCGTACCTCCACCGGCAGACGTGAAATCGTCGCCGCCAACGTCAACCTCGAAGCTTCGCATGTAGCGTCCCTGTTCCAAGTTCAGACGGAAAACTTCACCCAAGCCATCCTGGTTAACACCGACAGAGGGGATCAGAGCCTCGGTGGAGTTTCGGTCGAAGACAATATCACGGCCGTATCGCGGGAGGCGGGTGGTATAGTGACATCCTTGCGGGGTGTGGAATTCAAGAGAGCGGTCAGACTGAAGGTGAAGAGACTTGGTGTAGTCGGAGGAGAGAAGAATGAATGTTGTGTTGAGAGCGACGGTATGGCGAGCCCAGGATAGAGATAATTGTGGAAGGTAGTGAGTATGAATCTGCGGCTTGTATGTGCCTAGTAACAAAAGTCAGTTAGCTGCGCCGGGCTCACAATCTCCCTCGAGATGTGACTTACCTGTGCTCATCACCCATTCACCATCTTCACTGGCCCGGATGCAGTGACTGGCCTCCTCGAACTCAAAATCTTGCAGCAACTCAACTCGGTTCGCATACTCCGGATCGTCCTTCAAGCTGCGTTTGCGGCGTCTGGCGAGCCACTCGGGCAGAGGGCGGGCAGTGTTGGAACCCGAGATGGTGTAGACAGGCACCTCGGACTGGTTGGACAGCTTCATGGCGGGCAGATATCCACGAAAGTTGTCAAAAAAAGTCCAAGTGCAGATGTGGATGTGGATGCGCAATTGATAGCGATGGAAAAAAAAAGATAAGACAGCCGCACGTGACCGGTACCGCCAAGACCACGGGATCCGCAGGCCGATTGCGCGCGGTGCGAACTTCCCCGGATGGCCTCGACTGTTGATGTTGCGCCTGTCCACGTTGCTACACTGCTGCGATGCCCCTACCCGTCTGATGGGCTTCTGCACCTGGCCTCTATGTGTGCGCTTCTGCCTATAAATCGACCTGATGTACCACTGGAAATGAATTCTCGAATATTTCTCGCCAATCCTCTTATTTATGAATGCTCCCGGGGCTGTCCGCGACCGCCGTTGAATCATGGACTTTCCCGGAAGCGCGACCACCAATATACACATAATTGTAAGCTAATCGTCTTTACGATCCTCGACTGGACCCGACGGGAGCTGATAAAATGACCTTAGGATGGCTTTTCCACCATCTATTGGAGGATATACACCGAGGAACAAGGCATCTCAAACCACCCCCAAGATGGACCAGCTAATGGCTATACCATTTTGAAGCATCTGGGTCGCCTCAAGGATCTGGAGGCCCGATTGCGGGGGTTGAACTGCCTGGCCTCTTGTCCAAGGCGCCTTGGTCTATGGGTGTTTTCCTCCACCCCCGCCTTCGAAAGTCTAGCCTCCCTATATGTCGAAGAGGGCGATACGGAAACAACCAAGATTCTGGTGGATACAACAACGCTTAAAGGTATGCGAGGCAAATATCGCAAGCCTTCCTTGCTGTTAAATGTTAACCCACAGTATAGTTTCGGCATCCGGTAGTGTTGCTTCACACGAGTTGATCAAAAACCTTCCGGCGGACCCTCAAAATACCCCTGCAACTCAGACATCCGTGCAGCAAAGACCTCCACAATCTCAGTCTTCGGCCCGACGACAAGAAGGCTATAATAGCTCGGCTGCCATATATACTTCTTTTATCTCAGCCGTCACCGGTGCAATCAGTGTACATCTCATTCGGAGCTACGGCGCATTGCCACTAGGTTCACGCACCTTATTCACTGCTGTGGAAAAGTTCGGTTATGAGAGTCCTCGAATCGATAATCAGAGTGTGCTTTCCCAGTCTTGTTTAACCACACTCAATATCCAGCTAAACGCCACGGGCACGTTAACGATATCACCACAAACTATTTCACAACCGGGCATTACACGACTGTGTAGCCCCCGCGACGACATTGCCGACCTTTTGCGAGTGCAGCCTGGTACCGACATCTGGCTATGCCCTAACGGAGCGATCGCGAGACTTGTGACTGCAAATATTGAATCCCCCGCCATTCCTTCCCCCGAATATCCATCATCGACGAATAATTTCTCAAGGCAGCAACAATGGAAACTGGATGTCGTTCAGTGGCTAGCCACTTTTGGTTTACACATTAATTCGATAGACGAGGAGCCGTGGGTGGAGGTGGAAGTGTGGGAACCGTTCTTTGCAAGATTAGCTGGAGAAACATGGCGCCAGGGCGAGGATACCCAGTCGACGCTTCCGTTGAAGCGCATGCTGTGGCCTGCACGATTTTGCTTCAAGAGATCCGGTCCGATGATTCGCCCCTCTTGCCCGCTTCATACTTTTGATGATCCGTTAGAGTTTGCCGAGCAATGGTTTTCAGAAGCTAGCTCCCTCAAACTGAATCAAGACCCTCCAAGTATCCCCGTCTCGGAAGAGATCCAGATGAAAGATCAAGATATGGCTTCTCCTCAGATTGACAGTGCAGAAAACCTAGAGAGTCTTTCTCGAATGGCCCAATATCCTGATCTACAAAGTACCAATATGGTCTACCCAACTCCGCCAGATGGTGCAGCCATTGTCGGAACGCACAACCCGAATGCGTCCGTAATTTCCCCGGATGATACCGACTTCAACTTATCGCCAGGCGCAGGGCAAGACACGAAGAATATCTCTCATGTGGAATTTTCACCAGACCTTCAGGTCGGCACTGGTCGGTATGACGCGAGCGATGACGAGGACCTTTTCGGAGACATGAACGATAAAGATTTTGGAGCAAAAGGAATTACCGACGCAGATTTCAACTTCTTCGATGACCCAGACCTCGAGACGATGGATGAGGCCGTGCCTGATCACGAGACGGTGGCAGAAACGCCTTTCATCCAGCCAGACCAACAGGTTTCAGTGAAAAAGGAACCTAAGGAAGACGTTGGGGAGGAACATCCTGACAGTGGCTTGCCAGAAGTCCCGCGGCCTACCGAACTTTCAACGAAAGAGCATCTGCACAAGATGGAAGACCCTCAAGCGAGCCCAATTGATGATTCAATGGGTCTTGACGAATCTACACCATCCCCTCAGGAGCCAAAGTCTCAAACCATCAGCCCTCCATTAAGCCCTATCGAGATCAAGAAAATCTTGTTCCCAGGGTCAGAAGCCGAAGATCCGAACCAGTCCAGTGACTCGCGCTTTCAACAAGGTCACTATCACCCCATTGCATTTGAAAAGAAAATTGGGGACTGGGACCAAAAATATGGAACAACGGGAAAATTCTGGTTTACCACCGGAAATGCCCTAGAGGCTTCGGATCGTAACTCGAACTCCATTCCCACTATTGGTATGCCTCATCGCGGCAGAGGTAGTATTGCAGCAAAATCCGCGGGCGAAAGCGCGGCTCTTTCATCGCTGGACAACCATACTCGTTCCTCATCTGTTTCGAGCAATACCGACAGCGATTTGAGTGACGACGACGCTCCCCCGATCAATGCCCCGACACCACTAACGATGGTTATTCCATCATTGAAGAGAAAACGTGTGCCCTCCGAATCTGACATTCAATCCGTTGCGTCCCTGGCCAAATCTTCAATCGTCCCTGAAAATAGTGCAGTCTCTAAGGGCGACAACACTACATTTCTTGGGAATTTTCTGGCGAATTTCTCCGACTGGACTTTTATAGGTTATTTCTCTGCTACGCAGATTCAACAACTGCCGGTCCTTCTACGACGAGAAGACCAGGTTCTGATTGCTCAATTGCTAGTCGACCAAATTACGCAATCATCTTTTGACCATCAACTAGCGGACCGAGTTGGCTTATCTACGATGAATAATGAAAATTTTCCTTTGGAGACATGTCTTGAGGGTGCAAACTTCCTCGGCGACATGGTAAGGCTCGATCTCAAAACATACGCATCATTGCAAGAAGATCCAGCCGCAGCACAGCAACCTCTCAAGGATCCTTCCAAGGGTCCTATCTCGAAGTCATTTGCTCCTCACGTTCGTGTTCGGCGGGGCAAGGATTGCCTCGAGGCCCTTCCAGCTTCGATTTCATTCTGGGAGACATTTGGTCTCGAGCCTGCACATGGTACAAAGAATGTTTCAGCCTATTGCATTCACCCCCAGGCTGCATCGAACGCAGCAGATGTCTTCATGGATCGCTTTGGTCTGCTCTACCAAAGTTGTAACTTTGGAAATCATACTCGGGGCGATCAGTCGAAAGCATTTACAAAAGGCCTCAGCACCTGGGGCTCGGAAAATCCCGGCTATAGCTCTATGATGCAGTCTTTAAATAAGCTTTGCGAAAAACTAGGTATGTCTACTTTCATCGAGTTGAAATCCATCGCTGACCTGATTTGATAGGAACCGAGCTAGCCCAAGCCCCGTCAGATACAGATAATGCAATCATCTACATTGTCAATCCTTTCCCACATGCTGCAGCACTTGTCGATATTTGCGCGGCTTTCTGGCGCCTTTTCCAACAATTGGCTGCGAATGCTGACCGGCAGCAAACTCGGCAACTCAATGATGTTGTTTTGCAGATAATTCCATTGGAATTCATTGTCTCGGAGGATTCCATGGTTGTGCCAACTCAGCCCGACTACCTGAATCTAGCGCTGGAAGTATACAGTCGCTGCCGTCCCAAAGATGCCGATCCTGAGACCCTTTGTCTGTGCGCCTGCTATCGTTCTGGCCGACCCCGCGCCAAAGAGCATTGGATTTCGACTTGCAGCCGAGAAGGGGTCACCGCTCCAGGACGGTCGAAGTCTGCATCTAGCTCTCTCAAAGAGCTCGGACCAACGTTGGATATCAGCTGCATGGTCCGATGGGACTGGCAGCCTTCAGATGACAATGTCATATTGCTTGAGGTATCGCAGCCGAGGTGTGCCCAGACCGATTGCTGATGTGCGCAATGAAATATGGGCTGCGACAAAACATATCATGGAAAATTACCAGGCTCGCTGGAAGCTCGTTCTGGCCAACACTGAGCCGATGGATACTGATGATATCGAAGGTATGATTTCCTTCCGAGCCCAAATTCAATTCAGAACTGATCAATTTAAAACAGGATGGGCCAGCCTCTCCGAGCAACTCAACAAGCTCCGACCTGGTACTGTGGAGCTGAGCATCGTGACAGTTAGTGCCATTCCTGATTTGGTACTTGAGACACCTACCGCACCCATGACAACCGGTGTCCTCAATCCTCATTTCTCATCTACGCCTGTTTCGACTCCCAACCCCAGTATAAGCATCGCCTCCCCCGAACAGGCGGGCAATGCCCCGACTCCGGGAGCTGCTTACAATGCCCCAACCCCGACCGACGGATCTTTGGAACCCGATACGGACGTCGTTCTCACCGACATGTGCGACGAATCTTGGACAGTCGTATTATCCCACCGCCTCAACAACTCCCACCACGTTACCGAACTCCGCCCCGCGCTGGTTAGCGGGTATCTTCTTCGCCGCAAAGGCGTCGTTGACAGCGACGGCGTCTTTGCAATGACCGTCAATCTGGTCCACACACCCCGCCCGTCACTTACTCACGAAACCCTCTTGAGAGAGATTCTCGGAATGTATCGAGATCTAGCTACCCTCGCCCGGGTAAGGGGTATTCGCAGCGTACAGAACAATACGCTGCCGTGGCACATTGCCACTGCTCTGCGAGCGCAGGAGCTCCTGAGCTATGTCTTGTGAGGGAAGGGTCATCATGTCATATTATATTTGTTTTGGCGACGGCGTTCAGGTTCCCCGGGTTTAGATGTACGAAGAAAGTGGGTGCATTGCATACATCTTTGTTTTATTTTTATTTTCATGAGGAGCAGGAGATACCATCGGAGGCATGGATTTGATTTACGCGTAAGCGAGCGGTTTCCCCTATCTATTCCCAACTTCAAGTTAACATAACATAACTATTCCGAATGGAATCGGCTTAATCTCCGACCAGATCCTCATTTCTTCCAGTGCGAGTCGTCTTGGACTCTTCCGAGTCTCAGAACCCACTGCAACTACTACTAGTACTAATACTGTGATTTGGCACTCAATGTAATTCGTAGATGTTTGTTCATTCATCCATAATAATAATTCATGTGTCATATAATTTAAACAAGCAGACCATGTTCGTGGAAAGGTCATCGTGAAAAGTACAACGAAGAGTATGAATCGTTCAAATCAAATGTCCCAATTAACTCCAAAAGAAAAGTAACAAATTCATGTATCCAAGTATAGCCCTTTCGGCTCAAAGTTGTACAGAAAAAGAAGATAGCGCCGAGAAAGTATCGCAGAATTCATATCGAGTCGAGTCGTATGCCCAGAAATCAGGCGGAAAGAAGGGTATCGTGTCGTTTTTGGAAGTGCGTTATTCAGGGAGGAGGGTGAGGGGTGAGGGTGAGAGTGTGGTCGAGAAAGTTCGTGGTGATATACTGATGCTGTGTAGGAATGTCGCATCAGGGTCGTTTCATCATTTTTCGTCACCCTTCTGCACTCTCTTCATCTGGCTCGCGCTTCTTGGAGAAGAAGGAGACGTGGTTCTGCACGGCCCAGATGGCAAATCCGGCGAGGGCTAGAAGGAGGAATAGGACGATGATGATGATCGCAATGGCGACGTTGCGTTTGACCATGATTGCCGATGTGTACCCAATTGGGTTGCGGGGGCTTGATAGAATATAAACGATCGCAGTAGTGACTCCTCGGAAGGTTTAGACGATTGATTGAAGCGATGGGATTTGATCAGATCAGATGCTTAAGGTCGTTCGAGTGCAGTTCAAGCGTAAGGAATGCAAGCAAGGTATTCCAGATCTGAGACACCGTGACCGTTGTTGGGTTGGTCGTGCGGAGAAGCAAGTATGTACTCCGGTTGTATACTTTAGGTACGTACCCAGTGCTTTTGGTTTGACTGGGTGGCGGTGGCTCCCTTTTTTTCGTTCAAATTTGAGGGAGATAAAGGGAAGTCTCTCGGGGAGACAAGATTGGAAAAGAAGAAGAAAAAAAACCCAATAGTTAGCTCGTTAATGGGGGGTTATAAAGAAATGGGAGTTCCCAGCCACCGCGAGGGAAAAGCACATGGCTGGGAGACGCCGCGTGGGGCTTGGCGTAAACTAGAAGGATTTCAGGTTTCAAGGTCATTTTTACCTCCAGAGACATTAAGTGACACATAAATATTATTTTATTTAATTTAATTTAATTTAATTTCTCTTCTCACTCAGGGTTAAAATACCAGTAAATCATAAGTCAATCTCCGTTAGAAATTGCGAGTGTTGCTGCGATCCAACCGTGGAGAGATCTACCCGATCGCTCCCTGTCAGCCTCAGCCTCATCAACCGCCTCCCCTGCCACCCGCATTATATCATCTCCAGCAGATCCATCAATTCTCCGGCGTTGATGAAACATTCAAGCTTTTCGGAGACATCAACTGAAATGAGACTCGCCTATCTGGTCATGCAAGCAGAATTTCCCTCTACTCTTGAAGATTACTTCGCCGCCCCGAAATTATCTACCAAATTGCCCTGATATCTGCCATACTGCTTTACAAGACTTGACTCCAAGAAGTTCGTTCCAATTACTAATAATCCCATAAGAAACTTGGTTTTCTGAATTCTCCTACCTAGTAATTATACTTTGATCCAATATCGAACTGTCGGAACCTTCAAGTTCAAGTTCAAGTTGGACCGCGAGGTCGGAAGCCTGGGAGCAGTATATATATATTCAAAGTATTACCTTCCTAGGTAGAAGTACTAATTCTGCCACTCATCCAAGGGCTGGCACTGGCAACTTCAAGTTGAAGTCACGGGAGTACTACCTAGGTACTAATACTACTACTAGTACTACAAATCGCTTTCTGCGCCCATTCATGACATCGGGAGCTTTAAAAATTTGGTGTCTACAATATATGTACTCTGTACCTAGGTAACCAACATTGCAACCAACGAGTCGCATAAGACCAAACCCATCTGGGCACCTTGGAAGCAGCCCAGAGCCGAGAAAATCCCGAACATCAACTTTGGATATATGCAACACCCCCTGGACGTACTAGAAATAGCCCTATCTGTGTAGGAGACTCCAGGAAGCTTCCCAAGTATCACAAAGATCCGAATTTTCAGCTTGACGAGTTCCCAATCTAGCCAACCTAGGTGTAAGCTTCATGCAAGTTGGTCTTTAGTTTGGAATTGATGAACATTTTGCATGCTCAAGGCTTGTTTCCGGAAGCCGCCTCCAACTCCTGCTCAATCTTATCAAGGATTGCACAAGTGGGACAATCTGAATTATATATACTAGTCTAATTTTCAAGACATGTTTTCTCTTTTTAAATGCTCACCAGGGGTAAACTACGAAAAGCTTGTAGGCGCTGGAAGGATTTGAGGTGCAGGGCCCAAAAATTGAAGTAAGTCGATACATATTATGGAATTTCTCGTGCTCAAGTGCAAGCATCATGGCACTAGTGTTTGAAATGCGTCCCGGCCCGGTCGATAGAAAGATTGTCTCGCCTGGATTATGGTCCTGATCGATTCGATCGCTTCGGAGAATTCATGAGCGCTAGACGTAATCAATCATGATAATCGTAGTTATCATGGGGTGCGCCTTTGCTCTGTGCACCCAATAAGTCAGTAATAAGTTAGTAGTTAGTTATTGGAATATCGAAAATTGTACTAGTGCAATGTCATTTCTTCCACCGGCCTGATACGAGCCTTCCGTGCATGGAAACACCTTGTTTCTATCTCCTGCAGTGACGATTACCCCTATCGCCAAGGGTTATTTGACCGAGGTAAGAGTGGAGCGCTACGGAGTAATTCCATGAGGATCTACACTCGCGTCATGAGAAAGTGGAGGCGACGTCCTACCTAGCGAAAATATGATAATCCTATGCGAGATCAAATGCATTCGGATGCCTGTTCTACCGTCTCTAGGCGCACCGTGCGCAACGGAAGCGCCGGGTACCTGGGTCAGAATGGGTTGTGTTTGATCGACACGGATTACACGACAAATATATACGAGTACGGAGTATGTACTGAGTAACTCCGTACGAAGCACTCGTAAGACGTCGGAGGACTTGCTGTGGGACTCTGCCAACAAGATCGCTGTATCAGACCCAGTGGACTGAAATTTGGGATTACAGTATGACACTTTCAAGTGTCAGGGGAGCGTTGGGATGGCTCGTCGGGTGGTCACGGTAGCTTGACGGATGACATTTACGATGGTGACAGACAACCTCGAAGGATTCTTGCCCAACCCAAAATGCTCGGCGTTAACTCGCCGCCACACCCTCGGTAGTTGAGGACTATTGGACTCTATAATCAGCCACCAACTGCATAGCCGGGGATAATCAGAGCGCTAGCCAAAGCCCCGGGAAAATTGGCACCACTGACGGCTAAAGAAAAGAAGGGCCCCGCCACTAGCTGCCTGATAGCGCTAGCAAAGCAAGAGGAGTTCGTTCGGTGATTGCTCGCGAACCCAGGACCCAGCTCCTAGTGCCACCAGGGAATTCCACCCTAGAATGTTAATTGATCCTGAGATGTGCGTCGAGACACCATGGTACGAGTAGGAAATGCAAATCACTCGGGGTGCTCCAGGGGCCAGGGGCCAAGGAACTTGAACTCCTTTTCAGGGGAATATCAAAGCATCAACGGGAAAAAGTGGAAATGACAGCCGGCACGTCAACCACGGTTCATGTTTAGCTGCCAAAGGGAATCTGCCGAAGAATCTCCTGCTCAGCTTAGGGCTGCTACAGTACCATGGCTCTGCCAAGCTGCAGCGACCTCCAACACCAAGAATCAAGGGATTTCTTTCCCGGTTACCCTAAGTCTCCACTGCGCTAGCTCATCTCCACCGGGACAAGCCAATGCGTACATATTACTGGCCTCTTGCGGAGCACAGCGCAGCTCCGCCGTGCAACGGGCCCGCGTGGGAACAAAGCTTTCGGCGGAGCAATACATAGCGGACAACCACGCGTGCGCCTCTCATAGTTCATGCTTGCATCGGGATGCACTTGACGACTCCACACTAGTGTAGAACGCCCCTGACGCTTAGACAAGACCTGCTTCAAGACCTGTAGCTGATAGGTCCTTGGAGTTTGGCCGAGTTTGGCCACCTGATCGTCGTCGGCTAGCCGTCTTCTCCGCAATGTCCTCGTAGTTCCCACGCCACCGTCAATGTCTTCCAAACTCTGTCGGGGCTTTCGCCCATCTAGAATAGAGGAGCCTTTGAATTGAGATCGTCTAACGCTGCTTTGAGACACTGATCAGCATGCACAGTTTAATAATCCCCTTAAACTCCAATAGTCATGTCATTGTCCTTGAGCTTATATCTGATATGCCCCTCTCTGGCTAACCACGATTCCCTTTCTCGGATTTTTCATGCCCAACGGGTGTTAGTGGCTGTATTTCTTCCATTTACCATTTTTCCCTTGACACTCTAGTCGATTGCCCACTTTTTCCCTTTTGGGAACAGTCCAGCCAAGAGGGGCTGGTTTACCCCCACGATTGCGTTTCTTCCCACGACCGTGGAATTGGGGGTTTGTTAAAAAGAAGTGGTGGCCCTGGCTCGATCATTCTCCTCTTGGAACCTCTCCCACTCCACTCTTTTCACATCCATTGAGGGTCTCCAGTGAGATCAGGGCGAGCAATCGTTCTACACTACACACCAAACACAATGACGACTTTATCTACATCCCGTGGCCGCGGGGCCCTCGCGGTCAGCACTGTCTTTACATGCCTGGCGACGGCTTTAGTTCTCATCCGTATCTATACACGAACTGTCATGGTGAAGCAAATGGGTGCCGATGATTATGCCATTCTAGTTGCACTGGTAGGTTCCCTTGACTGAAGTATAAGTGAAAGCAGAAAGGCTGATATGTATCTCAACCCAGGCATTCTCATGGGCATTCTTTGGATTATTCGTTGGCGGTTTGTTCATCCAATTTCCTCAGCAGTATATGCGAGATATACTAACTCTGACTAGAGGTCTACCATGGAATGGGCGAGCATTTCAAACTCATCCCAGCCGATATCTACAAAACCCAAATGATTGTGCGTTCAACTGGATTATATCCAATGTCAAAATGTAAAAGTACATTACTAACTCTCAATTTCCGACAAAAGTGTTTCTGGGCATCCGTCCCTATCTATCAGACCAGTCTTCTCGTCACCAAGATGTCAATCCTTTTCCAATACCGCCGAGTCTTCTCAACACCACGCATGCGTCTCGCCTGTAATCTACTCATCGCATTCCTTGCCGTCTACGGAACTTGGACAGTTCTCAGCGCCTGGGCAAACTGCGTGCCTTTGGCCAAATTCTGGGATCCCAGCGTACCGGGATTCTGTTTCGACAAGAAGGCCCTTTGGTTCTCTAACTCGGCCATCCACATTTTGACCGATCTTTTGATCTTGATCTACCCAATGCCGGTCCTCAAATCTCTTCAGCTTCCCAGAAAGCAGAAATTTGCATTGATGGGTGTCTTTGCACTTGGTGGATTGTACGTTTCCAAGAATATGGCATTCTATCTTCTTACCTCCAGGGTCATTTACTGACATGACATTCTTCCCTCCAGCGTTATGATCACTAGTATTCTGCGTCTCAAGAGTCTCCTGGTTATTTCCAATTCCAGTGATCCAACCTGTACGTACCGCACCGCCAACTAAAAAGCCCCGACTATCCCTCCCTAGTCCATCTCACTAATCCATCCATCCAGATGACAACGTCGGCGCCGCCGAATGGTCCGCAATCGAATGCAACGTCGCTATCATCTGCGCCTGTCTCCCCAGCACAAGAGCTATGCTCTCCCAACTCCTCCCCACATCTTCTCCACCCGCAGCAACGGGTCTCGCAGCAAGACAACCCGTCCCTCACGAACTGGACGCAGTGTTCTTACCGGCACACACACCCACGTCCAAGCATCCGTCATCGGCGGCCGTGATACCAAACACGACGACTACGATCTGGATGACTTGACACCGCCCAGTTCGGCTCCGAGCTATAACAAGGAACTTGATACCAAGGAAGCTTTTGCTGGTATCAAGGTTACGACGCTCGTCTCGCAGGAGTCGACTTCGCATCCTGCTAAGAGCTCTACTACTGACGACGCCGCGAGCACGAAGGAACTTGTGCCTAAGCAAAGCTTTTGCTAGGGGCTTTTTGCTTTGTTGATGATGATTACCCTCTTTCATGTTCTTTTCCTTACCTTTCCTTTCTTTGCATTTGCATACCCCTTCCCTTTTCTTCTTCTTCTCTTTTCCGAACGACCTCCTTCGTTGAAGGATCCCTACCGCACTTTCTGTTATAATACTTTCATTCTTTTTTTCTTATTATGTCTATACTATGATATCCTAGGCGGAATTGTGTGGATATCCGGCGGGTTCGCCTTTCTCATCGGCGTTGGATTTTGATTTTACATGGATGGACATGTTGTATATACCCAATACCAAAAAAATAAAACAACTTACAATAAGACCGTATGCATTTTGAGTAGTTATCTTATATTCAAGTACTTTCCGTAGAGGCCTGACACTGTTTGCTTTTTTCTCGTAAAGTGTATCATCAGATGCTAAATGACTCATATCTGATGACTTCATGCTAATGTTTATACAATCACAAACCGAAAGATGAAGATCCCATGCACCGAAAATGCCGAAAAAAGAAAGGAAAAGAAAAACCAGAAACCAAATGAGGAGGGTATCGCTAGTGAAAAAGCAAAAAAAAGTAGGAAGGTATCAAAAAATCAAGTTCAGAACATCGAACTCCGCTTTTTATCCAGACGCTTTCTGTCGTCTTCTTCCTTGTTGCGCCGGAATCCAAAGAAACTGCTTTTCTTAGGTTGTAGCTTCTGAGCAGGCTGTGGCCCCGGCTGCAAGGCCCCGGTGCTCGTCGCGGTCGGGTAGAAACCGACCGTCGACTGGGGCCGGACCTGAGGCCGGGGTTGGGCGATGTGAGCGGATGATTGGATCCGCGGGTCTCTGCCCCCGGGCGCATGCATATACGGGCCATTAGCGAATGTGGGGACGGGTGCGCCATGAGACTGTTGCGGTCGATGGTAGCGAGGAGGCTGCTGAGTGGGCGTTTGTTGAGGGAGGTATGAGTAAGACTGAGAAGGGTGGTGGGAGTATGGGCGAGAAGGACCGCTGTGCCGTGGGGGGGAGATTTGGTCGGGAAGAGGGAGCTGGTTGAAGTCGAGCTTGGTGCTCTTCTTGTCCGTAGAGCTTTTGTAGTCGTTTTGTTTCCTTGTCGACTTCAGCCTGGCGCTTTTGTCGCGATTTCTCTTGCGCGCGTTTCTCTGCCGATAGGAGTTCTTGCGTCCGGCGGATTTCTTCTTGCGCGAGCTCGTCTTGTCTCCTTCGGGCTTGGGGGCCTGGTGATTTTGGTGACATTGTGCTGAAGGTCGAACTTCGTGGTGGTGGTGGTGCTCCAGTAGGTACTGCGCCAGCAGCTTGAACCTTCGGGCTCTTCCTACCTGCGGGGGCAGGAGTAGCTACGGGCTGTGGCCTGCCGTTGGTCATTGTTGGCCCACCAGCTGTGATATGAAATGCTTCCTTGGCGAGGCCGAAGAATATATCACGAATAGCCACTGCAGCAAGCAACAAGACAACTTCCAGGCCTTTGAAGTCTTCCATTTCCACACGGTAGAGATTCGGCTCATAGAGTGTGAGCTCACGCAGACCTTGAAATAGTGCGACGGTGATATCGGGCTCCCGGCTCTTCTTCTGCGTGTCTGCAATTGTCGTTGATTTCCCATGCAGCAGACATGTAAGATCCTTGGACAGTTTTCCATCTTTCCGCCAACTGAATCGTAGCTTCGGTGTCACGTCTGCTGCCGCTGGGTCACTCTGCGTTCGGTCTAGGGTCGAGGCGGAAGGGAATCGGAAAGTGCGCTGGGGCATCTCGAATTCCCATCGAGCGGGTTTATTCCAGGACTTGGGTTGGTGTTTCACGGTGATCGTCTGGTCGGGATTGTAAAGTTGGATGGTGAATTCGACGGGGAGGATAGGTTCAGCCGGAGGGGGAGCGCCACCATTGGCTCGAATAGTATCTGCGGACATACTCGGCTGTGTCCATTCGGGGATTACAGCGACCTCCCCAAAGACGACATCCGGTACGTAGGGGTCGCAGAGGGCGACGCCATAACGGTTTTGTGACGCAGGGGCGGCGGGGTCCAGGGCGCGGAGAGTATATGCGGGTTCGGGGTCATTTCCATGTTGACGGTGATAGATGGTATTTTGCTGGGGAGTCTTTGAGTCGTTCTTTAGAAAGAAGGCTGCCAGGAGACAAAAAATAATGTCAGCTATTGTGCAAGAGCAGAGAGTGGGGAGGAAGAGAGGTATGAGGTAACGAGGGATGGGGACGAGAAGAGGCAGTTTATGGGAGCCCTAGATCCAAAGTATAGTACTGATGGATAGATTCACTTACTGGGCAGGTTTTCGTCAATCATTTTGGCCCGAGTTGACCTTGAACCTCCAGGAATGGGCGAGAGGAGGTTATATCGGCAGAGAGTACCGTCGGATACGAGGAGGTAAAAGTAAAAGCGGGAGTTCGCACATCACCTGCGCCACTGCACTTCTTGGATCGGCGCCTAAAAATAGTTAAGCCGCGCACCTTGTATAATCATAAAAGAGGCATCAACATTCTGGGGTCCTGGGGTCTCCACTTGACGGCTATGCTAGTACTTCATGCATTCAAATTGACATCTACTTCCCATCTATTCGTACATCTCTTGCAGGTACCCGGAATCTCGCTGCCTACTTCGTGCGAGGGGATTGGAATGCAAATCCCCCCCCTCCGGCCAAGTCCCGCAGCTTAAATTCACCGATAGGCTTCTCGAAACATCATTCCTTTTGACGATTCGTCAATCTCAAAACGGCAAGCAGGGAGCTTCCCCGATCGACAGCTCGACCACCGCTTCGAGTCGGCTTTGCGACACTAAACACTAAACCCTGGGGCAATGCACGCCATCCGCATTGGGGGCCACCAAGCCACCATTATTGTCAGAGTGAGAACCAGTATTGTCAGAGTGAGAAACCACCAATATAGCTGCCTATTACTGGATTAGTAGGATCAGGGATACTAGTAGTTAACAACTAACTGAGCGTCATTCTATCTACTACTACGAGTAGAAGTAATATGACTCTGGCTACCCCTGTTACGTATTGGATGTAGCAGATTAAGGGTCATCTACCAGCCAAAGCGAAAAGGCTTGCACGGACAAAATATGAACATGATACATGCTTGGATTCTAATTAATGAAAAGGTGGAATAGCAGTAAACCTTCAAATGAGAATGAATACTCCATACTTAGATTTAATTTCTTCGACGTAACTAGTGGGGCAATGTACTTTGAGAGAAGGTATTCATAGTGATATTTACAGTGGCTACTCATACATCCATGTCCCCTTTGAACGAATCAATCTTTTCTGTGCTCTCGATAACCAATGACCTACCGTAGATCGTAGGATGAAATACTCTTGAGGGTTCTGTAAGCACCTGAAAGAAAGGCTGGAACAAAGGGGTCCACAAACACATGGGTACCCACTGTAAATGTCACCATGGACACCCTAAAACTCAATTAGCCAACATACCAAGGGCGGATCGACTGACCTGGATGTTAATAAAACATAAATAATATCATGACATCAATTTTGTCTCTAACATTTGTTAGCATCGGGCGCGTTGGAACGAGCGCTTACCTGTTCCTGGGATGTTGGGCAGCACAGCAGATCGTTGTAAGCATGGAAGTGGAGGGGGAACCTAGAACTCATTATTAGAAGTATTCGTATTATAGACGGAAAATAGGATGTCGAAGGAATTTGCACTTATCTAGGTGCTATCTGGCTGGACCAACTTGAAGAATATGAATGTTCTCAAACTTGAAAGCGACTCATGCGCTATCAAAAAAAAAAGTATGCAGTCCCGACTGTTTCTAGATCTATGTCAAAAGCGTCATGATATCGGAGAGGGGCCTACCGTTCTGAATCTATCAATCACAAAGTGCCACGCGTCTCAATTATGGATATCTATATTGCAATGCTAGGGTTAGTTCCTCAATATAGTAGTATAAAGGAGAGGGGGGTACTCCGCAGGCTCCGGCACAGCACTCTTCCCGAGACGATGGAGTTGCTGGAGCTGCTGGATAATTTCTACTGCGTGGGAACCGAGTCTTTTATAATAGACACGCTTTGGAGGATCAATACAAGATAAAGGATATGAAGTCCATTGTCGCCGATGCCTCGCTAGTCAATAAGGATTCACCTTGAAGAAAGAGCCTCGAAGACAATGAAACAAAGCAACCCATGGAAGATAATGAACTTTTGTTCTATTCTCATGCTCTCTAGAAAAGAAGTCTATCTTTAGCATGTCGCGTAAGCTACCACGAAAACCTCGGTGAAAATAATGCCTATGTTCCTGCGCAATCCTAATCTGCTCAAAGCGAGTAATAACCCGCTACAACCTAAACACGAACACCGTTAACCTCCTTGCCCTCGGGAACCTTGGCCGCCTCTCGGTCCGCAGTGCTCATCTGCAAGCCCTGGTCATCCCAGCCCTGGGTACCGCGCTTGTACAGTGACTTCTGCTCTTCGCGGTCTGGGGTCGGACCCTCTTTCCCGCGACGGGTTCGGGATTCAATGGTTTCGACGATGGAAGCGTTATCCCCATCCAGCGGGTTTCCTTCCAGATCACTCTCGTGAGTCTCGTCTGAGAAAGTGTAGGTGCGGTATTCGGTGTTAACCCAGCCGGTACCTGCGTAGGAATGACAATGTTAGCTTTCTCTCGGTTCTCGGGCAGAAGTAGTAAAAGCACGCGGGATCTTGTGTCACATACCCTGGTACTGGCTGCTATCCTCCCAATCCTCAGTAAAGTAGTGAAGGTAACCACCGTGGGTAACGACAATAATTTCCTTCTCAGGCCGAGCCTTGAGCCACCTACGAGCAGCGAGAGCGCGCTGCTTCAAAGCCTTGTTCGTAGGCGCAAAACGACCACCACTCTTGTCGTTCCATCCCTTATACACCAGATCCAGGTCTACTGGTTTCCCCGCAAATTCGTCCTTCAGAGCCTCGGGCTCGCTGCCCGTGTCGCACGGCACGTCGGAGGTCTCTTGCACGTCGGGTAGGGCGATGAGCTTCATGCCCGGGTGTGAGTCGAAGACGGGACCGAAGCTCTCGAGGGCAGTGTAGATTGTGCGGCGGAGGGGCGACGCAGTGACTAGGTCGATTTCGGTGTGTCTGGGGAAGGTCTGTTGTAGCTTGGCGCATTGCTCGTGGCCGAGTTCTGTGAGGAGAGGGTCGTGAATGACATGGTTGGCGGTGCAGAGGTTGTGCAGGCCCTATTGGAAATGTGGGTTGTCAATGATAAGTTCGGTTCAGTTCGAGGAAAAGGATTGAGAAGTGATATGGGAATTGAGACTTCGCGCAAGGACCCTGGACTAGGACCCCGGCGGAATGACAACTGACGTACCTGGGCGTGGCGAACACAGTGGATGATCGGAGCCATTGTGAATGATGTGAGTTGAATTGGGAAGTGAGCTTCTGTAGGAAGCTTCGAGGGTCAGCTTTGGCGTTGTTCAAGTCGAGGGGACCCTGGCGATGGGATGAGTCTTATCGCAGAACGTGGGGCGGCGGGGTGTTGCAGGGAGACGGAGAAGACTGCAGGTTCAGACGGGGACAAAGCGTAAAGCGTACTTTTTGTGTGTGTGGATGATCGCTGGCAGTCAGGCCAAGTAGACGGCACAATTGGGGATAGTTGGTATTGTATTAATTCAAAACTCGCCAGAAGACAGAAGGATGAAGAGTCATAATCGGACCTCAGACCTCCGCTTGAAGAAATTCTGGGTATCGCCACATTTTATGGAGCACTTCAGGGCAAACCACACCGCGCAACTGGGGCCGCGAATCCACTTGGCCTGATGATCGTATTCACCTGACAATAGAAAGCACTGGCAGAAGTTGGACATAGCTACAGAGTTGAACCACTTACACGTCGACATATCTCTTCCTTGACATTTACTTGCGCATGGGAAATTGTCAGTGGTTGAGATCATATTTACTACGGTAAGATCTAAGTATAATAGGAAGGCCAGGATTCAAAGTCATCAAATAGAACGCTATGCTTTTGCTCCTGCTGCGTATCCAAAGTAAATGGTATGGGTATGTATAAATCACTCCTAAACCCGAACAAATCATAAGGTGGCCATCGCTTACGCCACACCAAATCCCTGTGCATTCTCGAGCGCCTTGTCCAGCTTCTGGGCCAAGGAGTCTCGAGATGAGTACTCTGGTAAAAGTAGACGACCGAAGCATGTCAAACTAGTTGGAAGACGCTGGGAAGAAGAAATTAGTATTGGTGTACAAGATGCCTAGGATTCGGGGAATATCAACTTACCAGATCTCCCACGCCGTTCTTTTGGATGACGAACATGATACTCGAGATCCCATTGACGGGAACTCGATCACTTGCGGTGACAAATTCCAGAAGTTGTGCTTTCTTCTCGGGTGGGTACCCATGGACAATGCTCCAAAAGTCCTGGATGACACGATGGTCGGGTCCAAATCCGCCCTCGTAGCGGCAATGGTTCTCGAGTTCTTTCACATCAATCTCTTGCAGACCCTCAACGACAGTTTTGAGTGACTCCGGGGTGAAGATGGAAAGTGCCGATCGATCGAGACACGTGTGAAACCCGCGGAGGAAAGCCTCAAACTGCGGCCGAATGGACTTGTTTGTGAGCCAGAAAATATAGTCCTTGACGAATTGATGTCGGTTCTCGTTGGTTACCAGGGGGGCCTCCTCGACAGGGGGTGTGGGGGACTGGAGCGGTACGGAGCGAGGCACGGACTTGACGGTGTCATCCGAAGCGGAAGGTGTGGGTGCTGCCTCAGTCACCGTAGATGATGGGGGACTCGCAATGCCTGCATTACCAGTTTGGGAAGACCATGTTTTGTGATCAGTTGCAGGTGTTGGTGTAGATGATCTACCAGGCAGTGGCCACATGGTATCCCGGTTCACCTTCTGCATATCGACGGTTTCAACATGGTCGACAGCTTCAAAGCTGAACTCGTAAGTACGCATAAAAATGTCACCCACATCCCCATCTGTCCAATTGAGGAGCATTTCCAAACCCTGTGTGAGCTCAGGCCATCCGTCACGGATATGATCTAGATGCTTCACCTTCAACCCCAATAGTTTGCGATAGAACGCGACAGGGAAATTGATCGGCAGCGTCAACCCGTTGTAGACAGCAATGGACATGAGAAGTCCCAGAAGCTCAAATTTGTATAGTGGCTCAAGGGAACGAGGTCGGAACCATGAGATGCGATGTCGGCTATCCATAGTAAACATGCCAAAGGCCGGATCAAGAGCATCAGACATGAGAACTCGGAAGAACTCCTGCTGCACGCCACCATGATCCAATCCTTCTTCACCCTCATCCATTCCCATCTGAAC